ATTACTTTTGTCTGGTAGGTAAGCCTTAGTCAAACCTCCATTCTGACTACGAGTCAAGCCGCGTGGGGGACCCACCGAGGAATCAGGTGCAGCTGTTTTCACCGCCACGTCCTCAATGCGGCTTTGTATGGATGAGATCGAAAGCTTCAAGTACTGGATGGGATCTAAGTGACAGAAATCTTCACCATTTAAATGGAAAACAAAAAAATAAGGGGAAAAAAACATACAACAGAAGGGATTCGCTGGTGGTCACCCACCCAACTACTAACCTCCCGGCGTGTGGCTTAAGTACGGCTGAGCGGACGGGAAGCCCTGTTCTCCACACCCTGTGGTCGTATGTATTATCCTTCTTATTACTTCAGCTGATAAAAGATATTCGGTAGGGTCGAATTGTCCTACGATTGATGCTTGATGGTAGCTCCAGGAGATCTTGGAGTCATACTAGGGGTGTTAACTATGGGTGTCGGGTGTTAAAATTTATTCAGTGCTCTTCATTGGAGAATTGACTATTTTCTGAGCGAGAAGTGAAAAGCGTCCTGTTTGCGATCATCAATCACCATGAAGGATGCATGATATATACATCAGGTTGGGAAATGTACCATCATAATCGTAAACCTTCATTCTGCCCAGTGTGTATATCTTCTGCTATATGAACATGCCTTACTGCGACCATCAAACCTCATCCCATAGATACGCTCTAGACTACCTATTCACTAAGCCAACACACCCATCGGATCCCATCGCGGCAAGACCTTCGGGCTCTGATCCAAGATAGCCCGAATCTCACTCGAGACAAAGTCCGAGTCCACCACGGCCTGGAAAGTGTATTCGTCCATCCACCGGTCGGTCATCACAAACCAGCCCTTGTCTCCAGCGGCCTCACCCCAGGAATTCTCCACGCGCCAGCGCACCGGCTGGTCGTTTTCAATGTGGACGCCCGTGATGACCATAGCATGTGTCATTGATGACTCTCCGCTGGCCAGTCTCTCGGCCTTGTTCATCCCAAGCGAGATGTTGAACCCGAGGGTAAGGTCTATGACGTCCAGATCCATGGTTCCTTCGTTACTATCGGAAAATTTACCCACGTCGCATCCGAAGAAGACGGGGTGGCCGGCTTTGAGCATGGCGATGACGGCTTTTTTGAGGATCTTGACACGATTAGTAGAATGTCTAGGATCTGGAGTTGCGCCAACATACCTTCATCTCCACATTGACGTACGTGAGTGGCCGTCCTTCCAGCACATTGCCCAGTCGATCAACCGTCAACAGCCGGTTATATTCATTCCGGGGATCGTTGACCAAACTGAACAGCCTGGAAGGAGTAACACTAGCTTTACGAGCAGCAGCTGAAGCTGTTGCCTGGCGAGCAAACTCACGCGGGGTGAGTTTAATCTCCTTGGACTTTCCATCGGCATCATAGAACTGCCACACGAACTCTTGGTCAGGGCTTGGAGGCGGGCCCAGGAGCAGCGTGACCAGTCCATGAACTTCACGGAGGAATCGCTCCTTGGTCTCCGCCAACCCGGCACCACCATCACGCACCAAGCGTCGAAGCACCAGGGCTTGCTCGCGCAGCTTCGCCGTCAACAACCAGTTCATCTTGGAGCTGTTCTGCGCGTGATAGGCATCCGGATACACATCATGCGGGACGAGACCGTACTTTTCGACCAGGTTAACGACCATATCCCATTGTCCGCCGTCACTGACAGGGTCCTGGAAGAGTTTCTGCACCAGCCGACCGGAGAGGTCCTCGTCCGCGGTGGAGATGACCTGCTCGAAGAACCAATTTGATTTCTCTAGCTTGTCCCAGTAGAAGAGGTAAGCCTGGCTGAGCTCAAAGTCCTTCAGGTTGTACGTCTTGATGATGGGCACGCGGAAGATGTTGGTCGAGGCGAAGAGCCAGCAGCGACCAGAGGAGCGTTGATTTGTGATCGGAGATCCTTCGATCGGGACCTTGAGGTTGAAGATGTGACGATCAGATTGGAGAGCGGAGCGGTTGGCGAGGACATTGGTGTAGGGCTGCGTGGCGAGGCTGGAGATGGCGAGTCGGTTCTTCGTATGTTAGGACGAGACGGAGAATTATGGATGAGGGTACTTACCTTGGCATCACCCAATAACGTCTCGTTCCAGTCTTCGATGCGCTGAAGGGAGAGGGAGGGTGCGCGTTCACGCTCCTCATATTGTGGTGCTGCGATGATTAGCCTCGCTCATCCACCATGGGGATTCCATACGAGACTGTTTCAACTCCATGTACACCTGCGGAGGATAAGCATCTCCATCGTCAACCACCTTCCTAGGCGAAGACTTCTCATTCCGGATGGGCTCTGGCTTGGAGTAGTTGGCTCCCATAGTAACTGATAGCGATGTGAAGAAGAAGAAGTCAGGATGAGTGCTTCGCATGGGGACAGAAGATAAGTGATAAGCACGACAAAGTCAAGGACCCGGGGAGCCAAAGCGGGGATAGGATAGCTTCAGGGCATGCGATTGGCCGTCACTTATCAGGTGGTTGGCTGCTGACGGGTTGGCGGCGGCTAAGCAAGGAGTGATCCCATGCTCGGCTTGGATCTCGACATCGCAGCCTAATCAGATGATGCCAGAGACCATTTACCATGTACCTTTTTGATCTCGTGGACTCACCAGGACAGCGTCATCAATATTTATTCACGATATCTATTTCTAGCAATTAAATAAGAACCAATGCGGTTCTTCAGTACTACATCGGGCATCAGGGCAAGATTGCCTTGCCAAGTCGCATCAATAGTACAGTTGATCATACCCAGCTCCGGTAGAGGAATGAGAACCCTATTCCCCCTGGAGTTTATATGGAAGGACAAGCTTGCGGGAAAAGCTATCCGCCGTCGAAAGGTGTTGCATATCTACTAGTCAGCCATGACCGATCGCTAGAACTGTACATTTTGATACATTCTTCAATAGGAATCACACCAAATGCCCATTTCCAGGTGTCGATTCACTACAGACAGGGGTCACCTGACCTCTGGTGTTCTGTGCAAAAGCGTCTTGTTCCCAGCAACACCTCGAAAGAGAAAGATGCAACATTTTAAGATTCTTCGCATTAAGCTCTAGCAAAGTGTGGATATCACCATGTAACCACCTCGTGAGTCATCTTCATGACTGCGCGTGATTATCCACTTGTTTGCTTCCATCTCGAGGATTCAACTGACTGCCTCACATCTAGACCTACGTCCATCTCCAGCCATGTCTTCACCATTCGGTCTGTTTGGGTTGCTACCACTAGAGCTTCGTCTGCTCATCTGGGAGAATCTCCTTCACGATGGATCCCTACGATTCTCCAAGCTAGCAAAGCGATCAACCGTGAAATTACCGACCGTCTTTATGATACCATGGATATTCACCTCACTCCACAATTCCAGGATCCATGGATCGAGACCTGCTGCCAACGACTGCATGCGGAGTGGATCAATCAGAAACGAGAATACAACAGATCCAGACAGCTTTTAAACCCCGTATCATTAGGTCAAGCTTATCATCCATATTTATCCACCGGAGCCCTTGGATCCCGGCCCGTTTCACATAATGTGGAACAAGATCAATGACATCGTCAAGATATTGCACCTCGTGTGATCCACAGGGTTATAGCGGCCCTGAAGATGAGTGGGAAGATTGGCAAGGGTCCGAAATTTGGTATGGAATCCCGGGGACTCATCCAGTCTAGTGCCATGGTGTACAAGCCGGATCTGAAATATCACGATCTAGTCCTTTATCTGGAAGAATCGGTCCGAGAGGAGTATCTTGCTCAGTCGAGTGCCGAGTATGCCTAGGTTGATTCGATTTTCCACTATCAATACTATACTTCCTTTTGACACGTTACATTTCTTCATACCATCAGATGCCTACTGTGTTCCACTCCCACCAACCACCAGGATACAAATAACCTAAATACAATATACCAATAATCCAACCCACCCAAACACCCTCCAAAAAAATCCCCTACTTCATCATACTATTCATCTTCTTCCACACACCTGATACCATTAGCCAAGCCCCCATCCCTCCAACCAACCCAACCAATCTGCAAGATAGACTCACTTTCAAACGAAACAAACCCACTCTTCTCCTCATCATAAAAATTAAACATCGCCTCGAGCTGCGCATCGCTGAGCTGACTCCCGCTCGCGCTGCCTTTCACGGCGCTTTTGAATTCGGGGAGGGCGAGTTTGCCTATACCTTTGATTACTTCTTCATTCCTTACTTGACTTGGGATGTGGGTGGGGGGGGGTACCCTCGCCGGATTTGTCCTGCATCTGTTAGTTATATATAGAAGAGGAATGATGGGGGGAGTACAGCTTGTTGAAACAAGGCTTTCAATTCATCGTAGAAACCTTGGGTTCCTTTGGAGTCCTATACCTTTGTTAGGATTATCTTATCAAGTCGAAAGTGGGATATGTGGTTGTAGATAGTAGTAGGGATGGGATGGGGGTGAACTAACCGCGGCAGACATTCTGAATAATATCTACTAGATATTCTTTGATTCCTGGAGTGGAAAATAATAATAATAATAAAGGTATTCTATTCAATTAATCAATGAAGGTATCTGCCAGGTAGTGATGATGTCGATTTTTTTTCCCCATCTCCACTTTTTTTTCAATACCCGTTACTGGTCGTGAGTGGTGGTTGGTGACCCACCTGTTCTGCACGGGTACTACGGTATTGAGTGTGCTGTTGGTACACCATACACAGTACTACAACTACATACACACAGAGTACGGATACTGTTCACTAGATACTCCGTAGTATCTATCCATTTACCACTTCCGATCATAGACCTTACTACCTAAATCAGGCAATTGCTCTAAATCAACCCTAGCAGTCATCACAGATAAGCCACGCCTATCTATCCCCGACGGACCCCGACGGACTCCGCATGCACCACCTGCAGACAGGAATGTCGAAGAGCGGGGGTATCTAACCCATGTCTCATATTTCTCATCACTAAGCTATCTCGCGTCACACCCCTCCCTGTCCCTCCCCCATAATCCTATCAAGGCAAATTCAAAAACACATCCAACAATTTCGGAAAATTGGGGGTTCCGAGTCCGGAGACGGGATCCCATCTATACCATCATTAGCATCATCCAATACCAAGGGGATAAATAAGGAAAGGGATAAGGCAGGGAGGAATACCCAGGCGCCGTATAAAATCCCTCCGTGCCACATCCCGGATTCGACCCATTCGTGATATCATTCAAGGCCCCCGGGTGGCGATACAGGACGGGATTTAAGAAGCCCAAGGGACCTTTACCGACTGCGATGCGTCGCTCGATGATACGGTTGATGATGGAGGAGAAGATGGGGGTACCTAGCCCCTGTTAACAAGAACATATCCACAGGAAAGGGAGGGAATAAGGAGGGGGGGGGGGGGGGCACTCACTCGCACTCGTCCCACCCTCCAAGATAAACTCTCCCGCATTAAACTCCGCAATATTATCCCCATTGGCAGCAACATCCGGATACCCCCGACCGAGACGGTTATAGATCCCCCCGTTTTGGCCGAAACTGGCGTTCCCTTCGTAGTACGGGTACGGGGGATTGTGCTTGGTGAAGTACTCGGCCACGGCGGAGGCTTGGTAGTCTGGGATGGGGTAGATGTTGCTGAATCCGCCGCCGGAGGAGAAGGCGATGGAGTAGGGGTGGCCGATGGGGTCGACGACGGCGCTTTCGCCGTCCGCGATGGTGTGGTTGGGGTAGAGCTTGGTGGCGCCGACGTTGGTCACGTAGGGGCATCTAATAATACCATTAGATCAGTTGCTGAGGATAATTGTGGGTGATAGGGGGAGGAGGGGGAGGCTTACGAATTGGGGAACGCAGGGGAGAAGATGGTGCCGTTGCCGAGACATCCGTTGTCACTGTCATCGCCTGGAGGACCGGCTACACCGTCGTCGCCGGAGGCGAAGAGGATGGAAGTGCCTTGGAGGCCGAGTTTCAGGAATCTAGCTCGTTAGCGAGTCCACAGACATGAGAAGCTTGGGGGGCATACTCGTTGCACTGGCGTTGTTGGTAGTAAGCAGGCAGGTCGTATTCTTGACCACCGTAGGACACGGAGACCACGTTGGTGGGCTTGTAAACACCACACATTAGCTGTCCTTTGTAGCCGTCGGTGTAGTTGTCAGGATAGACAGGGTCGAGAGTCGGACTGTCGCCGCATTCGCCGTAGGCACAGTACGTGCAGTAGGACTGTCGGTTAGCTTGTTATGCTGAAGGGATGATGGGATGGCTTACTCCATCGACAGCATCAAGGAACGTGTTGAAGAAGCCGTCCGTCTCGATTTCGCCACTGGCGTAGTTGAGATCGTCCGTCTGGTAGAGCGTGATGGTCTGGGGATAGACAATCGGATAGGCGAGTTGAAAGTCCAAGTCGGATTCCGCGCCCGCGTCACTGGTGTTGACTGGGGCTTCGGCGCCATCGATAAACGCGGGCTTGGGGTGGGTGCCTTGGGGAATGTAGGGCGTGAAGTTGCGGAAGAAGAGGTTCAGATCTTCCTGAGCGTAGTAGTCCCCCTCTTCGAAGATGCCCAGCGAGTTGTTGGCGCTGACGTTGGCGCTGGCGTGGGGAATCTTGTACAGAGCGGCAACACAGGCGGGCGTGATGACCTCGTCGCAGGTCGCGAGGGAGCTAGCATTGACACTCGTCTTACCGAGGGGTCTGGACTTGCTGGTGTGCTTCGCAGACGGGCCCTTGGAGGTCAAGGGCAGCAGCACGCCGGGCTTGACGAAGTCGATATGTTGTTGGACATGTTGGGGGACGCGGTACCTGTTGGTCAGCCTTGTGCCTCACTATCTATGCATAGCGCCCAGTGGGGAGGGACGTACTCTTCCGCAGCAATAGCCTTGGTGCCAGAAATCTTATCGGTGTAGTGATAGTACTTGGTGTGAAGCAGACTTTCCGCCTCCTTGGCCGACGCGCCGAAGACAATCCAGCCCTGGTTCTTGGTCTGCGCCAGACGAGACTCGGCCACACCGGCTCCAACCAGCCAGTTGCGCACCGCGGCGACGGTCTCGTTGGACGGCGCAAAGGTATTGGCGACCTCGTCGGCCGTCCAGAACTTGCCGTAGTTTGGGGACACCGAGTCGGACCTGATTTCGTGAGTCGAGATAGAGACCGTGGAAAACATCACATACACATTCATCAAATACTCATACGCATTCTCCAGATTACTCTGCGTCAATCCGATCCGGACCAACACATGCTCAGTGCCAGTAACCCGACGAGTCTTTTGCCACCTGGCTGGGGTAGTCGTCCGTCTCTCATGCACGACATGATCCGACGTAGGCAGGGCCAGAGAGGAGGCTGCGAGGGCCAGACTGCAGAGGGTAGAAAAGAGCCTCATCGTGACGAATGTCTACTCTGTTCACACTCCCAGTTGGAGCACCAGTGCCTGCCTTTATATATCTACTCAACTCCGACGCTCCTCCGTATACTCCGGTCGGAACCCGTCTGCAGATCTAGGGCATGGCTAGCAGACCCTTATCGGAGATGATGGCTGTTAGGTAACTGCATTTTCCTGGGGCCAATCAGATCGGAGCAATTTATTGGCCGGACGATCATGTCTTGTTCCTCCGAGGAAGGAATCGCGTCATGCGAGCGGACTGACAATGTCAGTGGTCACTGGTCACAGTTGGTTCGTTCCGAGTCGTGAGGGGCTGCGGGTATCGCCATCCTGCTTACTCCGTCTTCTAGCGTCGTCTAGTGGGATTAGCGTGATTAGTGGCGTTGACCGCTACTCGCCGGGAGGCTTAGTCGAGACTCGGTAGCTTAGCCTCGCAGCCTTGCGATAGCAGATGCTTGCTGTCAATTGGAGGAACACTGGAGAGATCACTGTCGGGGGGATGATTGTGAAGAGGAGACCAAGTAGGGTTCTAACTGGTACTATCACGTAGATCAATGAACTACCAAGAGAAAACCATACCATCGGGATTATCTCCAACCGTTCGTCAAAACTAGGCAAGTGACGGAGAGCACTAGACCCTCCCGAACAGCACGACAGGAACCAAGCAGCGACTAACATCGCCTGGATCCATGTGGAGACATCGTATAAAATGGTAGCAACTAACAATGGGTCGGTGCTTGGGAGCAGCTAGCCTCGGCATCCCAACTTGCCCTGCAGCGAATAAGTGTTCCGATCTGGAAGTGCACCCATTGCAGCAGTGCAGCACAGCCCTAGCAACCATAATCACTCGATTCTAGCCTGGTGGACCCATTCCGGTTGAGCTTGTTCATGATTCCGGCTGGAGCTATGCTGTTTTGACGATGACCTGAGTGGCAGGCTCCAGATCCATAGTATTCGAGAGAGTCTACGAAACAAGGAAGATCCACAGAGTGAATGACCGTCCATCAAGTTCATTCTAAATGAGCCAATTCTCTCTCATATGCAAGCACACTCACCCCGCTAAACATCATCATTCGACAAGGAGTGCTCCCCTGCAGCCGAGTATTCAGTCATTCAGCCCGACTCTGCTCCTGTGGACCACCTATTTTTCTTGGGAGTGCTAACGCCAAAACCACAGCCAGCTTCTGTGGGGTAGACAGTGGACGTTGCATCAGGGGTATAGCTATCCTGAGCGGAATAATTCAAGAAGATATCTGAACAGCCCAAGAAAATCCACAGCTTAATCAAATCAATGATCAACCAAACGATCTATTCAAAAAAAAAGAAAGACATATGTCACGTATCTATGCACACAATCATCATGGTATCTACCCTACTCATCCAACACAAACCGATCCAAAAAGCGGAACGTATACAACCCCTCAATCACATCCTTGGCGATCTGAGCACTCGTCTCATTCGAACCGGTATACACACCCGGGCGCGTCAACGAGATGCCCGCGTTCGTCAACGCCTGACGACCACTACCGACCGCCGCAATGGGTTTACCGTAGCGGAAGGAATCGATCAGGATCTGGAAGGGTCGGCCGGGGGGATACAACGCAGACAGGGAGGAGGAGGAGGAGGTGGTGTTCTGGTGGGACCAGCTGGGGGTGGCAAAGATGTTCTGCACGCCGTCGGCGATGATCAGCGCGTCAAAGGCGATGGCGTCGGAGATGGAGTACGTGGCGTTGACGCCGTCGGCATACGCTTCGGTGATGATGTTCAGGTCGATGCCGGCGGCGGCGAATTGCGCGGCCAGGGCTTGGCCTTGCTGGATGGAGGCCGGGTGGGCGTTGGAGGCGAGGAAGCCGACCTGGAGGCCCTCGACGCTGAGGAGGGGCGTGCCGAAGGTCCCGACGTTGGAGGTCTTGTTGGTGGTGTAGTAGGTCGGGTCGGGGGTGGGTGCGTCGAGACCGAGACCGCGGGCGACGCGGACGGCGAGGTTGTTGTTGATTTTGTTGAGTTGGGTGACGACGTTTTGGCGGACGTGGGGACTAGACACCTTGGAGTTTTCGAAGACGATGGCGTTGACGACGAATTGTTGCTCGGCGGGGACGAGCGAGTTCCAGAACATGGCGGGCTGGGACCAGTGGTCGTCAAAGGTCGGGCTGACCTCGCGGACGAGGTGGCCGGTGGCGGTGCGGAAGGGCGCCGTGAAGAAGCCGTGGCCGTGGGTTTGGTTGGCCTGCTGGGGGTAACCCTGGCTCATGGAGTTGGGGGTGTAGGCCCAGTTGTTGGTGGGGATTTGTTGCTGGCCGAAGCCGTCGCGGTTGTTGTTGTGGACGGGCTTGCGGGGCCGGTTGACGGGCATCTGCTCGAAGTTGGGACCGCCATGACGGTTGATTTGGGTGTCCAGGTAGGAGAACAGACGGCCTTGCAGGAGGGGGTCATCGGTGAAATCGATGCCGGGGACGACGTGGCCGGGTTGGAAGCCGGCTTGCTCGACTTCGGCAAAATAGTTGGTCGGGTTGGCGTTCAGCTCCATGACGCCGAGAGGGGTGTAGGGGACGATCTCCTCGGGGACTAGCTTGGTGGGATCCAAGAGATCGAATCCGAAGCGGAGCATGTCGGCCTCGTCCATGATTTGAGCCCCGAGCTAAGCCATTAGCATGTATACCTTTGAAAAGATTGGGGGGGGGAAATGTACTTCATATTTGGGGTAGCGGCCATTGGCAATCGAGTTGTACAGATCCTGACGGTGAAAGTCGCTGTTCTTGCCGGCAGCAGCCTGAGCTTCGTCCCACACCAGACTGGCCACACCCTGGAGAGACTTCCAGCGGTAGCGGACCACCTTAGAGGTACCGTTGGCCGTGACGAAGCGGAAACTGTGGACACCGTAGCCGTTCATGTGGCGGAACGACCGAGGGATACCGTTACCCGACATCAACCACAGGGCGCTGTGGAGGGCCGTGCTCTGCTGGCTGAAGAAATCCCACGCGGACGTGTGGGCAGTGGCGGCCTGGGGGATCTCATTGTTGGGCATGGGCTTGATGGCATGCACCAGATCGGGGAACTGGATGGCATCTTGGATGAAGAAGGGGGCCATGTTGATACCGACGATGTCTGCAGAATTAGCATTCTCCTATGATAGGTGGCATTGGACATACCGTAGTTGCCCTCATCGGTATAGAAGCGACAGGCGTGTCCGTGGACATCGCGTGCCGTATCCACACTCCCCCGGAAGCCAACGACGGTAGAAAAGCGACAGAACATAGGCGTCTCCTTGTCACTCGCACTCAGGAAATCCGCCGCAGTAACATTAGACCAGTCGCCGTAGGACTTGAAAGTACCGTATGCGCCAGCGCCACGGGCGTGAACCACACGCTCGGGAATCTACATCGTCAGGGAATGTCCGAACCATTGTAGACTGTACGTACCCGCTCATGGTCAAACCGGAGGAGCTTCTGACGGAAGATAAAGTCCTCCAGCAGGGTCGGGCCCCGGGCCCCCGCCTTGAGACTGGTCTGATCCGAGATCGGGGTGCCAAAATCGGTGGTCATGTAGGTATCAGTATCATTGACATACAAGGTATTGTCAATGGCCTGCTCCACGACATGAAAGGTATCGGTCGGGTTGTCGGCCTCTTGGGTGAAGCTCATTTCCCCGGACAGATACGGGCATTGAGCCTGGGCGAGGCCAGCCACGGCCGGCAAGAGCCAGAATTGACGCATGACGATGAATCCGAGACTGAGATCTGATTGTTGTCTGCAGTGTCAGGGGTCTGTCTGGTGTTTATGTAGCCATGTCGATATCTCCACCGATCGAGTGCCTTAGTTAAGCTGGGAATCCAGAACCCATCCAACGCAAACCTGCACAGAATTTGGTAATCTGGACGCTCCGGTTGGGACATGAGGGTCCACATGGGTCATGCAATTTCGCGACATGCTGATCTTGCAGCTGCCGATAGACAGTTCCGTTCACGGTGAGAGGCAGAGAGCACGGCCAAGGTACCCAGTTCCTGCATGAGATGATGGCCAGCACGGGGACTCACACCCAACACATGGCAGTCTGATAGGCTGCGATGCTCTCGTCATGCCATGTTGGGTTAAGCATGGGTGCATCCAAGCATGCCAAGGCATTGGCCAAGACGCGACTGGGCTGATTAGCACACTGGTTACTTCAGCAGGTTCTGGACGCGGATGCTTGGTAAGACTGCTTGGGAGGCCGACGATCGTGGGTCCCACCGGGGTCGAACTAATCGTACTTGTAACTGGCCAAGACTGGTGGCCCGCTGCTTGGTAATCCCCGGAATCTGGATCGTTCCGTTGCTGCTGCTGCTGCTGCCACTTCAGTTACTGCTTCTACTTACAGTATGGCTGTTGGCGACGATTTTGGACGTTTTGACGATGACGTCGACAGCCATTTAATAACTTCTCTGGCCAGCCAATGCTCAGTCATGGAGTTGGTAATCCCTCATGTCTGGACCGTCGAGATGGCGCCTGAATAATCCGACCAGTCATGTGACTTGACTCGCCCCAACCCTCATCGACCGTTGTATCTCCTATCTACTCCCATACGCTGCTACCTCATACTAGAATCTAGAGGCATCCAGTGCCGTAAGGTAGATCCACGGTCCAATCCGCCACCGTCGATTACAGAGCGAGGTACGGAGAGACACGGTTGACCCCGCACTTGCCACCTTAGTCACGAACCACGATGCTGCGCGGTCGAGGTGCGTGCCTCGCATTTCAGTGACTCAGCAGCACGAGCTGCACCCCGGATTGGACCCTAATCCAGCAGGACGCGGGGTGTGTAATCGGCGCATTCTGGCCAGTCCGTGCCCGGGCGTGTGACCGGGCTATTTTGGGCAGAGAGGGGTCGTATAAGAGGGCGTTCTCCGCTGTCCTGGACTGCATGGCATGATCATCGTCTGATTTCATCATCATCATCATCATACAACAGCTGATTGATATCTTACATCTATCATGGGCGAATCCAAGTGTCCCTTTCAGAAGCGTGGATCCGCCAATATCGGCGGTGGAGGCACTCGCAACACCGACTGGTGGCCTGATCAGTTAAGACTCGACATCCTTCGCCAGCATTCGGCCGCGTCGAACCCCCTCGCTCCTGACTTTGACTACACCGCCGCGTTTAACAGTCTCGACTACTATGTGGTCAAGAAAGATCTCAATGATTTGATGACCGACTCTCAGGACTGGTGGCCCGCGGATTTCGGTCACTATGGTGGCCTGTTCATCCGCATGGCCTGGCATAGTGCCGGGACCTACCGGGTCTTTGATGGCCGGGGTGGTGGTGGCCAAGGGCAGCAACGGTTTGCGCCGCTCAACAGCTGGCCCGACAATGCCAGTCTGGACAAGGCTCGTCGTCTGCTGTGGCCCATCAAGCAGAAGTATGGGGCCAAGATTTCCTGGGCGGACTTGATGCTGCTGGCCGGCAATGTGGCCCTCGAGTCCATGGGCTTCAAGACCTTTGGGTTCTCTGGTGGCCGGGCGGATACCTGGGAGGCGGATGAGTCGGTCTACTGGGGGGGTGAGACCACCTGGATGGGCAACGACATCCGCTATGCTGATGGCTTTCCGGGTGTCACCAAGCATGGAGCTCTGTCTGGAGATGAGCCAGCCCATCTCAACATTCATACGCGCGAGCTGGAGAAGCCCCTGGCCGCATCACACATGGGCTTGATCTATGTCAACCCCGAAGGTCCCGATGGCAAGCCCGATCCGGTGGCCGCGGCGCGCGATATCCGCACCACCTTTGGGCGCATGGGCATGAACGACGAGGAGACCGTTGCCCTGATCGCCGGCGGCCACAGCTTTGGCAAGACCCACGGCGCGGCCCCCTCCGACAACGTCGACGTCGAGCCGGCTGCTGCCGATCTCGAAGCGCAAGGACTGGGCTGGAACAACAGCTACCAGACCGGCAAAGGTCGCCACACCATCACCAGTGGTCTGGAAGTGACCTGGACCAAGACTCCGACGCAATGGAGCCACGAATTCCTCCAGTACCTATTCCGCTTCGAGTGGGAACTGACCAAGAGTCCGGCGGGGGCCAGTCAATGGCAGGCCAAGGATGCCGACGACATCATCCCGGATGCCTACGATGCATCGCAGCGCCACAAGCCGAAGATGCTGACCACCGATCTATCGCTGCGCTATGATCCCATCTACGAGAAGATCTCGCGGCGCTTCCTGGAGCACCCGGATCAGTTTGCCGACGCCTTTGCCCGCGCCTGGTTCAAGCTGCTCCATCGCGACATGGGCCCCCGCACCCGCTACATTGGCCCGGAGGCCCCGACCGAGGATCTATTGTGGCAGGATCCCATCCCGGCGGTCGAGCATCCGCTGGTGGATGCAGCCGACATTGCCAAGCTGAAGCGCACCATCCTGGACACGGGGGTGGAGGGATCCAAGTTGGTGTCCACGGCCTGGGCCTCGGCCTCGACCTTCCGCGGGACCGACAAGCGCGGCGGTGCCAATGGCGCCCGGATTCGTCTGGCGCCGCAGCGTCAATGGGAGGTCAACAACCAGCCGTGGCTGGACGAGACCTTGTCCACTCTGGAGCGCATCCAGCGGGACTTTAACGGTGCGACGTCCAAGAAGATTTCCCTGGCCGATCTGATTGTCCTGGCGGGCTGTACGGCCGTGGAAAAGGCCGCTCAGGATGCCGGTCACACCATCACCGTTCCCTTCACCCCGGGCCGAACAGACGCCACCCAAGAGCAGACGGACGTCGAGTCCTTCTCGCACCTCGAGCCCGTGGCCGACGGGTTCCGCAGCTACGGACGGTCCACGACCCGGGTGCGCGCAGAAAAGTATCTCGTCGACAAGGCGCATCTGTTGACGCTGACCGCGCCAGAGATGACGGTCTTGGTGGGTGGTTTGCGCGTGCTCAACGCCAACTATGATGGCTCGGCCCATGGCGTGTTCACTTCCACCCCCGGACATCTGACGAATGACTTCTTCGTGAATCTCCTGGACATGGGCACCGCGTGGAAGGCCACGGATGCGGCCCGCGATGTCTACGAGGGCACGGATCGACAGACGGGCGCGAAGAAGTGGACGGCGACGCGCGCGGACTTGGTCTTTGGCTCGCATGCGGAATTGCGGGCAGTGGCCGAGGTATATGGTAGTGTGGATGGACAGGATAAGTTTGTTAAGGACTTTGTGGCGGCGTGGGATAAGGTGATGAGTTTGGATCGGTTTGATTTGAAGGCGTAGCTGCGTGAAGTGTATATGATTATGGATGGACTTGCTGCATGAATTAGTATATATGATTAATGGATGAATTATTTGGACTGAGGCTACAGAGACACCCCAATTCTGCTCGACCAAGTCACCAGGCAGAGATCATAATGGTGTGTTGCACAATGCAACTTCCCGCGAGTGACTTGTCGGCAGGTTTCCAACACGGTCATATATATGGAATCCCGCGAGGGTATCATCCCATCAACCATCTACAACATGCATTTCCATGCTTTTCTTCTCGCGGCAGCAGCAGCAGCAGCAGCCATTCCCCTGGCCGAGGTCGACGTCGCCATCATCGGCGCCGGCCTATCCGGTCTGTCAGCAGCCAAAGACCTCGCCGCAGCGGGCAAATCCTTTGCTGTCCTTGAAGCCCGCGACCGTGTCGGAGGTCGTGTCCTGAATGTCGAACTCCCCGGAGGTATCGTCGAAGAAGTCGGTGCCGAGTTCGTGGGTCCGACTCAGGATCGGGTTTTGGCACTAGCTACCGAGCTAGGATTATCCACCTATCCGACCTACAACACGGGGAACTGCACGTTGCTACGAAATGGCACCGTCACCAATTACCCCTGTGATTTGGGCAGTGGTGGCCTGCCACCGGTGAGTACGGAAGCCCTGATCGAGCTGGTCACCCTGCAACAACGGTTCAATACCCTAGCCGCGGAACTGGACGTGCGTGCGCCGTGGAATCACCCCAATGCGTCAATGTGGGATAGTATCACGCTAGGGACGTTCATCGCATCGCAGCTGAGTCTCTCGGACGCGAAATTCCTCATCGATACAGCGATTACCGGAATCCTGTCGACGGAGACGAACGAGCCCTCGTTACTGTACATGTTGGCGTATATCGCTGCGAGCGGGAATGAAACAACCCCAGGGACACTGGATCGGTTGATCGGAGTGACTGGCGGGGCACAAGAGCGTCGGATCCTCGGAGGGACACAGCTCATTGCTTTGAGATTAGCGGAGAAACTAGGGGGAGAGAATATCCATCTGAACAGTCCCGTTCGGAGGATCCAGCGCCACAAGGGACGATACACGGTCATCTCGGATCGACGGCAACTCACAGCCAACAAAGTCATCGTCGCCATGTCGCCTCCCCTGGCAGCACGGATCGCATACGACCCCCCTCTCTCCCCCGGCCGAGACCATCTCACTCAGCGCATGCCCATGGGCTCCATCGGCAAGGCGATCGCCATCTACCCGACCCCGTGGTGGCGCGAGATGGGTCTCAACGCGCAGGCCCTCGCCGATACGGGTATCATTCGCATTACCTATGATAATACCCCCGTGGATGGGTCCTTCGGAGCGATTATGGGATTCATCGTGGCGGATGAAATGCGACGGTTGGATAAACTGAATCAGAGTGAAATCGAGGGGCTAGTCACGCAAAGCTTGGTGGATATGTTTGGGACAGAGGCTGCGCGTCCGACACAGGTGATTGTCCATCGTTGGGATCTGGAGGTGTATTCGCGTGGTGGGCCCGTGGCGTATGCTCCCCCGGGGGTACTGACGGATTATGGTGCGTCTCTTCGTGAGCCCGTGGGGGGGATTTACTTTGCGGGAACGGAGACTTCGTTTTATTGGGTCGGGTATATGGATGGGGCGGTTCGCGGGGGGGAATGGGTGGCTGCTGAGGTTCTTCAACAGTACACCACTAGCCAGTAACTATCTAACACTCTCCTCAATATAAGCACTAGGTGCAGATTGATAGCGTTCTCTTGATGCGGAAGTAAACTATAAAAATATACCAAAAGTTATCCTGACAATGCTCAGAGTGAGAGTGCGAAAGTGGGTGTCCCTCCCAGACGCACTTGCCATATTCAGTAGATGCAGATAGTCTACTCTGAGTATATAAAAACAAGATTCTCTCTATCCTTTCCTTTCTTCCTTTCCTCCTGCTATATCACATCATATGAATTACCACTTGTGATCACATTCATTGACATATATACTACCACTCAATCCATACCAAGTGCCCGTCACGACATTCGTACCTACCTGTCTACCTTACCATTCCAGTAAGATCCTCCACCAACCACAAATTCACTCGCGATCACTAATCCCAATAGACAACCCCCCCACAAAGCATCAACCCCACCAACCCAACATGACCATCTCCCCCTCCCCCGCGAAACGCCGCAGACTCTCCACCCCGGATCCCACCAGATCACCCACCAAATCCCCCACCCCCTCCCTCTCCTCCGCCCCCCCCCTCTCCCCCAGCCACAGCTGGAGTTGCAGCTGCAGTCAAAGCCACTCCTCTACCTCCTCCAGCATCGACGAGCAGCTGAAAGAAAGCATGGTCGCTATTACCATTGCCTTTCAGCGTCTGCGGGGACAAGTTGAACGGAATCGGAAGCAGATGGATCAGTTGATGGTCAATTTGGATGATTTGGAGATGCAGTTGAAGGTGATTGGGTGGGGGTTTGGGGGTGGGGAGGGGGTAGATGTGAAGGTGGAGGATGAGGATGTGAAAGTGAAGTTGGAAGATGAGGATGTGGATGTCAAGTTGGAAGATGTGGATGTGGATGTCAAGTTGGAGGACGTGGAGGAGGAAGATGAGGATGTAAAAGTGAAGTTGGAGGATGAGGATGTGAAGCTAGAGGATCTGGAGGAATTGGAGATGGATGTGGAGGAATCAGAGGTGGATGTGAAGCTAGAGGATGAGTGTTCGGTGTGTTATTCGCAGGGAGACACCAAGGGGGATGGGTTGGATGGTGTGCAAGACAGTGTGGACAGGAATTAGTTTCTTACTCTTACGGGGTATCATTAGTTGGCATTAGCACTTGATGGTGCTCTTGAGTGGTGTTGGATTGGTCTGCTGAGCGCTGTCTCGTTCAATGTGCTTGCAGCTGTGAGTATTAATAGGATGATTCTTAGCTGGATGCAGAATAAATAGCATGTCCTTGAGATCTTCCATCAGGATATCAATCTCCACGGAGTAGTTTATCTAGCACGTCGATGATACCAGAAAACCTGATGAAGCGGGAACAACACTGCTCGTATACTTGAATATAATCTAATCATCAGACTCATAGATAATCACCACCATATGTTCTTTCATCCCTCACTCCATTCAATTTTCCTACTAGATACAGGACAGACTAGTAGTACTCCGTAGTAAGGGAACTATCGATCTAATGATCCCGCTGAAGTGGTCGGACAGACAGGTGGTAGGTAGGGAAGTGGACCGACTACACCTGCAGGGAATGAATTACCTCTCCTCTCTTCCTTGTTTGTCTGTTCTAGATGTCGGTTGAGTGAGGCTAGACTATTTTTGTTCTGTGATGCATGGCGGAGAATTTACCTTGTTTTGACACAATTATTGGCTTTTGCAGATCCTACTCCGTACATCAAGGATGGAATACTATATGTCAGCTTTGGTGGAAGTACCCAATATTCTACTGTGTCTATTAAGGATGATTATTCGGCAGCTATAAAAAGAACAAAGCAAAATAAACACAAAGTAGGACAGGACACACACCAAGATAAATAAGTCAAGGCAGCGATAGATAAGTTCCCACCCCACACGACGGATATGGCAAAAGAAAAAAGGAATGAAGGGATGATGGAGCTGGAGCTGAAGGGGATCGAACCCTTGACCTCTCGCATGCAAAGCGAGCGCTCTACCACTGAGCTACAACCCCAGTTGCTTATTCATATTCTCATGGATATGAAATTGCTGTGCTGGGTGATTATCTTCGTAAGCAAAACAAGGAATAACTAAGACATTGGATGTGTCTTATCGATTTATTGATTTACCGTATCGTAATAACTAGGAGTGAGTGGTATCGGTCGTTATATCATTGTCGTCATCTATCTATCATCCATGTACCATGTATCCATGTATCCAGTCACGCCATCAGTCATAATATGGTATCCCAACCCACAATAATTAGAAGAAAGAACCCCAACCCCTACCAAGCATAATCATATAGCACACACCGAATCATCCCGATCCCCCGGCCCGATCCCCCTCCTGCGCACCGAACCCACCGCAATAATCAGCCCCAACCCCGCCAACCCCGCCGAACACCACAACCCCGTGGCATACTGCTGCGCGAGATCATGTCCTTTCTTAATATCCACTGCCTCGGTGACCGCAGCGGAAATGGCCAGTGCTACACCGGACCCGATCTGAAAGGCGGTGTTGAGCATCCCCCCGCAGAGACTTTTCACGTTCACGGGCACGGTGGTGAGGATGGCGGTGCTGGTGGTGACGAAAATGAGGGAGACGGCGGTGATGCTTATGAGGGAGGTGGGGAGGACGTTGATCCAGCTATCCTTTATTAGTATTGTAGGGATGGAAGGGAGGGATGGGGAGGGGCGTACAAGTTTGTTTCCGGACTGGAGGTAATGGCGCTAGGGATCGGGGCTACCACGGTTAAAACCAGCCCCGCAATGAGGGTATATTTCCCGTTGATGTATTCTAGGGCTTTTCCGGTGCCCATGGATGCGATGAAGCCGATTACCCCCATGGGCAGGAAGCGAATGGCCGTTTGGCCGGCCGAGAGCTGGTCGACTTCTTGGGCCATGAGGACGATGTAGTAGATTACGTTTTGGTAGCTGCCGTAGCAGGCTGCGTTGGTTAGTATAGGTTGCTGGACAGGGGAAAAGGGGGGGGGGGGGGACTCACTGAATCCCGCAATCCAGAGACCCGCAAAGTTAGGGAGCTTCCATAGTCCCAATGGCATCAAGGGATAGGAAATGTACTTTTCCCAGAGGGTGAACGCGACCAGCAAGGCCACGGCGAGAATCAACAACACGAGGATAAATGGCGTCCCCCAGCCGTATACCCCCCCGCTGGACAGGACAAACTGGAGCAGAATCAGACCCGCTGTGGAGAGCATCGCCCCCACGTAGTCCATCTTGGGCTTCTCCTTGCCCGCCCGGTTGTCTTGAGGGAGAACGATGGCACCGAGGATCCCGAGGGAGCCGGTGATGATGACGATAAAGTAGAAGATGTAGCGCCAGCCGAGAGATGAGGTAAGGAAGCCCCCGAAGATCAGTCCCACGCAGAACCCAACGGTCCCCGACGAAGCATAGATGGATAGTGCACGGGTTCGATCCAACCCGCTGAAGTAGGCGCTGATGATTCCGATCGCGGACGGCACTGTCAGCGCCGCCCCGATGCCTTGAAGACCACGAAACACGGTGAGTTGGATAAAGGACTGCCCGAAGCCAATGGCCAACGTCCAAATCGACAGCCAGGTCAACCCCAAGCACAAGATCATCTTCCGTCCATAGCTTGAAACCGTCAGTGTGGTCCACTGAAGTCAAGGGATAGATACTCACCGGTCGGACAGGACGCCCGCAAGGAGCAAAAACCCACCAAAAGTAAGGGTATATGCGGAGATCATCCACTGGAGGTTGGTGTCAGACACGTCAAAGGCCTCTTGAATCGACGACAAGGCCACATTGGCACTGGTCATGAAGACATTGTCGAGGAATTGGGAGCCCGACGTGACCAGCAAGATCAGGGCACCTTTCCATGAAGCCAGACGACCAATTTCCGGACAGGGGCCTAATTCCGCGAGATTCTTCTCTTCGGTCGGGGTGGCCAGACCCGAGGAAGGGGTACAATTGCCGAGCGAGGAGCCCGGACGAGAGAAAATGGTAAACTGAGGAAACTTTGCCGGGACGTCGCCGTCCACGGACGACGGCGCCGGTCGACTTCGAAAAACGTCGAGAATGGCCATGGCTGATCTGGAGGACGAACAAGAGCACCGGCCGGGTCATTTTAAATAGTAGATAGCGGGGGCGCAAGGAAAAGTCTGTAAAGAATCTGAGGAAAAGTGGGTTTCGTGCTGCGATAGACTTTCCCTCGTCCAGACTTTCGGTCGCGCTCCGCACCTGTGCCCTAATTTCTGGTGTTGCAGGATGTCTTCATCGATTGCGCGTCCAGGGTCACTCCTGCGCTTGTTCGCAGTGTCACTCCTGCGCTTGTTCGTCAATAGCGTATTAATAGTCATTCGGCTGATCCCTGTGGCATGTTGCACTGTGGTGGACCCATGCAGAGTAGGTAGGCCGAGTCATATTCCATAGAGCAGTTCACATGCTTGCCACGGTGGATCGCAGTATTGAGTACATGCAATGCGTAGATGACATGTGGTCTGTGAAGGGATTCGTCTGGGATGATCGGCTGTCGATGGTCTAGAAGGATTAACATTTGGAATCTCACGCACTCGATGCTTATTCAGGCGGTGTCGCAGCAGCCACAATCATGTTCCGGATCAACCGTCGGGAACTTCCCTGCTTTGATCCCGAGACTTTTAAGTCGTCCCGTAATGATCGACAATTAGCCAGTATCAATGCCGAACTATCGGGCCGAGAATCAGCGTTCAAAGTCTGCGGTGACCAGAGCGACCGCTTTTTGATGCTGGCGTTAATCTCCGGATTGCGTACTCAGGGGGAGTGGTATGCGGAGCTTCGTCATGATCTTCGGATCACCGTTGAGCCCGCAAGGGCGGGTGTCAGGATCCTACCTACCTACCTACGTAACCCCAGTAAAACAGATCAGAGCCAAGTTGGTCGAACACCAGACTGAGGAAATCCAACGATGCTGCTAGTACTGATCTGCCGGATGTGATCCATGTTAAGCGGGTCAAGCTCAGCCTGATGCTGGATCAATAGTGCAGCCACATTGGCGCTAGTCTATCATGCAGCTTCGTCTTGTATCATCGTAGCTCAGTATCAGCTCAGCATCGCAGTATCAGCAGCATCCTAGTATCAGCAGCATCCTAGTATCAGCCAGGATCATGACGTGTCCTCCATGCTAGATACTGCCGTGTTGATCTAAGATTGTCATGTCTCAGATTCCTAAAGGGATCGATCCCACAGGCACCAGGATTCCAATGCTAGGAGTAAGTGAAAGACCAATCACTGACAATCCATCTGGTGTATCACAACTCCACCTACCCTATATAGTAGGTAGTGACAGATGCTTTGGTCAGTGCACCTGTTCCGTGATATCATGACTGCGCGGTTGTTAGATTATTCTGAATCAATAGTATTCAGTTGACGTTCAGCTTTATCCCATGCTTGCTGTGGTTTATGTTTCACAGGCACGCGCTTACGCGTTGATGCATGCTGTAACGCGCGTCTCGGTTGCATCATCTACTGGTAGTTTGATCAGTACTGCGGGCAAGCGACAGTTGCCTCGCTCTGATGATGGCGATGGCGATGCTGCAGTCACTTATCGACACCACTCCGTTAGTACATATAACCAACAATATGATGTTATCACATGGGTGCTGAGTACCGGATGGCGGAAGTGGGGGACCGACAGGCGAGGTGGATGCATTCGGTGGTTGGGGCGACGGGGATCGTAAATAGTGTTTGCAGGTGGCGATATGAAGACACGGTGACTCAGTCAATAAAGCATGGTGAGTTAAAGTGCAGCGTTGAACAAACATTGATAAATCTCCTCCAGTTGATGCATTGATGCATTGAGTCTGTCTACTCAACTGTGTAGACTGTGTAGACCGTACAGTCGTGATCTCCAGCGACTAATTGCAAGCGTGGTGGCATTGATCCGATCCACTCGTTGACCCACTGTGGCCACTCTGGAAAGTGGAATCTGGATCGACCGGATCAAGTGGATACTCGACGAGAATATCAGCATCTCAATACTTTGACAGTATGCAGCGACCGAGCAGAGTTGCCAGGGAGTATCCAATTCTTCCTCCTTCACATGTTTATCTGCTTCTGATTATCAGTTTCTCTTAGGGCATCTATGCTCCGAGTTGACTTCTCTGGATTTTTGACATAATTCGTCTCAATGGAATTATCGTTGACAACGAGCGACATGGTTCGATTCTTGAACCTGAAGACAGCACATCCGTTATACATTGGTTCTATCGAAGAATGCCTTTTCGACTATCGGTATCCAGACAACAAGGCAGCTTTGTCAACTTATTATCACCGCCAGCTCTGACCAGCGCTTCAGTGGAATTGAAACATCCAGACGATGACTTGAGAAATCTTGATGCTCTGGGTAGAGGCACAGATGGCTTCAAGAATCAGAGAAGACAGAAGAAGTAAAGGTATTGTTCCTTCCTTCTCCATGTCCCCATCTATATCTCATCCATCTAAACCGAGCAACTCAACTTGAAACCATCACACTCTTTTATCAAGTATAAACCACATTATCAAATATCAACACATTCCTATCCATGTCCCTGTCCACGTCCGACACCGCTCCCTTCATCTTCTACCTCGTCTGGACCCCCCACACCGCCTACATCTTACAACTCCTCCACGTCGCCAACCCCACCCCATCCAACCCCATCATCAGTCTCAACAGCGCCACCATCCGCCAAGTCGAGTACCGATTCGCCCCGACGCCCGGATGCTGGTCCCTCAACGGCCGACGGCTCGTCTACACACAGCACCCTCCCAACGACGGCGTGGTCTACTCGGCCCAGAATATGGGCCACTTTCTTCAGTATATGCGGCGCGTGCATGGCGAAGAGAACGTGGAGTGGTTGGGGGATCCGCGGGGGGTGTATGATAACCCCCCAAGTTCCCTATCTTTACATTCTCAATAGTAAATGATGCCATGCTAATCGGGTATGTTAGGGCCGTCTTCCGCCACTACTTCCGCTCCCGATGTCCATTTTGTGCGCGAACGGGGTGGATCGCGCGATCGAATGAGCGGCTGCGGGTACATTTCCCGGAGTTTCATGGGGAGTCGCGACATAAGGTGGCGTGTCCGGTGTGTGTGGGACGGGAGTTTGCGAAACGGGATGTGGATTATAGTACGTATCTGGAGGGGATTGAGAGGGATCTTGATGATCATCCGGATATGGAGCCGGAGAGGAAGGTGAAGTTGGAGAAGATTATTGCGAATGTGACAAGGTTGCGGTGTCGGAGTGTGAATGTTGCCCGGGCGTGGATGGGGTTGGGGGTCGTGGATGAGGGGGTGGAGGTGTGGAAGGCGAGGGAGAGGGTGTATGATTAGATGCAGCTGTGCTTCTTATGAAGTATACGCTGATGCTCGTTTTGAGTCAGAATCAGTCAATTATAGAATAGAGTATTGCACATCAAAAAGTATGTATTGATTAGCTAGGTGCTCTGCATGAATCCACCCTGTATAATCACTTCAAACAACATCCCACCTCAAACACTCGTGATTCAAATCCCGTTTATCCACCGACTTCACCCCCGCCAAATGCAACGTCAACTGCACCTCCCCCATCAAACTCCGCAACACATGTCTCACGCCCTCCTCCCCCCCAATCGCCAACCCATACACATACGGCCGGCCCACGAGCACCATCTTCGCCCCCAACGCCAACGCCTTCACCACATCCGCACCACACCGCACCCCGGAATCAAACAACACCTCCACCTCCCCGCCCACGGCATCCACAATCTCCGGCAACACCGTCAACGACCCCACCCCGCCATCCAACTGCCTCCCCCCATGATTCGACACCACAATACCCTGCACGCCATACTCCACCGCCAACCTCGCATCCCTCACCGACTGTATCCCCTTCAACACAATCGGCCCCTCCCAATGCTGTTTCAAAAACCCCAAATCCTCCCATCCATGCGACTTCCCCGGGAAAATCATCCGCGTCCACTCCCCCGCCGCGGTACCCATATCCTCCTCTACTTGTCTCCCCCCATGCGTCTTCGCAAACCACTCCCGGAACACCGGGTCCGAAAACCCCGCTTCCACACCCACTGTATCCGCCCTCAGAAACGGATTATACCCGTTATCCATGTCGCTCGGGCGCCAGCCCAGAATGTATGTATCCAGGGTGACCACTAACACGGTATACCCGGCTGCTTTCGCCCGTCGGAGTAAACTAACCGTGATGTCGTTGTGCTCGTTACTCGGCCAATAGAGCTGGAACCACCGCTTTCCATCCGCGCCATTCGCCCCGGCCACATCCTCTATACTTGTGGCGGTCGCGGTACTCAATGTATACGGTACCCCTAACCCCGCCGCTGCTCTCGCGACCGCCTTTTCTCCTTCCGGATGGAAAATCGTCTGTACGCCTACCGGTGCGATGGCGATCGGGGACGCGTATTCCTCCCCGAAGAGCGTGGTGGAGAGGGACGGAAAATCAGAAGGTATCAGACGCGATGGGATGATCGACCAGCGTTGAAACGCGGCGCGGTTTTTGTGGTCTGTTTCGTGGGTTCCCGCGGAGCCGTGCACGTAGCTGTAGCTGTTTGCGGAGAGGCGGGTGCGCGCGAGGGACTCCCATTCGGTGGGCTGGAAGGTGATGGCGGGTTTTTGGTCGTGTAGGCCGTGGGCGTAGACTTCGGATTGGTAGGTGTGGGGGTCGGGCATTTTCGTGTATAGTTCGTAGGTTGTGTGGGATGTGTGGTGGGTAGGGAGGGTGGTTAGGGAGGAAGGGAGAGTTATATGTAGGGAGGTAGTAACCGGTTTGTTTGTAGTTGTTATATCATGGAGGGAGCTGGGAATGGGTATGACGACATGGAGCATGATATCAGGATCAGGGTTCGTGGGGCGGTTCAGGCACGGTCGGAGCCAATCAGATGATGAGTAGGATCAAGCTTCGGATGGATGCCGATGCTTTTTGCCTCTACGGGATTTAGTACAGGCTATCCTCGATATAATTCCGCTGTATCATGCCATTTCTGAAATACTCAATACTATCATCCTATCTCAACAGTGGACAAAAACAGCTATCCGTCAACCCTACGGATACCCCCTATTCAGTTCATCCATCATACTATGTAGCATACTCACACTGCGAATAAAACGCATTCTCATACGTGCAGGTATATCCACTCGGACACGCCGTCGGGCCGGTATATCCACTGCCTCCGCATTGGCCGTATGCCGTGCTGGTGCCGGTGGCTGTGCTGCCCGTAGTAGTCGACGTAGTTGCACTACTCGAGGTACCCTTGGTTGTCGTGCTGAGGGTCGTCGATTTCGAAGTAGTAACACCAGCAGTACTCGTCGACGAACCCACCGTCGAAGAACTCGATGCTGTACTCGAACTCGACCCCACCTTCACCGTCGAACTAGCAGCGGCAGTGGCAGTGGCCGTAGCAGTGGCACTCGGCACCGTCCCACTGGCATCCCCATAGAAAATCCCCCTCCCATTCGTCCCCACGAAAACCCGTCCATACGTGGCCAAATCCCCATTCACAATATTCGCCGACGCAGCCCCAAACCCATAACTACTATCGGAAATCATCTGCCAATTGACACCTTCATCTTCCGTCTTATACAACCCCGTCACACCATCGATCGTGAAGAACCCGAAGAGCACCGGGTAGGCATCATCAGAAGCCGGCTTGCCGAACCCGAAGCTCCAGCCCTCGGTACAGCCGCTGCCGATCTGCGTGAAGGAGTTTCCGGAGTCGGTGGAATGGAAGAGGCCGGTGTCGGTGGAGGCCCAGATGTCGCCTGCCGCGGAGGGGTGCGCGCGGAGGGCGTTGACGGTGGTGCTGGCGCCGAGGGTCGTCGTGGCGGTGAAAGTCGCGGCGGTGTCGGTGGAGAGGTAGAAGGTGGCGCCGGAGGCGGCGTAGAAGAAGGTGTTGTTGGCTTTGTCGGAGGCGATGATGGCGGAGGCGGGGAGGGAGGCGACGGTGGCGAGCGTGGCGGAGTTTTGGGAGCGGAGGACCCCCGAGGAGGTACTCAGCAGGATGGTATCCGCGTCGGCGGAGTAGGCGACTTGGCCGGTCGGGGTGCTGGAGGTGGCGGCGTAGTCGGCGTACCAGGTGGAGCCAAAGTTGGAGGATAAGGCGAGGGTGGGATCGGTGTCGCTGGAGCCGGAGCGGACGATGTTGGCGGGTTTGTTGCCGGCGTAGTCGATGCCGTTGGTGCTGCTGTAGGTTGGGGTGTGGAAGTATTGGGAGGGGGCGGTGGTGAGGGAAGTGTGGTAGAAGCCGCAGTCGTCGCCGACGGCGGAGAGGAGGGCGGGACCCCCGGGGGGTGTGATGAGGCCGAGGACGGCCATTTCTTCGATGCCCACGGCGAGGGATTGGACGGTTACGTTGTGGGAGGTGTCCCATTTCAGGAGATCATGGCTGCCGTAGATGGTCTCGCCGGTGCCGTAGAGCCAGTGGTTGGAGTCGAAGGGGTCGATGGCGAGGGCTTCGACCATCCAGCCGACGCGGACGGGGAATTGGTCGGTGGAGGTATCGTCTTGGAGCCATGGGGCGTTGCTGATGTCGTAGGTGTAGTAGTAGTCGATGCTGGGGTAGCCGTTCCAGGCCCAGATGGGAGACCAGGTGGCGCCGGAGTCGAGACTGCGGAAGATCAGCTCGTCGGGCCACCAGCAGTTGAGAGCGGCCACCATGATGGTGCCGGGGACTTGGAGGTCGACGGCCAGTCCGCCGTAGCCGTAGTAGGTGTCGGCCAGGGAGGTGGGACTGATGTCGGTCCAGACGCCGCTGGTGATGTTGTACTTGTGGACGGTACCGTTGGTGCCGTCGTAGGGGCCAGCCCCGTTGGCATACGAGATGTATAGGGTGTGTTCCGATGGGGAGAGAATGCCCTTGTGAGGGAGGAAGCCGTACATGGGCTCGCCGGATACCCAGGCCCCTTGCTAGGGTAAGCAGGAAGAAAAGGGATAGACTAAGTAAAGAAAGACGTACAGGTTTCACCGGCATCTTCAGATACAAAGACGGACTCGCCCGTGTCCACCACACCTGATTTGTTAGCGAGAGCAGCCAGATTGTGGTAAAAGACTCACCAACGAAGATCCGTGGGGTCGCCGAGCCAGAAGAGCCCGAGGTCGAGTCGAACGTCACCCAGGCAATGCCCACCGGGTCCGATGTATAGGTCGAGCTCGCGTCTTGAATGTAGGTGCCGGTCCACGTGAAGGCCGTGACATTCGACCAGGTCTCACCATAGTCGGTGCTCTTCCACAACCCGTGGCCACTGCGGGCGCCAAAGTACAAGATGCTGTTGTCGTTGGGGTCCACGGCCAGTCGCTGGGCCGGTCAGCGGAGCCGTGGAGCGAAAAGAGGGAGCTTACCTCGCCCACGCCACGCCCGGGCATGTTGCCTCCCACTTTGAAGGGTAGCTTTGTCTCCGCCCAGGTATCTCCCTGATCGGTGGAGCGCAGAATCGATCCGTCGTTGGGATCCCAATCGTTGGTGTACATGCCCACGGCCACATACACCCGGTCGGTATCGATCGGATCGGTGGCGATAGCATCAATACCCCAGTCATGCCTGGATCGTTAGCATAACTCTACCCAAGGCAGGGAGGGGCCTTACCAGTTGGAGTTGTTGGCCCAGTCCATCAATGGGGTCCAGGTATCATCCGAGTTCAGCCGGTAAGCCCCGCCAATATCGGTGCGAGCGTATGCCACACCTTGAGCCGAGGGATTGAACACGATGCCTGGGGTGAAGCCTCCGCCACCTGAATGTTGTTAGTATGTAACAGATTGAAGACACATTATGTGGGACATACCTCCGGTGACCACATTCTTCCAGGTATACGCCTGCGAGGCAGCCCCGTGAACCAAGTCCACGAGGTAGCCGGTGGCAATAAGGGCTACTGTCTGCCGCATGATGTTGATGTCTGCTGGTGAAGTGGAAACACACGGTTTTTAAATATTGCCCCTGCAGCAGCTCGTGCGTGACATATCTGCCCTGCATTAGACCATGCCATGCCTGAACGGGAACGGACCGCTCTGCAGGTCAGATGAACTCGTGGTGCATCTGCAGAATGAGGCACTGCTCGGGATCTGGGCCGGGGGAGCCGAATAGATTGATTAATTTCGGGTGGATGAATGCGTGGCTGATTGAGCACGGAGGTGCCTCCGCAAGTATCACCATCTGACATTGTGTTAGTAGACAGTCCACTTTGACGTGAATTACCATCGACATGGTTGATGCATGTGATTGATACCTTCGTATCGACTATTCCAACTGGTATCTGCATGTAGCCACTTAATGATGCCGGTGCCTCCTGGTGTGGGAGCAGAGCAGAAGTGCCCCGATTGGTGGAATAACCAAATGCTGGGTAGGGCTATGGAGAACACCACGACTTTAGCATCTGCTCGCCTGCTATTGTCCAAAACTAGGACACGGTCGCGATCTGGCGGCAGATTGCACCATTCCTTAGAAATAATCAATCGCAGCTGCAACACGCGCCTGACGGCTCCGAGCATTCTCCGCCCGCCCAGCCTCGCTGACATGATGGTATCACCACATGACACTCCATATATCAGCCTTCGACCAGACCGAGGTTTCTGATTTTAACTGTAGCCCTGTCAGAACCAAAGCTACCCATCCGTGCTGAGCACTAGGATCACCTCGAGGATACCACTATGACCTAAGATTAAGAATAGATCCAACCCGATTCCTGTCACAACCCCAGATGACCGAACCCTCAACCCATTTGCACGCAATAATAACCCTATCGTCCAATCCTAATCAGCAAACCACCCCCACAGAACAATCACTAACAGCCTACCCTCCTTAGGCCAACTCCTCCATTTAGTCAAGTGGCCGTCGCCAATCCACCTACATCACCATCATAGAACCACCGCTCGTCCCTGTCATCACTCAACACTTAGTAAGCGGGTATAACTATGATCTCCCTCCACCCACGGTTCATCCCAACCTTAACCTCCAACCCCGTGGAGACTTTCTCCTGCTGCCTGGTCTGGTCCAGACCTTCCTTTCCCGAGTATGATGATTTTGAAGATCACGGATGAGCGGGGCGGGGGCGAATACGAACATGTCTGAACCACCTACCTACGGACTTGGGAATAGTAGAGGGTAGAGGAAGGGGGAGTTGGTGATCAGGGTGAATTTTATTGGACTGGGGGATGAGCGTGGCGGGTAGTGGAAGTTTAAATGGGACGATGGATCGATCGGCGGTTCGTCTTGTCCTACAATAGAACTTGTAGTTTGGGTTTACGTTTAGGGTAGGTCCAGGGTCTAGTTTGAAGGATCAGAATCAATTGGGGAGGAGAGAAGGGAAGGGAGGTATCTCGTTTAAGGGGGTGAGATTGGGTATCAGTTGATGAACTGGCCAGAAGAGAGGGGGGAAAGAAATTACAAGGGACATTTTACCATTCTTTGAGGCGGTCAATAGAATCCAGGAATCTATTTCCATCCTAAGTAGCAGACTATACACTCTCCTTCCCCCCATAATCCCTCATCTCCAGTCCACCTCCCTGCCCCAACAAATCCCGCTCCGTATCATTCGACCCGCGTCTTGTATCCTGCAACGTCGTCTCGCCATCCGATCGCTTCCTTCCAATGGCAGCAACATGCACACTCGCGCCCTTCTTCCAGCTCCAACTCCGACTCCGTCCGACACTCCACGTCCGGGACTTCCCACTCGAACTCCCCGTACTGCCGTGTCGAGTACCCAGAGCCTGGAAGAAGACTTTCACGGCGGGTAAACTGGAACAAGTCACGGCGATGTTAATCTCCATCATGGCCAGGATCCAACAGTACCAGACTTCCCAGCTGGCGTCGTAGGATTCGTAGAACATGCGGTAGACGAAGTAGATCCGGATAGCGGCGACCACGACGGCTAGATACCCTAATCCGAAGACCACATTCAGGAGGAGTTTCTGCTTCACTGGCATTTGGAGTTTCCAGCTAAAGATCGCCGGAAGAGTCGTGGTGATAAAATCCTGAGTGAGACTGATAGCCGTCGCGGCGATGAGGTGCGCGGGTTCGTTGTAGCAGCGGTATTTCTGGGTCAGGGCGTAGGTAGGGTCGATTTCCATCCAGTAGGCCGAGAAGGGACGACAGGAGACGAAGATGACGATGAGAAAGGCGATGTTGTAGGCGATGACCGAGGCGATGCTGAGGTAGATGATGGTGAGAAATTTGGGGGAGATGGTGGTGCGGTTGCCCATGCGGCGGTAGAAGAGCAGCACCGAGACTTTGACGAAGCAGGAGGCGAAGACGTAAAAGAGTTCTTCGGCGATGGCCAGCTTGCGTTCGCTGATGAGGTTGGGGAGCGTGTTGTCCCAGACGTGGTGGTTTTCGCCGTAGACGTAGGCTCCTAGGGGACGTTAGAATCGCTCCAAGTCGGACGGAGAGTGCATGGACTTACCCAGAGGGACGGCAATGTTGAGGCCAATGGTAGGAATCTACACCTGTTAGAAGACTGGCAAGAGAAAGCCTGGCAAGAAGCGACCGACCAGAGCGAAAGCGACACAAATATCATCCCATCCCCCCTGTCGCTGAATCACACAGCGGGCCCAGAGTCGGAGACTAACGGTGACCACCGCAATGCCTCCAAATATGGCGGCGAGAATGGAAGCCGCATGACTATGGGATTCTGGATCGGTGGTGTTAGGCGCAGGCCACGACTCGATGACCGAGAGTGGTGGATGGAGGCCCCCAGGCATGATGAGAAGAGAAGTTCAATCAGTAGAGAATGACTGTTCGCATGAGTGGACGGGTGTGCATCGAGGGCAACCATATTTACATACCCCGTGGCGAGCAGAGGTACTGTTTAGGGGCAATATGATTGACAGCCAACAATCTAACCATGACACTCAGACTGGCTCAACCGCCAATCGACCGCGGGAACCCAAAAATGGGTTGCCGGCAGGTGGGCCCAACCCTAAACCCGCGCCGATCAGGAGCGTTTCACGTTGAAACGCCCGCACGAACGACGCAACCCGGTGGTCCTGGCACCTGTCAAGTTGCACGGTGGGCTGATGTGGTGATGTATCTAATGCCGACCGGCCGAAGACGTTCAACTCCGGATTGATTGCAGGGTCACAGCATTATGCAGCTTGATAGATCAACCGTCTCCGATCGGTCCAGCAATTGGTATTCGGCCCTTGGTTCTGCAAACTTTGTCCGATGCTCGGCCGGGAGGATGCCAGTCAAATTACTAGGCTGGTTCATTGAACTTTCCTCCCGATCGATCCTATTATCGCCGCCAAATTCCGCGCCACCGACCCGTGCTCAACCAAGATCCTCCATCGTCTCAAAGTGGTCCCTAGAAGCCAATCACAATGATAGTCCGTTCAACAACCATGGAAATGGCAGAGCTACCGCCGGGAAATCCCCTGCCCTGCGAAGGGTTCCGGATGTCCGAGGTCATGCCAAAGCTTGTCAAATACTTGGCCGTAATCCTCCCCCGGCTTCGACAGCCGCCGGGTTTCACCTGGCTTTATCAGCTCCACCGACTCCAGCTCATGGTGGAGCCTGACACAATCTTCTGAATCCGGCCGTCTTCTAGCCTAATGTCGCGCGTCGTGTTTCTGTCGTTACCTGATACGAGCTGGCACTGATCAGATTTCCGAACAAGTTATTTCTAGTTCATGACATTCCTCATGGCGAGCATATGCGGCAGTGAAACAACTCCTAGCGGGCCGGCAGTTAATCTGAATCGCTGCAGTCGTTTCCCAACAACTATCAATCTCTACTTTGGCCAAATGTACCATGTGCGACATGCATTTTCGTGCATGGCACCTTGCTGGATCTGACCATGGGATGCGCGAGAATATCCACCTCAATACGGAGACCTGGGGGTCCGTATCATCTTGCTCGCTGCGAGCCATCTGACTATACTCTACCCGCGATGCACCACCCCCATCAACAGAATATATCGGAATGATTCCCATGGTGATGGGATTATTATGCCCGTGGGCAAGATACATTCGATGCAAGATGAATTCACCACATAAGATGTATACTGGTAGGATCAAAATCAGTCGAAGACACAAGGACCTGTCGCTTTAGATGGGAGAATGGGACGGGGTTCATGGATTGTATATAACGTACTCATATCCGGTATTCAAAATTCACATAGTTAGACAAGATAAAACGCCTCAACAAGCAAGGAGATACATCAGGGAGATAAATTCGACTTTTAAAATTATTATAGCAACCCAAGCACCATCACATATCCATCTCATATACCGTATCCAGCATCACTAAATCTCCGCACACCTCACTGACCCCCCCCTCACAAGAATAAAAACTCTCCAGATCACTATCCCCATCCTCATCCACACTCATCTCCCCACCCCAACTACCATCCATCAAATCCGACTCCCCATCAGGAATATACTCCGGCATCGGTGCCGAATCCCGCCACATAGCAAACTCCAAAAGCGAGCTGCTCATGGACGAATACCCCGAGTTTCCCACCTCCACCTCTGAAGAAACATCCAAAGTGGGATCCGATGTCGATGATGGTCTCCATTCTTCACCTTCGCCCCCTTGATTGAGGGGTCCATCCGGATAGTGTAAATCCACCCCGAATCCCGTGTTCGGATTGTTCAGTTCGAAAGAACCATTCCGGCTTTCTTCTATCTCATGAGGAGTGACATCTCCATCGATTCTCACGTCGGGATCTAATTCCGGTGGAGACATCGGCCATTCCATCCTCCCCTCCACATCATGAGAGAATGGATCATCTACACCCGTGTCAAAGATAAATACCCCCGAGGTGGATGGGATTCGGAGGATTATTATATCACATTGCGGGTGAGGGTCTTGACTGCTCGTGGTGGTGGTGGTGGTGGTGGTGGTGGTGGTGGTGGTGGTGGTGTCTTCGTTGGAATCGTAGTCATTGTCGGAGTCTGAATTAATCACGAGCGTCCAGTCTCGGTCTGGATTGGGATGGTCGTCGGGGGTATCTGGATCGTTGAGGGGTGGATCGGTAGTATTCGAGGGGTTTGGGGATGGCATGGTAGTTAAGGAAGAGAAAGAGGAAAGTATAGCATCCAGGATGGGGTGGTGGGGTATTGAGAATGGCATGTTGTTCGCTTCTTTGACTTGACGTATAGATATTGTATTCAAGGATAAAAGTAAGAGTAAGTAAAATGAGTAGATGGTGGTGCTGTCAACGATCGTGGTAGTTGATGTATAGAAACTGAGGAAGATGAGTGAAAAGAGGTCCTTATACTACGTGAAAAGTCTAACAGCAGCGGATAGACGTCAGAGGGTGTCAGTAGGGTGTCAGGGGAGTATCTATCCCATCATATGGAGGTGGAAATGACGCAATAGGACTTTTAATGGTCGATGTCATGTTTATACATGAAGAACGAAGACAGATGTATATAGAGAAGCAAATTCGCTCGTATATAGCAACCTATCTCCTAACTAGGATACAGATACCTGTTTATATCATATCATCCCAGCTATACCAAATACACCCGACACATCACACAGCACGCAACTATATCCAATCCCACGACCCATACAACAGATCCGTATTCCAACGCACCCACTCCTCCAAATCACCCATCCCATGACAAAACGGACAAGCCCAGGTAAATGTTTCATTGGATGCCTCCTCATCCGTAAAGTCATCCAATAATCCCAAACTGGATTCATCATCCGAGTGTGTATATGAGAGTGTCGGCATGTCCGAATATTCAGACTCGTCAAAGTCAAACTCATCACTGTCCACAAGTGTTGTGGCGTCGGAAAGAGTCGAAGAGTCGGAAAAACATGTAGTCATGGAGGCGATATCACTCGTATTATCTTCATCAGCTGCAGTATCGTCGACAGTTGTAGTATTGTCGATAGTGATTGTGTTGGGACTATGCTCACTAGCCATGACAGCCCCAGTATCCCACTCACTAAGATCAATATGATCAAGACCATGCCTGACAGGCGCTGCCAGAGGATCTGCCACAGGCTGACTCTGCCCTCCACCCCCGTACTCATCTACCCCATAAGCCGGAGAAGACATCTCCGGTGGCGCACCCGAGAGACCAGATACCATTTCCTCTATCTCGATAGCAGCTTCTATTTCACCCTCGCGCTCAGTCTGTGAGGAAAGACCGGAGATGCTAACTTCTTGGACTGTATGTTTGTGTTTTTTGGATGTTGGTATTCTTCTATTGAGGTGTTATTCTTAGATGAATAGATAATGCTGAAGTTGATGAGAAAATAAAGTCGGGTATAGGACGAGAAAAATTAATAATATCTGAACTAAATAGAAGAATACATCTACGACAACCTGACAGCTTAGCAGGAGACGTCAGACGGCGTCAGGAGTGAGTCACTCTTTCCCCATAAAACAGAAACGAAAGTAGTATACATCTGACGGATGCCAAGAGCCCAACAATAGTGGATTTTTGGGACGGACGTAGGCGGTGTTATGAATAGTTGTCGTGTAGTGCTCGGGGGGTATATAAGTCGTAGGGGATGAAGTCTGTTGTCTGTATGTCAACACCGATGAGTGATAACGATGTTGGTAGCAATGTGATCGGTGAATGGTCTTCGAATGCCTCAGCGATGATCGTTGTCGGACGTATCTTGCATAGCTGCAGTGACAATCAGGCACGGGAGAATCTTCGTGGCATCAAGCAAACAACAGGCCAGAAAACCAGTTCAATCAATGAAGTAGACAGGAACAGTTAATTTGAACAGTATGTACAGAAACAATCTCCTACCACACGACGGCTTCATATCCTACATCGGGTCACGAATCATTGCGGGCTGATCGGTCCATGTCGCAAGGGAGAATACATTGGGCTGTGTCGCTATAGGGCTGGTTGATGTCGCAGGTCGTAGTATTGGATACTCGTGGGAAGGTCAACCGGATGGCGCGAGGGATCGAACACTGGGCAAATATGTCGCTAGGAATCGAACACTGGCAGGTATGTCGCACGGAATCACACTGGGCAGGATGTCGCACGGAATCGATACGCTGGCAGGATGTCGCTAGGGAAGTGAACAGCATGGGCCGGTCGCTGGATCGGTGGGCTTCGGCTATAGATGGTAGCAGTAGGATAAGTCGCGTCCATCGCTGGAGCCGAATACGTGTCGCTCAGGGATCGAACATTGGGCCGTTGCAAGGGTTCGGGTATCGCTGGGTAGTCAATTGTCGCGTCCGTCTTTTTCTTTGGATCCGGGTTGGTTGCTTTCGGAGGCGGAATCTGCTACAACTGCTTCGGTCACGGGGCCATGGTAGAAGCGTTTGCCGCTGATGAACCAGTACACCAGGGCAAACAGCAAGACAAATACCAAGAACACGCAGGCGTAGTTCATCTGAAATGGGTCAGCGAGAGCAGGATGGAGGGGATGTCACTTACGTTGTTAGGCGTGACGGGACGCTCGGTGGGCAGGACGAAGATGATGCTGACGAACAGCGTCCATAAGCAGGCCCAGATGTTTACGGCTTTGCTGAAGATACCCATGTGCCAGGGTCCGGGTTTGAACTGGCCAAACACGAGCTTGCACAGGACGGGAATGCAGTAACTCCAGTCGAGGGCGATGGAGCACAGCGTGAAAACAGCGTCGACAGCAGTGTATGAACCTAGAGCAATCAGGTTGATCGCGATGCAAAACACCACGGAGATCCACACGGCATACAAGGGCGTTCCAGTGTACGGAGACACCTTGACCCAAACGTTGGAAAAAGGCAGCATGCGGTCACGGGAGAATGCAAACACAGTTCGACCCAGCGACTGCATCGCCGTGAAGCAGACAAACTTGATGATGATCAGAGCCGAGACGGTGAAGAAGATGGCACCGCCCCTGCCAAGGCTATTGTAGAACAGCTGTGCAACCGGTTGATCCAGCGGAGAGGCGAGAATCGCGTTAGGGTCGCCCATGCAGAAGCACAGAACAATGTTGAACAGAAAGCCAGCCAGATAGGTAAACAGCATGGCCAGGGAAATCGCCCATGGGGCCTTGATCTCGGGGTTGCTGATCTCCTCGGTGATGTGGGCCGTGGCATCGTAGTCCGTCATGGTCCAGCTCACAGACAGGAAACCAAACAGAAAACTGAACCCGATGGGCTTCCACCCGGTGGTTGCCTCGACATGGGTGAAGACGTACGAGGCATCGTGCTTATCGTCAGTCATGACCAGAAGCGCAATCGAGCACGCGACCAGAATGCAGACATGGAAAATGACATAAAACTTGGTCATCTTCTCCATCCAGTAGGTCGACAGCGAGTTCACCAGGCCGGTGAGAAAGGTCAACGCAGCCATCACACCCACTGTGGTGGTAGTTTTGATTTCATAATTATCGCCTTTGCACATGGCCACAATGGCAAGGAGCATTTGTGCTCCGCCATACTCCGACGAGGCCACACCGCAAATTTGTCCGAGAAAATTCAGCCAACCGGTCAACCTGCACGATCAGCATCATATCGATGAACGGCACGGGAATCTTACCAACTGATTGAAGGAACCCAATCGTGCGGAGCGAGCCGGGAAATAGTAAAGTACCTGAGCTGTTAGTCACGGGCCATTCTTGTGATTGGGACACTCACAGGCCTCCAGAGGTCGGATAGGCAGACACAAGCTCCGCGACCGAACACTGCACATTGTCAACCATTTGTATCACATTATGTTACATGAACACCTACCGCGATACACATGCAGCCGGCTCCCGAGATTAGCCAACACCAGACCACCGCACTGCTTCCACCCGCTTCCAGAGGATAGGACATGGTGGTCATGACCGTCGAGAACAACCCACTGATACTGACGGCGAACGAAAAGGTAGATAGATAGCCAAACTCTCGCTTGAACACAGGCTTGTAGCCAAACTCTGCAACAAGCTGGGTGTCGGCCTGGTTCGAGCCCAGACGGGACTTTTCGAGCTCAGCGGGGTCACTCATGGCCGGATTGGCGGTCGCTTTGAGGTCTGCCATATTGTTGACCGTAAACAGTGATGGGCAGTATGGGCGAGAAAAGAAGAATGAAGGCTGCAAGAAGAGGCAAATGTTTCTTAAGAAGAAAAATATTTTAGCATCCTTGCAGCCGTCAGCGAGACCAAATCCAGCCTAAGATGAATAAGGTATAGTGACACAACGGCAGGGCAAAGTGAAGTTGCGCGTGGGTGGGACACGAGATAACAAAGCTCAATGGCTGAAAACGAAAGCAAGATTTTCACCGAGGGGTCAGATCAGGTCGTGGAAATTACCCCGATGGGGCCCAGAATCCTGTCCCAACCGTGCTCGACTCCATGGGACTGGAGTACGGAGAATCAAGGGGAAGTGGGCTGGGTGGATCACCATGACATCCTGTCAATGTTTCCTGGTCCTTTTCGTGGGACTGCTTTGCTACACGCAGGTTAGTGAGCGCACCAGACGCTCGCTAAAGGCCCCGGCCACGCCGGTCTTCTTTTCCCAGAGGCTCCTCGCCTATCGTCGGCGCTGATTAGTTAGTCGGTCAAGCCACGACGCCACGTGGAACTTTCGTACGCTAATGTTCATCGCTCGGCTAACATTCCTTCACAGTACTTAGTCAATCGAAACGGTTGGGGTTGTAACTAGCGTACTTGTAGGTAGGATTCAGCTTTTCGCCGATGCTATTGCTAGAAGCAACGGAAGACGGCGGACAACGGTGCATTCCACTGATGGTGGGGTTCAGCTTACCTAACAGCTTACCGTGCCGGTTCCAGGCCCGCAGTCATTGGCGGAATGCCCGATAGCAGTGCGTCTTGGGCTGCAGCCACGGGAAGGCTTGTCTCACCGCGATAAGCCAGTTTAGTCCAGTCCAGTCCCATTCCAACTATCTAGTACTGACCAGGAAAGGATCTTGCACGTGCGAGGGTGCCTGAACAGGCAAGGTTTTCCAGGATTACACTGGATCCGCCATCGGCCTTTTCGGACCTTTGCTCCGGAGGTGTCCCTCCCAATATGACATAGCCTGGCTGGCAAAAGTAACCAGCTATGCAGGAAAACCACACTGGATCTGGAAGTGGGATCATCTTATCGTGAACCGGCCGTGCGATGCAGCGATCGCTCGGACCCTCGGGCTAGAGGCTAGTCAGCGATAAGGTGATAGCAGCTAGGCCAATGCTGTCTCGGCCTGTCGTAACTCGCAAAGTTGGGCTGAATTGATAACTGCAGTCGCGGTTGGAGATGTCGGGGTATGGGTGTGGCCCGTCTTTAGGTGCAGTGGGCGATCGGCGACCCCGAGGAGCCGGACGGGAGAGCTTCCCGGAATGGAGCTGTCATCCTGATTTAGTGATGATTGATAGACGATTAGATATTAGATTATCAGTCAGACGAGGATATGATAGCGTATGATTAATATCGTGATGATTGATGACTTGCAGGGGTTGATAAGACGAGATAGAGACAGCCAAAAAGCACACCTCGATCGCTTGATAGTGCAGAATGATAAACGGTCCAAACTTATGTCTACATTGGTACCGGGTCACCCATCCCAAGTTTACTATGACTATGACTATTCCAGCATGAGATACCTACAGCAGCTGCAACCGCTTAGCAACCCAACAAGCAATCGATACAAACGCAAGCATACACCCCACAATCGAAAAAAACCACGCCAAGTTGTGACTATCATCCTGCCCCGGAACCTGCACATTCATCCCAAACAACCCCGTCACCATATTCAACGGCACAAAGATCGTCGCCAGCACCGTCACCTTACTCAACACGGCGTTAATATCAAAGCTCAACCGGATATTATTCACGCTCAGCTGCGCCAGGAAATTCGACTGCGACCGGCCCACAATCTCATCAAAGTGTGATAGACTCGTCAGCGTGGTCACCAGATGATCCTGCACGTCGCCCAGGTAGACGATGAGATCGCCGTCCGGGAACATCGGGTTTCGGTTCTTTGCCTGACAGCGCTTGACGAAGCCGTTCAAGACATCGTATTTTCCGCTGAGACAGCGAGTCAGCTGGGTGATGTTCTTGCGGAGGCTGTCGACTTGGGGAATGAGCGATTTGACGTCGTCGACTCGGACGATAAAGACTTGGTCTTCGATGGCGTCGGCTTCGCGCTCGGCGGCTCGCATGTATGGCTCGAAGCTGTCGACGATGTCGTCACTTCGATTGTTAGTAAATGGAGCAGTGGAGTGGGATTTATGTAGTGACATACATCAATGCATAGCAAATCCAATCGCTCGTTACCATATGAGTCTCTTGAGTCCGGCGGATCCTGTCCCGGACATGGGAAATATGGCCACATCCACTGGGCGAAAATGTCACCGTGGCATTTTTAAATACCAGAATGTAGAATCCCGTGGAGCCGGGGATGGACGATGATTCGTCAGTGCCAGCCAGCAGAGTCTGAAACGAGATCAGATAGTAGTTCCGAAACGCTTCGATCTTCTCACGGGACTCCCGGGTCGCAATGTCCTCTGCGGTCAGGGGATGAATTGACAGTGCCTGACAGACGGTGACGACGTCTTCCTCGGTAGCATCACGAATGTCGATCCACCAAGTGTCGTTGTCCGATCCTTTGATGTCGGACTGGACAGACTGCCCCAAAAGAAGCCCCTCCCATGAGGAGGAGGTGGTGACCTTTTGGGTTCGACAGGAAAAGTGGGAGAAACGCGGAGTTTCCTCGGATCGCATGGTGTGCCAGCTGCAGCGCAGAAAGCCCAGGGTCGATTAGAAATGCCGGTCGCAAAAACACAATTATTCATCTAAGAAAACACCGCGAAAGCCAAGCACAAAAAGACGCAGATTCAGCCCATTCTATGATAACGATGCTCGTACTGAACAAGCCAAACGTCGAGAATCGACACAGTTGCATCCGTGAGTGTGGTGTCAGAAGAGTGCACAGCCTTGATCTCAGCAGAAAAAGGAGCAGACAGACATCCACGTTGCAGGCTGGGGTCAAGTGATATTTCACAGATTTCAGACCAGCCTTGTAGGGCTGAGGCCTGTCCCGCCCAGTAGCCACGGTGGAGCCTAGGCAGCCAGTCAGTATCCGAGTCTGGCACCGACTGACCCAGTCAAGGCTTCTGGTTGGTCCGTTGATGAGGACCCCATGGGTATTTCGGAATCTCGGAAGACAGAAATTGGTAGGATCAGCGCGTTCAGGCAGCATTGCGACCGGCCTGCCTGAAGGGGATTAGACGATACTATGTAAAGAACCGATGCTATTGGAAGGTCAGAATATTTACCCCGTCCGAGTGGTGTGCTCGGGAAACCATTTCGTATGACGATACCAGGCTGCCACCTTGGCATGGCGCAGGCGTGGATATAACCTCGAGGGACTGCTTTTCACTTTCTAGGATGTCTTATCCAAGTAAACCCTAGAATTGTTAGACTTCTGAAAAGCTACATCACACAATATGTCTGCATCTATCATGTAAGCTGCAGCCGTCATTAATACCAGCCGAGCTGACCGTGAACAGATCGACCGTCGTGGTTGTGTGGAGATACGCCTGGTTCATTGCGCTACGTCCATTGGCTGTTCTCATGCTGACAGGGGCTGCTGTCTCCCTTTTTCGATCCGGAATGTCAGTCTGCAAGGATGTCCCTTCCATGGCCTATGAGATGTGAGTACTCCACCTGGCACCATCTTTTGATCGACACTGACAACTTTTCAGATTTATGTGGTTCACGTCGTAGGGTGTATTGAATAATCTGCATTGGTACTGGAGCGTGATTTAGCATGATTGTTTGAGTTTTCGGTGGCATAGCGAGGTGTTGATTACATTATTTCCATGCGTTCGTTGTATATAATTTTCCATCTCCCACATATTAATTTTGAAGGTGTGATGTTGATGTGACAATTCTCAGTTGTCGGTTAGGCGCGCCCACAATGACTTCAACAGCTACCATGTGCCAGAGTTCTGATGTAAGATCCTAATCCAGGTCCGCTGAGCAGAGCTCTTAATCTGCTTGGAGAATTCTTTGGGCTTCCACGGGAAGATCTAGGGATATTTTGCGGATACTAATAGATAAGTCTGTTTGTGATGTCTCAAGCAAAAAGGAGTGATGACATGAAAGTCAGTACTGCTTTCTTCCCGTGGTTCTATCAATGCACGAAGCTAGAAGGTGAAGGCTGATGAAAGGCCTGGCCCAACCATGCATGTCACATGACCTGTCTGCCTATCGCAAGAGTGAATATATATCTGTAGTGAGCCCACCGCATCTTCACACAACAATTTGCATATCTCAAATTTCTAGACCGACCTGTCCGAGACTTACCACTCCTTGTACCCTAGATACATTTCATAGAATCAGTCACATGCCCTAGCGCTACAATACAGACTCTCTAGGCACAACCTGGGTCTTCAGCAGTGACCAATCAGAAGCCTTCCATCGTATTGTCCGCTTTTCAATCTGACCAATCACATCTCCCGAAGAAAGCATTATGCCTTGCAGCCTGAGGGCCATTCTTTTGACGGCCGCGGCATCACTGCAAAGAAATCCAAGCACTCCATCTGCAATGGATAGCCTCGACTTCCCCGACCACGATCGCATCTTCCTGGAACCCCATCTGCCACCCAAAAATGGCGATGGAAAAGCCAGATCGGCATCTCTCCCCTTCACCACCCTCACCTTCGCCACATCCCTCGACTCATCATTGGCTCTCTCCCCCGGCACCCGGACGGTCCTGTCCGGGCCGCAGTCCAAAGCCATGACGCATTATCTCCGCTCCCGCCATGACGCCATCCTCATCGGCGTAGGCACCGCCGTGGCCGACAATCCAGGCCTGAACTGTCGAGTGACAGGGGTGGGTGGCTACGGCAGCGAGGGTCTGACCGGCCAGCCACGGCCTATCATCATCGACCCCTCCGCGCGGTGGGAGTTCACAGCGCAGTCGAAGATCTTCGAGCTCGCCCGGAAGGGGCGCGGAAGGGCGCCGTTTATCATCACCGCTGCGGAGACGGTTCCTCCGTCGGCACAGAAGGAGGTCCTTGAACAGCACGGCGGAAAGTTTATTGCTCTTCCGGTGGGGACGACCGTCGAGGGGACGCATCGGATTGACTGGACCGCGCTGCTGGAGTGTCTCATGCGCGAGGGATTGAAGAGCGTCATGATCGAGGGAGGGGGATCGATTATTAACTCGCTGCTGGAACCGAGTTGCCAGTCGTTGATTGATTCGGTGATTGTTACGATTGCTCCGACTTGGCTGGGACAGGGAGGCGTGATTGTCTCCCCGCAGCGGAGGGTTGAAAATGGGGTGGTGGTTCCGGCATCGCGGTTGACGGGAGTGAAGTGGTACCCGTTTGGGGAGGATGTGGTTCTTTGTGGAAGGATCAAGGATGATTGAAGGAACAGTCTGATAATGCGCTTTGTGGTTCAGACAAACAGTGTTTGGAGGATAATGAGATTGGCCGGAAGTAGTCGTGATATTTACAAATGATTACTGAGCTGCATAGGAGTTCAGCTGGAGCCCTATAGAGTTTTCGCCTGCTTGGCTGACTGTCGATTGATGCGGAGGAGGATTACTTGGGTTATGTCAGGCTCGGTCAACTGCGTGCAATTCCAATCATCCCATTTTTTGGAGCGTGGGGTGACAGCTTGGTAGTTGCTATCTCAGCAGGAATCTACCCGTATTTGATGTTGTATGCGCTGAAACTAGGTAAAATGCGGTGCAAGAACGAGCATGCCAGGTGGAAGGAACTTGATCTCCTTTCAACCTATGTCGACCGTTCTTAACTGAACAAGGCATCTGCTCCTACCACATCATCTTGTCAATACCTACAAAGGACGCTGAAACATCCGACCGCACCCACAATACTGTCAACCATAAAGCAATCTCTCCTGAACTTCTTTGTTTTGCGATGGTCGAGAATCTCTTGGACATGCTCGATCGGTACCCCGACGCAGCCTCACATTTAAACAATCTATTAACTGCGCGATGGCTGGCATGGATCTGATTCCATACCCAGCATACCATCATGTCGGTCTACCTTCCCATCGAGGTGTGGGATGATATCTTTGGTCGCCTCGAGAAAGGAGACCTCTTCAACATTTCCTTGGTCTGCAGGATGTTGAACGGGCTCTCCTTGTGGCCCCTTTACCGTAAGTGCCAGTGGAGATGGGAACAGGTTCGATGGTCCCAGATCATGAGATATATGACCACCCTCTTCCAGCACCCACACCTCCTGGAGTACGTCGAGGAGGTGGAGATCCTCTCCTTTGAGGATTTTCAACCACTTGACACATGGGTTTCTGCGAGAGTTCACCCAGCTCAAGACTCTCGAGGTACCCGTCCAGGTACTGATGGGTTTCAATAATCTGGATGAGCAGAACATGTCCGGGGTTCTCCCGCGCAGTCTACAAAAGCTCACGCTGCAGTGGGACGTGCCGGAATGTCAGGGGCCCATTATTCTCCATGACTGGAGCCCCATTCGGATCTTCAACTGCTTGCAGAGGTTTCTGAACCTCCCGGACCGGAGTGTGCAAGTGCCGGACTTGACACAGATTGTGATTCGATTTCCGGCCCCATGCCCTACTGGGGAATTTGACTTGGATTTGCTCGACTGTGACCAGTTGACGGAGGATTATGGGATTTTGGTGCAAGCGAAGATGGATAGGATGACAGGGGGATACTGGGCTTTGAAGCATGAGTGCGAGTGATCCATACCTTTATGGAAACTCGACTCCACATACAACTATCCTTCACTTACTTTCCACTTACAAAATCAAGGATATCCACCAACACATACTCTACATCAAGCGTCCCTCGTATTCACCAGCATAGCCCCATGCCCGTGCTACCTGCCGTGCCCGGCCGTGCCCGGCCCTGCCAGGCTCCCCCAGCCTTGCCGTATCTTACCCTCCCACACTCAATCCCAAGGCGGAGCAGCTCGCCTGACATACCATCCAGATTCCAGCCTCATCCCATAGGCTGACCTGTAGCTATATAAAATCCCTGCCATCTCCAGTTTCCTACTTTTCCCACTCTTCCACAACACTATCTCTACAATTTAAAAAGCCAACACCAAATCACTACCCTATAATCCAGTTATACCAATAACCCGCTCTATCCATACAAACCAAACCACCAATACCCAATCCAAAACCAAGATCATTTCACTTCAGCTCTCAACCTACCCTCCTCCTCCCCCAACACTCATCAAGAAAAAGGAGAAAAAGAGGAAAGAAAATGTGCTTCACCACCTCCACCGACGAACCCGCCACCCCCGCGCGTCTCCGAACGGGGTATACCTCTTCTTCCTCGCAGGCGGGACAACAGAATCAAAACGAGAAAACCCCAGGATATGGTGGATCAAGAAAGAGACGTAGGGGACGACACTACGGGTATAGTGGTGGTGCGGGGGCTGCTTGCGGAGGTGATGGTGGTGGTGGTGGTGCTGGCTGTGGTGGTGGAGGCGGAGGAGGGGGGTGTGGAGGGGGTGGGGGTGGGAATTGATACTAATAAGTATAAGTATTCTTTGACTTTATTTGGGGGCAATAGGGTTGTTGGGGTGTCTGGTTAGTTCTATTTGTTCGGAGAGGTTCAGTTATGGGTAATATTGTTAGCGGGCGAGGTATGGTTAGAATGGTATGGAAGGGATGGATATTATAATTCGGACTGCTGACTATCTAAACCTTGGTTTATACTATTCGTAGAAGAAAGAAGTAATGTAAGACAAGTCAGATGACGTGAACACCTGATACGTACTATGAAGAAAATAGAGTTGAGGCTGTGGATGCCGATGAGGTGAGATTATGCTGTGGGCGGGATCTCGGAATCGGAAGGGGTGTATTTCCATTAATAACGGGGCGGAAGGTCGGGGTGGACTTACTTTTAAGTTACTATACCACAAGGTAAGACTTTCAATCTGGAAGGAGGTCGATAGAACACCTAGGGACTTCTTTTCAACAACAATTCGTCTAATCATTTCCTCGAATCTACCTGTCCTGATAATCCTCTCGGAACCGGAAGACAGTAAACACCCGGTAAACATCCGTGACTTTCCGGAATATCCGCCAATATCCCTCCCTCTGAGACATGGATATCTACGGAGTATAGTACCAAGCAATAATCTTGGCACTGCCCTGCTGTGATTGGACAGGAAACCATCAACACGCCCTTCCAATGACGACTCGGAATGCAGCTCGGAACGCAGCCCGGAATCGCCCCGAGCCCCGCCGCTTGGCTTATCGATAAGTAAATCCTCTTCCTCCATCTTCTCCCTTCTTCAATTCCTCACTTCCATTCAATCCCTACACACCAACAGTACCACCACAATGGACCGCGAACAATTCCGCGCCGCGGCCTACTCGGCCATCGACGACAGTCCGTCCCATCCCCCTCCCCAATTCCCCCCTCCCACCAGCACGCCCCCACTAACATGCATCCCCAGTCATAACCTACAACGACACCCTCCCCTCGCAACGCGTCCTCCCCACCGTCGAACCCGGCTACCTCCGCCCTCTCATCCCCTCCTCCCCGCCCGAAGACCCCGAACCCTGGTCCACCATCCAATCCGACATCGAAACCAAAATCAAACCGGGCATCACGCACTGGCAACACCCGAACTTCATGGCCTTCTTTCCGGCGGGGGTCACCTACCCCAGCATCCTGGGCGAAATGTACTCCGCAGCCTTCACGGCCCCCGCATTCAACTGGCTCTGTTCGCCGGCCTGCACAGAACTCGAAACCATCGTGATGGACTGGCTCGCGCAGGCACTCGCCCTACCGGAATGTTTCCTCAGCACGTCGACGAATCGCGGCGGGGGGGTCATTCAAGTAACGGCGAGTGATACGGTCGCGACGATGATGATCGCGGCGCGGGAGAGACGGGTGACGGAGATGGTGCTGGCCGAGGGGTTTAAGGCTGATACAGTGGAGTATGAGGATCGGATGATGGATTTGAGACCGAGGTTGGTGGCGCTGGCGAGTAACCAGGCGCATAGTAGTACGGCGAAGGGGGCGTTGTTGGCGGGGACGAGGTTCCGGAGTGTGCAGGCCAGGTTGGAGGATAATTTGGAGATGACGGGGGAGAGGTTACGCGAGGTGTTGGAGCAGGCGGATCGGGATGGGCTGATGCCGTATTTTATTACCCTGGGCATGGGGACCACGAATTCGTGTGCCTTGGATCGGTTCATGGAGTGTAAGGCGGTGTTGCAGGAGAAGGAACATTGGAGGAGGATTTGGGTCCATATTGATGCGGCGTATGCCGGGGCCGCGTTGGTGGCGGATGAGTGGCAGTATATTGCGAAGGAGTTTGCTGAGGGCGTTGACAGTTTTAATGTCAATATGCATAAGTGGTTGTTGGTGAATTTTGATGCCAGGTTGGATCCCCCCCCCCTCCTATCCCCTCTGCCGGAATCGTTGGATACTAACAGCTGCAAGCTGCCTCTTCATCCGCAACCGCGAAGACCTCACCAACGCCCTGGACATCACCCCCGCCTACCTCCGCAACCACTACTCCGACTCCGGCCAAGTAACCGACTACCGCAACTGGTCCATGTCACTGGGGCGTCGATTCCGCGCGCTGAAAATCTGGTTCGTCATGCGCAGCTACGGCCTCAGCGGGATGAAAGCCTACATCCGGAAGACAATCAACCTCGGCGAGACCTTCGCATCTCTCGTCCGCAGTCGGCCCGACTTATTTGAAATCATCACGAAGCCTGCGTTCGCGCTGACGGTGTTGCGAGTCAAAAGCCCCAAGGCAACTGCTGTGACGAATGGGACAGAGGGCGTGGCGCAGCCGGATGAGGCGTCGAATGAGCTGACCAAGGAGGTGTATGAGTTGATTAATTCCAGGGGAGAGATCTTTATTACTTCTACCGTGGTGGTGGGGGTTTATGCTATTCGGGTGGTTAGTGCGAATCCGGCGGCCGAGGAGAAGTATATTCGGAGGGCGTTTGAGATTTTGGTGGAGACGGCGGAGGAGGTTATTCGGAGGGGGTAGTATCATTTAGACGGATGTCGTAGATATTATGGATTGTAGAGATGATGATGATGTGATGGTTATGGATGATTGGTGGATATTAGAGGACGGGAATATGGGATGTACATAGTTCTCACATCACTGCGATAGAAATGAGAATAGCAGATAGATGAACGTCAAGTTCCTGACAATAACAGTAACCCACAGATAATAAGACACCTTAAAGCCATACCCGCTCAACATGGAGTTGAATCAGTCATTACCATTCCCTGCTCAACAATCTCTAACCTCCAATATACAAATGGCAAACCCCGACCCAAACCAACCCACTAAAACACACCACTACCACAAACCGACACATTCCAGCCCTTGTATAACTCCATTTCAGTAATATAGATACACCCCGAATATCCACGGCGGGGTAGAATCATATATATGTCTAATATTGCCATCCGCTGCCTGTATCACACAGGCATCTTTTCCGGTTGCTTTGCGAATATCAGCACGTGCGCGTTCAGTTACTTCCCAAACCAACCGTCCAATTTACTGATCAATCGACAAAATGTCCCAGTCGAAACCCGACTATGACCAATTCCACGGAGAAATCAAGGTCGACGATGTCGACCTTCTATCCATTGCATCCTCTGACACCGGGGAATACTCCGACATCCACATCAGCGAATTGAGTGACATGGACCCACTGGCTGGCGCGTATCTTCTCGACGCATACGATGAAGATTATGTGCATGAGGTGGCCACGGATGGGGACGTCTTGTTTATCATCACGACGGATGAACCACATACGCGAATCCGCGTGTCTTCCGAGGTATTGCGACGAAAGTCGCCATTCTATGCTGCCTTCTTAGGGCCCAATTTCAAAGAGGGAGAGACCCTGCAGCAGTCTGGCAAGTTGGAAATCACCTACGATGATATCAACCCCGCGGCCATGTTAGTGGTCATGCGGGTGGTGCATGGGGTGGGGTGTGAGGTTCCGATGCGGCTGGAGTTGGAGCTGTTGAAGGATATTGCGGTGGTGGTGGATAAGAATTGTTTGTTTGATGCGGTGAGAGGGTTTGTGTGTCAGTGGTTGCAAGGGGCGTGGGTCGGAGAGAATCCTACGCCGCCGAGTCAGGAGATTCTGGACTGGGTGCCGTATATCACCTGGGTGTTGAAGAGGAAGCCGGATTTTCAACATGCGACGCGGTCGATTATCATGGAGCAGAGTGTGACGGTTGCGCCCAAGTATGCGTATACGCCGGACAAGGTGCATACGGCGATGGGGCGGGTGAGGGATGAGGTGCTGTCGACGATGAGGGCGTTGATTCGGGACCATTTGAAGGAGTTGGAGAGTACCCGGCATCTGCCGGTGCAGGAGGGGTGTTGTCCCTGTCCGCATAGCTTTATGCGGGATTGGAAGATTCTCCTCCAGAGGGCTCGGTATCCGCACAAGTACAAATTGTCGCCGGTGGCTGTCCTCACGCTGGTTTATGAGGTGGTAGGCAAGTTTGATTTGGCGGTGGGCCGTGGGGAACCGGTGTGTCGAATCTCGGTGCACAAGGTGCTCAAGAAATGTCAGCAGGAGATGAGAGAGTGCCAGGGAATTGACTTCGATGGCAACGTCGTTCGCTATCCATTTCCCCTGCCATGGATTGATTTCAAGGCGATCAACTGGCCCTACAACGCCTGGGTAGGAAAAAACCATCAGTCCCCCAAAGAAGATATGTGGGAGTCCCAACGACGTCTGCTGGCTGCGACGGCAGCCTTGACGGGATACGGGAGGGATAGGAGGTAAGCAAGGTAACAGGAAGGTTATCCGGGACGTAACCGTCAAGGTACCCCGCACCAGTTGTCAAGAGACCATCAACGGAACCTCTGCCACATCACCAGTGAAGACCATGCCTCTTGCTAGAGCTATCATCGATGATACTGTCCTGGCTGAATCTCCCACCTGGGAGACGGTCGAGGGCAACGTCTATGTAAGTCTGTCGTGGCAGTACGATCATGCCACTGATGAAAGCAGTTTCCCCTGTCGGCCATTCGGGATCCATCCCTCTTGGTTCCGACCGACCTGTCGACCTTTTGTCCGTGGAAAGGCGATGCGTCGTATTATTCTCTTGTGATTGGTAGTGAGTATCCTATTCAAGGATTATCTGGCTCATTTATGAGATCATGCTAACATCTGACAGACAAGACGGTTCCCAATGCAGCCTGGTATTATCCCAACCCATATGACGCTGCCAGCAACATCAAGGATCACGTCGCTTTCTGTGCGTTTAGCTCCCAGCGTAGCTGATCGCAAGCTAATGCACCTCAATAGATACCAACAAGGTTAATGTCTCGGTTGAATAAGCGGTCTGGAATGTGCACTGGTCAGATTCTGTAATGAGATTCGGCTGCTCAAATTCGTTCTCAGAACTGTCGTTGATTCATGTTTGACACAGACGCTTTGCCTTGTACGTATCATCGGAAAGCGATGGCTTCGTAGTCTGAGCACCACTGAACGTATCATCCACCAGTCAGGTCAGGGTCCAATTCGTTCAACAACTCTGTCCAATCTGCCGTCTCCAAAGCTAGATCATTCCCGGTGTTGAGCATCTCCGACCAGATATCCTCCAACTGTCTACTGCCAACGCCGTCGAGAGTAGTTGGGAGGTCAGCCCCCTCATCCAGCACCGTAGGAACAGCATAGGAAAGCTGTGTGCCTTGGACGGTAGAGGTTTCTTTCATCAAGCCATTTGACGTATCCCCCTGCGGAGTAAAAGTCTGCTTTCCACTTTTCCAATGCTTCTGGAGCACACTCATCATCGCATTAATTCCCTCCCTGACCAGAGAAGATGACTCTTGCGCCTTACTCAGCATGCGACAGGCATCAAGCACTTCTTCCTTGCGTTTCTCGGCTAAAATATCATCCCAGTTAAAGCACACGTCCAACAGTAGAATCACAGCAGCGGTGAACACATGATGCATCACAGACCAGACAACCGAGTTGGGAGCCGTATGGTTCGGTTCGCTTCCATCCATGATCCGCTTGATTTCGAGCACCTTACGGGCGGACTGGAGGCATATCACATGTGAATAAGAATATGCCGGTTCACGAGCCCCCCGGATGAAAAAGTCTCGATGTAGACGACACAGACGCGAATAGAATCCCTGCTGCAAGAGACAACCTTGCCAGGCAATAGTCGGACGCTCTTCGTAAAGGGAAGCAAACCGTCGCCTGGAGGCTGGATCGAGTCGAAAGAACTCAGGGATCTCGGCGATGACTTGGTGATATTTGCGGTCCAATTCCAGAATCTTGTCATAGCTGATTTCCAGGCCATGTAGATGCTGGTATGACGTTGCATCGACTACTTCTCGGCTAACGAAAGCCAGCTTCAGACGTTGGAGGGAAAAGGACATGTCTGTTGGCGTCGAGCTTGGCAGCGATGCCCCTTCAGGCGTCCCGATCGCATCATCGTCGATATTTAAAGGCTGGTTCACGTTCATGTGGCCTGGCTGTATGAAATATGTCCACTCTTGAGGGCCAGTAAGAAAGCCCACTAGCCTGTTCAAATCAGTCATAGCCACATTGGAATAATCAGAAATCTTACCAATCGTAGGATGTCAGGTCCCACCAGAGACGTCTCTTCACTTCCAGCTCTACGGCATCGTATCCATTTTCTTTCCTTTCGTTTCGAAACCGCGGGGAGTCGACGCAGTGAAGCATGAGGTTTTTGGCCTGGCTCACCACTGCGCCGTGGACAAAGAGACCACTGACAGATGGCGGAATTTTCCAGTTGGAGACATTGTGCATCACCACCAGGGTCGCCTGCAGACCCTCCAGGGTTGGAGATGCAGGGTATTGGCTCTGGATCAAAGCCGCCCCAGTCAAGTAGGCAAATTCCTGGCTACGTGCTGCTGCATCGCTAGAGGACTCCAAAGTCAGCTGCAGACATAGCGAGCTCGCCAAGATGCTGAAAAGCAGCGCCAGGTGGTTGAGGTCCACGGGCAATCTACTGTCAATGCAACGGTAGATTCCGTTGATTTGGTTCTCCACGCGTTTCGGGATCAGGATATGATAAAGATAGTCCACGTAGTGATGGTAGTAGTGGAAGAGGTTCAAGGCCTCTGTCTTTGTGGGCAAGAATGAAACCAGGGTGACTGACGCCGGATTCTCATCAATAGCGGAGCGGCTCATGTACGGCATAGAAAGGGGTGGTCGTGGACCAGCCTCCAGATTCACGCTTGAGCTGCGTCTTCTCGCCGAATCGTCCAGCCCATCTCGAAGCCATTTCGGAGTGGCCGTTGCGACCCGTTCAGCCATGTGGATGTTTTCCAGCCAATCCGCCGTGAGTAGTGACTCTCGGTTGTATGGACGGGATGGGCTTGTATGAGGCTGAGAGGACACATTGCTGGTAGTTGAAGTCACCGCAGGACTATCCAGACTGGAGGCACGCTCCACAGCAGAAGATCTGGGTTTTGCAACAGCTGTTCTCCCATAATTGCAGTCCAGCCGGCGCGCCAAGCAACTGCTGCATGGCTGTTGGCGGTCGCATTTGATCTTCTTGACTCGGCAGGACTCGCACGACACGGGGTCCTGTCTGGGGGGGCGTTTTGATGAGTTGAGCAATTCCAAGTTCACTTTTCGCTTCATGGCGAGTTGATCAGGGACTTGTGTACAGCAGACGACAATCTTGGTAGCAGGGATGTTGAGGATGTTGGAGCGAACTGCCAGCCGGCGCCAAGCACGGCCCGGACTCTCCGCGGACTCTCCGGCGGATCTATAGAGAGCAACACCATCGGATCAAAAGTATATGGACTATATATGGCTAAAACTCGTGTTAGAAGCGGCTTGACTCTTCCAAGCTCATAGTAATAATTAGACAGTCACGAACTGTATCTTCACTACTGTCTCAATCCGACACTTGAATCCTCATAAAAATGGGTACCCACAAAGATGCTCCTAGCTCAACCCCCTCCGAATACACGTATGTTCATCTCCATCCAACAAGACGAAGCTAATGACTCAGACCACGAGCATGTCTGACCCTCTTGGGCGCCTTCTGCGGCATGTTCTGCACCGTGGGCTTCATGAACTCGTTTGGTGTCTTCCTGGAATACTACAAAACAGCACAGCTCTCCAACGAGTCCGAATCCACCATCGCATGGCTGGCAGCACTTGTAATCTTCTTCATCTTCGGGGTGTCAGTCATCTCCGGACCTCTCCTCGACACCTTCGGTCCCAGAGTCAGTATATCCCTTCCACTTATTCTTCCAACTAATGGAATCAGCTCCTCCTCTGCACCGGCTCCATCGGAACCGTCTTCGCCATCATGATGACCTCCCTCTGCAAACAATTCTACCAATTCATCCTCGCCCAAGGCATTCTCCTCGGAATCTCCCTCTCCCTGCTCACCTGTCCCATGATCGCCCTAGTCGGCCAACACATCAAGATCAAGCGCGGCGCCGCCATCGGCATCGTCATCGCCGGGTCTTCTCTCGGCGGCGTCGTCTGGCCCATCGTCGTCCACGAACTTCTCCAGAAACCCAATATCGGGTTCGGATGGACCATGCGTACCGTCGGCTTCATCATGCTGCCTCTTCTCGTCATTACCTGTGTCTGCTGCCAACCACCACAAACTATACCCCCCTCCCCCGAAACCCCTTCATCCACCCCCAACCAACCCACCGCCACCACAACGACAGCTAAAGACCCCTCAATCCTCCACTCCAAACCCCTCCAACTCACCTGTCTCGCCTTCTTCCTCATCTACTTCGGCATGTTCTCCCCCTTCTTCTACACCACCTCCTACGCCATCGCCCACGGCTTCTCCTCCAACCTCTCCTTCTACACCATCTCCATCATCAACGGCGCGTCTCTCTTCGGACGTATCTTCGTCGGTATCATCGCGGATAAATACGGTCGATTCAACTGCTGTGTGATCTTTACCCTGTTGTCTGGGATTATTGCGCTTTGTTGGACGAAAGCTACGGATGTCGCTGGGTTGGTGGTTTTTGCGGCGGCTTATGGGTTTACTTCGGGTGTATGTTCCCCTACACTATTTTTACTATGGATGGGGAAGAGTGCTGATAGTATGGGTTTGGAAAAGGCAATCCTCTCCCTCCAACAAGCCTGCGCTTTGCAACTCGCTACCCCCAGGACGGTGGGGTTGGCTGTGGGTGTGGTTATGGCTTCGACGGCGCTTTCGTACGTTCCTCTTCCCCAACCACCTGTTACCCCCATCCACCCCATGAACCTTCATCGCTTCTTACTCACTAACACTGGATATGGTTTTGGTAGTGCGATGGCCGGAATCCCCATCAGTGGCGAACTCATCCAGAAATACGGGTACCTGGCGCTGTCGATTTACTCCGGGGTGAGTTTGTTGGTTGGAGGCGTGGTGTTGGGTGTTGCGAGGGGGATGCAGAATTGGGGGGTTGGGGTGGTTGTTTAAATTTCTTCTTGCCATCCAGCTCTTGGAGAAATGGTTGTGGGGATGGTTGGAATGAGTGAGTTATTATATCTGCGATGTGGTGGATGGTTGATATGGTATTGGGTGATAGTATCATGTTATGTTTGGGATTATGTTCTCAAGTGAGAGTGGTGATTATAATAGAGAATCAGTTAGGTCCTATCCTTTATTCATCATCCATTCAAGTGAGCTAGCATACCCCCACAGGAATAGTAGTGCTCCCCATCCGACGAACCCGATGATAAACCGCCCCGGATCCTAATCCCCGCTTTGCGAATCCCGTCCAGATCTCACACTTATTCTTACCACCCGTCAGAGCAACGTCTGCATCAAGGATAGCATCCCGGGCTTGGATGAAGTTCGGGTTGCATGGTTGTCTGTACCACATTAATAAGGTCTCAAGGGATGGGGAAGAGACTTACAGCGCCATTCCATCCAACACTAGCTTCATGGAAAGATACTTCCCATCCGTGGGCACACCGTTACTGAATTCTGGTCTAGGAGCATCGTTCTTCCCGTGCTTCTCGATCAGATTCCACATCACCTCGTAGAGCATCGTGGCCCAGACAGTGCCGATGTCGTGGACGCCTTGGAGGTAATTGACGCTGGTGTAGTTTAAGGGGTTTTCCTCGAAGGAGGTGGAATACGGGTAGTCGCGAACACCGGCGTCATCGTTGGCGGACCAGGCACCCACTGTATATGAGGCGTCTCGCGTGTCGTTTGGCTTGAGCCGGATCGCTAACCCCATAAAGTCGCCCCAGCCTTCGCCCATGCCGCCGGACTCGAGGGCGTTGAGGCAGCCCGAGTTGTAGGGTCCGCCGGTGAGGCGTGTAGATACTGTGCTTATTGTCAATGTTTAGTTTGAAGGTAGGGTGAGATGGACTTACCACCGTGAGTATATTCGTGAATTACAATGGCCGCATCGAAAACTCCGTCGCGGGGCACAGTAGATTCGGTCCATATGAACATGCGCATGCGACCGGGGATACCGTCCGGGGGACTCGCAAAGTTTGCGTTATTGACTCCGGATCCATCCTGTGCGTTGAGGATCACGTAGTCTCGACCTCGACCACCATGGTTGTCGTTGTTGTACTCGAAGTTTCCGGCCGTTTCGGTGAAGCCGAGCGTATATAGAAGGTCGTGGTAGGTGTTGGCCGTGTAGAACAGCTGGACGATGGATGCGTTAATGTAGGACAATGGAGGGGTCATGTTGACCGAGTACGGCCATTGGAAAATCAGATTGGCGTCAGACGGGCGCTGGTTGAACAGGTAGGAGCTGCCCCCACTAGGGTTCCATTGCGCAATGGCATTATTTCCTCTGGTGGTTGTGTAGTTCCTTCGCCCATCGCCGATCCAGGTGAATGCCGATGTGGATCGGTCCCAGGGATCGGTGACAATGGTTCGATTGCCCTCTGTGGGATCAGTCACACCCCAGGGAATGCGTATGGTCAGCTTCATTTATTGGTCAAGACTCACACTTACTATACTTGATATGTTGCCTCGGCCACGTAGTCAATCACACCATGGACCGTGGAGGAAGTCAGTGCATCTATATACGTCAAGAGCCAGTGCTCGTCGACGTCCGTCTCGATCCTCCATGTCAGGACGAGGCCCCCGCCAGGCTTGACAAAATACACCAATTTTGCCAATGGATCCGATACTGCGCCGGATGTGCCTCGGAAGATGTAAGTATTTTGCTCGTCGGCGGCCTGTGCAGAAACGTCGTTGATGGCTACCGGCAGCCGCAAAGCGTCGGTGACTCCTATGAGAGCAGCCACTGGCCCTGAGAACTCGTGGTCGAGCGGGTTGGTCTGAGGTAAAGCCCCTGTAAAGAATGAATTGCCAAACGAGAAGACCTTTCCATCTTTCCCAATCTGGAACAGTCAGCCCTGACTATATCCACTGTGTCAGACGTACGTTAACATTGAAATCAGCATTGTCAATGTCTATATTATGAACGGTCTGTCGAAAGTACACATGAGCAATCCCGTTGTCGCCAATATAGTGGTCTTCGACAAGACGAAAGCTTGCTCCAGGAGCAATCTCTTGAACCAGTCGAGCTGCCGTGTCGGTATAGTTCCCTTCGAATGATGCGACTGCCAGGGTTTCGGTGGGCGTAGCGAACGAATTGACATACTCAGTATTGGAAACCAAGCGGAAGACGTTCAAATCGACGGCCACTTTATCTGCATGTGTTACCTGAGAGGTAAGATATGCAGCCGCAAGTAAAGGCAAGGCCCCTATGATTTGTAGTCCATGCATCATTGACAGCGCCTTGAAATCTTGAGATCGTCAGGTATGCTGGATTGAGCAGTGTTATATATCGTCCATTTCCCCTAGAGAGCTATCCGGAAAATACTGAGTTGATTCTGTTCCTCCATGGTCTACCCTACCAAAGTAAGGCGACTGTCAAACGTTCCTCAACTGTTTACACCATCGACAATACTACCTTTCTATTCAGCCAGCAGTTGCACGAATGGATCTACCTATTCGGTCTCACAATGAACGTCCATGTCTGACAAGCTACCCAGGGTTAGACAATAGCATTCGTCAGCCATATTGAAGATCAACTGCGTAGCTGCATGCAGAATTAAAGTAGCACACGCTTCCTAACAGAAAGCCCCGTCGTGCGACAGCTACTCTCAGGATCCCACCCAGCTTGTGCTTCTCTGTACGACGAACTGCTGCCTATAGCCGCGACGGGGTACGAATAGACCAGCGGACTCTTTGGTAAAAGGACCGGGCATCCAGTTTCGCTAGAAATGCTCCTCAAAAGCAATTCCGTAGTGCATAGATCGCATACTGCAGAGCTCGACAGACAAGAACCTGCGGATGTTGAACGGTATTATTGACCATATCTATCTGTATATTATAAAACCTAGATCTTTGCCGACTGCTCCAATTTCTGTGCCCGATCTTTGGCAATATCGCACATGGCCTGTAAAGCCAAATGTTAGCGATATCCATATGACAAGACTCATCCTCTTACCTGTATGATTTCCTCCACCTCACGGTCGGCATCACCCCTGTCGATCCTCTGGCGCATCTCCTCCATAATGACATCCCTGTTGCGTCCGTTTACAAATGTCCTAAATAAGAACCCGTCAGACCAAGAACCAGCGAATGAGGATACGACGTACACGAATCGCAAGCCAGGGAACTTCTGCTCGTATTCCGCGTTCAAGGCCTTCAATTTCTCCGCCTGTTCTTCCGCCCCACTGTTTAAATTTGCTTGCTCCTTCTTACTCAATTCGCTCAGATGCTCGGTCGGAGCTCCCTTGGGTTGTCCCAGGCGGGGGTGGGACCCCAGAATCCCCACCAGAACCTCTTTGTCCTTAGACGAATTGGCAGCGGAAAGGGCGGACATGCGACCGCCTACAGCATCGATCAAGCTGGAGTAAGAAGAGAACGTCTGGTTGGCCAGGACGGGGGCCATGAGAGTATGGATCTCTGGTGACGACTCGAAGAGCGTATCCAGGACCTGGAATTGCTGCTCCTGCGGGAGTGATGTAATCGACGAGAGTGGGGGGAGTGCGGCGGGCATGATGGGCGGTGGAGTGACAGCTATGGTCAGGTACTCACGGAGCACTCACTGTAAAGTGTTGTTGAAGAAGCAACCCGTTGATCGTTACGTGGGGATGGTTGGATATATGGTGTGTCCAATGTCCCCGCATCGGCAGCCTCCGAGAGTTGTTCCAGCGGGACGGAGACCTCCAGGTGCGGACACTCCCATCCAAGGCGGAGTTCGGATGGGTTTGGGGATCGCAACGAGGTGTCACAGACCTCTGGACTGAGTCTGAAGGTGCATTCACTCATCACCATCACTCATCATGGTACCAATGCCAGGGTCCATTCCAATGGTGTTCTAGACCAACCATACCGGAGCTCACTAGGAATGAAATCCGGGGCGATGACAAAATCGGATTGCCCATCGATAGTCAATGGATTAAGTTTGTGGGCATCAGCAACGAGTAAGAGTCCATCAGGGGAATTCCAGCGATGGAGATCGACCCGACCGATTTTGAGCCTAGCGGGGGAACGACAATACCGTCGTGTACGGCCGCCGTAATACGAATTATCGCTTCACCTCGCGGTGCTGTACCACCGCCCTGGCAGCATCAGGGAAGGACCTGCAGATATCTGAGCTGTGACCCCTGCAGCTCCAGTTCGCCCCGGCTGCCTTCTCACCAAAAGGACCACGAGAGGCATGGGTTCGTCGAAACTGGGCTGGACGTGATAGATCACACCGGGCCACCTGACGGATGGGGAGAACGCCATTGTTGAATGTTCATCTCCGACTCCAATAGTCCCACGGTCGGACACTCCTTCTGGGCTTCATTATTGGATAGGTCCCTCCGGCCCAGGTACACTTGGTCCGCGTTGAGCCCACTTGTCAATGGCCTGATTAATGGGAGAGAGCACTCGATCCTACATTAATCTAAGTCCCAGTCTTGCACCCAGGATTGCTTCCATTGCTTCCCCTTGGTGAACGTGGGGACCGACCGCCGAGTTCCGTTCCTATCGGCTGTGAGTGGAGGCGCCCAAGCATCCACTGAGAGGAGCCCCTGAGCGGTTCAACTGAACTCCTGAGAGGTTCGTGGGCAGACACCACTTGGCTTTGTGGATGGATCAGCCTGATTTATGAATATTGAGGAGTATTGCATTCTGAGTACGCCGGCCTAGCGTCCCACCTAGGCTCTTGGTCCTTCACTGGATGCTCCATCAGATCACCGGCCTTCCCTATCGAGACCGCTTTGCTTCCTTACATTCTCACCACCTCCGCTAGACCCTTTCTTTCCCCTCTTCTTCCCTCGCCCCTCCTCCTTTCCTCCCCAGGCGCTTTCGTCCCCAACTCCGTGGTCTCTTGCGGTCCCGGGCATCTGCCTCCAATGCGGTTCCCGTCATGTCGCTCAATGGGCTAGATAATCCCGCTGTCATCGAAGCCTACCAGACTGCTCTGGCCGAAGCGGGAGGATGGTGAGTGGTTTCGGCATGCTTTGCGCCAGGGTATTGCAACTCGCAAGGGCGCCCCCCGAACCAATCATCTACAGTGACTAATGCGCATGGTTTGTGATCTAGGTTTCTTCTCCGGTATGTATCAAGGGATGAGGTTGCTCTCCTTGATCGCGGGACCGGCGGGGTGCCCGATGTGCGCAACGCGATCGACAATTACGAAGAGAAGTCTCCGCTCTATGGCTTCCTCCAGTATCGCCGACGAAAGGTGGTACTTAGCTATCTACCAGAGGGCATGTCCCGGCTCCTGCAAGGTCGGTTGCTCCTCGGTCGTGGTGCATCTGAAATCCTACTGACCTGTTCCATCCGCTGCAGCCCGAACAACCGTCCAATTCCAATCGGTTCTCGACAAATTCTCCCCGCATGACACGGTTTTCTCGGTGGCGCAGCCAACGGACCTCACGGAAAGCGCATTGTCTTCTGCATGCCTGCTGCATACTGCGTCCGGTTCCATCACCTCCTCGTCAAGCTCCCTCCGCCGTCGCCGATTGAAGGAGATCGCGGAAGATGCGGAGGAAAATACCGTAGGCAAGGATGAGGCGCAGCCGCAGTCCCCGACCGATGGCATGCGGCAGAGATCGTTCAGCCAACTCTCCGAGGCCACAGTTGTCCCACCATCGGCGGTGTCAAGTGTACAACAATCCCCCGTGGCCGACGAACCAACCAAGAAACCCGAGAGTGTCTCCGTTCGAGAACGGTCCCCTTCAGTAGCCAGGTCGGAGCGTGCTCCTTCCCATAAGAGCTTTCACGACGACGCATCCTATGCTCCGTCAGAGCCTCGAAAATCCTCGCAATCCGCCCGACCCTCCGTCCGTGAGATTGAACGTGCAGGAGGACGCACAACAAAGGTCAAGTTGGGCCCCCGGCCTTCGGTGGACGGAAGTGGGCGACCTCGGACTGCGGGCAATCTATCTCGAAGTGCCGAACGGCGACCGGTCGCATCTTTACCTGCGGGCGTTCGATCATCATCGTTGCGCAGGACGAACCCTAGTCCTTCCCGACCTCGATCCCAGGGCGCCGGCAACAGCGTGCCTGTGTCCAGCAAAGTGCCCGCGGTGCCCCCGTTGCTGGTTCCCCCATTGTCAATGCCTATCTCCCGACCCAAAATTTCGCCCGGTGCCAAGTCGCTGAGCGCGCTCTCGTCTTCCACCACGTCACAGGAGAAGGAGCGGTTAATGAAAGCCCTTCAGATGCGGAAGACACAGATGGAGAAAAAGGCCAAAGAGGGGAAAAATAGCCCGAAAGCCGAAGGGGGAGGGGTTGTTGCCCAGCTGGATGCGACCGAGAATAAGGAGAACATCAGTCATATACAAGTTAAAATGAAGCACGACGGGGTCCACTTGGCAGGGTTGGACAAGGAACCCCTTTCCGAGACGCAGCCGACGGTGGTTCGCGATCAGGGGGCCGACGAACAGTCGGCGTCTCCTAATCCTTCCGGCGATAATGAGGCCAGCAGTGGTTCCCCTGAGCGCACGCACGCGGACCCCTCAATAGATGGCGTTGAGTTTCAGGCGGCTGCCCCTCGGTCGGAACCTGAAACGCAGACTGGCGACAGGGACTTGGGTACACCCAATAAATCCGGCGGCGCTACGGGTGGCCCCAGCTCCCCTAGGCTGCCTAGCGCCATCGCTGCTCCACTCGAGAACAATTCTGGAAAGGCTCCGGACGAAGAAATTGTTGGCCCCTCGCCACCAAAACCAGTCCACCACCCTCTTGTTCCTGGCGAACAGGAGGATCAAGACCTTGAAGTCAACCCAGCTGAGGAGCAGGTCGACTCGATTTCTCGGCCCGACTCTCCACTCGAGAGTTCGCCCTCGACTGCCACCCCCATTGCCTCGTCGATCGTCGCCGCTCCCCCTCCGCCGGAGCCGCAGCATGACTTGACCCCTGAATCCTCGAATGTGGAGCGACAGCACAGCACTCGAAAGGAGAAACGCAAACTTTACCTCGAACCTATTCAAGTCCCAACTCCCGACTACTCGGATGACGAGAACCTTCTCTCGGACGACTCCTTCATGGAAGAATTGAAAAGTGCCACGGTTGAGGAGGCCAAGCCCATCTCGGTTGGCGTCTCCCCCCTCTCCCCGGGCTACTCCAACAGCAGCAACGGCAAGGTGTCCCCAGATGCGTGGAGGAATTCCCGCGCAGTTTCAAACCCTAGCGCCATTGGACACCAGCCTCCCAACATGCCGACCACCATGGGTAGATCGGTGTCGACGACGGCCGCCGATGCTGCTGCTGCCCCAAATGGGCCGGTTCTAGTAGCGAGGAAGATCAACGTGTCCTCGGGCATCTCGAGCCGGATCAAAGCCTTGGAGAAGTTCTCCAGCACCCGTGACGCACCGTCATTGACCACAAGCCTCGCTCCTTCCGCCGCCTCCTTCGAAACCCTCCGCAAAGGCTACTCGGATGCCGCAACGTCCCGGCCTTTGTCGTCATACATCCCTGAACCTTTCTCGCGGGCGTCGAGCGTCAGACGACCCAACTCGCAGGCTGGCCCTGGCCTCACGCGCAGCGCCAGCTCGGTCTCGGTGACCGCTCGGATCGTTCGCGGCCCAACTGCGACTGACGACTCGATCCACCCATCCGAGCCGGCCGTCCTTAATCTACAACCCAGCCAGATCACTGTTGAACATGAGACTACCGAGGTTCCCGCGTTGCCGAGCCTGGATACAGAACCGACCATCCAGTCGGAAGATGATACCTTGCCTCCATCGACTGCCGGATCTGACCAACTGTCTTCCGAGTCGGTGCATCGTCCCGAGAGCAGAATTTCCATCTCCCCTTCCATCAAAGAAGAAGAGGCATCGCCAGCCAAATCCGACGATGCACCCCCAACCCCTGAAGATCAGAAGGAGTCCCGCGCTACGCGGCTTCTGCGGCGCATGTCCTCCATCACCTCCCGTAAAAGCGTCGTCGGTGTGCTGAACCCGATCGTCAAAGGAGAGGGAAGTAATGTCTCTCTCAAGATCGAGGAGCCCGAGAAGGTTGCCCCGAGCGTGACAGAGGCGGCCCCAGCGATCGATATCGGCGAGGTCAACGTGCAGTTTCCCGACACCCTCCTTTGGAAACGGCGCTTTGTCCGGATTGATGATCAGGGGTATCTGGTGCTGACTCCGGGGAATGTGGACTCAACTAACCGCAACTTGATCAAGCGGTATCACATGTCGGAGTTTCGGACTCCTTGCCTGCCGGACGAAGACCGACAGGAGCTCCCCAACAGCATCCTGCTGGACTTTCTGGATGGCAACACTCTCCAATGCGCTTGCGAGTCGAGACAGGGACAAACCTTCGTGCTTCAAAGTAAGTTGCCTCTACAGCCATGTGAGATGTATACTAACTAGCAGTAGCATTGATCGACGCCCACGGCACCTACCACACTGCCCCCTAGCTGGTCTGCCTACTGAGCTGTGCCTTTCTCTCATTTGACATGCATATATTGCGCATTCCTTCACCATTTCCTTCCTCATCCGGTGTTTTCAGCGGTATACCCCTCAAAAACGGTTTCCTTCTGTACCAACTGTTTTTGCATCCCCAATTCTCTTCCCAACTCTTTTCTTTGTTTCGACTTGATGAGGTGCATGTCTGTATGGCTAGGGCCACGGTTGGGATCTGGCTTGACATTGGCAGTATTCGGCGGTTCTCTTTGGTGTGGCGCTATCTAGACAGCCTTATTGGGTGTGCTGGACATTGTTCGCATGCTGTTTGATCTAAGAATTGTAAACTTGGCAGTTGGCAGTTTGCATGAACGTACTCTATTCATTGTATGCTTTCCAAGAGTCGATGGCAGTACTCGTTACTTGAGATGATCACAGGTGTTTATTTATTCCATATCCCAACGCCGGTCTCAATAAATTATTACACTATCAAGAAGGAGGCGACCGGGCAAGTCTCTTCTCCTCCCAGTCTTCGAGGAACTGCTTGACCTTGGGACCCCAGACCTCTTCGCCGGCCTCGAGATCCTTGTATTCGAGCACCTTTTCAGGATCCAGCTCGAACTGGGCCTGGCGGGACCGGACCAGCGAGCTCATGAGACCACAGCTGCCAACCGCCTTGCCCAAATCGTGCGCCAACGAGCGAACATAGAACCCAGACGACACCGTCATGGTGATCTTCACCGCAGCCGGCTGAGGCTGAGCCTGTGACTCTGCAGTCTCCGTCTCCGCAGTCGGGGCATCCGATGCCTCAGCTTGTGCGACAGGTGCAGCTTCACCGTCAGCCACCTTTTGCTTCTTCGCGGGGGCCTCGGCCTCATCAGCGACCTCCTTCGCATCATCCTCCGCCGGGCGCTTCGCTGCCCCTTCTTCAGCCTCAGTGGTCTCTCCCTCCCTCTCGACAACCGGCAACTTGTCCTCCTTCTCCAACAACTTCTCAGCCACAACCTTCTCCTCGCCCTCGACCTCTGTCGTGGGCCACTTCCACTCATGCGTCCCAGGCTCATACCACTCCACGACCTTCAAATCATGAACCTCCACAGGCCTGGACTTGATCTCGATCGGCGGCTCCTTGCCCTCCCTGGCATACTCATAAAGCTTCTTTCCCTGCACCTTCAGCGCCGAGAAAATCGGCGGTCTCTGCATGATCTTTCCCCGGAATTGCTCCAAAGCCTTCTCCACCATCTCCCGCGTGATATGCTCATACGGCCCCTTTCTCACGAGCTTTCCCATCCGATCATAAGTATCAGTCTCGGCGCCGAATAGTACTACCGTCTCGTACTCCTTCGTGCAAGCCAGGAACTCGTTCAAGTGCTTGGTGCCTTTTCCGACACCGGCCACCAGGACACCAGTTGCCATGGGGTCAAGGGTGCCTCCGTGGCCGATCTTCACCTCCAGACGTTGCGTGCGACGGCGCTTGCGCTGGAAGTTGCTTTCGCGGTCGCGACGGGCGCGCTCGTCGGCGAGCCATGGGCGGAAGAGCTCCGAGGGGTTGAAGTGGTGTTGTAGGTGGCGGACGACGTCGGCGGAGCTGACGCCTTCGGGTTTGTGGACGGCTGTAGCAATTGGCTGTTAGCATTGCTGTTCTCTAGAGGATGACAGGAAGAAATTGAGGGAATACCGAAAACGCCTTCGTAGATCTTTTCACCAGACATGGTGCGGCGGAAGGGTCTGAGAGCGCGACGGAAGCTCATCGGCGAGGATGAGCGGATTCAAGTAGGAACTGTGACCACTGGCAGGCAAAGAAAGAGCGCAATTGGCCAGTACAAATCACAGCAACACAATCAATGAAGCAGAGTCGTGAGCGCAGTGTAGCGTAGATAAAAGCTAACCGCAAGATTGAAGAGGAAATATATTTTCGGCCGGACCAGCAGCAGCTCCGCCGGGGTTGCAACGACCCTCTTCGCGTAATTTACATGTAAAAACCGAAATCCTGCCGCAAGACTAAGCCCAACGCAGCCGATTCTTTGTAACGGTCGGTACGGCATGGTCTGGCCCGCCGTCCCCTCCGCCTTGCTCCCTCTCTCAGTTCACCCTGACCTTAGTTGTCAGCTTCAGTTCCCCTCCATCGGACCCCTCTGTGCTTGTGTCATCCCTTCTGTTCAGTCGTATCGGCGCCCCCGAGAACGTACCCCGCATATGACAAAGCACACCATGCTGCCCCCACCGCCATGACCTCGCGAGAAGATAGTGTCCTGGCCGCCAGAGACCCGTCTCTCGCTGACGAGAACGACTGGGAAGAGTTCAGCCTGTCGGAGGTGCGTGTCCTGGTGCCGGGCAAATCCCGCTATGCGAATCTGTTGACGGCCTCGCCGGACAATCCGGTCCAGGTGACGGGGTGTTTGGATGAGGTGGAAGAGGAGCAGGAGAGTTTGAGTACATCCCCTCCTTGTCCATTTATCTGTTGCTTGGGTGGGCAGAGTGCAGTGGTTGATGTGTATGCTAATGGGTGGTGTAGTTCTTGATCCAGAGTACCTTAGTAAACGCATTGTTCTCGAAAACGTGACGCATTTTGCCTATGGGCAGCATAATGATGGCGAGGTCGGGTTCTGGGTTGCTGGACGGGCGGGCTGGTTCTCGATATCTCCGGCCAAGGGGTATAAGCCTATGTTTAATGATGTGGTGGAGGCGATTGATTTGTTGTATTTTTTGGCGGATCGGCATCAGTCGAAGCGGAAGAGGAGGAATTGGAATCCGAGTGTGGAGTATTTGTGTGAAGAGGTGAGTTTCCCCGCTGGAGAGGGTCTGGGATGGTGGTGGTGGTGGTGGTGGCTGATTTGGTAGTATGTGAGCCATACGCACGGCATCTGCGAGGATGCGGATGATTCCGCCGAGGTGTTCTATAAACACCATCATTTCCTGTTATCGCGGATGTTCAAAGGAGAGGAGAATTCGCAGTGGACGAGTACGAATATCTTTGAGCATCTGTGTGAAAAGTTTCCGGTACGTTGATCGTTTTGATAAGTTGGTGTTGGCTGATGAGTGTAGGATGATTACGCGCAGATCAAAGCCCAGTATGAGAGCGTGAAGGAGGTCGAGTCGGAAGAAGAACCAGAGGAGGAAGAGGAAGAGGAGAAAGAAGAGGAGACGTCACATGAAGCTGACCCAACTGGGTTGTCCAAGGGCCAGGCGGATGCCATTTACCAGGTCATTCTCGATCTGAAAGAAGCAGGATACCTGGCCAAGCGCCAACTGACTCTTGACCTTCTCACCTCTACTCTGGTTGATCGCTTCGAAATCGATAGTGCCGAATATGCACACGACCTCGTTGCCTCGCGAGCTGACGCCATACTGGAGTTGATGGACGAGGCAAAAACGTATAATTTTGACTGGTCCCGCAAGGTCATCTACCGGGAGCTGAAAGCTGCGGGCAGGAAGAACCGCGTCCAGCAAGTCACCCTCACTCCGCTCCGGCCTCGTCCGTCTGAGAATGATGGCTCATCCGGGGAAGAGAGCGAACACGAAGACCATCCCCGGCTGCTCAGACGTCGGGTCCGCAAGTCCGTCCTGCGACCGAAAAGTTCCGTTGCTACGAAACGGACTGGCAAACGAACGCGGAGCGCGGCTGCGGATATGGACGATGACTCGGATGAGAACGCTGATGCAGTGGATGAATTTGAGACTCCAAGCAAGGTCCGCGGCCATGATCTCGTCCGTGATCCCTTGTCGACCCGCGCAAAGCGCCGGACTCGGTCGATCCTTTCCGACTCGGTTTCTACCTATCACAAGACACCACTGCAGGAGACTCTTCAAAGCCGGAATACGTCTGTGTCCGTGGCAGATCACGATACCAATGCGGATGCCTCTGAGCTGGAAGCTCCCCATGACGATGGCATATTGTCGGACACTTGGGTGTGTCAGGTCCGCGGATGCGGAAAGGTCATTCATAAGAGCAATTCCAAGCGCGGCAAAGAGATGATTCAAGATCATTCTCTGGCGCATGCGGACGATACAAAAGCCAAGATCGATCTGGTCTTTGCCGAGCAAAAACTTAACATTGGGCTTCCTGTGGATAACCTCCTCACTCGCATCCGGGAGATGGGCGCGTTCGATACGGAGCTGGCCGTGGACGCAGCTAATGGGACTAATGGAATTAGCACATGATGAGCATAGATGACAAACGAGATATGATAGACAGCACTGCTGCGAAGATATGAGTGCAGACTGGTAGGTTGTGTTCTAGACAGGTCCGACTCATGGCTTACCAGTGAACTGCAGCTAGGCGCGATAGCCCACAGCACCACAGCACCACAGCCACAGCCAGAGCCAAGGATCAAATGGAGGCGGCGTGCTCGGGATGGCGTTGAGGATGATACATGGGCGGATTACTGGCATGATGTGATACCACGATACCACTACAGATAAACAGCCCATCATGATTAACAATATACAAATAACTGTCTATGCTTTTAACCCAACCGACCGTACCGAGCAGCTAACAAATACATGAATCAGGCGCGGCCCTTGGCAGCCGCTCTCCTGCTCTTCCCGGGCCTCTTCGCACCTCCTTTGGCGCCACCCTTCATCTTCTTGACGGAGAAGTCGCGCAAGTCACCGCTGGAGGCGGCGTCACCGCTCTTGGAGAAGCGCTTCTTGCCACCAAAGCCGAAGCGCTCGTTCTTCTTCTGGCGCTTCTGGGAGGGACCGTTTTCGCTATCGCGGCCGCGCTTGCGGCTGGGCTGGGCGGCATCTTCAATGGCGACATCGAACAGGTTATCCTTGTCCTCGGTAGGACCGGAGGTATCAGCCTTGCGTTCTGCAGGAGTCAGTCAACCCAGCCACAGTCATATGGGGAAAAGGGGGGCCTACTCTTCTTCAAAGCATTAATCTTGTCCAACGTCTCCCTCTTCTCCTTAGCCCTCTGCTGCAACTTGGCAACCTGGACCTGCTTTCCAAACTTCTTCAGATCGCGCTGCTTTCTAGCATCCGCAGCCGCCTTCTTCGCAGCGGCCTCATCATACAGCTTCTTCTTGATCTTGCCCATGTGCTCATCCGACTTGACCATCTCGGCAAAGTAATCGCCCGGCCGCGTGAACATGACGCCCTCCTTCTTGAGTAATCCGCGCGCCGTCATCGCCGCAGCCTGGCACACCTTGTAGAACGCCAATTCGCGGTTCAAGTCATCGTTCGGGTCGGGCACCTCGATCGGCTCCTGACTGACCAGACTGTTGTGCTCCGAGAAGGGTGTGGCGGAGGACAAGAATGAGATACGCTTCAGGGAGGTTGTGATGGCGGCCGAGTTGTTGATTGTGAGGCGTTGGTGGGTGACGACATCTTCGCGTTCGTCGTCGGAGAGATCGGACAGTGGGATATCTTCTTCTTCTTCCTCTTCCTCCTCGTCGTCGTCCTCGTTTTCGGCTTCGTCGTCTTCGGCGTCGTTCTCGGGAGTTTCCTCTTCCTCCTCAACCTCCTCCTCAGACTCCTCCTTCTCTTCCTCCTCCTTCTTCTCCTCAACCTCGTCCTTCACATCACCCTTGCGCTTCCGCGCAGCCTTAACCAACTTCTTCTGCTTCTCGGCCTCATAATCCCGGCCACGGTGCTCATCCAGAGCCTGAAGAAGTTTACTCCGCTTAACCATGGTGACTGTTGGGTGTGTGATGGAGAGTTGGGGGGGAGGGAGTGCGAGCTGCGGCTGGAACTTTTACTTGGAGCAACGGCGGGAATTTTTTTGGGATAACGCTATACCATATGGGGTTAGGGGCGGTCAGGGTGGGTTAGTGGGTGGAGTGGAGGAAGGTTGTTCCGTTATCGTTATCGATATCGGAATCGCTTATCGCAGTGTGATATGAGCATCCGCACGGTGTTGACTTCATATAATGTCTCTTGGGTCTGGAGATGGTTTGTATGATGGTTTTGAATGTACAAGGTATGGTGCATCCTTCATACACGGGAGAATGCTGAACTGGTTGATGCACAAGGTTGCTGTAGCGATCAAGGATTTGCGAAGGAAGCTGCATCAGCGAGGCTCAAATTGCCTTACGTCGCTGTTAGCTTGAACTGGGAACCTTTAAAATTTGGAGACGCACTTAGACAGGCAGCTTGTAAGAGAGCTGCTATATCAGAAGAGATGGAGAGTCGTATTCTACTGGTGATGCATCCCAGAAGCTCAATCTGCCTGCAATGTTCAACCAAGTGCCGTCTATCGATTATACAACAACCGTCCGCCAAGAGCCCAACTGCATATATCACATCTTAGTCATATATACCATTGGTGAGACTCAAACACATGTAGCTGTATAATCAGTGTAATATTATGTTGAAATAACTTTCCTCGGCGGGTTTTGTGTCAGGAGTATCAACCACATCCGTCTATTCTATGATCATTGGTCGGCCGGTCCTAGGAAAACACGGAAGATTATTAATCCTTCTGCCGAAGGGTACTGGCATCCCTTGATTGAACTTCCAACTACACCTTCTTTCATACCGGCATCTGGAAGGCCAGCAATGTTCACCATCTCTCCTTATCACACCTTTCCACGCACATCCCATCACCCTCAAGATGGATGACTCAACCCAACGGATTCGCGAACACATCATTCGCCAAATCCGAGTGGTCCTTTTCAAGTTCCTACCAGACGTCGGTTCAGGCCCGATACGAATACTGGGTGATACTCCGAATAGTATTCTGGATCCTAAAGATTATTTAGGATCCATCCGCCCATTTGTCTCAGAGGTGCAGAACTGCCTTCATGAGCATCATCCAAACAATGAGGCTCGTTTCGTCGCCGTGAATATCTACCGCGGAAAGCACTCCTATTTTGTGGTCGACCTCAATAATACTGATTATAACTATGAAACTGCTCATGAATGCAAGACTCTGATCCCTGTCTATGTCCTTCGCCTTTCAAAAAGACAACCCACGATTTTACGAAAACGGGAGCTGGATGAAACAATCGCTAAGACACTCCGGACCATGCACGACGGCCATGGTCAAGACCCTCTCCCGTTATTTGACAATTATTATGATGAGAATCTTCAATACCGCAATCCACGCAGCCTCCATACTTGATCGTTGAGTATTCGGGCTTGGCACTGTCGATGCCAGGATATTGTACACTATTCTCTACCCGATTGTCCATTCAAAGCCGCTATTCCGGCTGCCGGGGGTTCAAGCACGAGGTCGACCACCTAATGTAACTAGACAGGCATATCAAGCAGTCCAGCAGTTGTAGCTATCATAACGCAAGTTGTATCACTTCGTCCTAGGATGAGCCCAAGCAATTGCTTGAGGGTTCTTCGCTCCGTCGACTTGATACTGCATGCGCGGTCACTCGAAGTTCACAGCCAGAAAATTCAAGATATCTCTATGGTGATTACACTCGGCGAAAGTTAGGGGTCCTCTAATCTGCCTACACCTTTGGGATCGGTTCACGATTATTTTACAGTCCACCGCGTAGTCCACAAAATGGACCATCGCGCGCTTCCATTCACTGCCTAGATAACTATCCAGTACCAATACCCCAAGCCAGCCTCCAGGTATGAGCACATATCTCCACCTATACCAAGAGCATGCTCCAGCAATGCCAATAGCGTACTCTGACCACATGAACCAGTTTTAAGTGAAGGACCCTTCACTGCTCGATGGTGTCATTCGGTGAGTGTGGATGTCGCATCGTCCGGGGTCCGTCTCCACGCTAGTTTGCTGTCTAGGGTTCTGTGTCTCGGCATGACAATCCCCTGAACAGTCGTTCGCGCGTCTGATCTTTTTCGGCGGACTCAAGTATCCACAGAGTTGAAAGAGGGTCTGCTGCCAATGACACATTTGTTGCGGTATTAGTGTGTTCCATCTCAATGAGTGCTGAACAGACCTCGCTGAACTTTTCACTTTTGCGCTGGATCGAGACAATTTATCGGTGGAGTGTATGAGGTGAAAACGGAGGAGTATGAAAGGGATGGTTATAACATTGTTATATAAACAGAGCTTGAGAACCCAAGCGCTCTAATATAAATCCCTGTTGGTCTCAACGATGCGATGGATGCGGTGGATGTGATGACTGGCAGGGAAGCCAACAACGAGCTCATAAAATTCCTTCCAGCCTCGTGAGGGGTAACTGCACAGACCCCAGCAATTGCCCAATGATAAGCCCATGCATGCATGAAGCGAACTTATGGGCCAATCAAGAATGGACCAGAATATGCCAAAGGGATGCCACATTCAGCACGTACCGGGGCCCGGCATCATAAGTCCCACTGTCAGGTCTATCGTATGATAAAAGCATAATAATTTAAATAAGGTCTTATTCTTCGAGTCAATAACCTTAAGGCCTTATGCTAGGCTGGGTTAAAGAAGATAGATCTAGACCACCTCTTGATTCCTTGCTCCAATACCACTGTATTCAACCCATCCATCTCAGCAACCACCATGACCACCACCACGCACCCATTCCAGAACGAAATCGACACCTTCTTCACCCCAACCACAGCAAGCATCTCCGACTGTCACCGCATCGCCGAGACACATCTCGGCAGCGCTATCATCCCGGTAGACACGCAAGGAACATGCAGCTATACCGTTCGAGCAGAGAACAACGACGCCTATATCGTGCAATTCCGTCTTGCATCTTCCCAACTTGACGTGCAGAAAATGGACCTAGCTCGAACTATCTACAAGGATTTAGTCCCCAGTATCACCCATAAAGGCCAGATCGGGAATACCACAGAAACCAAACAGCCCCTGCACATCTACCTCATGACGCGAATCAAAGGAATCAGTTACCTGGAGTTCATCCTCGAACATACCTCCCAACTATCGGAAAACAGTCCCGAGTTCTTCGCCTGGAGGAGGAACTACGTGGTTGATATCGCTCGGTATCTCCCCCTCCCTCCCTCCCCAAAGCATACCCACAAGTCCAACAATAAAGACAGATTCTTCGCCCTATCCTACCAAACCCAAACCAAGCCCATCAACCAAACCTACCGCACCACCCTACAAACCAACTACTAACTCGCCCTAGAAAAACTCCTCCCTTCCCTCCCTTCCCTCCCAGACCGATTCACCCCCTTCATCCAATCTTCTCTCCACGCATTACCAGAGATATTCACCCTCCCGATGGTCCTCACCCATCAGGACCTCAACGTCTGTAACGTCCACGTAGACAACCACACCTGCCATCTAACCGGGGTGATCGATTGGAACGACGCACAGATGGCCCCGTTCGGGATAAATCTTCACTTTCATCAGCGGTTTATCAGCAAGGTGCATCTGGAGCGGGGATGGAGTCGGTTTGAGGATTATGCGGCGTGCGAGGGGGTGTTTTGGGATGTGTTTGGTCGGGAAACTGGGGTGGGGAGGGATGTGCTGGGGGTTATTTGGGCGGCGAGGGTCGTGGGGGTGTTGTTGAGTTGTGGGTTTATGGGGTGGAGTGGTGGTGATGATATAGGGGAGAGAGAGCCGGTTCGGAATGATGAGGATGGGGCGTATAATGTGAGGGAGTTGGATGGGTTGTTGATCAACCCTGAGACGAGATTGTTGGAGTTGAATCGTGATTCATACATTAGGTGGATATTCAGCACACTCCATTTATACAATACATTCACTCCTCCCTCTCGATCTGAATCTCATGCCTCACACTAATCCCCCCCATCCCCAATCCAGTTCCCCCATCCTTCCCCACCAACTCCGCCAACGAATCCTGACTATTCCCCTCTGCACCTCTACTCCCCTTCACATTCGTCTCCGTCCCCACCACCCCAAACTCATATCCCTCTTCTAGAAAACTCTCCTGCAGGGCATATTTCCTCCGACTCGGCGGATCACTCCCAATGGTATGCTGTGCCTCGCGCAATCGTCTCGGCTCCCCGCCACTCCCTTTCGACCCCAACACCCTTGCGAGCACTGGCTCGACATACATCCGAAACAGCGGGGCCAGGGTCGGCAGACTCACCACGATAATACTCAGCCAGAGTTCGAGGAAACTGACCAGTCCGACGAGATAGAGGCCTTGGACGAAGTCGGCGTTGGTGGAGGGGTTGAGGGTGATTTCGAGACGGAAGGCCATGACGGCGACCACACTATCCATATATCAGTATATGTTACATAGGGCTAGATGGGGTGAAATGGAAAAGAAAGAGGGTGGGGGCATACATCAACCCCATCGCAAACATTACACTAATGGTGATTTTATTTCTAATGGCCATTTTCAACCTCCACAGCGCGGGGATCGGTAACACGGCAATCAAGGTATCAATCACCATGTTGAGGGTAATCGAGAGAATTTCCTGAATAAATAGCGAGCGACAACTTCCCCCCGGGACGGGATTCCACCCATACGAGACGGGATGGCATTGCGTGAGGAAGAGGCAAATAAAGGCGATGAAATAGGCGAGGACGAGAATGGTCATGGCCCAGATGGCGTAGGTGAAGCGACGGGAGGGGAAGAGGGTCGTGTACAGGGAGATCATGGACAGTTTGCAGGAAACTGTGCCAACTAGCCAGGTTACGCTGCTGCCTACTATTAACTGTATTTTTAAGAGTTAGCGGGTTGGTGTGGTGATGATGGTGGAGGAGGAGGAGGAGGAGTACTTGGAATTGCACGCCTCGTTCATACGCAGACAGATCGGCGGTATGTGCGCCGAGGCCGTTGGCAATGGCCCACCAGGTTAAGCCGGCCATGCAGCAGGTGCTGATCTAGAAGAATTAATCATTGCTCTGGATGCTAAGATTGGGACTCACATATGCCAGAAGGATCAAATAATCGTGCAATTTGAATGAGCGCCGCTTGACTCGGATAGCCCAGAGTCGCAACCCTAATATCAGGGTAATCAGGACAGTGAATACCACCATCCATATTAGCAGCTTGATCCCGTTGGCACTGAGCCGGCCCATATTGTGGTGCTGTGGATATGGATGGGAGGTGTTGCCGAAACTCAGCCGTACATGGTGAGATCAAGGGGCTAAGCCTCGAGAGAATGGATGCAAGTTGTTGCCGGCGGACTGGACCCTTAACTAGCAACTCATTCTAGTAGGGCGTATGGCAGCGCTGACCATTACCCTCCGCAGCAGCCTTAGTGGCTGTCGGGGTTACAGTGCAGGGGCTGACTGCATGAGAGTGGAGCGATACGAGTGGATCCCGGGATATACTCTCGCTGTTATGTGTGTATTGACTCGTGACAGCAGCAGCAGCATCCGCTGATCACTATGGTTCGGGGTCTTTCTACTATTTATTCTGAGGTTGGACAGTCTGAGTAAGCTTTACGAGATATATCCTATTCCCTTTCCTTCTGATTCCCTTTCCATACATCAACTCACACTTCTACAACTACATTTAGTTCTAACATTAAAATGAACCCTCCCCTCCCCTCCCTCACCCCAACCTGGCACAACACCACCTACCCTGCCATTTCGCCCTCGCGCCCGGAACTCTCCGTCGCCGGCAAAACCATCATCATCACCGGCGCCGTACGTTTCCCCCCCCTCCTCCCATCCTACTCTTTCTAACAGCAGATACCAGGGCAGCGGCATCGGCCGCGCAACCGCCCTCTCCTTCTGCCGCGCCGGCGCCCACAAAATCATCCTGATCGGTCGAAACGAACACAGCCTCCAAGAAACCCAGAATGCACTTACCTGCGATACATCCATCCATGCACTCAGCGTCACGGACGAGTCCAGCCTAACTGACCTAGCCACTACCATCGGACAATGGGATATTTTAATCCTAGGGGCTGGCTATCTCGCCGGTCCATCATCCATCGCGGATTCAGAGAGTCAGGATTGGTGGTTGAGTTTTGAAGTACCCTTCCCCCTCCCATCCCCCATCCCCTTTCCCCCCACCAAACCACTAATAGAAGATGTGGGGATGATAGACAAATATTAAGGGCACCTACCTCCCCATCAAACACCTCCTCCCAACCGCAAACCCCACCCACGCCACCCTCATCGCACTCACCGCCGCGACCACCTTCCCGGCGAATATGGTCCCCGGTCTATCCGCATACATGAGTAGTAAACTCGCCCTACACAAGGTGATCGAGTACGTGGCGGCCGAGAACCCGGGGATTTTTGCGGTGGCGTTGCATCCGGGGATGGTGGAGACGGGGGTGTTTCGGAAGAGTGGTGGGGATAAAGAGGTGTTGCCGATGGATTGTGGTATATTTCTTCTAATCCTTATTTTTGGTTTGGGTTGCAGTGTGCTGATGTGTGTAGTGGATTTACCTGCCGATTTCATGGTCTGGTTGGCGAGTCCGGAGGCGGGGTTTCTGAATGGGAGATATGTTTGGGCGAATTGGGATGTGGAGGACTTGAGGGCGAAGGGGGAGGAGATTAAGAAGGGGTTGGAGTTGATGGTCGGGGTTTATGGGTGGCCGTTTCGGAGTATACCCTAGGGCTCTAGCTAGTTTGTAGGTGTCTTTGGGAGGGGGGTCAGATTGATATCGGTCTAGTGTTGTTGATGCATGACTTTATTGGATGTTATTCGTGGCAGGAATATCGAACCCGAGAGTACTCCGTATACGGACTATCTAAACCGTCTTATATCAGACACTAAACCAATCCGAGCACCCCCTCCCCGCCAAATTCTATGAAGTACTAGGACTATTATCCCTCACCCTAAACATAACCCTCAACCGCCCCGGCGTCGCCGTAAACTGATCCCTCATATCCCCCAACACATCCTCCCCTGTCTCCCCCGCCGGCAAAGACAAATGATATTTCTTCACCAGGCGAGCTGTCACGAGTCGCATATCATCCATCGCTAGGAATCGTCCGACGCAGCTGTGGTGGCCTATATTGCATCAGCACCTACCTACACCATATAAGTACAACAAAGGGGATGGACAGAGAGGAGGGGAGGTGAGGGGAAGAAGGAGGAGGGAATACCAGTCCCAAAAGGCGCATACGCAGCCTTATTCCGCACCATCTCGGGGTGTCCATACCACCGCTCAGGAATGAACTCATCGGCGCGGTCGAAACAATCTTCTCCTGTACACATACCAACCACCATTAGCTTAATCCTGTACAACCCAACACTCTCTCAAAGAAAGTGTAAGAGAAAGGAGGGGCGCATACTTCTAAAAATCGACCACCTCGGCGCTACCAGCGTAACACCCCCCGGAACCCTCCTCCCCGCAATCACCACCTCCTCACACGTCTTCCGATTCCCCCCCGTCGGAAGAGCAGGATACATTCTCAACGCCTCGGCAATGACCGCCTCCAGGTACGGACACTCTTTCGCCAACGCGCGCGGATCACAGATATCCACGGTTTCTAATTCCTGGTATATGCGTTCCGCGTGGTATGGTGAGCGGGCTAATTCACAGAAGATCCCGATGAGGGTGGTAGCGGTGGGTTCGCTGCCTGCGACGATAGCCAGGATGCTGTCGCCGGTTAACCAGGGGAGATTTTGGCTGGGATCGGATTTTGCAGAGGCGAGGAGGTAGTGCGCTACGTCGGGGATCAAGGTCTTGTCTTCTGGGAGCTGTGCTCTGTTAGTCTCGTGTAGATGTCTTGTAGATTAGGTTCTTGCGAGGAAGAAAAGGGGGAAGGAGAGGGATACCTTCATCCGTTCTCTCATCTGCCCTTCACACCAAGCGACCATTCGGAACCAATCCCCTAGGATCCAAACCCGAGGAAAGAGTTTAAACGCGATTTGCACAAACCACGGCACCGGACTCAATGGACCTAAGATGGACATGGCGCGACGGAGGAGCACAACCACGAAATGCCATTCGTTGCGATGCAGCATGTCGAAGGATTTATTGAACACAAAATCGCCCATGGTGTCAAAGCCGAACCAGTAGAAGAGGTCGGTGATATTGGAGATGTGCTGGTGGTGGATGTCGGCGTCGATGCGGTGCTCGAGTTGCGTGATGTAGGGGAGAATTTTGGTAATGTATTGCTCTAGGGCTGTTGCTTGTTAGTATCTTGCTTGGTGGAAGAGGGAGGAAAGGGAAGGGGTACATTTGGATGTGAAGCCACGGTTCCATTGGCGGCGACGAGCGGCGTGGGTTTCTTTCACGCGGGATGTGACGAGGGAGAGTTTGGGATACAGCAGATCGTACCATTCGGCTTTTACGCAGGTGCTTTTCGGGCCGTCGATGGCCATGAAGATGTCGGGATGGAAGATGGTAAGTTCGTTGGGGCCTGTTGTGGTTAGCTAGGCTCTGATGGTGAGGGAAGTCATGAGATGATGATGATGATGGTACCTGTGCGGACAAAGTCACCATATTGGAGGCGGAGGTCCTCGAGGACGCGATGGTTTCTGGAGTCTCGGGCTTTCCAGACGTGCCAAAGCTTGGTGAGGCGTGCACTGAGAGGGCCAGGGAAGTGGCGTAGAGGGTGGAAGAACACGCGGTAGATGATGATGCTGGATAGCAGGCAGAAGAGGTAGTTTGTGATGATGCAAAGGGATATGCCAGAGTCAAGGAAGACATGAAGCAATGAAAAAGCAAGGAGATGTCCCAAAAAGATTGTTGGAGCTTGAACGTGCCATTCTCCGTGAATGAAGAGGCCGTGGTGTATGGAAACCCCCAGGGCGCCACCACCCAGTGCGTATAGGCCATTCATCTTGAGTGATATCTATCGAATGGACGACATGCTCTTCATATATCCTTATAATGTATCTACTAGCATGAGACATCCCGCGCTTGCCGCTGTCCATGCATCAGTGTCACATTGCAATCACTGCGTGATGCAGGAGATGGTGGTGGGGGCAATCCATTGACTCGACGGAGGAGGAGGCTGTAATGCATCTCGTCACATCACAGCATAAGGATGATGAGCTGTCACCGGCCATGCCGACACCCTAGACATAGCAGTCTAATTGAATGCGGCATGCACAGGATCAAAACAGTTCAGCCTCAATGCGTGGTAGATCAATAGCCTCATGGTATATAGTCACTGATGCCTCGGTTGCATTGTAAGCCTCAGAGTACGCCATCTCGATTGCTCAAGATGGAATCCAAGGAATCTCCTCTCCGACTGCACCATCTCCCCTCTCTCATTTGGCACTTTACGGAAAGCAACTTTCCAACCTTTGTGATCCCCAACTCCCTATTCGGCTTCCTTGGAGCCCTCTCTGGACCTGCTCTCACTACGGCTTCGTCTCCCCCCTCGCTAGACACCCTTTTTGCCCGCCTCCCTCTCATCATCCTCTTCAACTGGGCCACTGTGCTCATCTTCGACCTCGCCAACCAGCGCCTCACCGAATCCATCCTCGAAGACCAACTCAACAAACCCTGGCGTCCCCTGCCCACCCGTCGCATCAGCGCCACCCAAACCCGTCGCCTCCTACTGGGTGCCATCCCCACCGTGCTAGCCCTGAACTACACCCTAGGTGTCTGGCACGAAACCACTCCCATCCTTCTCCTCACCTGGCTCTACAACGACCTGAAAGGCGGCGATGAAATCATCCGCGACGGAATCATCGCCATCGCATACGGGTTGTATAATACCGGATCGCTCCGAATCGCCTGCGGCAAAGAGAGCCAGCCCTCGGAGCAGGGATATGTGTGGATTGGGATGGTGAGTGGGGTGATTTTGACGACGATGCAGATCCAGGACCTCAAGGATCAGGCTGGGGATCGGGCGCGGGGAAGACGGACAATTCCGTTGGTGCTGGGGGAGCAGTGGTCGAGATGGCTGATAGGGTTGTTGGTGGTTGGATGGAGTGGCGTGTGTGTGTGGTTCTGGGCGTTGCCGGGGTGGTGGTACGGGATGGTTGGGGGGATGGGAGGGATGGTTGCGGTGCTGGTGCTGAGGAGGAGCTCCGTCGAGAGGGATGCCTTGGCGTGGAGAGTGTGGTGTGCCTGGTTGGTTAGCTTGTATCTCTTGCCGTGCTTGCGGGGAGTGGCTTGGTGATTTGATTGTAGGGAGTGTATAGAAGGTGGTAGGCGGGTGTGGTTTCACTGATTAAGGTTGGATGGACAGGGTCGCAGGATGTTGGGCAGGCACGCCGATGCAGGCTTCGCGGTTGATTGGTGAATGCGCAAATATACCGAGGATGTAGCTATTTAGAGGGTTTGATTAGCACATCATAGAATTCCTGTGCGGGATGATCTGAGCAAAAGAGTAAAGAACAAACTTCAGGGTAGTGAACTCAATCCCTCCCGCTTCTCTTGGCAAGACAACAAACAAAGAACTGCCTATGCAGGCTTGCAGCAAGGTGACGGTCAGAGAGACGCAGATGGTGCTGGGTGATGATCTCCAGGTTGGTCCGATTGGCGCAAGGTGACGGACACATGCCCGTGTCTGATCTGCCTTCGGATCCGACGCGGGGTGAACGAGGTCTAGACCGGACGGTGCATACAGTAGTGCCGACCAGGTAGCACAGAGTGCTGTATCAAGGGAGTAGGTTGCAGTGACCAGAGAATCGTCTTGGCGTCCGTTAGTGATCTCGTGATACCGCATTTCGCTGTGTCGGCATAGCGACACTGAATGCTACCCAAGACTCTTCTAGGTTGATCCCGTCAGCCCGACAGGGGGGCTCGGGATGACCGGAGGAATCCCTCGTATGGACCCCTCGTCAGCAGGTCACCAGGCCAGCAGCCAAGCTTTGATACGACCAGAGACTTCGACAATTGACTCCAGGCACGGGACCGGCCCGGTAGTCGCCGCTGACATCCATGGCACGTCTCTGTGGCTTTGGAGGTAAAGAGGTGATTGATGGAGATTATCGTCTGATCCGAGACAGGATGAAGTGAAACCTGTGGCTGACCGTGGATTTGTATGGGTATCCTCATAGGACCGTTCGGATTAGTCTTCCGTTAAACAATGTGCTAAAACCACGTGGAACTCGTGGCAGTGGAACTGGGGTCTGGATGGCTTGTTTCAATCTATATTTGCCGAGTCTGCAGACAGCAGACATCTGACTGGAGATCAAATCCTTCGAAAACAATGTAGGAGATTGAAGCTTCAGGTCGCCACGTGGAGCTCGTACCTGACCATGATGGTATCGTATTCGCGACTAGGCAGATCCTATAGACCCCTCTCATGTCACTGCAGACACCCATAATAAGCAGCCAGAACCCCATCCCCATCACTAGCATGTTTCCATCACCAACCAAAATGGTTGGCCTCATTTCCTTTCTCGTCGTCTTCCTTTCCGTCTCCTCCTCTACTGCCAGCACGTGTCGCTGCTTCCCCTCTGACCCATGCTGGCCCAGTCCCCAACAATGGGACGACTTCAACACCACCATCAATGGCAAACTCATCGCCACCACTCCCTTGGGTAGCGTCTGCCACACCAACAATACCTTCACGACCTACTCTGAGTCTGCCTGCGCCTCCCTTCGCTCCATCTGGGACTACCCATCCACCCACTACACCACTTCCTCCTCCCCCATGGCCCCTTGGTTCACCAACTTCTCTTGCAACCCGTTCCTCGCTGACATCGCTCCCTGCGCCATCGGACCTTTGGTCCGCTACGCGGTCAACGCCACCTCAGCCACGGACTACCAACAAACCCTCAACTTCACCCAAACCCACAACATCCGCCTCGTCATCCGCAACACCGGACACGACTACCTCGGCAAATCCACCGGCGCGGGGGCCCTCGCTCTGTGGACCCACCACCTCAAGGACATCGAAATTATATCCAACTACACCTCAGCAAGCTACACCGGCCCCGCTATCAAGGTAGGCGCTGGGGTACAGTTCTTCGAAGCCATGGCCGCTGCCCATGAGGAGAACTTTGTCCTGGTAGGCGGAAACTGTCAATCTGTCGGCTACGCAGGCGGATATACTCAAGGCGGAGGACACGGGCAACTGGCGTCAAAGTTTGGACTCGCGGCGGATCAGGTGTTGGAGTGGGAGGTTGTGACTGCGGATGGGGAGCTGCTGACTGCGTCACCGGCGCAGAATGCAGATTTGTATTGGGCGTTGTGTGGAGGTGGAGGGGGGACGTATGGGGTTGTGTTGTCCATGACGAGTAAGGTGTATCCGGAGTTGAGGACCACGACGGCCAATTTGACCTTTAGTGCGGAGGGGGTGACGAGGAGTGTGTATTGGGGGGTGGTGGAGAGGTTTGTCAAGGGATTGTTACCCCTCACAGATGCAGGGGGCGTGGCGATCTGGGAGGCCACGAATGCTTCGTTTACTGTCACGCCGGTGACGATACCCGGGGGAACAAAGCGACAGTTGGAGGCGTGGTTGGCGCCGACGATTAAGTTGCTGAGGGGGTATAACATGTCGTATAGTAAGTATCTCATCTGTTTCTGGCATGAGCTAACCGGTGTAGCATATAACATTGGTGAATTCCCCACCTTCTGGGAAAGTTATGCGGCCATGAACCCGATGAGCAATGTCACCGAGGCACAGATCGGAGGACGGATGATTCCTCGGACAACGGTGGAGAACAACTCCAGCGCGCTGATAGCCGCGTTCAGGACCATAGCTGATTACGGCGCTGCGATCTCGGGCGTCTCGATGAATGCCTCACGGAACGCGGTCCCGGATAATGCAGTCAATCCAGCGTGGAGGGATATTGCAATTGATATTGTCTTGGGGACGTATGTTCCTTTCTCTTATCCTTTCTACTGTATTTGTTATACTAATGATATGAAGTACATTCGACTACTACAACCGCACCGCTGACCTGCAGAATCAACGCCTCATGACCAACGTTCTCATTCCCCTCCTGACAGCATTAACCCCCGATAGCGGAGCCTACCTCAACGAAGCCGACATTCACCAACCGAACTGGCAATGGGTATTCTATAGGAATAACTATGCCACTTTGTCTGCCATCAAGGACAAGTACGATCCAAACCAGGTATTCTATGCCCGCACCGGGGTGGGAAGTGAGCGGTGGACGGAATTGAAAGATGGAAGGTTATGTCAGGTCAATAGGTCTTCTATCTAGACAATGGTCAGTCCTTATTATATACATAGCTATGATACCTTCTCAATCATATATAGCATAAGAAGAAATATATCGGTGTAGAATATACAGAACAGCCGGTCAATGAATCGAAAACTGTAGGAAATAGAAGCTCACCTTGAATGCACCACACTTCGGCAGACATTTGAATCAAGGGAATCTCCCAGCTTGTTATTCTGCGATTTTCTTCATTTGTTCGGTAAGCTTTTCCTTCAATCGCTCTGCATCTTCAAGACATTTCCGGGCGTCTTCATAATCTCCCCGGCGTCGCATCGATTCTGCCTGGCTCTCCAGCGCAGCTATTTGGCCCATCGTGATCTCAGCGTCTCGCTCTGCTTGGTGAGCAAAAGGATCACCCAAGAGTGTCTGGCCTCGTACCTGCTTCTGACTTGTCGGGAGGATTGGCAACGGTCATGATGGGGTTTATGCTTGAGCTCTGTCTCAAATGGTACGATACCGACAGGAGGAAGCTATAGTCTGCAACTGTATCGAGGATAAAGTATCCATCTGGCAGAACACGTCCCATCGTGACGGTTTCACGAAATCCATCTTTCTCGCCTTGAAAAAGGTCACTTCCTTATTACCCTACTTCATCAGGGTAAGCCACCATCCTCTCACCTCCAATCTCCCCCCTCCTCCCCCTCCCTCTCCAATACAAACCACCAACCATATATAATATATTGACCTGATCGCAGGAACGAGTCTTCCCCGCCTACCTACACACTCTCCTTCCTGAACCCGTCCTCTCCCAAAAAGCACCACAAACTCTACACCTCCACTTCCGCCGTCGTCCACGCAGTCGACAGATTCGTCACCGTGATCCCCTGCCTTCTAGTCACGGCCCCCGTGATCGTCCTCCATTTCGTTACCCAGGCAGGTCTGCGACTAGGACTAATCGTCATCTTCACATTAATCTTCTCCCTCGCAATGGCGTTCATGTCAGATGCATCCCGGAAAGAGGTATTCGCGGCTTGTGCTGCTTTCGTGGCCGTGCAGGTGGTTTATGTGGGGAGTATTTATTAGGGACGGATATTTGTTGGGGTGGGCATGTAGGTGCGTGTGGTGAGGTCTTGGTTGGGTGTTGGGTGGTTTAGATGTGATGTTAGAAATTTGGTGTTGATTGTATATTGGACTGGTGGTTCGGGGGGGCTTTATGTAGATGGATATCTGGGGCAGGTTACTAGGCTGTGAGGGGAGTTTCCGGAGTGTGAAGGGATGAGCCGTGGGGGTTGAGGGGACTTTCGTGCGGTGATGGAGTCTTCCGTCTATTGTAAGAAATTCGATAGTATTTAATCCTCGGGGAATTTTCACTGTTCTTTTTTGATTATCGCATCTGAAACGACAGTCACACTCCCCATTTGCTGATAGTGGCGGGGGTGCTGATTGTGCAAGGAAATGAGGATGTGATACAACTTCAGGTTGTTTGTTGGAGGGTTGATAGAGTTGGATGTCGGTATTAATTTCGAGGCTTATGGTTTGATTCTAGGGTAGGGGACGTCGATCGTCAACATACATCAACCGTAACCAGGCAACTCAACAATCCCAATTTCAACACCAGCTCGAACACCCAAGTCTCTAAGCTGCCTCCTCATCTCAGGATGCCATCCATCAAGATCCGAATCTATCCACCTAAACCGCAAAGAAACCACACAAAGATGCGGTGTATACCTCCGATCCTCCAGCCACGTTTCAAGTAATCCTATAATCGCATAATCCTCCCATTCCCATAAAGGCCAACCTTGGTGATCAGTTACATCATCATTCTGTAACCTTAGATCATCTGTGATAGCTAGATATACAAAGTTTCTTGGGACCACGTCCTGCAATCGTTTGGTTGTATCCTGCGCGAATCCCACGGGAAACGGGAATGGAATTTCAAGTCTTTTGAGCTTGGGCATGTTGGAGTTGGCTAGTGCATGCAGCGAACCCTCCGTTTTGATCGCAGGAAGAAATTGATCGTTGCCTCCGAGGGCGCAGTCGGCGGAGATGATCAGATCGGTTAGAGTGTCTCGAACATGTGATAACGCTGTGGAAATCTGATCAAGATGGACAATCGGCGTGGTGTATTGATCTTCCACACCTGAATCAAAGTACCATGCCCAACGAAGAGTCTCAAGGTTTGGAGTGACGGAGAGTATTTCACCAAGATATGCCTCCCGTATGGAGGTCGAATCCAGAGATACCAGTGTTGATGAAATAGGTAGATGTGCTGCAGGCCACGTCACCGGATTCTCAATGGAGACTGACATGCGCTGAACACTCGATAGATAAAAGAATGACAAAGCCCCAGCTGTATTTTCGGCCGTTCTATCGCGCTTCAAGTAGTCCCCGACATGGAGGTGAAAGGTTACGTCTCGGAGATGCTGAAAGTCGGGTAGCTTATACCCTGGTTCGCAGATGGCGGATCTGAGAACCATACCAATAATTGTACTCTGTTGCGTAAAGTTCGGACCAAGGTATAAGCATCTCACACTCGAAAGTTGTGCCAATAAAAGAGCAACCCAGGCATCCATCGTACCATGGCACAATTCCTGTATCCAAAGGTCGCCATAGGGCACTCCAGTTCCCCGGATGAACGCAGTCGGTTCATCCAGTCCATCTGAGATGGAGATTTAGGGACTATACCTCTAAGTTTCTGACGGTAGAAGGTGTGGCCGTCAAGGTGGACGTTTGTGATGTACGTGGCCAACTGGGGCCTGCGTAAGAGTGTCCGTAGAAGTAGAGTGACTGGGGGAGGAGGGCCTTCTAGCCAAGCCCACCGAATATTCGCATAGAGAAATGGCTCAATGTGGTTGCGTAAATCTTTATTGACGAGACAGTGTGCACGGAGGTCGGCGGGTGATAGTAATTTGGAGACTGATTAGATTATGTTTGTCGGGCAGTTTAGAATCCCAGCTGCCGCTTTGGATTCCATTACAGTGACTGCATCGGTGTCAGTTCACTGCATAGAGAGAAAACTTGAGCTAGTAGGAACTGATGGATAGAAAACCTCGGCGAGAATGAAGCAATCCTAAGCTCTGATCTTCCGTCGTGTCCAGGCATTAGTTAGAACCCACTTGGTGCAGGCCCACTCGGGGAAATCGCCCCAACAGGGTCAAGAAAAGCTCCACTTTGCAGACCCTTCATTTGTGGAATTTCGAAGTTGGACCGCATTTGGTTCCTCATTAGGAGAGACCGATGAAGATATTATTGCCCTTGCATTTGTGCCACGTTCTCAGATCCGCAGTTGACGCTAAGAGCCTGACGAGGGTGGTCAAGTAGAGGTAGTAAAATTCGAGCCTTCGCCATGTGACCATTTAAGTAGTAACATTGTGCCTGAGGCATAAACTAGACAGTGCCTCGCGGTGATCTGCGACACCTTTATTGTCTATAGACTAGTAACTGTATGGATTTAATGGACTTGGGTTATGTCCTGAAGTGTAATTATTGAGGTAGGACTGTCTGTATGCTTACATTGTACTGCTGCTTAAGAATTTTGTACTGCAATAAACGCTTGAATTCAATCTGGCATGTTAAAATAAAGTGCAATGTCAAAGGTATCGAATATGGTATGTTAACAATAGTAATCTCCCTGCCCATCTTCACCGGGATAGGCGAGGGAACAGGTCAAACTGTAGTATTTCCCGTGTCAGCATCTCCCTTGATAATATCCGCCGCCCTCTCTGCAACCGCATACACCGTTGCTACCGGATTCCCATGCGGCAGCAACGGAAACACACTTGCATCCACGACTCGCAGATTCTCCGTCCCATAGACCTTCAGCTCTTGATCCACTACTCCGCCTGTCTCGCGAGGGAGCATGGCGGCTGTGCCGCATGCGTGATGCGCAGTCTGGGCACTCTCGTGCAACAATGCCTTGATTGCTTCCAGGTCTGGGGCAGCAGCAGGGGGCTGGAAGAAATGCTGCAATGCTGGGAGGGCAGGAACCTCATGTAACTTCTGCAGGTGTCGAGCCATGAGCTCTACATCGAGCGCATGCGAGAAGCAGCATGCATCAATCTTGGGCTGTGCATATGGGTCCGTAGAGGCGACATGGATGTTGCCGCGAGAGGCAGGAAAGCACGGAATCATCACTAGAACGGCCACACTTGCGCCAGGCATCATGCCCAGGAGGATAAAGGCGGATGCCTCATTGGGTTTTTCCAAGATACCGCGGATAACTTTGTCGGGCACTTGGTCGTCTGGAAGGAACCTGGCCGCGAGATCAGCCAGTTCCTCCCCGTCCAGTCGGACAAACGCCAATGCTTTGATCCCTGGTGCAAGACCTTCCAGCTCAGGGACCTTGTTCAAAGGGCAAGGCAGAACGCCCATGAGATGGTTCTGAAAGTTCCTGCCAACCCCTGGATTCTCGACCACCACCTCAATCCCCAGACTCGAAAGCAACTCCTTATCACCGATACCGGACAACTCCAGCAGCTGCGGCGTGTGAAAGGCTCCAGCCGCAAGGATCACCTCCTTGGTCGCACCAATCGTCATTACCACCCCATCACTCAAAGCCACCTCAACCCCAGTAGCAACAACACTTTCAGAATCCTTCTCAAACAGGATCCGTCGCACCATCGCCCCCGTCACAACTGTGACATTCTCGCGCTTCGCAGCCTCCGCCCCATACCGTCCATCTGCACCACTCCGCAACCCAGACCGCGGATCCACCGTCGCCACATACGCCCTGGTCCCAACCATCCTCGTCGGCAGTATATCACTCGTAAACTCATATCCCTTGCTCTTAAATCCCTCCTCCCACGCCCTCAACAACGAATGATTCTTCTCCTCCGCAAGAACCGGATACGTGACCTGAATCGGCCCATCCTGAAACCCGTGCACTTCAACCCCCGCCGCACGACAAATCTCCTCCTCTGGCGTTGTCACACTCACTGACTTGCGCAAGTACGGCTCCAAAGTCTCCCAGTTCCACTTGGTATTACCTAATTCCGCCCATGCATCTATCCCCGCCGGCGAGGGAGGCACGTACACCGATCCATTGATCACGGAGGACCCGCCCAGGACCTTTCCGGCGGGATGTTCTGGTTCGCGGTTGTTGAGACCGATCTGGTTCGTCTCTTATCAGCGTTGTTCTTACCAAACAACAAGGGAAAAGGGGATATACCTGAGGCTCGAACTTGAAGTTCCAGTCCAGCTCGGATCCAGGCAGCGCATGCCAGGCATCCGGATTCTGGATCTCCGGGTCTGAAGAACGATCTGGACCGGCTTCGAGGACGAGGACGTTCACGTCGGGGTCCTCGGAGAGGCGGTTTGCGATGACGAGGCCGGCGGTGCCGCCTCCGATAATGAGGTAGTGGGTTGAGGAGGGGGTGGTTGAGCCCATAGTCAATAGATCGAAGAAGTATATACAGTTGGTTAGGCCGCTTCTGTTGATAATAGAGCCAGAGATAATGCAAGAGATGTAGAGATGCAGCTCAGGGGTCTTATATGGTTGAAAGGAAGGAAAAGAGGGGCAGCGATGCAGGGATTAGAGGTGGTACAGGGGTCGAGCCGTCTAGAGCGAGCGCATGTCACCCTGTCATGTCAGCTTACTTCGGGACATTCATCCCACTAGGCAAATAGGCAACGCTAACTGCCGCTAAGGCAGGTCTGGTGAGCCTAAATTCAAAGGCAGCGGATCTGGAGGTGGGCCGGTCAGATTGATCGAGTGACCAATCAGGGGTGGGTGCGAGGGGCTGGAGGGGTATGGAGAAACATTGATTATAAATGGAAGATGCAGGGTCTGATACCGACGCCAGTCTCGTTTCGATAATCGATAGTGTTCTCGATTAATATGTCCGTCTCGTCTCGTCTCGTCTCAGACTCCATGAATAACTGAAGACTGGCTCTGAAACTCGGATGGATTTTTTAGGTTCCCCATCAACTGATAAAATCCACCAGAAACCGCGAAACAACAACCCGCACAGATCACTGTTTACTCCGAATCGCACACTAAACCTTGCCAGCGGGACCCGCACTCCCATCCAGCCTAACACCAGCCCCACCAGTCCCACCCCACAGTGTCGCCTCGACACCTGAATCGACACCTGAAACGACACCATGAAGCCGAAGTAATATCGTCAACATTTCATACTTCTGACGTCTGAACCCCCCAGGAAAAGAGGAAAAAGAATGCCCATGCGCGGATTCGAACCGCGGTCCTCTCATAACAATAGTCCTAAGAATAAGTGGAGCGCTCTGACCGCTGAGCTACAGTGGGCGTTGGTACAGGAAGAAGGTGGAGTTGATATAAATCGGGTGTATGGATGCCAGAGGAGTAAAAGGACAATGAGAATGCTGAGCTCTGTGTGCTCAGATTTATGAGGATTTCTGTATGGATACTTGAGAATCATTTGAGACGCTCTACTAGTCAGATATAGGAGTTGTACATAATATGTGTCTGGGTGTTATTTGTCCGACGCAAGTCTGGAAAGATCTCAAACGTGACTTCAATAAATGAGTTTAATCCCGGAACAAATCAGTCTATCCAACCCAACCACTACCAGCATCCCCAATCATCCATCTATCAAATCCCCAATCCCTAAAGTCTCTGCCCTTTCATCCCCACCCTCCTTATATCCCCCTCCCCCCTCCTCAACTCCTCCACCACCCCCTCAAACCCCACCTCCCTAACATCCCACCTCTCCAAAAACCCCCCCACCCACCCCCTCCACTCCCTCCCCAACCCAGCCAACAAAAACTGCACCTTCATCGCCTCCGGTACACCCACCTTCGGCCCAATACACCGATCAATCTTCTCCAGCGCGCGTTTCATCTTCAGCGCATAATCCTGTACATTGCCACAGTCCTCGTAGAAGATGTTCTGCGCGGCCTGTAACCCATCAAGTGGATGCACGATGTAGTATTTCGCGTCGAGGTAGGACCAGATCTCGCCTGGGGAGGGGAGATTCATGACTTCGTTGCGGATGCGCGGGGTCAGGGTTTGGAGGATGATTTTTTTGGTTTGGGTGAGGGGGGGTGGAGGGGTGGGTGGGAGGGGGATTTCGTGAGTTGGTTGGTGGGGGGGTAGGCGGAGGGTGTTGGGGCGGAGTTGGAGTCGGATGGAGCTGGGGGTGGTTCGGTATTCGGTGGTCCTAGTAGGGGGGGAGGGAGGGGTGGTGGTGGTGTCGTTTGATATGGTGCTCCAGAGACCTATTAGTTGGAGGTGCGTGCTGAGTGCTTCGGACCAGTTTTCGTATGTTTCGGGGCCGGTTAGGATGGGGAGGCCGGCCGTGTCGAAGGGGTTGATGTTGATGTCGATCATTTCATATGGGAGCATGTTAGAGTGGTGGTGTGTTATTGTTATTGTTTATAAGTGCGGTAGGGTTTGGAGGTAGCGGAACCGTGTAGGGAGCGGATATATCAGTCGTATCGTGGAAGAATCGATGAGGAGTCTGGTTTGACAGAATACTGACTGAAAAGATGTGTAGACTGAATGATGTGTCTTATATAACACTCCTCGGTCATCTAGAAACTTCATGTAACAAAGAATATCGGAGACTTCCTCTGAAGACAGGCAGTCACCACCTGCCTTTTCTACCTGGAACACCTGATATATTGAACCTTCTACAATCAGAAATCTTGAAAGTTCCGTCGCTGAGTAGATCATGCCAAAGGAGGTCGGTTTAGAGCGTATATTTGAAACCCGCCAATCCCTCAATATGCTTTCCTCCGCGATCAACCCGCTTGTTCGCCCTCTGAAACTTCCAGCTGAGAGCTGCGACAATCAATATTATCAGGGCGTTAGCGATCATCGTGGTCAGCAATCCTGGCCGGTAATTGGGGGCATCCTGGGCTCTGAAGACCGTCGTCCCGATGATTCCTCCAATGCTACCACCGCCAATCAGAGTAGCGGATGTAAAGGCTCGTTTCCATTGTCCACGAACGTTATTACTATTGAGTTTAGTATAACTTGAACAGATGAAGGTTGAACTAACATAGGGATCTACCTTTGCCATGAGACCAAAGCCGGGCAATTCGCGTTGGCTGTAGATGTTAACGCCTGCAACATAGCACTAGGGAACCACTCACCAGCAATAGTGGCCAGGAAAACTCCAAAGTAGCGTGGTCCTGATTCACTGAGATAGCCCAAAAGAGCCAGCCCAAGCAGGCCCATGGCGGCATTTGCCGCAACAATTGGGCCTCGCAGGTGCCATTTATCGGCGTAAATCGCCTCAACGTACATCACCACGGCTGCGGCAACATACGGAGGTGCCACCAAACACTGGGCCTTTGCCACTGAGAATCCCATACTATCTTCCAAAATGATAGGAAGAAAATAGGCAATCGAGTAGCTATTGGCGGTGGTTAGCATATACAAGGCGGCATATGCCCATACCTTACTATCTCCCCCGCTGCGAAGATAGCTCTTCAAGGTGAATGGCTCGGTATAAACATCCGACCGATCGTTTTCAATAGTAGCCACCACAAAGGCTGCCTCGGACTCATTCAAAAAGTGCCATGATTTGGGCGACTTTTCGGGAAAGTCCACCAAAATAGCATAGGACCCAATCCCCATGACACACGTCAAGATTCCTTCAATCTGCCATGGTCCATTAGTGGTGTCTATTTATAGCCTTATCCGACTTACAATGAAAATCCACCGCCAGCCGGATCGTCCCGCAATCCCATTCATCTGCATTAGGCCATAGGCCAGGATGCCGCCGAACCCAGACGCGGTACTCCCAATCAAATAGAACAAAGCGTTCCGCTTCTGCAGTTCATACCGCGTGTACCAAGTGCTGAGAAGATAAACGCATCCCGGGTAGAATCCTGCCTCCAGGGCCCCAAGGATGACTCGCAACCCAGCCAGCACCGGCCAAGTTGGAGACATACCAAAGCCCTACCTCATAGCAGACATTAACCCCTCTTCTTAGAACCAGAATACGAGCACCAAGCATTGGCACTTACAATCATGACCACCCCCCACAGCAACACGATAGCCGAAAGAAACAGCCTCGGCCCCATCTTCCGAATAATCACCGTAGCAGGCGCTTGGAAAATCGTATAGGTAATAAAGAACACCAACGAGCTAATACTATACCCATTATTCTTGGCATTCATGTCCAGATCGGTCTGCATCCTGAGATAGAGTTAGCCAACGCTTGGCCTTGAAGCGGGGTTGATCCATGGATGAAACATACCCGGCAACCGAGGCAGCCCCGAGGTTGGTTCTATCCAGCAAGCTGATGCAATACAGACAGCCGAGGGGGACGACGAGGCGAGCATCGATGCGTCTCATAAGTCGTTTTTGCTCTTTGGGGGTGAGGTAGTCGATGGCTTCTCCGTTGTGGATACTGTTGGATTCGGCGTCCTCGATGTGGGAGGCGTCGCCGGATGATTTGTCAAGCTCCATTGTTGCTGGTAGATTTGTTGCTGGTAGATTTGTTGCTGGTAGATTTGTTGCTGGTAGATTTGTTGCTGGTAGATTTGTTGCTGGTAGATTTGTTGCTGAGGGATTGATAAAGATGGTGCAGGGGCATGTTTTGAAGTATGCTCTTGACAGGGATTATATAGTGATGAATCATGACAGCTTCCCCGCATAACCCCGCAAACTGAGATCCCCAGATTTGCCGTCTCGAGCTAGCAGGGATATGAGTTGTCGAGTTGATTAGACACATACATCTAGTGGAGCCTGCAAGACGTAGCTGGACATTCTCATCCGGTGGAAGCAAGGACTCGGCAGTTGCTAACACCGCTGCTGTTGTTGCTGCTGCTGCATGGCGGACGATCAATGGAAACGGGGATACGATAATCAATGAGTGTCATCAAATAAGCCATTAATCTGTTGTTATAAGGTGAAGTATTAGATGATGAGACCGTTAAAGCTCAGCGTTAGTCTTCGATGGATCAGTAGACGTAAGAAAGGTGGAAGGTTTCGGGCCTTCTCCGAGACAGGCCTCACATGATCCGGTTATTCCCCGACTGGACAAGCGCAACACTGTTCGTATGCTGCTAGCACAGTCAGACAAACTCCCTTAACGCATTCAGGTATATGATGGATGCCAATAAAGTTCAGGAGGAACGACTACGTTATGAAGAACAGCTGTCACCTCAGATACGTACGACGGAAGCAGTATGATAGACCAGATGTCCTGGAGTTTAACTTCACAGTATATTGTTTATATCAGTACATCATTGATGATACACAATACAAAAGAACGACAACTCTAGTGGTATCTAAAAAAACAATTTCTCCCGACACACGCCATACAATCAACTCCCGTCAACGCCAGCGATAAATGCCACCATTCTAAAACCCTCCGTAAGGATACTGATTGAGAGAACGATGTGGGGCAACATAATAGTCCCGATATGGATGATTCTCCATCGAAAAGTCCGCACTAGCCATGACTGGATTAATCACTCCAGCTGGCATTTTCGGACGAGCAGGCGCATGACCTGCGTCTAGGGAATGGTCGCCGTTGAACAATGCCAGAATATCTTCAGACATATGCATTGGGGGACCGTGAGGATCACTCCAGCCCCATGCTTCCTGGAGTTCCTTTTTCACGTGTTCGGCTTTCCAGCCGGTTTGCTTGATGATACCTTCGAGTATCTCCAAAGCTTCTTGTTGAGCTTCCCTGGTCGCGAGACATTCGGCCGCAATGGCGAGGAACCGGATGGATAGACTAGCGACTCCGCTATGAGGTGTCAGCTGACATCTAGTGTGCATATATGGTTGTTTCACTGACCGATCCCTGGAGTGTGCTACGAGGCCGCAGATGTCTCGTGCATGGCTTTGCTGCATGGTCTGCATCTCGGCACTGAACTCTGATTCGACTGGATTCGTCTTCGTTAGCAGAATTCGTGCGGTGTGGTACAACAATCGAGCGATGATTGTAGAACGCTTGATGAGCCTATCAAATGTTAATAAGCATTATTCGGAGAAATCATTGGATGCTCACCATATCTCTGGAAAAACGGATTTCGAATTAGTTTGCCATGAATGAAGATAGCCGAGAGGCATCATGGACCGAGGTACAGCTCTAGCCCACCGATCGCACCAGTCATTGTAAGTACACCATTCCTGATAGCGCTGGCTGATCCGCAGGTCACTGGCTGACGCCTCTAGTGTTGACGGCTGAGCTAAAGATCTGAAGTTTGCAATCTTGGCGCAGATGAAGACCATCTGGTGCGTCCATGCTTCTTCGTTGCCTGCAACACTAGGCTGTGCATGATTCAGATCCAATTCAACGCCCCATGTGTCCGGATCCCAAGAGAGTGTCCAATTGAAGTGCAGACAGCTAAGTAATTCCATGCTTACATTCAGCCAGAAACAAGCACCCCCAAGACCCGGTGTTTTTGCATTCCAGTGACACTCCTTGATCAAAGCTCTTGCACCAGCAATGTGACTCATACCCTGGATCGGTCTACCAGACATCAACTCATATATGTTTAGCAGAATCGCCGTGGTTGCGCACAGGGCAGAGTCACGGTCAGGGTCTTGTAGTGAGTGGAGAAGATATTGCGAGGCGACATTGTGAAAATCCGCGGCCTTTTCCTCGCCATACGAGGCATCCACATGAAAAAGGTGTCTGGCGCCGCATGACAGGAGAGCTTTAAGAAGCATGGGTTCCTCTAATGCGTGAAATGGCAGTATATGTGTGAACTATCGAATCAGCTACTAAGCAGCCACATAGAAGAGCATTACTTACATGCTTTACTGCATCCATGGAATCCATCCACAACCCAACCTCTTCGACGAAGACCTGTAGCAGGTAAACCTCTTCTGGGTTGTTCAAACACATATGGTTCGTAGCATTGATATGGCCCTGTTTCGTCGACCTGAAAGGGGCAAACGACGCGGTTGGGTCATAGAACGGTGGTTTATTTGCCAGAGGCGACAGGCCATTGAATGCACCCAAGCCCCCAGACTGGGGATTCCCAAAACCTTGTCCAAAGGAAGGTTTCTGTGTGGGGTTAGAGGTCAAAGACCCTGTCGCAGTTCCCTTCTCCAATGAAGAGTCCACAACCAAGGGAGGATATCTCTCAATCCCGCCCACGTACTCCGACGCTATAAGTCGCGACTCATCCCGAAATGTCACGCCACTCGCTGGTATACGAACTACGCAGTGCGGCGGTGTCGATTCCTGGATATCTATGAAGTTTAGGCGGATTCCGCGCCTGCATACTCTGCCCGACTTCCGGCAGTTCTGACATCGGTGCAAAGCCTCATCGCACTTCAGATGGCGTTCCCGACATGTTAAACAGCCTGTTCGAACCCTCCTGGGCTTTGTAACCAAGACCTTGCCTTTGCGCTTGGCAACCGATGGGCGCGGTGTTTCCAAGGATGTGCTGTTTGGAGTCGAGACACCCCCCTCATCCGACGGGCTCGTGCCTTGGGTATTGGCCTCGGTTGTAACAGCTGGACTGTTTGCATCAAGATCGAACTCCAGTATGTCGGTAAGTTGTCTGGCTGCTGTCAAGTCCAGTGAAAGATCCAGGTCCGACGGTGCAGAGACATGGTCGCTGATGGCTGAAGCCATATCAGGCTGTTCAATCAGATCTACCCGTCGCCCTTGACCGCAATAGATCCGTCCCAGTCTTCAGATATGGTCATCAGCAAGCCCCAGATTCAGCCCCCAAAACTGCAACTCCCAAGCATTCTGCCAACCAGTATCGATAGCGCCGTGCGGCTTTCCTTTAGTACCACTTCACATAGATACCAGATGCCGATCGATTAAACGAAGGGAGCCAAAAGAGGCGACGGGGACCGATGGAAACTTGTACGCAAATCTTAAGTGACACCGAAACGTAAAGGCATAGGCACTGATATCTCGAAGCGGTTCGAATCGCAGTCCTGCGCCAACATACGGTTAGCTTCTGTCAGACAGCAATAGATGCAGTTATACATGCCAGTCAGACCTGATAGACTAGCAGGAGCAAGCACAGGAGAATAAAAGCGACAAAGTCACAGCAGCCGCAATAAAGAGAGATGCCGGGGCTCAAAAGATCCGCGGGGACTCGTGAGACCGGGACGGAGAGCTAATCCTAGAAGGGTCTAGTGCAATCTGATCAATGCCGAGGCAGGTTCGCCGATCCCAACAGAGGTAACATCAACTAAGTCCAACTGGTTCAATTTGTACTCTATCTAACACTTCAAACAGGGTATCTATCGCCCCGTCCTATTTGCATGAACGGATTTTATCCATAAGCACAGCCGTCTCCTAATCACATCGCTCTCATTTTGTACCTAACATTACCTTTATCCAAAACTTTTAAGTAATCAGTCGTGATTTTGTGGGGTGTTAAACATCTTCCGCCAGAGATGGTGGCTTTATCGAATGTCTATGTCATAGTCGCTTACGTTCGTTGGGTCAACACTGTGGCATATCAGCACCGTACTTCCTCATGCTTTGGTTCCCAGTCTGGGAACCCGGGCTCGAAGATGCAGAATAAGCATAAGGGCACCCCAGATAGCAGCAGAGAAGAAGGTAGCACGGAGGGCAGCAGCATACGCTCCGATGACTACATATCATGTTAGTGTGGCTCACTGCAAAAAAATGGAGGACATACCTTGGTGCTGGTGCATCGGGTCGAGCTTGGCGACGGCTTGTACTGATTTGCGGACGAGGAGGATAACATCCTCCTTGTTTGGTCCTGTGACCATCTCTTCCAGGCGATATAGAAGGGTATTCTGGAAGATCCAACTGCTTGTTGCCACGCCCATCACTGAGCCTAGGTTTCTCCACAAACCCAATGTTGTGGTGGCCACAGCTTGGTCGTCCTGATCAGTAGAGGCAAGAATTGCTACCATTATCGAAGGAAATGAGCACCCTTGGCCAAGGCTTGATACGGCAACGCAAACCATCGCAAGCCAGTCAGGTGTGTCGACACCCATTGACGCAGCAGCGCAACCTCCCAAAACTAGGAAAACGCCGCCGAACACGATGGCCGGCTTGAGTTTCTTAGTCCACGTGATGATGAAGCCTGTCGACACACTGGAAATGGTCACCGCGAGTGTCGAACCAACCAGCCTGAGACCCGAGTCAGTCGGACTAGCTAGCTTGACTGCCTGGAAATATAAAGGAGCATTGAAGACCATGGTGTTGACGGAAATGGCCCCAAAAAAGTTCCCGAAGATGAGGCTGGCACGAGGCTCTTGTACCAGCAAAGAGATCGGCATAACTCCGCGCTCCACGGTTCGCTCATATCGGACAAAAACAAATGCCAAGATGAAGGATGAGATCAAGGACGTAACGACAACGGGATGAGTCCAGCTCAACACATTACCGCCCAAGTTGAGTCCCATGATCAATGCGGTCACACCAACGACCAGGATCAGCGAGCCCACGAGGTCGATGCTTTTAATAAGCTGCAACATAGTCTTCCGTTCTGTTTTCGCTTTTTTCAAACCCAGGTCGGCAGGGGTCGTCCAGGCCGCCACCAGGAAGTAAACAAAGATGAAAGGCAATTGCACAAGGAACGCACCTCTCCATCCTACACTGTCGCACAAGAACCCGCCAAATGCCAGCCCCAGGCAACCACCCACGCCTAAGCAAAGGTTGATGTAAGACTGGTAGACACCTCGATATTCAAGGCGGACCAAATCACTGGAGAGGATCATGCCCATGGAGAAGACACCACCAGCTCCAAGTCCGCAGAACGCCCTGGCAGCGATGAAGCTGAACATGCTTTGGGCGGCTGCACACCACGCGGTCGTGATGAAAAAGATGGCGATCGCGAAAAGATAGACCGGCTTCCTTCCAAATGTGTCAGATATGCGCCCAAACAGTGGGAGGAAAGCAGTAGAGGTCAATAGGAACGCGGTCGATAGCCACGATGCGGAGTTCGAGGCCTGAAAGTAGGATGTGATAACGGGGTGGCTGGAAGCCATCAAGGTAGAATCGAAAAAGCCAATCAAATATCCCATCATGATACCAGAGAAGATAAGCCAAAATCGCATTGGCGAAACGTTGATGAACCGCGAAGCATAGCCGGTTGGTTCACTTGGAATACCATCTTCATCCCCGAGCACTTGTTTTTGGCTCACAGGAGCGGAAGGGAGCCGTTCAAGATTAGGTTCGATATCAAGTCCTTGAGGAATGGAAGTGACCTGGGTGAGACCAAGCAAGGCAGGGTCCTCTTCGGGAGCAAAGACCGTTGATGACAGGCTAGGATCGACATCCTCATCTACATCTGTATCGGCATGACTTGTGTATAATGACTGACGGGAGGATTCATTCAGCAACGGTGTAGACTCGGTAGCATCGAGAGATGGTGGCTTTCCATCTGTCGCATGGGGCCAAGTCATTATCGGTAGATGCGGTGTGGGAGATGCCTCAAAAATTCACTCTAGAATAAGCTTTTGTAGGATGAAATATATTCAAAGGTCTTAAAACTTGTGATAAAACTAATTTTTGGGAGGGGAGAGTTTATTCAGGAAGGAAAAGTTTTGAAAAGAAAGAAGTCAACCTACAGAATTGCGACTCAGCTTGATACAATGGGACGAATTTTATAGAGGGGATTCTAGGGAGCGGCACTAAGAATGCACGATGCAGCCGGATCCATCCCGCATGGAACTACGGGTGACTCGACTCGGTCAGCCTTTTCTCCATGCTCTTATTGCGCGAAAGACAAAATGATTCTCCACTAAATTGGACGGCTGCATTGGTTGGTCCAAGCAGCACGAGGCCTCAAATTTTGACCTGCTCCAGGTACTTTCCAGGTTCTACAATTGAGACAAATCACCAAGTCAACAGACCTGGAAGAAGTTTGGTTATCTGGACCAGCCGCATAGCTGAATCCAACCCCTCTTCTCAGATGCACGGGGACAGGATCCTTCTTTAATTCACGCAAATGATGTCTTGCTCAGCCTGCGATTTCGGCCCACCCTCCACGGCTCACGTGCATTCCCACCTTCTGATTGGTCATCAGTCAGTCATCGGACCACCGAGCGTGTATGCGCTCTGCAGGGTCTAACCTGGATAGGGCTAGTGGTCTTTGCACCGTATACCGATAGTATCCCGGCAAGGCATCAATACCGAAGATGGGGGCGCGGCTCCCTTGTCATTGTCTGGGGCGATTGCGTGACTGCCGAACTGGATACCATTAGGTATGTATTGATAATATTGATAATGGATATGACAGTCTTCGGAGAGAAGGCCGAGCTCTGTCATCACCGCAGCAGAGTCTGCAACGGGGAAACTTTCCTGATGTAAGTCGATCGAGCAAGGCATGTCGTTCAATGCCAAGGTCAGCCAAATGCTGTAGTAGCAAGTCACACAGGAATATGCATGCAAACCGGCCTATCCAGCAGATGTTACAGAAGACCCTATCATGTCTCTCCTCCCTACATGGTTCAATTGCGACTGCATCCGATGCAACACGGTCTCCATCTCAGCCCAAAGCTAAGCAAAACCTACAAATCGGATAGCTAATTACCTCCAGGCAACAAAGCAAGAGCCATCCCGTGGCCATTGTATGACATCTTCCCCGCATACGGGATGCATGAGTAGCCACTCGATAGCCTTCGAGCCATCCTATCAGCTATCTCACGTATATTCCTTATCAAGGACGCTGCATCGTTCTGAGAGATTTATAACTTAGGGACCTAGATGGAACCCCTCAGCGGGATTCGCTGGAATCGGCCCGAACGGGATGCGCTTCCGAACGGACAACTATGATTCATACGGGGTCACAGGCCACCTTTCCAACAGTGCCATCATTGCATCTAACCAACGGATTATCGTTCCGCAAGCTGTACAAACCTGCATCTTCCAGGCCCCCTCCTGCAGAGTTGCTCCCATTCGGCCCCTATCTTCGAATCACTGAATCGCCCCTCCCTCCACCACCACAACCACCATGGCCCCACTTCGTATCGCCGTCCTTGAATGCGACACCCCCGTCGAAAAAGTAAACATCAAGTATGGAGGCTATCGCGGAGTTTTCACCCAGTTACTGCGCGAAAGTGCCGCAGCACTAAACCAGCCCGAGAAGCTCAACCCGGAAACCGGTCTAGAAATTACAGGCTGGGACGTCGTGACGGCACAAGAGTACCCCAACCTGGAGGATGTAGATGCACTTGTTTTGTCGGGGTCCAGTAAGTCCCTCAACCCGCAGAGCATTGCATTCTGCACTCTGCAAGGCGCGCGCGCACACACACAACCTATGACTCATATATGTCCTAGAACATGATTCATTTGAAGACCACCCGTGGATTCTCAAATTGGTCGATTACACCAAGAAAGCGTTCCAGGATAAGCGCGTTAAGATCTTTGCGATTTGCTTCGGACATCAGATCGTAGCACGTGCTTTGGGCGCCAGGGTTGGTCGTAACACTGCAGGATGGGAGCTTGCAGTTTGTGAGGTGGACTTGACGGAGACCGGGAAGCAGTTGTTCGGTAGGGATAAGCTTGTACGTCTACCCTTCTTCCCGTTGTTGGCATTGCCTTGCCAACGCATTACTCTCCATATGGCTTTGTCTGGGGAACTTGGTGGTCTACTGCTAACGAGGTATGACTCTGCAGCGCATTCATCAGATGCATCAAGACATCGCCTACGGGTATCCGTCGGAGGTTGTGTCCCTGGGTGCTTCCCCCAAGTGCGCTGTGCAGGGCATGTATGTCCCTGGGAAGTTGATCACTGTTCAGGGCCACCCTGAGTTCAGAGAGGACATTATGACGGAACTGATCACATTGCGAACGGCGAGTGGTCTCTTCTCGAAAGAGGTATCAGAAGATGCCATGAGTCGCGCCGGGATCCAACACGACGGGATTGCCATTACCGTGGCATTCCTGAAGTTTTCCTTGGAATAGAAAACCGTCAAGAAAATAGATTTGGCCGATGATGCTTGAATTCTATAAGCTATGCAACAGACATAGACAATCAAGATCGGATATTCTATCCATACAATGACGCAACCGATTAGCCTCTAACCCAAGCGCATCGAGCCAAAAGACCGTAACGATGGTATAGAGCGACCCAAACCCCGACACCAATCCATATAACGCAAACCCCAAACGCTCAAAATCACAAACCCTCCGAGCCCGAACAACAACACCAACAACAAAAGTATACCCATCAACCCGTAGCCGAGGGATTCTCCCTCTCCAAGAAAGTGGGATCCATCTCGACCTTCCTCTCAAACTTCGTCCACCAATCCCGGAACGTCTTCAACGGAACGACCTCCTGCCCTCTATTACTCGGATCCGACGACGCAAAACTAGCCAAGAAATTGAACGCGTTGCCAATAATCCGCTGCGCGAGCACCTTGGTCGTAATCTCCTTCTGCTGTCGCGTGTGACGCACCAATGCTCCGGGGCCAGCTTGTTCCGCCTCCAACGCAGCAATCTGCGGTGCAACGGTTTGCACGGGCTCCAGCGAGATGCCTAACGTCACCATGGGGGGTGCGCCCATCATGGTGTCTCCGTTTTGTAGGCCGGGGATTTGTGGCGGGTGGACTTTGAGGATTGCGGAGGGACGCTCGTTCGCTAGAGCGCCGATGAAGCGGAATTCGGGGGCGTTGTTGGGGTCCGGGAATTGGATGTAGATTGCGGCGGCGGTGTCGGGGGGGAGGACGGTGCCCGGGAGAAGGAAGACGACGAGTTCGGTGAATGATGGCACGAGAGGGAAGTTGAAGGCGAATTTGGTCGATTGGCCATTTGGTTGGGTCTCGACGGCGACGATGTCTGTGAGACAGGGCCGGTCTGGTATGATGACGGAGAACATGGCGGGGAGGGAGATAACGAGGTAGGAGTGATGTGTTAGTTGGTAGGAGGTGTATATGCGATGAATGAGAGGGGGTTGGTTGGTGGGGTATATGTATAGCTGGATTAGAATCGCGACAGGAAATTGCAATGCATCGTCAAGGTATTGGAGCTCCCGAGCGGAGAAGCAGAGTAGCTACTGGAGAAATTCCTGGCGCGTTCCATGATGGAACCTCAAAGAAAGACTGGTGACGAAATGCCCTTATCGATAAGGGTTCGTCCCGCGCCGCGCCCAGCCTTCGGAAGATGCAGGGCGGCGCTTGGTAGCCCCTGCGGGTGACTCGTGCCTTCTGGGTGGGTTGATTGAGCGCCGCAGACATTGTACATATCGGTCTTTTGTTGATATTGTTGTTCGACACCATGGGCAAGTCGTATCTTAATCTGGTTAATGAGTGCGATAGGTGAGTCTTCTTTGACTTTCTCGATCGCTGGCTTCTAACTGGACCATCTCGGTGGCAGTTTTCCGTACTACGATGATAACCCCGCATTATACCTGGAACATCTGAAGAATTATCACGTTTTCAAAGTCGCCGGTTGCGATGCCGCCCTGGGATATATCCTGAACTCGACAGTAGAGAAGTTCTTCTCGCTGTCGGAATGCTGGGCTGTCGATTCTGCAAACCGGACCGTCACCCTCGTCGCTCCTGCTGACGCGACACCTGCCCAGCGCAGCGAACTGGTGGCCAAGTCCCTCGATCAGGCTGTGGAACTGGGAACGTTCGATATTCTGAAAGGATGGCGCAACGAAATGTATCCGGTCTATGGACCAGGCGGTGAATTCCTCCTGGAGATGGAACGGTCTGCGACTCCTTTGTTCGGTGTCGTCTCCTACGGCGTCCATTCTACGTGTTACGTGGACGATGAGGATGGTCTCCGCATTTGGGTTCCGAGACGCTCGAGAACGAAGCAAACATATCCCGGTATGCTGGATAACTCTGTGGCGGGTGGTATGAGCACCACAGAGCATCCGTTTGAATGTCTCGTTCGCGAGGCGATGGAGGAAGCGTCCCTTCCGGAGGACGTTGTCAGGGCTAATGCTACTGCTGCGGGCTGTGTCACGTACACATATGTCCGGAGCTCGAAAGCCGGGGGTGAAACCGATCTGGTGCAGCCGGAGGTTGAGTACGTCTTCGATATCAAGGTCGGGGCCGACATTATCCCCAAGCCCTGTGACACGGAAGTCGAAGAGTTCAAGCTGTACACGGTGGAAGAAACCAAGGCGGCAATGGCAAATGGGGAATTCAAGCCCAACTGTGCCATGGTCCTGATTGACTTTTTCATCAGACACGGGATTCTGACTGCAGAGAACGAGCCCGACTACCTGGAAATCATCGCCAGGGTGCACCGCCGCTTTGAGTTCCCAACCGCGTCCCACGTGACGAAGTGAGCTACAACTGACTCGAGATATGAATCAGACCATTGTTGTAGAGAAATGTTTAATGTTCTATTTGATATACCCAATCACCAATCAAACGCCGGCGCTGCAATCAAGTACCCCAATCAATGCAAACAGACTTTTCTGACTATCCGGGAGATTCCATACTTCTGGAGACAAAAATTTGACGGTTCGCGGAATTCCTCTATTTCTTCAGGAGCAGATACACGTAGTCGATTCTCAGGGGCGCCAGCTTCTTGTAAGGACCTTCCAGGTAAAGCAACAGTCCACCGAAGGAGATGAAAACGGCCCTAGACGTAGTTTGTCAGCTCTTGTTCAGACCTCCGCCATGTCAAAGAATCGCGCAGTCGCGCGATTCAGCAGGGAACTTACATGTTTCCCTGGCTGGAACCCTCCTCGAAGCGGTAGACCTTTCCGTGGCAGACGTAGTCGTAGTCATTGGCCAGGGTCTGCTCGCCCATTCCAACCTCCCTCCAGCCCTTCGATCCAGAATCGTCCTTGCCATCCAGAGAGAGCGTCGAGGCCAGGGCCATGGAGACGGATTCACCGACCGCACAGGGGTAGAGCTCGGAGTTCACATCGAGGGTGAAGTGAGTGAAGTTGTCGGTGGAGTTGCAGCTCAGACGCGAGACGCGGTCATATTTCTGCGAGTTGATGGCGGTGATCGTGAAGGTATCTTCGAAGAGTAACGGGTCGGACATGGTTGCGGCGGTGGTTTGAAGCGTTCAATGGATGCCCAATTTTCGCGATAGAGTCAACTGCTGGGTTTGTCCGATTCTGGGATCCGAGGATGCGAGAGTGCGTGGGTATAGAAGGCGTGGTGGAGTGGTAGCATCAGAAAACGAAGGTCGAGGCGGACAGCTTTTTTGTTCGACTTTTAGCGCGCCGCCGCTTTTACTCGCCGGAAGCTGCCCCGCAGCAAATCTTCAAAGGTTCCGTCGGTTCACAGCTTCCAACCCCAACCATCTTACACAATGTCTTTTCGCAAGAGGAACATAGGACTCTCGGCGGGTTTTGATCGCAACGGTGCCGTCAATCCCAGCGCGCAGCCGCAACAGGCACCTGCAACGCCAGAATCGACACCCGGAGTTCGCCCCTCCCCCGATGATGGACGACCGACTACCTCGACAGGAACGCCGTCGCTTGACAACCTCTTAGCCGGGCATGGAGGACTCCCCATAGGAAAGATATTGCTGGTGGAGGAGAATGGAACTACGGACTTTGCCGGTGCATTGCTACGGTACTATGCGGCGGAAGGTGTTGTACAGGATCAGAAGATCCATGTCGTCGGAATGCCCGAGCAATGGGGCAGAAGTTTGCCGGGTCTGATAGGCCCTGCTGATGCCGTTGATGAGAAGCAAGACAAACGAAAAGGCGATCGCATGAAGATCGCTTGGCGGTACGAGCGTCTGGGCGAATTTGGAGCAGGAATTGCTGGATCGAGAGGTAGCCACCCTTCTATCCTGAGATACTTAAGGGCCCGGGGTATTGACAGACGCAGCTTCAGTACCCTCGGGCGATCAGAGCCAATCTGCTACAGATGCAAGCGTGGATAAGCGACCAGCATTCTGCCATGCCTTTGACCTCACGAAACGTCTCACCCACCCTTCCATAACCAACCTGAACTATATACCTCTCGCGCCGTCGAACGAGCCTTTGCTCGTGACGATTCAAAAGCGCCTTCAGGCGGCAATTGCATCATCCCCACCAAACACCGTCCACCGCATCGTCATCCCTTCCTTGTTGAACCCCACGATATACCCACCTGAAACTAGCCAGCCCGATCACCTTTTGCCGTTCCTACACTCCCTCAGGGCATTGATGAGCGCACCTGGAGCCCGGATCACAGCGATGATCACGTTGCCATTATCCCTCTTCCCCCGGTCCACAGGCCTCGTGCGATGGATGGAAATATTAAGCGACGGTGTGATTGAGTTATGTCCCTTCCCGCACTCCTCTGACGCCCTCGCCACCTCGGGGGCCGCTACATCGCACGAAGAACCGCCACAAGGCATGCTGAAAGTCCATCGGCTCCCAGTGCTGCACGAACGCGGCGGTGGCAGTGACCAGAACATCGGACTGGACTGGGCGTTCACGCTGAGCCGGAAGAGGTTTGAAATTAAACCGTTCAGTTTACCACCGGATGAAGGAGACAAAGAAGGACAGGAGGCGGCAGTGACGGGTGGGATGCCCAAGAAGGCGGATCTGGAATTCTGAGATGGTGCGGTGGGTGGACGACAAGAACAACTACCACAGATCATTCTTCGTGATCTGCATTCCCCAACATATCCTCCAGCTCGATCTGCTCGGACATGGCGGAGCCAGTGGTGCCCATCGATCGGAAGTAGTGTCTCCCATACGAGTCACGCCCGGGTTCTGATGAGAAATGAGATCGAAGACGAGAGAAGCCAAGCCATGCTTCGTGCTGTCAGCAGCTATCGTCGAGGATGAAGAGCAGTGTTACCTAGAAGTAGCAGGAATGGGGCGAAGAACACCAAGAATAGTAGCAAGAGGAGGTTCATTGCGGATGAAGTGGCTTGGCCGCTTGGTGAGCTTCAATGATAATCAACGTTTACAGTGGACAGCTCTAGAATCTCTGGCTGCTTGGCCATATCATGACTAAGCATTATTAGTTATACCCTAGCTCAAATAGGCAAAGCGCATTCTGGGCAGCTCTTTAAGAGCTCCCACCCACCGAATATTTTTTCTCGCTTCTATCCTCATCGCTCAACGGCAACCTGGATTTGCTGGTCAAGTCCACGAGCATACTCAATTCAATACTCTATAATGCTGAGTTGTATTGATGGTAAGCAGTGTTCCTTCTTCTGCGTCAATGTCTTGCTTGCATGATTATATAAATACTATAATCTGTCAATCCCCTGAAGCTCACAAATAATCTCATTAAACGAGCATATGTGATTGAGAAACGTATCGAAAATGATTAGCTTTCTTTTGCCGCTTTCATTGCATCATACTTTGTGTGGAAGCTGAACGCTAACGTTCTATCAGTCGCAGCAGATACCATAAATTGCCCCTAGTCACAATGGACATCGAACCCACCCTCCCTATTCCGATCTCGTATATCGCGGGTAGCTACTTTCTCTTCTCAATTGATGCTGTTACGTATCTGAGACGCGAGCATCACATATGTGGCGTCTTAAGCGGCACATTACCCCAAATCCCACAACAGAATGTCTTCCTGGGCTTGCCATTGAAGCTGATGCCTGAAGAGGCGCGGTTGCTCGTGGAGAAAGGTGTAGCGTGCATTGTAGACGAGGTAAAAGTCCAAAAGGATGGAATGCGATCCCTCATGGAGGAGGACCGAAAGAAGTATCTCCGTGAGCTAGAATCCCAGGGCCAGCATGCCATGCGGCTGCAGAACGATCGGAAGGAGCAGCAACGGGAGAAGGCGTTAAAGAAAATAGAAGAAAAGAAGGCGAAGGCGAAGGCGAGAAAGTCTGAGCCGCTGCCTGCTGCCGACGGTCCTAGTGAGGGCTCGGTGGTCGATTTGTTCGCCAACGACCAGGGTCCTGACCAGACCTCCCGTCGGTCTTCCACCGCTGCTCCGTATGGCACGGTGATGGGAGTCACGCCCGCTACGTCTTATCCGCCTCTTCCGTATGAGTCGTCTGCTGAGCAACGGCTGCCGCTTCCTGATGTGCCCTCCTCATATCCATTGTTCGCTCACCTCCACTCCGAGGGCTACTTTTTGTCGCCTGGCCTGCGATTCGGCTGCCAGTATCTCGCCTATCCGGGTGATCCCCTACGGTTCCATTCCCACTTCCTGGGTGTGTCGGCTGAATGGGACGAAGAGTTTGATTTGATGAAGATAGTTGCTGGTGGTCGACTAGGTACTGGTGTGAAGAAGGGATTCCTCATTGGAGGAGCCGAGAAGACAGAGGACGGCGCTGGGGACCCCAGTAGCGTGAGGACTTTCAGCATTGAATGGGGTGGAATGTGATGTTCATCCTCTTCCATCTTTGATCAAGCTTCAATGCTCCATCTGCAGACGTTGCAGCGCATCCTCTACCTGCATCCTAGCAGAATCGCAGGTCGAAGGATGTCACGCTGTACACCTGCCGGGTGCACTAAGTCCAGCAGAAATGCACAAGGACTTGACAGCCCGTGGTTGACATGCGCAGCTCATGATCCAATCATACCAAGGTCAGCGCCTGCCTTACCTACTGGATCAAGGATCTCCAACAGGATCCCAGCGGCATATGACAGAACTTCAGGACTCAATCCGAGAAGGTCCAGGCCAGAAATCTACAGTCGGGCAAACAATAAGAACTCTGAATCTTAATCATTTCATTCGTACACTTTCCGTACTCAAGAGTATCGATAGAGGCCATATATTAAGTCATGCCTCGTAGCGTCGGTCGCCAACTTGTTGATCCAGGGACTAACTTGTCGACCTTCCATCTATTCAAGTCTCTAGACAGCAAGTCTTCATCTGTAGCGGGAGAACTTCGTTTCTCCTAGAGACCCATCGACGCGGAGACTGCGATGTGTCGGCATCGGGCATGCTTCTTGTCAATGGGTGAGCTGTACCAAAGCACTCCAGCTTGATACACGAGCCTATGCCCGACGCATGTCAGTATCGACAGTGCACTTCTTCGCCCAAAGCCACCTCAGTGATATGAGTATGGGCGGAGAATCCAGCTGTAGAGGTCAGTCTCCTAGACTGGGCACCCTCATTATATCGTATAGAGTGATCCACCAATCCTTCTGATAGTCTTCCCACCTTCAAATATAATCCACATTCCTCCACTTGAACTTCTTGTTGGCCCTATCAACAGGCCGATTCTGAAACTGACTGCCATGAAGCTCAAACACAAGCTCCTTCCCCTTGCCAGCACCTGTACCCTCCGTCGCAGATGTCCCGTCCACATCCATGGCCGTCTCCGACACCGGCAAAGGCAGAGTAAAGCGAAAAATCGTCTGCTCTTTCGGAATAGCTAGACACCCAACCAATCAGCACCAACCCGCCCACAAACAAGAAATAAAAAGAAGAACTCACTCTTAACCTCATCCCCCTTGGTAACAACCACAAACGTAAACTTCGTATCCCTAACCACAATGCCCCTAACCCCCACCCTCCCCTCACACCGACTCCTCACAACCTCCACCTCGGCGCCATGAAAATCCGCACTGACAAGTTTACTCCCATGCGCCGTCGGATTCATCGGCGGCTTGAACTTCTTCTCCCCGAGTTCCAACATCTCCTGCATATACCGTACCCACATGCCATGCAGTTCCTGGAAGATGGCATATTTGATTTCTTCCTTGGGGAGGGCGTGGACGCCGGTACTGCGTTTTTCGCGCGCCGTTAGGGGCTGCGGCTTTTGTTTGCGTAGGAAGTAGGTCTTTTTGCGGAGACGGTGCAGGCGGCGTCGGGATCGGTTGTCGGCGGGGGTGGGGGAGGTTGGGCGCACGTAGAGGGGCTTTTGTTTTATGCGTTCGGTGAAGAGCGTTGTTGCTGTGTCGGGGGAGTGGGCGCGGGTGAGGAGGGTGTGGGCGATGTGCGGTTTTGTGGTCATTTTGCTGGTTGGTGGGTCGGTTTGATTTGGTTTGGGTATTGGGGTGCTGGTGAGGTTTTGGTTGGAGTGAATTTGAATTGGCGATATGTGTGGTGAGGAGCGGTTGGTGGTAGTTGTGGAGGTGGTGATGGTGAGGTGACGGAGATGGAGTTGATGGAAAAAAGATGGTTATCGGCCGCTGATAAGATCACATGCTGATTACCGACTACCGTCCTTTGAAGTATACCCTTCGTTTTTAATCTCCAGTGTAAGTCGTAAGTCTCTTTTTCATGTTATCATTTGATCCTGAGGCTCTTCGCAAATCTATTGATATGCGCTCACTGGAGATATCGCGACTTCAGAGCACAATGACCATCGATCTGTAACATATTCTGAAGCATGACAGCCATGAAAGTCCCTTGTCGAAATCTTAGCTAGAAACGCATTTTGTCTGCAAAATTCCATGATACTACTCCGATGATGCATCTAGTTTTGTACCTTCTCAAACTCTCTTACTTGGGGAATGCTGCTAGTTATATTCGTGGCCGATTAATCACTTCTTAAATTGCGCGGATATCTTTACCACAACTGCAGCCTGAACCAGGCTACCACCAGAGTTTAGGTTACCAACTCTAACCTAGATGCGATGCCTCGGTCCGGCTACTAGACATCCTATATAGAGCATCGGGGCTCCCACTCAGAGCAAGCACCATCATCATGTCTACCAATAATCTACCTCCGTTCCCCTCTAATGTGCCAACAGCTCCTCTCGTCCGTCTCTCGCTATCCAAACTACAATCCCACGATGTTGCAGAATCCCAACGACTCCTCCAAGCATGTGAAGACATCGGATTTTTCTACCTCGACCTTCAAGACTCCACGATAGGCGCCAATCTACTCACCCTCGCGGATGAGCTCTTCACACTAGGCGAGAATCTCTTCTCCCTTAGCCTAAAAGAGAAACAGAAATTCGACTTTGCCCGTCAAGACTCCTACCACGGTTACAAAGCACAAGGTGCTGTCGTAGTAGATCGACAAGGCAACCTCGACGCCAATGAGTTCTACAATGTCATTCCCCATTCCTCCACCTATACCTACTTCCTATCACCTCTATAAACTAACCTATATCCAATTCAGGTCTCCAAAAACGACATCCTCGACCTCATCCCCCCTCTCCCCTCTCCTCTCCTCCTCCGCCATTCCCGGCCAATGCTCAAATCCTTCATCCACACCTCCCACACCATCACTATCCTCCTCCTCAACCACCTCAACACCCACCTCTCCCTACCCCCCTCCACCCTTCCTAACCTCCACCGCCTCTCCGCCCTGAGCGGCGACCAAGTCCGCTTCATCAAATCCCCTGCCCCTGTCCACTCCTACTCCACCCGAAAAGCCACCTCCACCCCCACCATGGGCCCCCACACCGACTTTGGCACCCTAACCATCCTCTTAAACCGTCTCGGTGGTCTCCAAGTCCTCTCCCCAAACAGTGAGGAATGGACCTATGTGAAACCGCTCCCCGGTCATGCGATTGTCAACCTAGGTGACGCGATGGTGAAGTTTACGAATGGGAGGTTGCGGTCGAATGTTCACCGAGTTATGAGGCCGCCAGGGGAACAGGGGGGTTGTACGAGGTATAGTGTGGTCTATTTTGCGAGGGCGGAGGATGATGTTCCGCTCAGACGGTTGGAGGGGGAGGGGATTCCGAAGGAAGAAAAGGGAAAGGGAAAGGAGAAGGTGGTGAGTAGTAAGGAGTGGGTGTTGAAAAGGGCGTTAGGGAGGAGGGTAGACTTGGGGAAGGGAGTGGATTATGATGGAACAAGAGGGACGGAGGGGGGCAGATATTAGTTCTACATATAATGGCGGTTTGATCTCTATATAAAGGTCTATTCTGTCTTGATTGCGGATATTCATCTCAATCATTGCTTATTGTATGATACTGGTAGAAATGAAACGAAGCAATGAAAAGGTAAAGATAGAGAACCCAATCTCATGGTTAAAATAATTAAGCATAAATCCCCAAATCAGACCCATCTCATACTTACCACCAAACTGACCAAAGATCCCAGAATACAGCGTACACAATACCCAGCTAAGCTAACCATGCCAAATCAAGAACCCCATACATTGCCCTATCCACAATAAGCAACTACCTAAGCCTGTAAGTATGCATCAATCACCAAACCACACCACCCAAACAACCTGAGACAGTAACAGCCTCGTAACATGCAGCTACCCATCCATCCACCCAGCTGCATCAGCCAGCCCTGACACCCAAATCCATAAAATTGAACTAGATAGGTTGCCTCCTTCTACCGCCAAGAAGGCAACGATGCATGCATGCATGCATATGCATCAATGAGTCAAACAACAGCGCCCTGGGGCCCCATTGTAGGGAGAGATCCTATTCGGTTCCGGTCTGTTGGGTCGCTATGCATCATCCGTACGGGTAGGTAATGAGGTAATGGGGTGAGCTGATGTATTTTGCTTTTGTTCGGGTTCTTTGTTTGCTTTATTTGCTTTGTTTTTGGTGGCGTGTCTTCGTGGGTTTAGGTGGAGGTGGCGGTTTTATTAGGTTAGTTGGTATTGTTCCGGTGGGTTTGTTATTTTATTCTTATCTGGGGTATATCATGGGGTATATTAGTATGTATGTAGGGGTGTGATATCATCAGAGATACAACTCTGACCAAACAAACAGTCAAACTCAGTCTGAATCAGAACCCAGAATATATACATAGAAAAAATTACAAGGATCCACCATCCCAACCACCTCCCACCCGACATATACCCCTCATTCTAGAAGGCCACATGCATGGATTACAGTACATATGTGGCAATCGGGCGCCGCTGCAAGAATCCCACCGAAGCGGTGACAATTCCACCACCGACCTAAGCGAGTCCAGTAAGCATCAAGCAAGGCAGACAAGCGGGGAAAAAGCAATCATGCAAATGACGCAACTAACGGGTATCTGCGGATGGGTCGGCCCTGCAGATTGGATTTGTAATTGTTGGGATACTTTGGTGGTTGGTTATGCTTATCGTTGATACTATAGTTGGATGTTCCCATGATGTATTTGCTTAAATGTACTGGTAATATAGGGCAAGTCTGCAACATATGATAATTGGGGTATTGGGATTTCTCCGGCGGGTCACGACGGATCGGACCGTGTGGAAGTTGGTCAGTCCCATACATCCATCCTTTGGATGTATCGGATGACAACCTACGGAGTAGAGGCTTGCTAACGCGACAGATAGCACAAGGTGACGCTTCAATTCTCGGAAGATCGGCTAATCGACACAGCCATGTACTGAAGCACTTCGATCGGCGTAAGGGGTATTATTAGGATCACGATAGCCAAGTAAGCGTGCGGTTGGAAAGGTTACACAAGATAACGATGTCGTTCTCTGGCGAGATTCGTACCGAGGGGCTACGATGAATCCCAGATAAAGATTCGAGTACTCCGTATACGATGGAGTACTCTGCTGTAAAGACCCAAGTCCCGATCAACCCACCCACTCCTCTCTACCACAGTACCACCACCACCACCACCACCACCACCACTACTACTACTGCCCATAAATCGGTACTTTATCCCATCCCCACTTCACTACCCACCCCACCAGCATCACCAGACCACTCGTACTATGTAGTTCGGCCCCTCAACCACCATCTCACCAGCCCTTCAACTCAAGTCTCAATCCAATCTAACCCGCATCAACTATCAAATGATCAACACAACGGTCACACACCAACCCCAAACAGGAAGGAGACTTAATCCGGTGCATGCAATATCGCCCGGCGCCCTCGGTCCATTACCAGATAAGGATAGAGAAAGGCTGCGTGGTGCTGCAGAGTCGCGTCGACGCCATTGCGTCGATCGCCAAGCTATTTCGTCGTATCGGAAAGATCATCCTCTTGGATTATCCGGTTCGGGGTAAGCGTAACGGCTGGATGGGTGGGTGGGTTGTGGAGATATGACAGCTGGCTTGGCTGGGCTGGTCTGGTCTAAGTCTGGTTTTTGGATTGCGGTTAGGGGTGTAGACTGTGGAGGGATGGGTGAATGAAGTACTATTCAACCTCTTTGATGAAAATAACTAGACAGGAGGCATATCCATCCCTATTTCCTTGGTAAATGACAGCAAGTACCGCCACCAACACCCCCAACCATAGAATACTAAATATGAATAAGTACTAGTATCTACCATATACATAGTATCATCCTAATAAAATCACAAATATACCCACCAGAACTGACAGTTGCAGAAGCATCCGGGCCACCACCAACGCAACCCAACCCAAACTAGCGGGTCCTATAGGTAATCCGCTCTGTGCTTAAAGTTGTCTTCTGCATGGGCATTCCATTCCACATTGGGACCTTGGCACGTCATCACGACCTACTATGTACATAGTACTATGTACTTACGGGGTGGGATATCACAATTATAGAATAAATACATACAAATCGTACACTTTCTTTATTGGTGAGTAGATAGATAGATAGAAATACGAGTAGAAGAGGTGAAAAACCGCCAAGACCTACGATACATCCAACCAACCGACCCGAACACACCACACCAAAATATCGTGGATAATCAAATCTACAAAACTATTCTCCTGATAGACCAGATGAGAAAATTGATAATACGTATCGTAAATCCAATATTGATACTCCATAAGCACCTAACCCACACCATTAGCCCAGCCACCAACACGATCTATCAAGATCCGTGCATGAACTTCCGTCTTCCGGCCGAATCCTTGTCTCGCGGGATTTGGTCGGTGTTTGCATCTCCCCAAGGCCCTGCTTCAGGGGTTACCAAGATGTACCGACGTAGCGTATCTGTCTCCTGGGGGGACTTATTTTGGGAATAGTGGTACTACTACGGAGTACTATAAGTACTATTTAATTCTGCTTGGAAATTGCGGTGGTACCGGGGGTTTGGGTAATTTGATTAGTAGCTATCTGGCTAGGTAGCTGTCTAGGTAGCTGACAGGCTAAATACCAATCACTGCAACTGAAGGTGCGCTTGGACTCTCTCTGCGGCAGTAAAACCAGGTAGTCGGGTTAGACAGGAAACCTACTTCCTACCCAATGATACCCAGGAAATTGTTCGTTACACGGGTACAGTGTACTGAGGAGGGAATACGGAGTACAGTAGGAGAATTTACCCCGTCGTGCATCATGCGATGCGCTATCACTCCGGCTGAGAGGAAAATCGCCAAAGCGTCGGGAGCTGGAAACCGCCAAGTCAACATCGTCTTGCGGGGCGGTGGATACCCTGGTCTGGATCCAGACCACCGAAGATTATTGACCAGTCTCTCGGATTGTCCAGGTAATATCCCGGGTTATTATGGCTGTCCCCTACTCCCTAACGGTAGAGTACTCCGTACTACTGGCGTGCTATGAATGTACAGCGGGGCGTCCACCGTGGGATTTAGGTTGGGACCAAGTGGCTCTGGCCTCCCGACCAGCTGGCTGCTAGTGGCTCCTGCTCGGCCCAGGTTGCAGCATTGTGCCACCCTTCGATGTGTTTGCCACGGCGTACAAACTAAGCATACCAGTTAGGATACACTGCAGGGGTACTGGCCATACTGGTGTCACAAAGTAACATCATGGTTTGAACGATGTCGCCAACCACCGTTGCATCTCCAGTCTGTGGCACTTGAGACTGGCAGTGGTCTGGACTGCTAATGCACGTAACAGACGCAACGTTGGTACTCGTCCTGCCAACTTGCTGCATGATAGATTCATTGTAACCAGCAACTATCTACCCAGTACTGATCCTCACTTTTGCCAATCGCTCTTCAACCCGTCGAACTAACTCCGGGTCCGGTTTCGGCTTGTCTCGGCGAGGTCTGCAATAATCAGTAACCGTTAGACACAGAATAATCGAGAACTTACGGGTCTCGTATCGACTCAGGTCCCTTTTCTTGCCCACAATTAGAGCACTCTCGCTCCCCCGATCGGTACAATGTCGAACACCTGTGGCACGTATACCGTACGCGCTGTCGGGGCTTCTTCCAGGTCCGTGCGGGAGGTTCTGCGGGAGCATTGGCATCCCCAGGATAACCATGCGGATATTTGTTGGGTTTGGATCTGAGATAATTAGCATCACTTTAAGACACAATCGGGTGGATGACGCACGGTTCGCGAGGGCACATCGTGCACCGAATATGCTGGCAAGCAGTGCATTCTGTAGCATCCGGACCGAACACAGTACTACATCGATGGCATGTACGTCGAATTCTCTGTCGGGGTGGTTGATGGACAACATCCTGGCCGCCAGTGCGCGAGGGCATGGTGAGAGGTTCCTTGACTTTGCGCGGCACCGGGGCCGTTCTCTGCATTTTCTGCGCGACAATGGCCTGGAGTGCCGCTTGGGTGTCATCCCGGTGGTCGTTGGACTTTGCAGGGGGATATTGAGGGCAGCTCTTGCAACGGACATGTTGGCAGTTGACACAGACTTTGTCGGGGCCGAATGTGGTCTGGCAGCGGTGGCAGGTCCGGCGCACTCGCATCCGAATCGGTCTAACGACACGCTGCACGGTGGTGCCGGTGGGCGATCTCCATTCTCCGGGTTCCAGGGTCAATCCGTATTTGGCGAATAAAGCCCGTGCCTTCTCTTCCTGAACGGTGCCCCAGTTGGTGAAAACGGTCGCGTCGGGAGTAGCTTTGCTAACGGGAATCTGCGGGGTAGCTTCAGGACTGTACACAAGTTAGCGCTACAGAGATAATCATGGTGGAAGTACACACGTACGCAGGCCGGCTTGACTCGGGTTCTCCCGATTTCTGCATGACTGGCGCAGAGGGAGGCTTGACCATCGAGGTCCTCCTCCAAACCATCTTCATGCGCTTGACATATTTGGACAATCCCTCTTTATTGCCCTCGTTGGGAGGCGGATCCCTCTGGGCGGACATTTCTGGTCGGATGGGTTGGTGTTTATATTGGATGCCAGTCAGGTCGGATTCTTGGTGACGTATGGTATCGACGGGTGGTTGCTTTGGTAAGGGCTGTTTAGATCATCCCAGCGGAAATTGTGGCCGTAGTTATTAAGAAAGTAGGCGGTTGCGGAGCCTAGATGGGGTAATGCCACGGAGGGTGGAAAACGAGGGAGCCACCGGTTAAGTATGGCAGGTCGCACGGGCGTGTACCGAAACCGTAGGCTTGGGACACCCGACGAGACGGTGAGATGGTCCAAACCCAACAGAAAGGGTCGCAGGGAATGGAACAGCCGGGGCGACAGCAGCGAATGATTGGTTGAATGGCGGTCAGATCCTGTGGACCGGCGTGGATGTAATTGAAAGAGACGTGACGTCGATTACTCCAGCTGGGTAGGGTGGAGGGAAGCTTGAGCAAACCACTGGCCAAGAAAGTCCGGGAGACTGAAGACGGGGAGGAGAGGAAGATTAAAAGAAGGCAAACGACCAGCGCGAGCCGAACGTCAAATAGAAGCCGAACAGACTTTCTGGGGGACCGACGAGCGAGAGGGGGTGGGTAAGGAAGTGTATGTAAAGTAAAGTCAGTCGGAGTGGCAGGCGACTAAACTCACTAAGGGGAGTGGCACATGGCTGAGCGATGCTCTTTCTGTTCGTTCTTTTTCTTTTTCTTTTTTTTATTTCCTTTCTTTTTTCCTATTTTATTTTATGGTCTGTATTTTACCTCCCCTCCTACGTTCCTGATAAGAACCCTCTTAATAATTCCCCCTCCGATATATTAAGGACAGCATGGAACCAAATATTGAAATAATCGCCAAATAAGGAGCAGGTGCTAACAAAGTCAATTCTGAACCCCCAGTGCACTCGATATTATTATCCGTATCAATCAACCACTCCGGGCTGAGTATAGCTATCTGATCCAAAGAAAAAGATCGGTACCATAGGTTGAAGGAACCTCCACGATCCGGAACAAAGAGAACCTGAACAGAAGAACTCTGGAATCAGGCACAGAGCAAGCAATCTGCAGTGCCGATAGGCCAACCTAGTCAGGAGCTGGTTGGTTGATATCCGCCTCATAATCCTCATGCAGCAGGATTCCCAGCAACTAGCGGGCGAACCGATGCGACGGGGCCCTTTGGGACGCTGGGATGGAGTCTAATGCCGTGGCACCCTACCCACTCTGGAACAACGCCCGAACCCACCGTCTCGCCTGGGTCTGAGATAGGCGATGGCCGCGCCAGAAGCGTGGGTAGTGGGATTGTCTCCTGTCCTGGCTTGGGATTAGAAACATCCAGTGTCTGCTGGGATGTTGAACTTTAGGAAATAAGGAATGGTCCCCGAATCGATCTGGCAATCTGCACGGTCGGAGCCGGGAGGATGATGTCAGCTGCGACAGTGTATCGAACTTACCGCGTTTTATCCGGTATGCTTAGGCGGCCAGACGGTGTATTTTATTTCGTCAGATACCCCGACAGCCGCGCATGAAGACGATCGTGATGATACTATTCCGTATCATTGGCAGGGCTGTATGAAGACTGAACAGTTGATTACTGGACAGACCGTTGCTATGCATAATGACCCATGAAAGGACGTATCGACGCCAGCAGACAGGCCCCAGCCAGGGAAGGACATCTGACGGTGCCGCTCCATAGGTCAGACAATAGCTACCTAGCCTGAAGAATCAAGCCCATGAGGTCATTGGCAGATTGCGAGGGATCCTTTTCCCTGGCTTCCTTCATTTGGCGCCGGGATAGCGATGCAACCTTCCATAAGGAGCCCGCGAAAAACCTCCTGAGATGAGTTTCGGCCGAAGCGTAGGAGCAAAACCTAATAATTTATCCTAGATTAATAGAGGAGCCTACGGTGTATTCTGAACCTGTTCTAGAGCGGTGGCGGTTATATAGTGTCCCAAAGAACACCAGTATACCATGGATACGGAACACTATACCAGCTATTTATCCATGCATAATTCTGTAACTAGCTCGGACCCCCAGAAAAGAAAAAGAAGCAAAATGTGTTTAACTCCGATATATCCATCATCTCATTATCGAGCATGAACTGCCATCTCCAACAAACTCAGCTCCAGTAACAGGCTAAACCAAAACCGCCAGAATTCTAGACTCACCCGAGCTGAAACCCGCCGCCAATCTACCTCAGCTACGGTATAGTACGTCTCCATACCGAGCTAATCCGAAGTCCCTCCAATAGCCGGGTACGTAAGGTAACCAACCAACCAACCAACCAACCAGTCCGAGACGGCGCGACCGCAACATCCCAGGTTCCAACTTACCATCCCAATGGACTGACTGAGTTAGTCCATGCATGATGCATGACACAAACCGACCAGCAGTCAAGTAGTCCTGGCCCCGATCCTACCAAAAACCAAATAAATTAGAAACGGCAACGGCTTCATGCAGCCTGTCTGCGGCTGGTCCTCGGGGCGCCAACTCAACTCGCTACCTGACTTCCCCTACTTCGCTTCGCTTCGACCATGTACAACGCGGGTTGCGTCCAGTAATTTGTCAGAGTGATGCACCCGAAGAACCTTAACTTGCAGTCTGACGGGGGGATTCTATCGGAGAAATTTCACACCTACCGGGTTGGAAGCCTGTGGTCTCCACTGGTTGGTTTGAAGAATACCCTTGGGTTGGGTGCCTTGTTCTTTGCCTGAGCCTGAGCCTGATTCAGGGACGGGGACACATGGCCTGATGAAATGCTTATTATTGCTGCAACCGTGGTTATTGTTACCATATCCATCTGTACGGAGTATCCGGACCTGTCGTGAGTCGGTATTCATTTTGGGTTTCCTCATTATTGATTCCAACTGCGATCGAGGAAGGCCTAAGGTCTAATTCACCGAACATTAGCCAGAACTTACCAACCAGATCCTCCCAACGCACCCTGAACCAGAAAGAATGAGGTAGATTAACAATACCACCCTACAATCAAAGAACAAACAACCTCGAGCCAAACAATCGGGTCCAAAACCCAGCCAGCGCCCCCCCCTCTCTAGTCTCTACAGGGCTGAATCATCTCACAACAAGCACCTTCATCCTCCCTCGGCGTCAGCTTCACAATCACCGCTGACCACCAATCTCCGCGATCAAAAAGGGAGCTTGGGCCCAATCATATTCGTCCGTCCTGGCTGGGATATCCAGTCCCAGTGTCGCGGAGAGAGGACCGAAAGGAACGTAGGTGGGTGCCGGCAGTGCCAGGTGTCAGAACTCCTGCCTGATGGGGACTAGTGAGCTGCTTTCTTAATCTCCACTGTGGGGCGGGGGAAGGACGTATGGTGCTAGTATTGGGGGTTGAGATGAGGGATGGGGTTTGAGTTTTACGGTCTGTTACTTACGGTTCCTGGTTGGTATATCTGATTACTTAGGAGCTATCTTCATGAGCTTCATGAGAATTCGCTATGAGTTAGACGAATGGTCTTTCGCATGACCATAAACTGTCCATTTGAAATACCACCTATAATCACTCACTACTCCGTATGAGGTACCATAGTAGGCATAGAATCCACTTCTACCAATTATCACCCCCAGACCAACCCCATCCCATCACCATCACCACACATCATCTAACATCTCTCTGTACAACCTACCCTACCCGATCCCATCCCTAGCAACAAATTCCAATATCCCAATATCCCAGCAAGGACGAACCAGACCGACACCTAACCAACCCTTCATTCCATCCGATTCATCATCCATCTTACCCATCCATCCCCAAGTATGTATCCTCGGCTACCAACACGATACATACTCCATACTCCATACTCCAACCAGATCGGAAATAAACTCCATCTCCATCTCCATCTCCGTCTCCGTCTCCGTCTTCCTCTTCCGATAAACCTTACTTTTTCGCCTTGAGACTATCATTCCAGACCAATCTTTGTAGTATCTACACACATAATACAACCCTCTCATGTCTATACGCTATCTATACCCTCGATATACAGAGACCCAACCATCTACAGCGTACATATCTTCTAACCATACACATTCAAGATAAGTATACATCCGGACACAAACCAAATCGAACAAAGTTCAAGCCTTCCACCAAGTGGACCCAACCCCAACCCAACCCCAACCCACCAACCAAGCTCAGTAACCTACAGCAGAACATCCATCCACCCAATGTATCAAGTCCCCATACACCATGCCCTGGAAAAGGCTTCCGCCCCATTCCGCAAGCAGATTGTATACCGGAAGGAGAGAAGAGGTGGGGGGGGGACGAGGGATATAATCCGGTATGTATGTATGGAGTACTCCGTACTCCGAATGCTTATAGATATGTATAATGATGTGAGTGGTAGATGATGACGATGAGGTTATTCTTGTCGATCAGATGCAAGGGTCAGGGCTTTGTGTAGCGTTATGACAAATTCTTAGGGGGAAATTGTATGGTTCGGGGATTTAGCGGGGGGGAGGCGTAGTCGGAGGTGAGGTGAGGTGGGATGGAGATTGTGCTGGGTTGTGTTGGATTGTGCGGGTGTGCTAGCAGGGTTTGGCCTGGGGGATGGTTGTTCATTCCATCTATTGCTTGGCGGGGTGCTACGGTATGGATTTTCGGATATGAAACGTATGAACGTATGGAATTTCGATCTAATTAAGCATGTATACAATGCCAGCACCGTCATTAGAATGCATCTGGCGTGAAAGGCCTATATATAGACCTGAACGTGGTCAACCATCCATCTGTCCCTGGAGGCTTCTCCGAGCCTAGTCCTCGCTTTGCAGCTTCGATTCAATAGAGATTATGTCCTCATCTTCGTACACTTCAATGACGCGGTTGACCTCCGCTGTGTTGCGCATCAACTCGACCGCTCCTGCATACATCATGCGCATCGACGGGTTGCAGTTCTCGGGGAGGTAGTAAAGGAGGACGTAAGGAACGGTGAGGCGACCGGACGCCTAATACCAAGTTGTTAGTTCTGTCGCAATGAGGATTTCATGGGGATTGGGGAATCACCAAGGTAAGGGGGTAGCTGAGGAGGATAAACCGAGGGGACGATTCAGGAAGCTCGTCGGCTAAATCCTCCATCTTGGAATAAACCTCGCCATCCTCTGGCCGGATCTCTTGGCTCTTATTATCGATCACATCTGTGAACCCTCTTGTCAACCACCATTCTTCCGAGATAGCCAACGTAAACGAACACTCGCGCCGTGCTGCGACGGTTGTGCTTATGACAGATAGCGGGGCTATGAAGCAACGACAGGAGACGGGATCCTACAAATGATGGCCTGCGGATCCTTAGCGCGGGAGGTCCCCAGGCGGAACTTGCGAAGTTTCTCTTTGGTCTCGGGGGAAAAGGAGTAAAGCCGTGATTCAGACTGTAGACAGGATTTCAGGTTAGCAGGGGGATCGTCACTACCGGCACGCGATGCGGGGCAAGATCTCCTTACCATGTTGGAAAGGGGAAATGTCGTAGGGACACGGAAGGAGAAATAGGTCGGTCGAGGGCGCTAAGAGCAAGAAGAATAAAGGTGCCCCAGACGGGATGCGAGCGGGGATAAGAGCTGTTGGTTGGCGATGGTCTTGCCCGAAGTCTAAGGAGCAAGCAGGAGGTGCTCCGCGTTTTCGGGCCGGTGGGATGAAGTTCCCCACCCGCGCTGCTGCTCGCTCCTCTTCTTCTCCTTCAATCTTCTCCCCGCCCGCGCTTGATTGTTACTCCGCCATTCACTTTCTCCTTTCCCTCATGTTCAGTCGTCTCAGTCAACTGACCCGCCATCTCTCGCGACCGTCTCTCAACCTTCATCCCACGCCTGCGATCGCATCGCCATCTCTTATCTCGCCTGTGCTTCGTGCGCCCTTCCCCAAAATGACATCATCCGTTCTCCCGAAGAACAAGAGGACCATCCATACGGCAGCATGTTTGATCATTGGTGACGAGGTCCTAGGTGGAAAGGTAAGAAAGATATGAGCCCGACCGGCGGCCACTGTTTGGTCCAGGTCCCTTGATATAGATTTTCGCGCATGCATCGTGTTTCTGCCCTGAACCAAGACTGACGTGACTCCGACACAGACAATCGACACCAACTCCGCCTTCTTCGCCAAATACTGCTTCTCTCTGGGTATCCAGCTGAAGCGCATTGAAGTGATTGCAGACGATGAGAGCGAAATCATTGAGGCAGTTCAGCGTATGAGCGACCGCTATGATTTCGTCGTCACCAGTGGAGGCATTGGTCCAACGTCCGTACACCCCCACATAAATTGAAACCCATGCGAACGTGAATGCTGCCTGTGGCTTAGAAAGCTGACTTGTCTATGTCGCGAAACCCAAAGCCACGACGATATCACTTATGAGTCGATAGCCAAAGCGTTCGGACTGAACCTGAAACTTCACCAAGCCGCCTTTGAGCGTATGAAGAAGCTGTCCAAGCCTCACCCCATGCAGCCAAACTTCGACTGGGAGACTCCATCGCCTAGTCTGACCGCGAAGTTGCGTATGGTCGAGATTCCCCACGACGAAGCTCTGCCGCTGGAGGAACAAGCGGTGTTCGTTGCGGACGACATGTGGGTGCCGATCGCCATTGTCAACGGCAACGTCCATATCCTGCCGGGTGTTCCTCGTCTCTTTGAAAGGCTGCTCGAACACCTGAAGCCTAACCTGCTGCCGCGGCTGCTCAACCCTGAGGGAAAGGGCATCTATCGCTACCTGTTCAGCACACCACTTCCAGAGAGCACAGTCGCCCCATACCTGACAGAACTTGCTGCCCGAGTTGCTTCAAAGAACATCAAAGTTGGCAGTTACCCGCGGTGGGGAAATAAGCGCAACACTGTCACCCTTGTGGGCACCGACAAAGAGCTTATGGACTCGCTGATCCCGGAGGTCGAGCAGAATGTGGAAGGAAAGAAGGTTATCCGAGAGGATGAATTGGATCCTCCATCTGATGCGGAGGAAGGCAAATGAGTGAAACGCTGATAGTCACAACATACCTTGCGTACTATAATGGCTAGATATGTAGACAATGGCACGCCCATTTCACCGGATGGCCGCATTCCGACATGTATGGACGTGAAGCTTTTGTTGCCCGGCGACGATGCTGTTCTTTTCCCACGACATCCACTTTGCAGTCAGCGTTCAGTTGAAGCGTTTAATCTGAAAGTGGAGGAAACCGACCACCGAGTCGCCAGAAACCACGGGATCTCAAAGTAACCCACCGTTTGCAATGTAAAAACCTGACATACTGAACCACGGCCTATAGATTCCTCGCGTTTGGATTCAGTTTCCGACAGAACGGGGAACTGGGAGCTTATTTTCACAGGTGTCAAGAAGTCCAGAACCAATAAGATTATCCAATATTTCAAGTGTATACACGAAGAAAGAAGCCAAAACATAGTAGGATAGAGATGCTTATTGCGCGCCGCTGTTGAGTGCAAGATAGGAAACACGAATTGAGGAAGACGAGGAGGGAACAAACGCGAAAGAGACAAGAGATGAAGCGATACCAAGTTTTTGGAGCGATCACCGCTCATACCCGACAAATTGCGGATGATCACGAACCAATCGAGCACCAGCATATAGCAATCAACAAGTGACAAAAAATCACAGTTGAGAAGAAATGAGATAGTCAAAAAAGAGAAGATGGAAATATGCTCGATGCATATAGAGGGTCAAACGGATGAAAGTAAAGGCGATTAGAAAGCAGATCATCAGCGGCTGCGAAAAGGTCTGAAAGCTCGTTCAGCGCGATCGATGAGACATATGAAACGATGATTCTGCAGCCCAGGATACCACATGCGAACCGCGACAATAGTGTACCTATATTAATGCACAGATCTATTGACAGGCCCCGTTCTCGTCCTTTCAAAGATCGAGAAATCGTCAAGAAAGTAATCTTTCAAAAAAAAAAAAAATAATAATAATAATAAACAAAATAGAGGAACAAAGGGGGAATCGAACGTTCATGGAGACGATGGCGGCATTAGGGTGGGAGCAGACATCATCTGATAGCGAGGCTCGTATGGTATAATGATCACAATCCAAAAAGCGTCGACAAGCCACATTCCGCAATGAGACAGTGGCCCGTATCTGTTGCTGATCTCTTTCCAGCCGGGTAAATGTAAGTGTTTTGTTTCCTTCCGTATCTCGACCTGTATATTCTTTTAGATCCAACGCCTGTCCCATTACATAATGATACATTTTCCACAGCAGCCTGCGTCATCGCCAGGCTCACTGACGTCCATCTTGCCTTCCGGGGCGCGGGAGCCCCCGCCAGCGCCAGATGGATACGATGACATCTCCTTGTTATAACGACGGATTTCGCGCACGAGGTCGTAGAAAGCGTTTTCCACGTTGATGCGGGACTTGGCGGAGGTTTCGATGAACTTGCAGCCGAACTCCCGTGCGAGCGCCTCACCCTCTGTCGGAGAATATTCGTCAGCCGCACCCTCCACGGTAAGCAGATGCCGGGTCGGGAAACCCACCTTCTTCGGAGACAGCTCTCTCCTTGTCCAAATCGCACTTGTTACCAACCACGATGATGGGGAAGTAGTCCTTGTCCTTCACTCGTAGAATCTGTTGTTGGAAGGTCATGATTTCTTCGAACGATTGACGCGATGTTATCGAGTACACTAGAAGAAAGCCTTCGCCGGTTCGCATGTATTGTTCACGCATCGCCGAATACTCCTCCTGTCCAGCAGTATCCAACACGTCCAGCAAAGCCACCTCCTCGTCAATGACGCACTGCTTGCGGTATGAATCTGTTCAAAAGAGATATCGGATAAGCCACACGGTCGGTAAGCTATAGCAGAACTCAGCGCCCACCTTCAATTGTCGGGTCATATTCATCCACGAAGTGGCTCTGAATCAATTGAATTGTCAAGCATGACTTTCCGACACCACCACCACCGACAACAACCAGTTTATATTCTCTTAAAAACTATACGCGATCGATGTGAGCCATTCGTCACGTTTTCCGCAGCGAGGAGTGAGAGATCATCAGGGAAAGTCGGGAAGGGAGGTGGGAAGCACATGGGGGCCAATGACGGAAACCGAAGGCGCAGCGACAAAGCTTACCTTTGAAGCCATTATGGTATGTTCTGGCCTGAATTATGCTGTGAAGGAGGGAAGGGGGGGAAGAGCAGCGGTGATCGAAGCTATCCCAACAGGAGCTGTGACAGCGGGTCGAAGGAGCAGCAACACAATTTTCTTTTGCAGAAGGGGACAAGAGTCGGGGCCCAGGTCGTCGGGAGTTTCGCGCAAAGCAGAGGCGCCTAGAGGGCAGTCCACAGCGACGGCGGGTCTAGTAATTAGGCCAAGCTTAAAGCAGCAGACGGGGGGGTAAGAGTGATGGTGCGTGTGGAAGGAGGATCAGGGGGGGCGGTTCGTGGAACTTTGCAGCAGGCGGAATCGAAGGCGAGCCGGCAGGGTACTGCGTGTCTGCAGTTCGTCTTGTCCCAAACCGTCCAGATGGCAAAGGCAAAAGGAAAGAGAAGGCTACTAGAAACAGCTTCGAAAACCAGGGTGGATTCCAGGAGGGAAAAAAGAAGGAAGGGAAGAGACAGGGTGGAGAGAGTGGGAGGGGAAAGGGGAGAGGATGATGATTAAGGAGAGTTGGACCAACTGAGGAACGGAGGTGGGGATAGCAGGCCAGCCCAGAAAGGAGTCTAGATAGAGAACTAGAGGCTAGAGAGACCCAAGGAAAGGAGGTTCAGACTTCAGATTTCACAGACACCAGCCAGAAAAAGGAAAGAATTAATCGCAGCCCAGATGGGCGTCGTGATTGGTATGGGATAACTATCCCTACTTATGATCTAAAGAGTCTAAGAGAGCCCTCGGCCATCTGGATCGTGGATAAATTGATAGGGTGCGGCTACTGATTGGAAGGAGAGGGAGAAAAAAACTACTAGTCGAAGGGCATCATCTCACCACCACGCCTAATCAATAATCATAGTAATATAATCATCGTCTACCTATTGCAGTAGGCCTAGGTATTATTATTACTGCTAGATAAATGCTACGAGGTACTCCGGACTGCTACGAGACTGGCGCCAGAATGAAAGGGGGAAGCGAGAGGAGCGCGAGAGTCGGCGAGCAGGACAGCCAGTGAGTGGAGTGGGCGTGGTGGCATTAACCGGCGACGCGTGTGGATTCGGCCACCCAGCCAACTGTTTAATTTCACTGGTACCGGCTTGGCCCACCCGCCGATAATAATTAACCTCAATCGTCCGATCGTGAGATATGGCCGGGCTGCCAGGTCTCGAATCCGTGCCAGCTACCCCAGAAACCACCGCAGCATGGTGCTAATCCTATCAAACCCCCTCGCGGGTTGGATCATCTTGGATCGGGTACAACGGTGGTCAAGTGGAGGCCAGGACAGGGAAAAAAATGAGTCAGTCCGGGGGGGGAAGAAAAGAAAAATGGTTGCATGGCGAGGTGGCCTGAAAAAAAGGGGCCGGGGAGAGTAAGAGAGCCCATCCCAGGGCACACAGATTAATGATCCATTGGGTTTAGCTCCTGCCAGCCAAAGGATTACCACTTACCATCAGAATACCACCGCAGCAGTCCGTAGTGACTTTAGTTTTTTGCACAATCCGACTCCGAGTCTCTCGACAGGCCATTAATCGCATCGCCCACAGATTAATCTTCACCAGCTCCACCGCTTAGCGCCGGTCGTTAATGCTTCCACCGTCTCCATCCGAACCCCCTCCCCCCCTGAGGGTCTTTGCCCCTGCTCACCTTACGCAACACAGTAAACGAACAAATAGCTCCCGAATTCCAAGCCAATCGCTGAGCAGCCTGCTCGGTGGATTTGGCCTTTTCTTGACTCTGCGTCCCGCTCCGGTTCCTTGAGAGTTGAACAGTTGAACTCCTTCGGGCCCAGGATGCAGTCGCCTTACTTACGCAAGCACTGTAGGAGAGACCGACAGCAGACGAACACCCATCCGTTGATAATAACTTTCCCGTCCGGGCAGTTCAAAACTCGGAACGATCCATTGGACTAAGGGCCCTGGACGTTACAATTTAATAGGGAGGGATGGACCGGGTCGCCCTCATCCTTCCTCATCATTCCATTCCATCCGAGTGCGTGTGCCTTTCCCGCGACCGTTTCCTTCTAGAAGGCTAGAACCATTCTCAGCCTTAACAGATGCAACGTGACAGCTCCGATTTGACACAGCGACTTACATCATAAATCGAAATATTGAGTCTGGGTTCTTTAGGCTTTGTTCTGGCTCTGGCTCCAGCAAGCGTCACTTGTCCCTGAGGGAGGACAATGGATCCCAAAGGAGCCTAAAATAGGCCAAGGCCGAGTTCAGGATGTTCTCCACGCCTCCACTTGCCCAAGGTGATATATTGGTCTGTGAGACCGTCCGATCCCATAATCCAGCGGTGCTCAATCACAATTGGCGAATCAGGCAGCGGCCTCAACACTCCTTGCTCATTCGGTGATGGGCGGAGTCATCGGCATGGGCGATACCCTCGAGTGTCAAAAGATGACGTCCCGCAAATTCAAACCCTAGAAGTCCGAACACTTTGGTGCTTCCTTGCGTCCTGCTGCAGGCTTGGGACCTTCTGCCTTGCTGTCGTATCACTTGCTGCAATGTCGCTCGTTGATCTTCCTAACACTGACCCTAGGGTCAACTGAACCCACCCGTGTTCCGAGCCATGTCCCATTGCCTGATTTTACGGACAAATGCTGATCGCGGAAATCTCTTCCATCCTGGCCGACACATCACATTATTGACAGGACCAAAGCCTCACTGTGGATGTCCTTGGCTCGAATCTGGGTATCTGATTCCCCAGGTACAAAGTACAGAACACCTGCGCCGTCCCTGCGGGGTTGTCGGGTATGCGACCGAGATCAGTACCTGTCAACTGCTTAGTTGAATGTACCAGTCATACTCCAGACCATGTCCATGTGCCGGATGCCCGACACACTGTCAAACATTTGCCTGCGTCGGTGGTCAAACGGCAGAGCATTAGTGTCTGCGAAGCTACCTGAAGTGCATGCCCGCTGTAATCGCCGTTCGAATCACTTTAATATCTAGAGGCTTAGTGTATCTTCGAACACGGGCAATGATTGATGCCCGAGGCCACAAACATCAAACATGTCCACCATGACGTGGTCAGACACCCGACATGCAGCATCAAGCCATAGAAGCCACGCACATACGGAGTACTCTACCTTCGACGCAAAGTTCATAAACTGGGTGGGGTAGTTCTCTTTCTATCTATCATCCTCTCCAACGCCGGTCTCCTCCATGACGCATCCATCAACGCCTTCCCGTGTGGACAGATGTCAACAATAACCTTGTTCGCTGACTGGTGCATATTCAAATGATCTGCGAAGTACGGGCCTCGCCGACCATGCCACTGACTTTTGGCTGACACAAACTCTGAGCCACCAAGGGGTCATAGCTGCCCCTTTTCGGGTCTCGGATATTTGCCTACCTTTAACCACCAAGAACTAATTTCAAATTAATAGTCCAGCACTACTTTCTCGACTAACTTATCGCCTAGCAATTCCATAAACCACCCGTTGATCCCATACTAGATAAATACTAATCTTCACATGCTTGGAGACAATAGTCTAGGCTGAAGATAACTCACTCGTTCCTTAGCCCCCACGTCATATGCAGGGGCAGATAAAGCTTGGGGGCCGGCCGGGGTTCTCCGCCGGTGCGCTGCGCTGCGTTGCGTTGCGTTGTTTCCCGGCACGTCAAGCTCCGAATGATACCTCTGGGAGTCTTCCCCTCTTCAAATAAGCGAGATCAACTAGTAACTACTGCGTATCCTGGAATTTTATTCATGCTTTCGTGTCAACAGTACTCCGTAGGAGCAAGTAATATCAGCCCTGGGTACTTCACTAGCGCCACTATATATTATCAGGATGCCGACTCAGACCAATAATAACAGCTATCCACATAGTGCAAATAGTGCAATTATGCTAGTCCTATGACAAACAAGACAAGTTACCGCAGGACGCGACATAAAATAGTGAATCCCGGGGGATTGAATGCTGTTCGTCGTAGTAACATCCTACAACCTATTCAATGATTTTATATAGAATCAAGTCCATACATCCCAAGACTCACCGTTTATCTCCCACCGACAGAGTGTCATATCTATCTACAAAATTCGAGAAAAAAAAAATAAGAAAAAAGAAGATAAGGTAAATATTTATTCATAGTTGTTGGTTTCAAAGAACGGTAAATACATGCCAGACCAACGCAGACCAGACCAGCTACCTAGAGCTTTTAAAGCGATGGCTCCCTAAGGAATAACAACCAAGTACTGCAGATGCAAGGTCCCGTCCAACAATCAAGCGGGCGTCGATATTCTTTTTCCAGATGGAAGAAGGAAGTGAGAAAAGAAGAGAAGATAAATCCTATGCTGTGTCCCGAGACACCGGCTGAAATGATACAGAGAAATGTTGAATAAAAGAAAAGAAAAGGGGGCAAACAAATAGCAACTATCACTCCATAGATAGTCATGTTGGAAATATATCGAGCGAAGCTCAGTCCAAGTCATCGACTTCCTCATTATCTTCCTCCACAAGAGGAGAAGCATCATCAAACGCAAAGTGTCCAGTTCGGATGAAATGCTCGAGTTCATGGAACGCAGTGACATCCTGGTCTCGAACTGCGAGGATCATATCGAGATCTCGGGAGAAAGATGGATCGGAGTACTCTTCCCTCTCGATGTACAGCTCGTTATCGAGTGTGTTTTCGAAGCCTTGAAGAATGACGGGCGAGTTCTCTTGTGCTAAGGCTTGGGCCTTCTCCATATCGCCCGGGAGAAGAGAGGATGGGAAGAGCGGTGTTACGGTCACGCCACTGGGGTAGTTAGGGTCGATATAAACAGGCATAGACCAGCTATACAGGGCGGTTTTGTCTCGATAGCACCAGGGACGACCGTCTCTGTAGACCAGCTCCATGTCTGGGTTGGTGGCGAAGACCTCGCGCCAAGCGTACTTGAATCTTCCGTCAAGGGTGTAGCTCGGGCATGAATGCCACGGCGTGATAGGTGACGAAGTTAGAGGTAAGACGTTGATGGAGATTTTGTTTGAGCCATTTGAAGGGTGAATGGATAGGCGGACGTAGTTGGGAAAGTTTTTACGAATTGCCTCTGCGAACGCCTGAACGAGGAACCCAGGATGTTAGTATCATGTGGCGTGGTATGCCATGTTGGCTTTGGATTGGTTCATGACTTACTACTCCTCGTCCGATCATCGTCTTGGCTATCTTTCCCACGTTCGTCTTATGCTTTTTCTTCGAAAGGCTGATATTCTTTTCAAAGACGAGTTCAAGGTCTTTGGTTAGGAACTTGATGTAGCCCCTGTACGTAGTGCAGACGTCGTCATCAGACTTGATCTTCTCATCGACGTCAAAGCCTAATGGTGTGTAATGATCGATGAGTTTCTGACGGAAATGTGGAGCGAGTGCCTCATAGGTCGCGCTGTCTAGAATAATATCCTCATTCCAATGGATGAGGTTGCGAAGCCTGACAAACTCGATATGATCGTACTCCTTCTCCGCTACTAGACGTCTCAACGCCTGACCATACTTCCAAACCACACTGTCCCGTACTTCCAAGATATCTAAGGGCAGTTAGCAAACAGAGTCAATAGTAGCGTGTCATCGACTTACCATTGTACACCAGGCCATCAGAGGCAATTGTAAGCTTGGCTCCTGGCGCATAGGTTTCACCGATGGCTTTACACAAACCATTCAAGTGAGCGAGCGATACGTCTTCGCCCTTGTCTGGAAGATATCCCAGAGTTTTATTCTTCTGGTTCGGCGACTTGAAAGGGAAGGCGGGTAAAATCATTTGTATAGGCTCTTGAGCCCGGACCTTTCCGTATATGATAGAGAGAAACTTGAAGTTACCCTCATCTGAACGATCCTTCTCATTGGCAGGCATCGGGGTACGGTATCTATTGATAATGCCAAGTATCTGACTGGCTTTCTGTAGAGCTTCATCGTCGAGCTTGAACTCTGCGGAATGCAGAGTCAAGGCCGACAGCATTGAGGAAACTTCAGTTGTTGAGTCCATCGTTCTGTTGGTTCTGTGCAAACTTGTGAGGTCTGTTCTGCAGGTGAACAAGAACAGGTGAGGGAACACAGTCCTACATAACACGAGTAAAGATGCAAGTCACGCTCAGAGCACCCAACGACTAAGCAGAGATCACAACGACTAAGCCAAGCATTCGCGCCGACTAATAAGCAAAACGAACCCATGCGCTGAGCTGAGTTGGGATCTAGCAAGTACCGGACCGTGATGTCAGTCATTGCCTCGAAGCATGGCCTCAGCACATATTGCGATGTGCCGGATGCAGTAACTGATCTGCCTGCCGAAACCAGCTACAACAAATTTCTAATGCCCCATGAGCATCCTTTTCCCTTTTAAGCAGTGAGAATCTCATCATCTCGCTTCGCAGGCAGAGCCAAAGCCCATGTGCTAAGCTTGGGCTGCTTGTTGTTGTCCTCGCTCGGGACACGAAATGCAGTCGGGCTGGTATAGGAATGGCTGTCGACAATGACCTTCATTGCCGGCAATGGTCGCAGATAAACGGTTACAAGTGACGGCTGGAAGGAATATGAAGAAGCTAGTCTGGTATTATCCCTATAGGGCGACACAGATTAGCTGCGTTAGTAGGGCCTGTGTCCAGGATTCAAACTGGGCTCTTGTAGGCGGCCATAGTAAGTTCAGCTACTCAAGTCCACCAAATCACCACGTGGTCAGGCTATACTAATGTCAGATACAGCTGCTGAATCTTCGACTGAGTTGATAATGGCTGATGAGTCCGGGTTCGCTGCCGACGGTTGAGGGAAGGTTCTGGTATCTCATCTCCTCTTCAGAGCGAGGAGCAGCATCCAGAAAGCCCCATCATCAAAGATAGAGCATAAACGGTGACAACGACAACTTGATCTCTGAGCTGATGGGAATCCGTGCTGATCCAGCCTTCACAATGAAGGCTAGTCCAGGTTGGTGGCCGCATATCCGTGTTTAGCCTCTTATCAAGACTTCCCCAACCGGCGTGTAAAAGGCTAGTAAGGGATTTGTATCCTCAATTCCACGGATGCAGTAATAGCTCGAGTGCCAGAGACTCTGAAGATGATGAAGACTGAAAGGTCTAAATGGAACAGGATATCTCCTATTCACGATGATATCACAGACTTGCTGATGCCTCATCAGTCATGTCTTGAAAGTGAAACAACCCACTTCACGGTAAAGCCGTGGCTTGGGTCACATGATACCACCAAGTTAGCCAACTGTTCCTCGCCTCCAATACTTTAGATCATTCAGTCAAGGGACTAGTAACTGCATAGTTCATCTGAAAGGATAGTCATGGCCGGATACTCCTTGCCGTTGAATCGGCCCCTCCCCCATCAAAAACAGCGGATCTAAACACCGATATTGTTGACGCCTCTAGCCTGTCATGATATATTATGGTAACAGTATAAGGCCAAGAAACTGTTCCGCAGGGCAATGATTATGAGTGACGCTCATGACCCCAGCATGATCGACATAATGGCTATTAACGCGGTCAATTGAAAGCTGTTCTGAGATACGTGAATACTTTAAGACCGTTGCTGTCTCCGTCGCAAGCAAAATCGTGAATCCAACTGCAATTTGGGTCATTGTAATTTCGTTGTGTTCACAGACTTGAGTATAACCGAATGTGTCCCATTGATGAGAGAATTATCTTTCAATGACTCCAAAGCCGGCTATCATTTTCCCCTTGTGTAGGTCATTGAGCTTTTGTTATGAAGGGCGAAACAAAGCCATACGGCATCCTGTACTTCCAGGAAAGACTGTAGGTACAGTTGTTATTCCTGTAGAATACTAGATGAAGCCCGATATCAGACTTGAAATGTAGTATATCCCGCTTATATATCTAAATCCACCCAAGAACCAAAACAATTCTAATGGGGCTGCAACATGTGCGCCCTCTACGAGATGGAACCAGATCTGCGTGTAATCTAAGATCGGCGGTGCATGGCAGTTGGCGACGCCTATAATATGAAGCCATCAGCATGTTTGTCATTTATCGCAAGCGATGGGCCAGCTTACCTGGTGGCTCGGGAAAATCAAGGTATCCGCAATCACAACGTTCTCGCGCCGGCCAGCGGCAAACACAATGACCTCAGCAATATCATCGGGGGTAAGTGGCTCGCAGCCGCTGCATTATCCATTACTATTAGTACTTGACCACCTGTTTATCAAAAGGAACAAACAAGGAATCTTACGCATAAACCGCATCTGCCTTCGCCTTATCACCATAAAAGCGCACGACGGAGAATTCCTATCAAGGGAGCACGCATTAGACAGGACCTAAACTTGGGATGTGCGGAATGCTTACAGTCTCAACCTGGCCAGGGTCGATCTCGATAACGCGGATTCTTGTGGCGATAAGTTCCTTCCTCAGGGCATCGGTAAAGGATCGGATAGCAGCCTTGGTAGCACAGTAGATGCTACCGCCGGGGTAAGGCTCGCGGCCAGCAATGCTACCAATGTTGATGATATCTCCTCGACCACCGTCGGCTCTGTTCTTAAAAATGGGGAGGATAGCCTGTGTCATGTTGATCAGTCCAGTAACGTTGGTCGAAAACATGACGTTGATGTCTTCAGGGTCGATCTCTGGTGCCTTGGCAACGCCCTTGACGAGGCCTCTACTTACTATCAGTACAATTCAGAACTACAACGTGTAAGCGGGATGGTGACTCACGCATTGTTGACCAAGACATCAATCTCCTTGAATTCCGCGGGCAGAGAGGGCACAAAGTTCTTGATGTCTTCCGGGTTGCTAACGTCCAGCTGCACAGGCAGCACCTTCACACCTTCACCGACTTCCTCTTTGATCTCCTTAGCCAGCTCCTGCAAAGAGTCGATCCGTCTAGCAGTCACGATAAGCTTCAGATCCTTGGGAGAGGTGCGAGCAAATTCCTTAGCAGTGCTTCGACCAATTCCGGACGATGCACCGGTTACGAGGATCGTCTTGCCTTCAAGGCGCTTTGCCATTGCTGTGGCCATTGTGCGTTTGATGAATGCTGGTTGGACCGCGGTACGAAAGGGAAGTGGGGTGGATGCGGAGAATATCCCGGGCGAAGGGGAGGAGAGCAGTCGAGGGGATCTAGTGGTACAAAGAAATGCTCGCAGAAGCCGCATAAAGAGCCTGTCAGCTGGCGTTGGTGAAGATCAAGGCAAGAGAATGAGAGTCAAGCAGGACGTAAAGATAGGGGCTAGTGGTGGTAGACTTATGAATCACAGGCCGAAGGTCGGGATGGCGTGCGGGGATCCGGCGAGGCATTTCGTGATCCGGCGGGGCCTGGCCTCGGCTGATGGTTGGCCCGGTCGGACTTGCTTCCGATGCTGCGGCTGCGGCTTGCATGAACGATCTTCCACCTTCCAGCTCTTGTATATTCAGTTATGCCGAATGGATCGATTAAGTTGAAGCTTTACATGAAACACTTGTGACAACTCAATCGGCTTCTACTCCGAGCGATTTCAAGCATGTTGATGAGTTTCAGACGTAAGGGCTCTCAGTGCAATGAAAGCCATCCCAGTCATTGACGGAAGGGTGTTCGAAGAAGACAGCGTTCCTCATAGAGAAGCTTCTGTTCTGTCACTGTGCTGATGAGAAACCTTCCTTTTGATTCTCCTAAGACCGCGGTGTGCAATAGTTGAATAGTCCATATACGCCATAATATAATATTGTCAGCGTGGAAAATTTCATTATCTGACCGATGCTTCACGCTCACCACCAGATGTTCCCTTTATCGGATAATCGACAAGCAGCAAATTTCAAAGGGGAGCATATGATCTATAATGCAAGAAATCTGTCCATGTTGTGGCAGTAGTCATCGCATTCTGGAGATTGACCTGGGAGACCCCAGGCTAATAGGCTTATAGGTCGGTTGGCTTTTCTGAATCCGCGACAAGATAGACAACTAGGGATCATGGCCTACGCGAAGAGCAGAGACAAGGGAACAAGGTGCCCAATGAGAATGTTCTCCTGTGTTACTGCGCACTGGTATGCCTTGGACCCCGGGGGACTACAGGCATTGGCTTCTCACGGTCATGCAGAGTTTGATTGAAATATGGCGGGCAAGAGTCGAAGCCCACCTGCAAGCGGCTACACAGACAGAAGCTGGATATATCCTGCTTTCAATACTCGATGGATGATAGTTATTTATGTTGCAGTAGATATTGAGGCATCCGCTTAATATATCTTGATTGCTTCAACTCAGGATGGGCTGTTCCACATACAGTACCAAAGCCACAGGAAGGAACAACATAGCGAAATCCGGCTAGGGTATATAGTAGAGATCGCTCTCCAGCACTTCAGGGGTCTAGTACCTCTCTAAAGCCGGCGATCGCTCGCTAGCAATGATGTTTGCGAAGAGCCCAGAGAAACAAGTTGCGTCAGTACAGGTGATCTGCCCTCGAAATGCAAGCGAAGCGGAAGATACCTTCGCCTATGGAGTAACCTGGTCATAAATCTGACTGATCTGCAGAGGCTAATTGTGGAACCGCCTGTTCATATGACGAAACGCTTCCTTGTTGCAATAATCTTCAGCCTTGGATCATCCCATTCATGACCTCTTTCAACTTTGGTTCATGTGCCTATGCCGGGGGTTAACCTGCTCCACAGACAAGATAATGCTGCATATCTCTAGCTTACAGTATCTGGCAACCTATATTGTCATCGCATTCACGCAAGACCGACTTTCAAGGATAGCAAGCTTGTCCTGACCCCAGTATCTACCATATTTCATGCAAAATTTCTACCTCAAGGATGTTATGTAAGAAATCTGCCACAATTGAAATATTAATGTTCAGCCCGGACGGATTACCCCTTCCTTAGTCAACAGTCCGGCGAGGAGCCGGCGCTCTTAGGGGCATGATATAAAGTTTTACTCACACCAGACAAGACTGACGGAATAGCTTTCCTGATCCTCAGCCCTATAGATAGGAAGGGTCATAGTTATTTGAACAGTATATGTGGAGTACGGGAGCGAGTATTGAGCTAAGTTCCATGATATGCTAGTTTTGGACCCCAAGAATCAAGGAATGGGAACGAATCTCCGGCGAAGTGTAAGTAGTAGGTAGATTTTGAACTCGGAAGTGTTTCCGGTGCTCGTGCAATACTCAAAGCTACCGAGGCCATGGTATACTCAGCTCTTAGCAACAGGAGTTAAGAAATTTTCGAATTAGGGTGGTGGAAGCGGATCGTCAGGGATGGTGGCTGGCCAGTCGCTCCCTGACCGCTTCACTTCCTCCTTTTCTTTCCCTCTCCGGTCGACGATCATCACCGGCTTTTGACAGCAGCCCCGAAGTCAGAGCACCCTGTGCCAATGAGAAACTTCTCACTAAAGAAACGGTTCGACGGGCTAGTTCGATGGCCCTAGTGACATTATTGACATTTGACACTGGCCTATCTTGATGGTTGACACCTCACCCGACGATCCTCCTCCCTTCAATCCAGAGCAATGGCGTAATGCCCATAATCTCATATGTTTGAGTACCACATCCCCAGACAATCATTGAGTGCAAGAAGCACCATTTTGCGACGGGCGCAGCGGGTTGCAAATATTATGTGGAGGGCACGGCGGTGATTTATACGCAAGATCCTGCACCAATAGACGAAACGCCACCGATCGTTAGAATACAGGCAAATCATCAGCTATTAAAACCAAATATCAAATCCGAAATCAAGGAAGCATCTCATCGCTGGATAAAATGCGAGGCAGAATCAAACTTCTGGGCTGAACCCTGCTGTTTCCCTAACAGGTCACTGTTGCGTTCATCCATCTTGCAGAATTCTTATCAGCAAGCCATGTGCATCCTTCACCACTCAATAGTGGCGTCCATACCGGCTGTCCGGTAGTGCGCATCCTTTGCCGCCTATAGTCTGGCCGGCGCCGCAATAGCGCGGCGCTATTGAACCTGGCCTTCCCTGGTCCCTTTGGACCTGCATAAGAGGACCCATCTTCTATTGGTGATCATAACCATATTCCCACAGCCGCATGGCTGAATATGGACAAACTCCTCAGAACACGTAGGATAATGGAACCCCGAGAGTGTTCTGTCCAGAACCCCCGGAAAAATCCATGCCACCTGAGTCATTCAGCCACGAGGACCAACTTCGCCAGCACGTTCCCGTACTCTGCACGCTCGATGCGAGGTCTGTACAACATACTCCACATGCAAACCCGGAACCCACGGACTTGCTTCGGCCACAGCATAGCAACGGCTGCCAGCTTCCGACACGAAGTCATAGGACCTCGCTGTAGCTGGAGTCATGAGTCATTCGAGACACCTAACGTTTCCGTCAGCGACACAAGGCGACCACATACCTACTATGGACAATAATCGCAAGTTCTGTCGCTCCCTTTTCCTGCCCCTGCGAGTTCTCTCGACAGGATATTCTAGGCCCCTGAAGAGAGTGGCAACGTATAGATTCTGGGAAATCATGGAATTCTAGATTGCTATGTTGATTACACTTCGACCATGGCTTACTCTATGGCTTGCTTGGGATCGACGACCGCCGCTGGGAAGTTGAGCATGGGAGACTATGGATACTAGTCGTCGCCTGACCATCCAAGGTTCCGACAAAGCCAGAGAACTACGTGGGAGGTCGCCAAAAGCGCGGACACGCTGCCTATCGAGCGCTCAAACCCACGGCGAAGGTTTCCCCAGCTTGTCGATCAACCACTGAGCAGACAGTGATCAATTGTCTTGGTAAATTTCCGACGAAGGATGAAAGAAGATCAGGAAAACATGGTCGCGATTGACCCGAACAGGTGAACGTACTCGCCAAAGACGAAGACCCCCCGACGCTAAGGAGGAGAGTCTGCTCCACCGCGTAGCAGTTTCTTCGAAGTGTGTTGTTGACTGGCTGGTGGCAGCCCACGATCTCTACCGCTGCAGATTAAACTTTCATCGAGGGGCGAAACTTTCGGAGGCTACCCGGCGTCTTCCACTAGCTTAAGCCCCGACACCATAATTCCTCGCAATACATCTTCAAGGCCCTGAGCCTATCTATGTCTTCCCTATAGATAGCCATGGAGACCATGGATAGCCACTGCTAGCCAGGCAACAGTCCCTGGAACCAGAAATTGTTCATGCAAGGCATTGGACTAAAGATCTCGTATTTCTCCTCGTTCGGTGACCCACCGCCACGCTGGGGAGCAGATCATTTCTGAATCCTGATCTATTTGCGGGAAAGGGATAATGCTGACGAGCGAATGAACTCTAGGATCATATCACACTACTGTTAGTCTGTTGGGTGCCAGCAGCTTCCTATACCGCTTACGGCTCGTATGCACCCACCGTCGCTACCCACACCAGCACGGCTGTGGCCTGTCTTATCAATTTGAAACCGACGGCTGGACATTCTCCAGCAGCACCTAAGCCACATTGCGGGCGCCCCCCCAGCTTTGCCGTATGGTTATTGATCCTGATCTATGTTCTGCAGATTTCGAGTCTTTGTCTGCTCACGATCGCTCATGGGACATCGATAAACAACCGAGGATACGAGCCTGAAGGTGAAACGCGCATTTGCGTTCAACCTACTTTCCTGGTGGAGCCCGTCCAGCCGAATCAACGGTACCGGACAGGGGACATTGCCGAGTCCGTTCCAGCCCAAAAAAAAGCACTATACCCCACGAGGGAAGTTCTCAAGACACCGTGGTGGTGTCCCATGGATCGATCACCGGAACGAGACTCCAGTGACAGGGCGCTGGGTGCCATTCTGGGTCGCGCTCTACAGTCGACACCGTCATTGACTAATGTCTCCCCTCAACCGCATCCACTCTGCCCACGACACCAGTGGAGACCGTCGACTTAGTGCAAAGATCATTACTGCAATTTGGAAGGAGTCTCCGTCTTGTAGCCACACTGTGCCGGACAAGACCGAGCTCCAACCGTCCACTACGCAGGCTGCATGGCTTCTCCCATGGTCCTTCAGCAGTTTAGCTGCCTTCGCACGCTATTTACCACTATCAAACTCTGAGCCATTGCGGGGGTGCCTGAGACGCAGAGCACCTAGCAGATAAGAACAGGGCCCCTCGGTTTTTTCTTTGGGCGCGAGATCTTGAAAATCAAATCTACCCCAAGAACTCCCACTAAACCATTCACTCTCCTTAAAAGCTTGTTGATGCTATTCGACCCATGTGGTAAACATCGTTTCGAACTCTAGGTTTTAAGAGCCTGGAGACTGCACACATACGCAGATCGACATACGGACAACATATCAATGCAATAACAAGATCAGGATTATCCTACATTACGATTCACACTCTTTCCGGGAACGCAGATTCGCGCACTTCTTTCACTCTTTTGCCGACATGCTAGATGAGATAGTGGGAAGCATCCTACTTCCCCGAAGTACAGACAATGATGCGGCCCGTGGACAACGAGCACTGGTAGTGACAGCCGTGCTCACTGGGATTTCAGTTCTTATTGTCGCTATGCGCATGTATGCGCGGGTTGGCTTGATGAAAATGATTGGTCGCGAAGATTATATGATTCTTATTTCTCTGGTACGCACTGGGACAGTCTTTCCACTTCCTGCTGGAGGACATACGATGCTAATTGTTCCATGCAGGTGCTAGCATGTACCTACCTAGGCCTGGTCGCTGCTGGTAAGTCGTGGGCCATCTTAGAGCCAATTGGGATTTTCTCTTACATGCAACAGAGGTGCATTTTGGTCTTGGAAAACACTCCGCCGATCTTTCCGGGCATGTCCTCAAAGCGCAATTAGAGGTAAAGCCATGATACAATTCCCAGTGCCTGCGCCTAGTACTGATTCCCTCTTGAAGCGACTATGGGCTGCTATTCCCTTCTATAACGCTAGCTTGATCTTTACCAAGTTCTCCATCCTCTTCCAATATCTTCGAATCTTTCCCGACCGCCGCTTCCGGCTTGCCTGCTACATCGTGTTGGCCATTGTAACCACCTACGGAACGTGGGCGGTTGTCAGTGCTTTCTTGAATTGTGTCCCAGTAGCCAAATTCTGGGAACATGACATGCCCGGCTACTGCCTCAGCTTTGAAGCAGTGTGGTTCTTCAACGCATCCATGAACATTGCCACAGACACCACCCTGTTGATCTTGCCAATGCCTCTCTTGTCACAATTGCAACTCCCACGCATGCAGAAATTCGCCCTGATGGGTGTCTTCGCAGTTGGTGGATTGTAAGTCATGAACATTGCCTATCACTCACGCATACTAACCATCATGCACCAGGGTTGTGATCACAAGCATCCTCCGTTTATCAAGTCTGAGGAGCGTAGCTCAAAACAAAGATACATCCTGTATGTAGCCAGCCGGTTCTTCTATATTTCCGACAGACCCTAACAATTACATCAGACAGCAACGTCGGAGCTGCCTACTGGACCGCCGCAGAATGCAACGTCGCCATCATCTGCGCCTGTTTGCCATTCCTCCGTCCTCTCATCAGTCGCATCTTCCCTCGCTTTCTTTCCACCAACAGCTACACACGCAACCAAACCATGTCAGTGAGCCGGAGGACCGCTGCCCGGATGACTGCACGCTCGCACCGGCAAAAGGTCGAGCTCTACTCTCAAGACCGCGACTATGGCATGTACACCATCGACGTCAAGTCCGGCGAAACGAACCACGACGGCACCTTAGCTGGAATCGAAGTCACGACGACCACCATGATCCAGGAGTCGTCGAGAAATTGCGAATCGACCAGTCAACGGCGATTAGTGGTTGATGTTTGATGACCTTTCTCTCTTTCTTAGACAAACATTCATTACCCACATCTACTCACGATCCTTTCTTCTACTACACGATGCATGATATATGACACTGCATCATGTTTTTGTTTCGATATCCCATGCCTTCGCTGTACTTATACACCCTTCCGCCGTCTTCTTGTACATCCTTATTCTCTGGATGTCTAATCATTAATGACTATATGACCATACTACAAGCCATTCTTTCTTCCCTCTTCATAAAGCCACTTGGTTCTTACTCATACAAACCAGAACCACACACACACACACACACACACAGAGGAGGGGGAAAGAAGAGAGAGAGTGTGTGTGTGTGGGAGTGAGAGAGAAACCTTTTATAATTCTTCCCCAAGTCAAATGAACAGCACAGATAGACACTATACAGATAAATAATTTAATAAGAGCAGGCACAGAAAACCATCCACCCAAACCACAACCCGAACTAGATAGTGACCCCTCCCGGATCAGAAATTTTCCCCCCACCCACTCTCTAATCCTACCTATCCACCACTAACCACCGCCACCTGATAAAAATTCACCCGCCCATCCCGTCCGTAATCTTATCAATCACATCATCACATCTCCCAGATTTGGAACCTCACTCACCCACCCTCTTTTCTCGCATCATCCTAGCCTTCCTAAGTCCTAACCCACAAGTTAAGCATACCATAAGTAACCCCATCGCAAAACTACCACCCAGCAACGGAATCTACCATTATAGAACCCCCCTCCCTCCAACAACGTGCGAAATCCCTTTCAATAACAAAAGCCATGTAACCCAACCAAAACCAAATCGAATCATCCAACAAAGTCAACAAACTCGCACCGTCCAGAACTAGTCTAGTACCGAGTCAGTATCTATCCGACATCAATGCCGCTTACTAACTTCCTACAAACGAATGGGTAATCCTCGGGGATTGAGCTAGCTACTACTAGATAGCAAACAATACGTATTACTACTTACGAGGTTTGAAATTCATTACACGGTGGTGTGGAGTTTAGCCTGAATTAAGTTAGGTGGGGGTTGTTATACATAGTACTAGTAGGGTAATAGGATGGGATATGATAGGATGAGACAAGGTACCTACTACCTAGTAGATACTCTGGACAAAGACGGGCTTACTATCTCAGTACGTACTATCCAGTGAGATGGTGGGTGGGTGGGCGGATGGATGGTCTGATCACTGTAATCTATCCATGGCCGCTATCAGTCACTAGGCCAAAGAAGCAGATGGTACGGTCCAGTAGGGAGCTACAGGCATTAGCACTGAAAGAATATCTGAGGATAAGATGGACAGGACAGGCAAGCCGATTTCGGGCCGATCCGATCTGAAATAACCTTATCAATCAGTGTTGAGATAAAGATTTCAGATAATCGCTACAGATTTCATCAAAGCTTTCCCATCCAAGTCATCTTGATAAGCCCATATTACCGTACCGAGATCTATTTCATACCCTACGAAGACAGCAATCTCCCCCGTATCCTGCGATTAGAACCTTGCCTTCCGTCCGCCGGAACAACTTAAACAAGGAAAGGGGAGACTGAGAGAAGATGTGAAAAAAACCAACAAAGCACGCCGCCAGATTGTCTTTCTTTTGTAGTCGCTTATCCCGCCAGCGCTTCAAACAAATTATACGAAATAAAAATAGAGAACTTTTTTTCCCTTAATAGTGCACAAGTCCCGTGAAACTCATCGTGTTGAAAATGGTATCTCGTCAGAAAAAGTCTGCGCCAAGTGTATGATCGAACAAAGGTAAGGTAGAACAAAGCAACAATATTCAGGCATTTCAATCAATGATTATTGCTGTCCCAATTCAGCTAATTCGCGCTCCTTCGCTCGCAGCATCTCGCGCATTTCTTCCGCCTCTCGTTGCAACTTCAAGCGGCGCTCTTCCCGGAGACTGTCAAGCTCCGACACACCAGGCAACATCTGTGACGGCGGAGGAGCAAGCGGGGCCGCTTGGTGAGGCGGGTGATGCTGACGGCTAAGAGCAGCGAGAGAGGGGTCTAGGCGCGATTCGTCGTGGTTGTTGGGGTTGAGGAGAGAGGAGATGGAACTGAGGCGGGCAGGAGGGGTAGGATTGATAGAAGACATGATAGGAGGAAGTTGGTTGGACCCGTTCTCCAGAGTGGTGGGAATCGACATAGCTTCTGCTGATGACGCGGTCTCTGCAAGGGTCCGTTTCTTCGGATTTCCCGATGGGTTGGGCGAAAGGGACCGCCGACCAAACTGAGACACCGGAGAGTGGCTTGGGGCATTGATGCGATCAGGCTCTAACAATCTCGGTGGCGGGGGGTGGTGCGGTAAGGAGACGGGGCCGGAACCAAATCCGGTAAAATCGACAGGCGGGGGTGCGAAGCCAAACTGCCTTGGGGCGGCTGGTGAAATCCTTTCTCCAGACATCGGAGGGTAATGATCCACCGGCTCAGCGCTGTAGTATCGGTAGTGATCGTCGTGTACGCGAGCCAGTGTTGCCGGTGACGCTTCTGGTGACGCAGAAGAACCGTTGGACGACTGTGTAGCGGCGGTCGGGGAGTGTTCCCGCAGAGCCGGCACAACGCGTTTCCGACGCTTGATGATGGTCTTCTTCATTGTGGTGGGGCGATAGCACCCGTGAAGCTTGTAATATAGACCTAAACAAACGTCAGCCGCTTCGGACTCATCCTGATCCCCGAGATAAGGGTAATAAAAACATACCACACGCATTGCAGATCGGATGACCATTCTCGTCTCGTCGCCAAAGCGGGGTCACTGTAGTTCCACAATTCTGACACGATACCAGCATATTTCCCTCAGCCGGCGCACCATTTTTCCCGGGCACGTCCGACTCCGGTATGGGCAGAGGCTTTTCGCTCTCTGGATTGGCGGGTCGACCCCAAGCATGCACTGGTACAGTACCTCGGGCAGAAGACTTGTACACACGGTTGTTGTAGGCTGGGCACCCGTCACACCCCTCAGCGCCGCCTGTGCCGTTGCAGTTACCCCCACCGGGGCAAGATCCTTTGGAACCGTGGCAGCCTCCCTCACTGTGTGAATGGGGTGTCTCGTGTTGGGGCACTATCGGGGGTTGCTGTTGCTGTGGTGGTTGGGGCTGGATAGGTTCAGAACTTGTTTGGACACGGTTCCGCTTCGTGGGTCGAGCGACATTCCGAGCCTTCAAATAGAGACCACAGGCATTGCAAATCATCGCACCGGTCGGTGATCGTCGCCATAGCGGGGTGCTCTTCGTTCCACAGTTACTGAGTAAGGCCACCGTAATCAGTACTGCCCAAACAATAGCAACAGGGGAAATCAAAGAAGACTAACCTGCATGAATGTCCAAGAAAGGAAGTATCTTTCTGGGACTTTGGCGATGACTTATCTGCGAGAGCGGGTTCGGTAGATGGCATCGTAGAACCGTGCATGGGTCGTTCGGAGTCGTAAGGGGTGGTATGTCTCGCATCGAATCCGCGAGACGCATCATCGTCACGGTTGCGGTCGATGAGATGTTCTCGGCCAGCCTGAGCAGACGAGATCAGCTGCTGAGCAGCGTCCAAGTCCTCCGCTGATGGATGCCGCGCAACCATATCCGGATTCCGAGGGAGCGATCGCACCGTCTCCATCTGGGGAATTGATGCCAACATTGCCAACCAAGGCCCGTGGAATTATTTCCCTGCTTTCTCGATCTCCCAGCGACGAGGCCCCAGATCAAGATACCTCCGAGAGTAGAGCGAGTCACTCAAGATGGGTCGTAGTCGAAATAAGGGGAGGGCCTGTCGTGAAGGTATGTCGCACCACAGTCGGGGGGGAGTAATGTATTGTATCACAAAGTCAAAAGTCGGTCAAGATGACAGTGCAGGGGAAAAAGAAAAGAAAAGTCTAACGACAGCCTGACTGGGAGGCAGGTTACTGCAGCTAGTGAAACCCCCAAAGCCAACCAGGCGGAGCCGGGGACGAGGAACAATGATCCCTGACAAACGGCCAAAGCGTGCTGGAAGGGAAAAGGGAGTCTTGGAAAAGTTGAGCGATCAAAAGTCAAAAGAAGAGATCAGCAAGCAGCCGAACTGTAATGATGGACAACAGATCTGCCACGAAAGACCCGGGTGTTAGCCAATCCACGACGGGGTGGCCTAAGTGGCGATCCAGTCGTAACGGGTGGTATGCTCCGGAGTTCTGGTGCGAGCGAACAGGTGAGAAAGGCGGACAGGGACGAGGGAGAGAGGAAAGAAAAGGAGGACAGATCGTAGGTCGAATTTGGGGGGGGGAGAGCAAAAGTACGGGAATGGAGGAGGCTCAAAGGAACGGTCTGGAGAGAGATGGGATAGATAGATCGATCGTTGGGGGAGGGAGGACAGCGGCGACAGGAAAAGAAAGATCGGCGGGAACAGGGCGATCAATCCAAGGCGATGGAATGTCGGATCAGATATGATGAGGGGAGGGGAGGGAGATGGTGAAAGGGGGAAGAGGAAGGGAGGCAATCAGGGGAAGTGGGAAGGTTGGTGGAGGGGTGGGTGTGTTGACAGGAAGGCGAGAGAGCCGAGGAAGAAGAAGAAAGATTGATAATAGAGGCAGGAAGTGGGTAAGTAGTATGGTGGATGGAGATGGTGATGATGATGAAGGTGAGGGTGACCGAACGCTGATAACCACGGGCCAGACCTTTTTCGGACGGATCTGTCATGAGACGGGCAAATAGAAAGTACCAGATTACTTACCAAGACGTCTCACGGTCTGTTTTTTTCGCTCTCTATTTTTAAGCGCTTTCTTCCTTTTTTTGCCCTTCACTTTTTGCCTTTTTCCTTTTTTTCTTTTTTTTTTCTGCTTCGCGTGCTCCGTCGGTCTGTCACTCACTACCCAGTAGCGTGGTCTTATCAACGACAGCCATTCTGTTATCGATCTCCCAGGGGGATCTACGACCGGGGCTATTCCTTTTCCTTCTTCTCGCCTAGACTTTGCTTTTTATTTGCCCCAGCAATCTGTGGGCTAACCGATAGTCCGACAAGGACAGAAAGTCTGGAAGTCTGGATACTTCCGATCTTCGGTTTTTACCTATCTTCCTCTGGGGAGAAGCCGACAGAATTTGCGTGTGAGCTCGGTCGCGTAGTTCCCTCCCTTTTTCTCCTTCGCAGGCCGGTTCCCATCCCATTTGCCTGCCGCCTCCCCAGATCGATTCATCCGGGCTCCACCGCTGCCTATTCCGGTCTAGTGCACTGGGTCTAAGGGGCAGCGCGCCTTCCCGAATAGTCCGTAGCGCGTCCGCTCGCGAGTAAGCGTTATTCATCGGCCTATCATTGGCGCATAAAACCCTAGTGTGTCAGTCAGCAGCATTCTAGGCAACTACATTGGCCACTTCGGAGATTCTATCACGATATCCCGAGCATCCATGCTCCGCTCCGAAGGTCACACTCCGTCTGCTGGTTCTCCCTCGGTAGATAGTCGGCGGTACGAAGCACCACCCTAGTGGTGCTAGTTGTTGGGCTAGGTAACCAGCTGCATAAGAATAGCAGCCGACTGGTCCCTACGACAGTGTAAGGCTGTGACTGCCTAGCACCGGAACAGGTTGTTATCTCTCCGACGGGGCTGACGAAAGACCCGTTTGATCTATCGCCCGTGTGATTGGGTCCTTACCCACCCAACAGCCAAAGTACCTTGCCTGCCCTTCTCTGTCCGGGTGCCGATTCGCCCTGGCGTATGTAGACTATCACCTTCTAGACTTCCAAAACCTTCCGACGCTGTCTGCGCAAGGCGCAGCTGCGTCTGACTGACATCCTGACACCTCCTTTTTTTTTCTCTCGCCCCGGCCCATCGACATCCGGGCCAGATGGATCTGATAGGTAACATTCGCAATAATTGAGTGGGGATGCGAAGTACCATGTCCGACCTGCTAATCTAAATTTTGTTCAACCCAAAATTACCTCGTCTTATCTATCATCGTTACCCAGCCCTTCCGACACCGTGTCCATTATTATTGGCACGATCGGCTCATCCGACACGCGTGGTCGACAAATCACCCCAATCAAGCGCCACTAGTCGATCGTGGCGTGACGCCGATAACCTGACCCGGCGGCATGATATGATGTGAGATGGATATGATATGATACGATGCAATGACGCTAAACACGGCAACCTGCGTCGATTTAGCTTTCGACTCTTTTCCTTTCCCACTTATTTGCTCGGACACTAATTGCCGCCCTACACCGACTCGGCGGTTCAACGCGGAGGTCCGTGGGAATCGGATGTTGTTCCTACTTGTTGGGTGTGAGACCATAACCACGAAGCAGAGAAATCATCATCGTTTCCATACGTAACCGGATAAGCCGGAACTCGGCTATCCGTCTCCCATTTTGAAGAGGTATACGATTCTTCATTATTGCCGGGTCTCATGAGCACTCGGGTCGCAAGGTAAGGCTAATTCTGGCATGGAATAATCAATCCAGTGATTGATAAAGTCGATGTCAAATCTTGGCGGACTCTTGGCTAAGCCTTGGCGCTGTAGCCCCATGCCCCCCCCCCCCCCCCGACACTGACGGAGAAAGCGATCATAGACGAGACGAGGCTTTGACTCCACTACCTCTGAGCGTCGGCTCGGTGCAACGGTTTCGCGAGGCTTAGGGCGATCATGCGCGTTAGACATGTGGAGGAGGCAACGACTACTGCAATGGGACGCAGTGATAGGCTGACCAGGAGGTAGTGTCTGCCTAGTGCTCGATAGTGAGATATGCTGCATGTGGGCGACTCAATCGAGATCCATACGCCAAGGGGCTATATGATCAATCAGAAGCCCCAACAGAATGTTCCATGACCAAAATGTGTGCGGAGTGCGGATTCAACCATGAGACCCGAGAAAGCCGTCCGTGAACTGGGTGGGACGGCGCAGTGTTTTACCGGATCCGGAAGAAGGAACAACGGGTCCCATTTCGATACCCCGTCGACCTGAATGGTAGACGAGGATTCTCCATTCTTTAAGAAAATGCTTATCTCCGAGCTGGGGTATTGCCATCTCCGAATTCTGGGCCCGGAACAGAACGCCGAACCCGCTTGTGCGGACGATACCCAATGGAGAACCTCTGCGAAGTACTATGCCGTTGCTGATGCCTCTTGCTCCGAATCATGGGGCAAGATGGATGGCTTAGCTCCGGGATACATACTCCATAGTATGTGGATGTACAAATTGCCTCAGCGGCAAAACGGATCAGATAACTTTACCCACCTGGCATGGGTCTCTTTGCTGTGTTCGTCGTCGGAGATGGATAGCAGAGGTGTTGCCTCATATGATCAAGAACGCCGAGGCAGTGCTGGTTCGGTCTACGATCGCTAGGTAGTACTCGGTTTGTACTCCGTACTGCTTGGCCATGATTGGAAAATGTGGAACTTGCTCTAAAGCTCAACAGTCCATGTAATTCCCATCATGCCACCCGGCCAGATCAAAATTTGCAAGACCACATCAGACCGTGGAAGATAGTATATATCATCTACTTATTATACAAAACTAGTGGGCAGAAAGTAGCGCCATCCACTGCGGACAGACCATTGACTCCATAAGATAACCTAGACCTTTGAAATTCTCCCAATCACATCCACCGTTTGGGATAAATGGATAACGTAATTTAGACCGATCCAATGTTTTTTTTTCAATCGACAAAACCCTCCCTCGATCCGATCTTCTTATCTTTGCAACTTCAAATCACTTGAGTCATCGCTGAGAATCAAACATCGCGCTCGTCGATCATCAAACATCGTATAAGAGTTGCCTTTGCTTCCCCTGACTCTCTCTTGTGCTTTGAACGCCTCGTGTACAGGCGCGGCATCTTTCGTCCTTGTCAGCTAGATGATCCGCAGACGATAACCAACTCTGACAAGACAAAGGATCATGCGTCATACACCATCACCCTATCAACCAAGAACACATATTCGCCGCGCTTAGACCTGCTCGGCGCCCCAGGATTGGTCGGCCTCACGCATGTTGGATGGGGGCTCGATGGAAGGAATGAACTCCAGGGCCAGGTAGCCCAGGCCGATGAAGCCGATGATGGAGCCGGCAATGTACCGGGTCCAGTGGTCATGCAGCATGATCGATCCAACGAAAATGTAGACTGAGCACATGGTCAATACACTAATGGCGGGATCAGGCGTTACGGATTATTGACGACTTACAAGCACCGCGTCCCAGGAAGGAGAAAAGGAAAGACGCATAGCGGTAAACGTAGTCCGGGACGTTGGGCAAAAATTCCAATCCACCGACGACTAATGTGCAGTGTAGTATGAGTATGTGATCCCATTTCTTAAGCAGCTGACCAGTGTGACACTTACTCAGACCAAAGATAATCACATAGATACCGACAATGATGGTGCTCATCGACGCAGGGAAGAACTGCGCGATACCTCCGAGAACCATAAGCACGCCAACGGCGATGTTAACGATCCGACTATGCGTTTTCAGACGTTAGGACACAATTCGTCGAAATCGATCCGGTACGAGGTCATGTTTGACGTACAAGATGTTAGAGAGATCCATTTTCGCGACTGCCTGGACTTGGGAAGCTTCTTGTGCCTATATAGCAGATTGTTGGGATATCAATAGATCGTTTAGGTAGGAGGATCGGGGCTATTGTTGGCAGAACAAATCAGGAGGGGAGATTCTCTGTATAGCAAGAACATTAGTCTTCTTGACTCAACGACATGAAAGCGAACGTCAGTTCCGGTTATCGTCATTGGGCTCCGGCAGCCAAGATACCATAACAGCTACGTCAGGCATGGCCGTGTGAGGGACGAGCACACGATTGGATGGTGGAATGATGACACATGATGGAACAAAAACTCACCTTTAAAGCCAAGCTTCTTTGAGAAGTAAGAGGGAAGGAGGAGCGCGGAAGAGAAATCAAGGAGATGGCGAGGCTCAAGCATCAGTTGTCGCGCTGTCGCAAGCAGCGGGTCCGCCAAGCCCGCCAGTGGATGACTCAGCAGCTCCCCGGAGCGGCCGCAAATAGACGAGATTAAGAGCTGAGACCCATCGCAAGAACTATTCTTAGACGGGGGAAGCTACGAAACAACTGCTGTCTTGACACTGATGGCCTTGCCAAGGGACTGAATGCTTCATGTGACTGCCCCGGGCAATGTACTACCATCATTGGCATCCTTGAAAGCCATGGGCATCCCTCGTTGATCACGAGGACGGAGCATACGTCATATCTGACAGGCAGCTACAATCGAGCTGTCGGAGGGATGACAATCATTGACGGGCATACTTGCTTTAGACGGATGCCTGATTGACTACCAACATGTACCGGAACTAGAAGCCCTATACCAGTCCATCATATGGCCATGAGATCCCCCTGTCTCTTCTCCAGTCTCACAGCAGACAGTCCATTGGCTAGTCGGCTCATTCTCGTCGAGTCGTGTCCCAAATCGGCGTATATGGCGTCCAGGTCCGTGCTAATCCCAGCCTTATCAGCCGTTTGCAAACTGCGTCCATCAATAAACGGTGCCATTGACGGCCACACGCTCTGAACGTTGTTGAAAAAGAGATCAGCTCCTAGATCGCCCAATCCCTTGATTTCCTTGATCAATTGTCTCGCCTCGTCTCGATTATTATGGGCTTTCTTCAAGAGATTGTTGAGATCACCGTCTGCAGAATACCATCAGCTATACTAATCACAACATCACCATATGTATTGTTAGGGATCACCAGACGTACCGTACTTCTCGTTGACCAATTCCGCCAAATCACCTAGATTCGTTGCCCCCTGCTCCCTGTAGCGATTATATCCTCCGTCCTTGAGAACCATTGTTCTCTCCTCCCAACTACTCTCCCCCAGTTTCTGTATATCATGATATCCGGCCTCGATAACCTTTTTAACCGCACGCTGAGACAGATCGTGCGAAATGGGTCGCGACTTCAGCATCGCATCGATAACCATGGCCAGGACTGTATCCGGAGAACCTTCCAGGTGCCCCTCGGCGACTGTAGTGCCATGGAGAGGAGTCCGACCAAACTCATTGACCACCTTTTGCAGTTTCGGCTTGCTTGATGCATCTCCTTCCTCTTCTTCGTAGTCATCTTCTCCTTCTGCATCCTCGTCCTCGGGCAATTCTTCATCACCTTCTTCCTCTTCCACCTCATCTTCCTCTCCTTCTCCACCTTCATCCTCGTCCTCTTCAACACCCTCGATACCTTCTTCTTCGCCCTCAAGCTCCTCGTCCTGGAACTCCGAGTCGTTCTCCTGAATCACATCATCTTCCTCAGCAGTAGCCTTGGCGGAAGACTTGGAAGCTTTGGTAGGCGGTTGTTCCTTTTCTGCCTCGAGGCTTCCCTCGCCGGTGGCTGTCTCGGAGTCTCTCTGGTCGAGCTTGCGCTTGGGAGCATCGGGGGTATCTGTACCGGGGTCTTCCTCCACCTGGGGTGACTTGTACTTCATTTTGGCAGAGTGATGGTGAGATATAATCGGGTGTAATTGAGCGTCGATTTGACAGAAATACTCAATATGTGCAGCAATTGAAGCAAAATACAACGAACTGGAGTGTTTGAAAGTGTCTAGGATATGTAGTCCGGGGTAAAGAGTCGTCTCTCACCGTCTACCGGGCTATGGCGTCATGATGAATTCAGACTCGGTGCCGGTCATTCACGGTTGGATCGGAACATTTCTGGAATGTTACGTACCAGTAAGCAGGTTGAAAGAAGGGTGAATTCCAATATCTTGGGTTTATTTTATTTTATTTTTCTCGTCAACTCATACTCATGCAAGCAAGTCTACAACTTCGCTTTATCCTTCTGACGCAGGGCTTCCTGAACCAATTTCACCGCATCTCCCGCACAGCCAAACGAAGCCTGGTATCCAAATCCTCCATGACCATAATTATGCACGACGGACACGCCGTCGATCTTCTCGGCTTCAACTCGTGGTCCGCCCTCGCGAAGCGGACGGAGTCCAACACCATGTCTAATGATATCCAGACCCTCGATGCCCTGGCCCTTCTCCACCAGCTCCGGGCATAGTGCTACTGCTCGTTTCATGATGCGGGTGGCCAGGTTGGGATCGGGCAACGGATCCCACTGATTCTTCTGATACGAGCCTCCAATGACGGTGCCACCACCTGCTGCCCGAGTCATCATGTAGACGACCTCATCCTCTCCGTCATCAGTGCCGGAGATGGATACCATTTTACCTGGGTCATTGCGCACGACGACGATCTGGCCGCGTGCAGGGTAAAGCTTGTCATCACGCACGCCGCCCAACTTCTTGGACGAAAGTCCAGTGCAGTTGACTACCACATCGGCCTTTTGACCGGTGTGGTGGCCGTGGGCTGCGTCAGCTACGTGCTTGAGCACAGCTCGTTTGAAGACGACGCCGTTTTTCCGGCATTGCCCGACCAGCCAGGGAAGGTAGACTGCGGTGTTGATACACACTGATGTGAACTTGGATGCGTTGTCGATCCCGGGGGCTAGTTGATCGGCCGGGATATCTTGGAACTGCTTGGAGTTAGGAGCATAGATGGTGGTGGAGGGATTGTGCACATACGTCAGGAACAACATCCATATACCATGGGTCCTTCTGTACCAATTCGGAGAACCATTCGCCGGTTGCTGATCCCTGATCCTTTGTACGGTTATACACAATGGTCTCTGATATCGACTCATTTAGTATGGTTTTCTCATGGGGTATTGGGGGCGTACCTTGGAAATGGATGCCCGCTTCAGGACAGTTCTTCGTCAGCTCTCTCAGGGCGGGCCAAGTGTTTCGTTCCCATCTCTCGTGGTCGCTCCCAGCCTTGCCAACACTATCGAAATACAGGATCCTCGGGTTAGACTTATGATCCGGGTCGTGCAAGACGCAAAGCTAGACGGCCTACCCTTGGAGGACATACGGGAGATAGTTTGCTCCAGCCCATGGAGAAGCATACTCGATGTCATAATCACCGGGCATGTGTTTGGCGAGGACAGTAATGCTGTTGGAGGCATCTTTAGACAGAAGATATGCGGTGGTGAGACCAGACACACCGGCCCTGATATCCAAAGTTAGTGAATCCTGGTGTTTTGTTGACATGCGGGGAAGTCGTCCTACCCCAGAATCACAATGCGGTTGGTAGCCATCTTTGAGTGCTGCAATGAAGAATCTAGCTCTTGCTGGGATGTATAATAGGAGTCACCGGTTACATTAGCATACTCAAGAAGAGGTGTCCGCACAAGGAGATAGCAAGATAAAATAAAGCATGAGTCAAGCCAAGTGGAAGGATTGCGGAGGCACGATGCCAATCAGCCAGGTTATCGGAGGCCGATCCCGCCAGATGATAAGACGGTTGACACCTGTTTGCTCGGGCCTTGTAAGGTACGGGCGGCTTCCGGTAATGTCCGTACGTTACAGGGTACGGAACGCGTCCCGACCGGCTGCATACCGTATGGGCGAACCGACCGACACAGCCTGGGCCGGTGGCATAGGTCAGGTTTTAGGACCCTGAGTCGCAGATGGGAGTGAGAATGATGTGCAGGAAGGCTAAATCGGCGATGCTGAAGGATCTGACCAGGACCTATTCCGGTGGCCCCGTCCTTCAGGCCACTTCATCAGGTACATCTGCATGGCCGGAGAGATGTACCAGCGAAGAAGCAGTCCGTCTGGCCTGACCGCTCCCGACCGGAAAGATCTATCCAACCACTTGAGGCCATCAGCCAACCGCGAGGGGCGTAAAGACGTCTGGCGTCATCGGCGACACTTTACGGACACCCGGCCCAATCAATCCTGGCAGACTGGCTCACCGCCCGGTCCTCGGTAAGGAACGGGGCTGTAAGTGGGAGTGTATCTTTCCAGTACACAGCAAGTCGCAAGTCACAGTAACGGGGTTCCTCCGCACTCTCCGTCCGAACAAGAAAAGTCTCGCCTGTCTCGCGTGTAGATCGTGTGTTGCTTTTCTCTCCCTCCTCCTCCATTCACTCCATTCCGATCCACGAACACTCCACCATTCCTTTCCCCCCCTTTTTCCTATTGTTCCTCCCCTTCTCTCCTCTGCTCGACGAGGCTCTTCTGTGTTCCCCTTGCGCCAAATGAGGGCCGTTCGTCGGGCAGGGCTATACACCAACCATGGCGGACGTTCCAAACGGTGGCAGAATCGTGCCTATAGTCGCGACTGCCCGTCAGCATTACTCAGGCTCTTCAACGAATGAGGTCATGGACAAAGCACATCAACAGCCATCCGAGAAGTTGAAGGCGTCTCGCAATTCACGCAGCAAGATCATGGAGGCGGAAACTCTGGAGATTCCTTGCCTCAACGAGCTAGGGCTCTATGCCCTCCCCACCGAGGGTGATGGTAATGTGGTCCCTGGCATTGGATCTCATTGCCAAATTGAACCCAATTGGGTTGAGCAAGCATGTTCCTGGACCGATCTAACTGTCAACCGTAGGCAACTGCCTCTACTACGCGCTCTCCGACCAGCTTTACGGAGACTTCGCCCACGCAGACCAAATCCGTGATCGTCTTGCAGACCATATATCTGCCAATAAAGACTACTTTATGAGCTTTATAGCTGCCGCGGGTGGAGAGCGTCGAGCTCCTCGACGAGCCGCGGCCGCTGCCGCCCGGCAATCTTACTGTTCCTCCTCGTCGGCTAGCCCAGCGCCTCCTTCAGCCAAGGATAAAGAGCGGAGCTTTGATTCCAAGGTGGCAGAATCACGGAAGAAAGGCGTCTGGGGAGGAGCGGAGGAGATCCAGGCGTTCTGTCAATCTTTTAAGAAGGACGTCAACGTTTATACCATGTATGGTATCCAGAACTTTCGCGATGTTCACGCTCCTGAGGCCGAGGAGAGAGAAATCGTACACATCGCATTCCATGTGAGTGAGCCTGCTTTGCAGTTCTGCATAACGGTCTAATGTGTCTAGGATTTTCATCATTACTCCTCCGTGCGACATGGCGATGGGCCCCATACGGGTCTGCCGTGCATCCCCAAGGCTGATAAAGAGCAGGAGAAAGAGGCATCGGCCGCTCAACCTACTATTGTAGACATGGCCACCCCGTGGAAAATCTCCGCTATCCAGGCGGGTCTTGGGGGCAACTTTGACCAGAGTGCCATAGTAGAAATGCTTCAGCAATGCCGTGGGAATATAGATCGGGCCTTCATGAATCTCCTTGGCGAGGACAATAATGCGTCTCTGGCAGATGCGCCCTCGTCCAAGGCGATTATGAAGTCACGTCTGCAGCCCTCGTCGAGGTCCTCGTCCCCATTTAGCACGGGCAGCAAACGTTCAGCGGATGAAAGCGACACTGATGACAATCCTCGCCCTGCTGTCCGACGGACCCGTGCTCGTGAGAACAAACGACGGATTCTTCCGGATGTCACGGTCGGAATTGCATTTCGTGACGATCAAAATGACCTGGTCTCCTTGCGACTGCGGGTCAGCCCCGAAACGGTTGTCCAGACGCCTACGGTCCATCCGTCTACGGAGCAGGCTGAGACAAGCTCTTTCGAGTCTGCGACCGATAGCCCCGACATTGTGGCGCAGGACAGGAAATTGAAAGTCCGACCAAAGGCTGCTTCGAGTGAAACCTCCAGCCAACCTAACGAATCCAGCGATGACAAAAAGCCACCACGACGAAGCCAGCGGCTTTCCAGAAGTCGCACGGCACCTCGAAGCAGCTGATCTCGCAAGCTTCACGAATTTCACTCCTATACACTCCTCCTGCATACGACATAACGACACCATCCCTCACATTCGCTTCATTGCTTCCTTGAACATTGCATTACGAGAGCGTTGGGTGTTGATAATGATCCTTTCCTCGCTTTGATACTAGAGCATCGTCGACATTCTCTTTTCTCTGTCCATATCTCCTGTCCATACCACGGCGACTTCGGAGCGCTTACGACTCAGATCTTTCCTCTCGCATCTTCCTCTCCATCTTGAATGACATAGTCAATGACGACTTTTTGACTATACCTACACGCGATGCATATGACACATCCCATCTACATCCTCATGAGGCGTTATTGGACGGTTGCACGTTGCATAAATTCATTGAATTCTGTCTTGCTTGCATTGGGTTGGTGCATGTCTCGGAAAAGTTACCTCCTCTTTTGATCTAACCTGGCGGTCTTCTGAAGATTACATTCGCATTGCGGTTTCTATACGGTGATGGGACGGTTCTACCGATGGTCCTACTAGGATTGCATTATCTTCGATGATAGAAGGAGAACACCATCCGCGAAGCATACTACCTGGCTCCATATCCCCACTGTTACCTGAACATAGATCGGTAGGGGCAGGACCGGTGCTGTGCTTGATTCAGGATTGCTGGTTGATTGGTTGTTATGTAGCTAGCTATTGTCCAGCTTGCCTGGATGAAGCAATTGTGCTACAAGCAATATCAGACACGAAGATTCGTGTACATTATTCTAGCCATTCATCCATTTACCATGTAGACATTCTTCTCACCTTACCACATACCAAAGCCAACCCTAAAGATACCCTACCTACGTAGAGACTCCATCACTGCTACAGACACACCCACAATTCTCCTACCTACCAGTTTCTATTCCCAAAACCAAAACCCCATCCCCCCGGGCCTCCCTTATACAACCCCCAGTACACTCCATACTGTCTCTAGCAAAGGGCACAAACATCACTCGATTACACCAGACACAAAATCCGAATCCCCCTGCCACCTCAACCCACACACACACACATCCCTACCATTAACCCCACTTCCATAACCACAACCTGCACAACGAGAAGCGACAACAACAAATAAAAACAAAACAAACACCATATTCTATACTCCCTCCAATCACTCCATATCCTTCAATCTAATCCAATCCAATCCAGTTTAATCTAACTTGAACCCACAATAAGAATATACGCAGAAACACCAATAACTCATATGTGAGTGATACCCAACACCAGCATAAGCATAGGTTTATATAGCATATTATTGATTGAATATTCCATCAATTCCTCGATGGTCTAACGGTCATGATTTCCGCTTGTCAATCCTTCACCGGAACAAGCGCGGGAGACCTGGGTTCGACTCCCAGTCGGGGAGATTTCTTTTTTCCTTTTCGTTTTTTTCTTTACCTTGGTGAGGGGAAGAGGAAGACAATGGATGGTGGATGGGTGAGGGAGGACTTTGCTGGGGGTGGGTAGGTGGTAGTTAGTAGGTGCTAGTCGTGGTTTAATTTAATAGACTATGGGATGAAGTTGTCATTTGTTTTAGGTCTGTTGTTGAAGATGGACGTACGGTTTAGAGGGTTCCTCCTTTGGAATTATTCTATTGATTTGAATGAGCTATAACCGGGTAGGTAGCCTATGTGTGTCTGCTGGTTGGTATCTTCTGGAATGGGAATATGTACATGATGACACTCGGCTGTGTGTTGCCTTTCGTTTGTATCGATGTCACGAAAGAGGTAGGGGTATGTCTATATGGAACGCTAGAGAATGAACAGAACTGAACGAGGCTAAGAAAGAAACGTAAGGAGGTCATCTGATGAGTGTAGTCGTAAGGTTCGCGTGGTTGTCTGGGCTGGAGGCCGTGTTATGATCAATGTCATGTGCTCCGCTCGAGAAGGTCATGAGACGGTCTTGTGCCGGCTGCGTTGAAAGCTAAGAGCCTTCGGTGGCCTTGGTGCAGGATGTGGGTCCGTTCTGGGCCTGGGAACACATTGCGTGATTCCATGAGGGGCTGGTTCTCGTATCGAGGACGTCGCTGCTCCTCTCGTTGGAAGCCTGGCTTCGCTCAGGCGAATGTCCAAGTTGATTGGGTGATACTCGATGAGGAGCACTTCATCCGTTCGAGACCTGAGTGATGGCGGTGTCCGGTCGCAGACGGACACCAGGCGAGTAGCAAAGATTGTAGAGTTCATCCACGTAAGTGCTGGTAGCCATGTCACCGGCTACCACAGTGGCGTGCGAAGCATGTCTGCCCAGCGAGGATTCGAGTGCTGGTTCCGATAGCTTGGCGACATCGACCTTGACCTCCTTCCGGACCATGATGTCACCCAGCTGCGAGAGCTCTGTCAGTGTTTCCTGGGAAAGATCCCTCCTCGTAGGATCCAGGTTCTTGCGTGGCCAGAATTTCAAAACAGATCGGAGGGAGGCTGGCACGTCGGCCTCGGTGGCGGAGCTGCTGCGTGCATTCGAGTAGTACAACTCCCGGCCCAGTTCTTTCGCAAACCCATCACCTCCGATATTCGCGTCATTCAATTGTTGCTGGACGCGGAAAAGGCGTAGAGGCATGAACGTGAAGTCGGGGTTCGACACTTGCGTATCCAGGTTTCCGACTGCGCAGAATGGTAAGACGATACAGTTTGAAGCATCAGAGCCAGACGGAGAGCGACAAGGAGCAATCAAGGGCCGAGCCGAGAATTTAGAGGCCATGTTGATATCGGGGGGTAGTGCACTGGCTAGCGACGTCATTGCGTGGATCAGTTGCTCGCGGAAGTCATTGATATCCCGATGAGACTTTGCCGCTTCGGACTGCAGCCAAGTCAAGCAGGTAGATATGGTCCATCCTTCCATGTGTGATATCAGGTCGAGGTGTTGAATCTGTATACGTTTGATCGGTAAGGTTGACGAGGGCAATGGGTTACCGGTCCCCTTTGCCGTTAGCACCTCAAAGTGATCGGAGATGGTAGGGCGCATGACGAAGGAAACAAGATGGACGCCAGGCTCGTAATTGCGACCCGAGGTCGCATAATCTCGCATGCCTCGGAGATGCGAGCCCAAAACCGGCAACGGAATGTGCATTCGATTCGACAAGGCGGAAGTGACGTTTTCAATAGGTGTGAAACGGAAACCTGCGGCGGCCAGTCGATTGGCTTCTTGCTTTTCCAAATGGCGCACCGTGAACAACATTTGACCCTTGCTATTGCTTAGCCGCGAGTAGCCCATCGCTCGAGAGAAGCGCGACGTCGGTGCGGTTGTAATCAACACATCATCGTATAGTTTTCCGAGGGATGGCAGAGGCTGTCGAACTTCGTCGGCAAGATCTTGAGCGGTCACACAGAAGTGCCGCTTGAATAGCTCGTCGAAATCGCTCTGCAACTCAGTCTCCTGATCCGAAGGCTCGCCCTTGGCAATGTAGTGTTCCGTCGCCTCTTTGTCCGTCTCAATCCGACTCCTCATGAAAGGAACGACATCCTTGACCAAATTCCAGTGTCTGCTCGCTCGAAATGCCCAAAGAAAAGCTGGGTGGCTCCGGGTAAGATCGTCATCGTTGAATGTCTAGAGTCGCGTAGGTTTCCGCATCAGCACATGTCCAGAGGGGCTGGTTTGTGAACATACCTTTCCAATATAACGATCGACAATTTTCCGACTGGGAAGCAGCGCATGAGGAGTGACCATGATCCGCCCGGATTGGTCAAAGAAAGCACAAGTCAGGACCAGCTGTCGAGCTTGTATGTTGAGTCGTCGTCGGTTTCCACCAGCGGCTACAGCGCACGCCGTCAAAACTCCGCAAGCAGCGCATGCCTGTGTTTGGTTAGTACCATCGCTAAACAAGACTTCCGATGAAGCGTGGACCTACCAAAACAGCGCAAATGATGACAACCTGGCTCCGAGAAAGCTGGCCATTATGTTGCATAGTCCTGTCATGGTTGTAGTAGTATGTGCCAACAGCAGCCGTCCAGTGCATGCCCGAAACGGCGAGAGCGAGGACGCAGCCACAAATACCACGCCGCCACCAGCTATCCGTCCAGGTGGCCCTCCACCGGAAGAAGACCGTCAAGGCGACCGTGCTAGCAAACACGGCGATTATGGCGGCGCCCACGACATTCGCAATTCGGTAGGTGCATGTGTAGTTACTGATACCGAGCTGACCGATATAATGCATCCCACAAACCGCGCCGCCAGTCAGTATACCACCCGCCAGGATCCGAATATAACTAGCTTTCTCGCTAGCCCCGATGCAGTAGAAGGCAATAAGCAGGACGACAACTGGGAGCACAAAGGATACACCGGTGAATCTCATGCTGTAGATGATCTGGGTCTGCACAGCTCCATCTCCCAAGACAATGGCACGGTTTCCGATATAATGCATACACCAGATACCAACACCGCCCATGGTAATGGAGGAGGTAAGTAGTAGATACCTATACAAGTGGTCAGACAGACGCAGGCCTCTCAGGCACAAGTGGATATCATACCAGTTGTACAGACCGGCTCTGGATGTACGCCTATGGAGAAGCTCCAACGTTGTTGTACATCCCATCACACTGACTAAATAAGCCAGAAAGATGAATCCCCCCATGTAAAACACATTGACGTATTCCCCATCGGGGGATCTGTCGGCGAGCAACATTCTCAGGGTGAGAAGTTTGATGGAACCGAGGATTATTCGCAAGACATTGACACAGACAGGGCAATGTACGAGGTGAGAAAGAGCAGAGTAAGCCTGGCAGGGACAGGCTTAGCTAGTATCAGGTGGGAATTCTTTTTAATATAACAGGATTCGGCTTCAGGTGCTCCACGCGGCTGGCCCATCCTCGGTAGGTGCTAGCCAATTTTCCAGGTACCCGAATGACGGACCATAATGCAATTAAGATAATGAATAATAATTTAGTAGGTAGGCTAAATGAGGTTATGGCCGAGGGGAGGCGATTAATTCTTCTCGGTGGCTACCCTTTCCGTGTTGGCTTTGCACGGTCAAAATGTGGATGAGGACTCCAGTATGAGGGCTGGGCCCGCTTCCAGCGGTCATCTGGGCAGAAGGATGAACGGAAATCTCCATCAAGGGCGTATCAGAATCTGGGCTGTGGCTGATTGGATCACGGCCATCGATCGAGGTTGCAATCAGGAACCATGGGGCATTGAGTTTGCCGATTCGGTCCCAGCCTTGCCTAGCAAGTCAGAACCACGATTGAATGGTTGATAACCGTGGTCAAATTAGTCACCAAGACTAAATTTCCCTCCCACTTTGTAAAGTCAATTACTTGTCGACCCAGATGGGTCTAGGTTGTGGTTCTCGGGAGATGACCGCTAACTTTGTCGGAGATAGGCCAAGAACGTTCAGCTGCGCCGCCTTATTGCACTTTCGCTCTTCTCCGAAGATAATTTGTCTTGGAGCACGGGGATTGACCGCGCCCAGTAGCATGGCGGAAATAATTTTCAAGTGATTAGGAGGGTAGAACTACAAATGATCGACAATTGTGAAGCTTTAACCATCAGTGCGTCCCTGGAACTCCGTCGGCTTACCCAGACTCAGGTCACCGGTACGTAACAAGTCAACAAGTAAGGTCGAAAACACAGGCGAGCCGTTTGGTCCCAAATTCTAAAACTCAGACAGCGGGGAGCCAGGCAGAGCGCCATCGTTGACGGTGCCTAGGACGCTTGGGGTTGGCCATGATAAGTGTTATGGAGTCGTCAACTGCCCGCGCCCACGAGGTTGACAAGGACCCTGAGTGGCCAGTGGACGTTTCGGCGGGTTTAGGTCGGAGCACGTTCACTGAGAATCATGCGATTCGTGGCACGGGTAAGACACAATCAATCTGGTAAGCAGGGAAAGGAAGACCGGCTGGAACCCGACGGATGGGTCAATGACCGTCTTGATGAGCTGAAAGAGAGAGAAAATGAGAAAGCGAGAGAGATCCGGTGGACTCCAGGCGGGCCATGGAGATGCAGTCCCGTTGGACCACGGGGCGGACTAGGCCATTTCCGGCGTAGGTCGGTACCCCGTGACTCAGATCGTGGGTCGATCTCTGATCGGCCAGGCCTGATCGGGTTAGCTGGCCGAGTCACGCCCCCACTAGTCCCGTTGTGGTCACCACCACGCGCCTAAGCGATGGCCCATGACATCGCCGGCACGATGGCACTGTGGCACCGTGGCACCGTGGCTCCCAGGGGCAAACGCCGTCTTTCCCGACCGACCAGTGTACACTGTACTCCCTTGGGTAGAGAAAACCACTGGTGTTTTTACTACGGTGAAATGGCGGAGCTACTCCGTACGATGCATCTCGATAGTGATCCTTCGCGGCAATCCAACCTGCGGAGTTGTTTGGCCCGTCAGCCGCAGGTGGAACACTGAGTGCCAGTTTGTCCGCAGAAGTCGGCACTCCTGGTGAATCATTTCGTGCGCTGAATCGCCAATCCTCCGTCCAATCCTTTCGGCCTCCTACTTTCGGGCTATTCTGGCAATCCGTAAGAACTAAAAGGCCAGATTCAGATTACCCCTCGCGCCATCTATATAAACTCTCTGATCCTGGTATATGCAGCCTTGGCACAATCAACCATTCGTATACGATCCGATCCAACCGAGCCGGTGATCAACCCAGTTCATCGGTGGTTTACAAAGGTACACGAAACAACCGACTCCCCTCCCGGTCGATCGAACCGAAGAGAAGCACCCATGGAAGGGCTCCTTCCATACCCATTCGACTGAAACGTCGACGACCCACCAGCAGCAGTGCAGCGTGCAGACAACGCAGGGGCCAAACACATAGATTCGTCAGCTGTCAAGACTCAACTCCAGAGTAGCCAACTGGTCCTGACTCGACATTCGTGTCGGATCCTTCCATCCTGCGACGAAACCAAGAAGATCCTCCATCCTTCACTCCCAAGAATAACATTTATGCGGACCTCACCCCAGACACAATGACCTTGTTTCCTGCCCCCAAACCAAAGCTTCAATCATGCAACCCAGCTCCCCGGAATACCTCGGCCCCCAAGAGGATTCAGCCGGGCTGGGCAGGCCCATGACTAGATTAATTTATATGACAGGCAATCTAAGCCAATTTATTAAACGCACGTGCACGGAGACCGGATCCTTTCTGTTGGGTAATGACTCTCGGTATCCCCGCGGACTCAGGGGATAACTTGACTACCCAGTACCCATAGTATCAAATAGGTGAGAACGGCGCAGCATCAGTGGGAATTGCGTGCAGGTGTAGCTGAATGATGGGGTCGTGTGCCGCGTTCCTGACGGGCCGTGGGAGGGTCTTTGGCTAGTAGCCTAGTACTACTATGTCATAGTAATTGCTGTGCCGCCGAGACATGTCCGCACTCGGACGGGGCTAAGCTGCAGATCGATAAGGTACGGAGGAGTCCGGAGTCACGGTGGTTGGACTTTTGATCTGGGGTATTTGTGGAAGGTGTGGCGAGAACTACTACTTCCGTAGAAAAGAAAACATACTGCCATGCATGAAACAGTACCTGCATGCAGCATCGAATGGTTTGCGTTCGGAGATATATCGCGGCTGTGGAGAGAATGACCACACACACATCCTCCACACCAAAGCCCGTTCAATCTCTGCTGATGTTGCAACTGGCTCTTGCCAACAGCGCGATTTCAAGCTTGAGGACATACAGAATATTCCTACTTACCCATCAATTGATTAAGATATCTATATAGTCTCTGAGTTCCATGCTCAGTCTCACGCACAAAACAAACCAACATCACCATATCCAACACAGCATCAACAACCCCTTAAGCTTATCAAGCACATACTAATCACAAACCCAAGGGAGGACGCGTACGCATACAAATCTCCAATTCAGCAGCCAACGCGTGCTAACAGCACCGGATGAGTGCGTCTACACTAGTCACTAGCATGCTTCTCAGTAGCAAGTCTTCTCTTATCAGGATATATTTATATCCGACTAAGGATACATACTATGACAGTAATAGGATAGTATGGATTGGTAGGCTTACCACCGGGCTTAATATCCTATTTGTATCCTAGATTCAAAGTCACTTATGCATGTCTAGGTTATCCATGACCCGGGAGCGATAATTGGAAGTGTGGCTGTGGTGTCGTAGTATCGTAGATTGATTGCCTAGATAGGCTAGTAATCTGATCTAACGATGATGACTTGGACTTGTTGACATCCAGGAATTGACCATCGCCCAGTAGTGTTTGATCTCGTTGGCAAGTTGCCTGACTGCATAGAAGGATATACGATGTTGATTGGTTGCTCTGCAAGGCACTATGTACATATGCAACATGAATGTGTGGACATCTAAGCTACGGTAGACGTTGTAGAAAGTAGAACATCACGATCCTTGGAGCTTAAGCGGGTCTGATGTGATACTTTTCGTGGTTAAAAGGTACTTTTATGTTAAACCAGTTGATTGGAAATAAATGCCTTGAAATGGTTGTCATGTGGCTCGACATACCTCTCCTAATCGATGGTACATGCTGGAAGGAGCAGACAGGCTTCACGTAAGTCTAAGGTGTTCAACCATCGTAGCGTAGCGACTAACTGCTCCACTACATGGAGTAATGCACTACATCGAAGAATATTGCCTGTATCCCAGCTAACAAATAGGCATATCTTCAACTACCATAGGCATGGGAGTAGAACCAAGTCTCTTGGAATGACCCACTAAGACATGATATGATGTATTGCAAACTATGTCCAAGATGCGCTATCACATGTGATCATGACGATTCAAAAATTACCTCCAAGATTCATCCGGTATCCTGGAAACACGATTGATTGTATCAGGGCAGCTGTGGTGATTGTCACCTCGGTAGTATCCAACAGAGGAATCGAGGGCTCTTCTCAGGTTGGTAATAATATAATAGTAAATACTTAGTGCTAGTTGCACAGAGACTTGGGCCTGGTTTTTCATGACGAGGTAGATCTTGAAATGTTTGTTGCCATCTATTCATCGCTATTGAGAGAGATGTGGAGAATATGCAGGTAGCAAGCAAGCAAGCTAATCTTATCAACGGAGTCGTGACATCTACCCGGGGTGTGCAAAAGCTTGATGTCTTGCTGCAGTGATTTATAGCAAACGACATGTCCAACAAGTCATGCACACACACGAATACAAATTAAGTCCCTGATGAAAGATGAAACCGGTGGCATCATTCAGGAAAACATACCCGAAACTACATCTACCAAGCTACGTAGACGTACGACCAGACTAACGAGCACATCCGGAACGATTATGCGGGGTAAGAAGCCCATGAATTAAAGTTCATCTAGAAAAAAAAATAAAACAACTCGCCTCATCGTGTATCAACATATCTAAGCAAGTAGAGACTGGACCTTCACTTCCAGACCCTTGGGGTTGGCACCGACGACCTCATCGACCTTCTGACCGTCCTTGAAGAGCAGGAAAGTGGGCATAGCACGGACACCGAGCTCGGCAGCAACCTCGGACAGCTCATCAACATCGATCTGGTAGAACTTGGCGCCGGAGTAGGTGTTGCTGAACTCCTCGACCTTGGGGGCGATGGCCTTGCAAGGACCGCACCAGGTGGCGAAGCAGTCGACGACGACGGGGCCCTGGGCCTTGAGGACCTTCTCCTCGAACTCGGCCTTGCTGCAGAGATGGTTAGCAGTGTCTGGGCCGGGGGGGGGATGCTTGGAGGGAGGATCACGTACGTGGTGATGGCAATAACGTTTCCGTGAGACATGGTGGATGACTGGGAGAATTGGATGGAGGGAGAGTGAGAGAAAGCGCGACGGTTGAGGAACGGAACGGGGATGTGGTTGACCGGGGTCGGACGCAGGAAGGAGGACGCTACTGCGGTTCTAGTGGAAGACCTGACAAGGAATCTAGCGGAGGAGAAAGAAGAGAGGCGACGGGAGGCCAGAGTGGATGGTTTAAAACTATGGAAGGTTGAGACGACGATTAGTTCCGAATTGAGGGGCTGCCCAGCACGGAGGGGCACAAATCGAATTTATAGTGGGTGAGCCCCATGACGTTGCGCCGCGGCACTGGCCTCTGACTAATCATCACCCGTCCGTCGAAGCCTCTCGGACGCCGTCGAAGGGGAGGGTCGCTTCGAATGCACGCTTACCAAGAGGCGCCTCCAGAGAGACGAGGGAGCAATAGATTTGTCAAGCTAATAGCAGACATTGTGGCGGCAATTGGAATGTTAATATCGATAACGATCAGATTACGGACCGGGGCCGACGTGGTTGGTGGAGGGTGGTCAGGAAAGGCACAAACGGATGGGTGAGAAACAGACAACCGGATGACGTGCTCCCCGTCGCTTATGAATCGCGACCGGTCTGGACGGGCGTTGCGGGCCTCAGGCAGCCACTGCCCTGGCAGCCCCCGAGTTTCCCCGATCAGGTGATCGAGGCGGAGGACCATGGCAGTATTCCGGACGAGGGGTGAATTCTCACCAGCAAAAGGATATATACTATGTAGGATAGTCTATGGCGTCTAAAGGTCACCGCAGGTGGTATTTACAGGCAGACGAGAATGGTCCACAACGCCATCCATCTCTTGGGTACAAAAGGTCGCGGGAAATGCTCGAGCACATAGTACAGGAACTCTGCCACGAGCCAAGCAGACATTAAACAATAGGACTGGTTGTAGTCGCAATGAAAACTAGAACAGATAGATTGTGTCACAATATGTGCATTGAACTGAACAACGAGGATGCTTCGAGTCTATCAAAAACACCTAAGTGCCAACAACCACCAGGAAACGGTGATCGGGGCGAACTCATTCAAACTTCCACTGATGTGGGGGTATCAACAAATTCGAAAACGAACAAAGCCCACCAACAAGACGAAGAGCACGGACAAGATCTGTGCTTGACCCGAGGAGAGCGTCGGAGAATGTAAGCATGGCTACATCAAGTGCCATGGTCCTGGAGAAAATCCACCGAGTAAGGGGATGGGGAAGGGGGGATATTGAAGAAAAGGAGCGACATAGGAAAGATTTAACGAGCGACTGGGGTATATACTAAAAAAAGATTAAATAACTGCAAGTGATGACATCGAGAGATCTCAACACAGGTAAAATGCTCATAGAATCAAGGGTGTCACAAGAGTCTATCCCGAGTGATCAAAGCAACCTTGCGTGAAAATGGGTCTATTGGCCGCCTGGCTCAGGTCGGACGTCCGCATTCGTGTTCATCATGCGTTTCAAATTCAAACTCGGCAGAATGCTCTTCGATGGGGCTAAATTCCTCATCGGCACAGAAAGACTGCACATTTTTCAGGAGCCCTTCGTTGGACTTCGGACGGATCGCCGGAGTCACAAGCACAGGTCGCCTTGCAATTTGATCATGCCAGGTTTCCTCGGTTTGTTCTGGTACAGTGTCCATATTTGTATCTTTGTCTGGCTGCGTGCCGGATATATCAGTGCCGGATTTCGGCGTATCATCCTGAGTGGTCCCGAATCTGACGAGCGTTTCGCTAGTCGGAATCTCATCACCTCTGGACGAACCCTCGCGCCCCTCTTCCACGATGTTTCGCGATGAGCTAAGGCTAGTGCGTAGTGGGTTGCTCGCCTTTTTCTGGGATATGCGGCGCAGGAATTGCCCTGACATCCACGACCCTTCGGAGTCAACGGATGCTAGTGACTGTGACAAAGGAAGATTGTCTGGATTACCTTCCCAGCTATCGCCCGTCCAAGAATGGTGGCGGTTTTTTGGAATATCCTGGGCCTCCGACCCAGAACTGGGAATGGGATATTGTGTCCCCAGGTTGATATCGGACATTTCATTTTCTCTTTCAAACTCATCCACCACTTCCGGAATATCAGGAGATTGAAGGCGTGAATCCGGTGGAGACAGGGGCTCATCGCCAAAATGTTCGGTAAATTTGGACTGCGAGCGCTTGATGGTACCTGATCCAAGGAAAGTCCGTGGAGTGACAAACGACGGAGGTGGTCCTGACGATTGCGTCTGAACCTTGAAGAAGGATTCATGGGACGGATTCGAGTGTTCAGGACTGCGTTCATGGAAACGTTCACGATAGCTCCGCTTGAGACGTGAGCTGCCACGTCGGAAGATGGAAGTGATTGTGTTGACACGCCCACTGCTATGATCCGACAAGCGCCGATCTGAGTCGATTGTTCGCGATATGTCGGATGTGGATTCTCGGCCTATACCATAGAGCTGCGAAGAAGTTGGGCTGTAAAGTTCACGCCTGGACGGTGAATGAGACAGGCTGCTGCCGGACATGCCCATGTCCTGCGACGGAGCGAAGCTACGGCGCATGACGAGCTTTGGTTCCCGAATAGACCTATCATCGATGTTGCCGATGGCGTGAACGCTCTCCATGGACTGGCGACCACCACGTTCAGTGTCCTTGGAAGCTTCTCTCAACCAAGAACCAGAAGTCTCTCCGCCCAGGAAGGCATTGGTTTCATTTGTCCGGGGGTCTTCGGTTAACCGGTCAGATGTAGCGCGGCTCTCAGCACCAGGCCGGCCACGTTGGGTTAAAGATGGCTCTTCGGTCTCACTGGGCACATTGGGGGGAACAGTATCAACGTCTGCTTCTGCTTGCCGTTGTTGTTCAGCAGCCCGCTGTAGCTTCCGGTGTAGCTTCTCTTGATCTTCGAGCTGCTTCCTCTCCCTGCGCCGGCGATCCCTTTCCAGCAATTCCCTGAGAGCACCTGCATCCAAGTCATCCGCTAATCTATCCACCCTCTTCTTGGAATGTATGTTCTCGTTGTGAGTGGCGAAGGCCGGTGTTTTATCCCTCCGAATCGAAGCCTCGGGCGGCCTTTGACTCTTGGCAGTTGATACCCGAGGGGCTTCCACGTAGCGTATGACTGGACGCGGCGTCCACGCAGCGAAGGTATTTACCTTGAAGGTATAGGATTCAAAGATGTCGGAGAGGGAGGATGCAGCCGAGTCACCCATCGAAAGACTGCCGTCAGAACAGTGCCGATCGGAGCGCCGACTCTGAGCTCCGGTACCCCTGCGTGTCTCTATGGAGAACTGCTCCGCAGGTAGCGGAGAGGGACGGCGAGGGATATCGATGGGAGCAGATGCTAGCATCCGAATTTCCCGCTCCCTGGCGATTTCGTATGCCTTCCGCTTGCTCAGCTTTTTCTTCAAGACTGCCGGCCCATTATCGTTGCGCTTGGGTCTCAGTAATGATGGAGACCGAGACAAGGAAGGCTGATCGTGGCTCATATTGGAATATGTGGTGTAGGCATCGGAATGCTGGCCTGCTCGGGAGGCCGGGAGCCGGGGTTCTTTCATCGGGGTCGGCTGCTCACTATGTGACGTAGGTGGAGGATAGTGGACGACCTGAGACGACGTAGGATGGGAAACATCGCGTAGGGAGCTCGGATCGACTTCAACTGGTTGGGCGTGTCTGTTCTTTTGGCGTTTGGAATGCTTGCGAGACAGTTTCCTGCCGAGCTTGCTGTCATCGAAGCTGTGGCGAGGTTCGTGCGACGACTGGACGTCCGCCACGGCGGGTGCATCCAGCTGGATAGTATGCCGCTTGTTCTTACGACCAAACGGCCATATCGCCATGGCGTCTGATTAGAAATACCTCGTCCCGCTGACCAGTCAAACGTGGACGCTGATACTGTGGGAGGCGAAGTTGAACCGGGTGACTGGACTCATGAGGAAGGACCGGAAGGACTAGACACGCGACCAGCAGGCGAATCCGAAGTAGATAGCAAGGCACGGATAACAGCCAAAAATAAATAAAGCACCAGACAAGCAAAGTGGCAGAAGAAAGGAAGAGGAGTCACGATGCGAGGCGGATTGTCTGGCAACGGAGGCGAACCGAGACATCCAAAGCGGTGGGAAGGGCTAGGGTGCGGCGGAGCGTGTGTGGGCGTAAGTAGGAAGTAGCAGAAAGTGTGTAAGGATGATCCAGGTGCTGGTACTGGCTGCCTGGGGAGGTATGGACCGGGGGGGGGAAGGGGTCGTAGCAGGTCACTATTGGTTTAGAGCGAACGGGTAATCGTAGCAGGAAGTAGTAGTGGGAATCGGTTTAGTAGCAATAGTGAGACCCGGGAGCCACGCCACATGGGGTGGCGGAAAAGATACTGAGTGATCTCTCTTGGGTCACGAACCAAACAAGGAGCAGAAAGGAGAAGGGAAAACAGAACGAGTGAAAAAGAGGGGAAGGGGTGGGAGGGACCCGATGAAAGTGAGGGAAAGAGGGAAGAAAGGAGGAAAAGAGGGAGAAGAAGGGGAGACGAAGATGAAGAAGAGAGAGGAAGCGAGCGAGAAAGGCAAGTACCGACCAGGTTGATGAGCCCAACTACCTACAACTACCTACTTACTGGCTATCTAGGTAGCTATTAGCTACTTCGTACTGACAGCATGAGTTACCAAAGAGTACCGAATGGCCATAGCTAACCTACACTCAAAACGGTCAAGGTCGAGAGCGAGGGACTGAGAGGGCCGAGACAAACAAACCCGCCCGTTTCTGAACCAGGGGATCTGGTCGGTTGGTTACACCGTCGTCCCCCGGGGCCGGCCGTCACAGCAGAACCACTTGGAGCCAGTCCGAACCCACCATCGGTCGCTTGATTTTCTTCATTATTATTATTATTAATCCTCTCTGGGTTTAGCGAGTTACAGCGCTCCCTCTCTGTTCAGTGTTCAGGTGATGGATTATATGCATCAACCCGTTCTCTTTTCCCTTTCCCCCCTCTCCCTTCCCCCCCATTTCCCCCTTTTCCTTTTCATCATATGTATTCCGTAGTACTACTCCGTATATCGAATAGCATCTTTAGACCTCAGGAGGATGTCCAGCACATACCTGCAGCTGCCACATCCAACCCTCCAACAACGTCCTTTTTGGTATCTAGCTAGTTCCCCTTCGAGACAGAGAGATCATGCGGGAACTCAAAAAGAAGGACGCAAAAATCGATTGTCGAAAAATTTCTTCCAGTGTGGAGAAGAGGCCACTAGTCGCACCTAGACGGCCAGATTGCAGCCCAATCCGATTATTGTTACCACCAGACTTGCCAGGTAGTAGTGAGTGTTGGTGTTCATTACTACTTACTTGGCTTGTAGCTGGACAGATACCAGTACTTACTTGCCAGTCGATTTCCGATGACATCCAGAGTCCTAGACATACCCAGTGTTGGTACGGGGACCCCGTACGTAGTAGTGTCTTACATCCATCGAGGAGACTCGTCTCAAGACTTCTATTCCGTACTGTTACCACGAAACCTACTGAGTCAGGTACCGCTCCTTCCGGGCTTCCATGCCCCCATGAACAGGGGTAAGTGACTACTATGGAGTCCCACGATGGAAGTTCGTGTTAAACTTCCCGCTTCCAGCCCATCCAATTTCCGCTGGCTACAGGCTAATAAACTGACAATTTTGACAGCCATTGACAGGTCCAGTATGCATTGGCCAAAGCGCGCAGCACCATGACAATAACGTAAATGCCGTAACGGTCGAATCTCCATTGTCAGTTAGGGAGCCGCTGCTCCCAATCACAGTGGGGCCCCCTAATTTTCCGACTAACATCCTTAGGGTCCAAGGTTGAGAACTCCAGACCTCAGATTCAGCGCCCTGTCCATCGATCGCCGTGACTGTGATCCGGTTAAACCTCCTTCGAAATGAAGTCCGCCGGACTGGACAACATTCAGCTGCGTCAGTGGCTCGCTCAAGTCACCTGCAATCAAATGAAGAGGGGTCTGGCGCCCTGTTAGTGGCCGGAATCACCACTTGCTGAACCGACAACGGAAATAATCTCCTGTTGTTTACTTCCATCCTTGCAGATTTATTACTCGCGACCGACTCACCTACAACCAAAGGGGGACAGTCATCCAGCCCACTGGAAATTATCATCTCCAATCATTAGTTCGTATCTAACCGAAAATGCCGAAGCCAGGCCCATGCGAGCCAACTTACGCGTGTGCTGCACGGGAACCTGGTAGACCGCAAAGCCGTCGAGTCGTGCGATCCATACACTACTACCTTCTAGGTACACCATATTACCGGCGCTCCCTTCCACCAGGCTCCAGAATCAGATTGCCATTGTATAGGTAGGGTGGGTGTTTAGGCTTCCTCCCGTCGTTGCGTACTATTTGGTGGCTAAATTCGCTGACTGTCATGACATCTGCTCGCCTAGTGCATAAATCTACGACTTGCCGACGCGCTCACCCTTCACCCTCCTCTCTGCTCGCACCGAAGCTTATCCATCCCGCTTACTCGATACTTCCCCCGCTGAGATCTGACCACCACCCTTCCATGATAATACCATTGATTTTAAGGGTCGTCCAGTGCAAATCAGTAGATCGTCCGTTCCTGCGTCGGATTACTCAGAGACCCGGCCAGATCTCAACCTACTATTAGTTGGAGATGGGGAAGTGAAACATTCCGTCTGACTAACAGGCACTGGAGGAAAGAATCCCGTAAAAAGCGGCGCCTAGCTTTTCTCGCCTTGCATGTGCGGAGGCGACAGCGGGTAGTATCACCACTCCGGCGCCCTTGTTTATGGTTTCACTCGGAGAGTTCAGCGTGGATGACTCCGTACGGAGCGCGGGTAAGCAGGGAAGGCAGGTAACTATCCCAGTCCCATGGTTCAAGGGTGGCTTAATTAAACGCACCGAACGCCCAGACTTCTTCGTATCCGTCGCCCCCGTTCTAGATATGGCTCCGCTATGCATGTCATCCTCCGACCTCCATAGTCCGTATGGCGTATCCAGAAATCCAGATGTGGGTTTTGTAATCAGTAATCAGTCGCTAGTAAATTATCGCCCGAGTACGGAGTAGACTCGGTATGATCGCCTGTGTTGATAGGCGGATTAATTTCCCTTCTATGGGAGGGGTGTGGGTCTACCTAGCATTAAGAGGCCGTTGTGTCTCCAACCGACCCAGGTATGTACCTGAGGTCCAGTCATGGCGGTAGCCGCTGCTCTGTAACCATGCTATCTGTGTTACAAGCGCCCCAGTCTACTGTACAAACACCGAGAGGTCAAAGAATGTATATGAGTGAGGAGAGGATTCCTTTCAATATAACCTGCAGTAATGTGCTGGCAATATAAATGTCCATTCCAACTCTCAAGTGCATGCGAATACAGGATTCAGTGCACCAAGTTCTCTATCCTGCACGGCACTGCGGTCTGCACGCTGCACTCCGTACAGCGTACTCCTTGCATCTCAAATTTCTATTGCTTCTAGTATCCCCTCGGTCCTTGAAGTCATAAACCACCTGATGCCTCTACATAATGCCAGGATGCGATACTAGGGGGTGTGTATCCAGCACCCCATAATGCTGACCAACTCCCATTCAGGATATCGAACCAGTCCATCCAAACGACAAGTTTCAACTCTCTGATTCTTTCCCAGTGCGATTTAACAGATATACTAACCAACCTACCAAATAGACTTCTATGAACTCGACAGTCTTCCAGAAGAGACACATTTGTAAACGCACCAAATTTTCCAGCGCAACCACTGCCTACCTCTTTTCCTGCTCAACCACACCCACCACCCGATACATCCAACGCAATGCCAACACCACCAAGCCTCAACCTCACAACTCACGCACCCCCATCTCAACACAAGCTTGCCTAGCATCCGAACCACAACCCAAACCCAAACCCACTAGCACGAGGCAGCTATACACGCCCCCCAATGCCACAAATCATCAACAGCATGCCCATGCAGCACCAAAACGCACGTCGGCCTCCTACATGACATGTCTAACGGTCAAAGCAACTAACCCGTTGCGTCTACATGCTCTACATCCACTGGAGCGGAAGATTAAGTTCCCTTTGTTTTGATACATCTAGGTGCTAAAGAGGGTAAGGGGGGAAAAAGGAAAATCCTCGTGATGGGTGGGATCAGCGTTGAGCTAAGGAGCTAAGGTTATGGTCTGGTGGTTGTAGGGTACCACGTTGGATTGAGCTGGCAGGGCTACGGTGCGGTGCGGTGCAGGTCAGGAAGTAAGTGAGGTCTGGGTTTGCATGTGTGGTGTTATGGCGGCGTTGACTGATTTTTAGTTTCTTGCTTAGGTTCATGTCTTGGGTGTTTGGTATGTTCATATCATACTATTGTCTAAGTAGGTAGGTATTTACATGTGGCAGCATCAAAAGGCATCCGGCTTGAGAGAGTCGGGTCCCACATCAAAGCCCACCCGACTAGGTACGGAGTGAGACACAAGAGTCTAGATTACAAAAGAAGAGGTCCATCAGATCGTTAGTTTCCCGCGCGTGCCACGTTGGACTCCATAACATCATGTTCCAAGTCCCAACTTCCAAGAGTCCCTGTGCGATATACCAGTCGGCTGAACACCGGCTGATTCGAGTAATGAAAATAAAAGCCAACGCCAAGGCCAGAGGATAAAAAAAGCAAAAATGAGGAGAAGAAAGATGGGGTGACAGCGCGAAAAAGAAAATAAAAAGGTAAAAAAAGAACAAAGACCAAGATCCCGACCCATCCGTTCGTCGCCCAGTGGTCCCTGGGAAGGAAGATGATGGGTGACTGGACTTTGGAGATACACCCACTGATAAGACTACAAGATGGTCCAATAGAAGATACACCGTGGGAATTCCTGCGGGAGCCGATAATATCCACCCGGCGGCCAGAAGGTGCCCCATTCAACGCCAACGCCAGCAGCAGCATGGAGGGGATTGGATACTATACTTTCCGTCCATATAAACATCGAAGTGAATGAAAGTAAGAGTATAGTTATCCAAGCCACCTCGGGATAATAATAACAAGTCCAAAGTGATAGGTGTACTTTCTTCCCGTGGCTTGTTATTTATTGAGTGAACCTTTTTCGAAGCCGGTTCGGCTCGCGTTCCAGAACACGATATCGACGGCTCACATGGCGGCTCAGAAACTTCGTTACTGACCAGGAATCGCGACCGTCGTCCGTATGCTTATTGCCAGTTACATGGCCAAAGAAGGACCCGCGTCGTTTGTAGGACGCCGGAGAGAAATCCTTCTCCTCTGGCTGGTGTCGGAGTGAGGTTGTCATTGACTCTGCGTTCATCTTCTGACAGAACGCGCAGGGAACGTGGCGGACCGAACTAATTGGTCTGTGTTTTAATCAAATGGCCACCCCTGTACGCCACTAGATGGATCAAAGTGGAAAATTTTTTTCTAGGCAATAAGAGATCTTATGGTATAGGCTGGTGGTCCGCTGGAGCTGCGTACGGACCGGGATCTTTGCGAATTTGGGCCGATGGCAGGCAACGATGATTGAAGGCGGGGTTCGATGGGTGGCCGATCGATTGCACAATTGTCGGAGCGTGCACGTATAGACGTGTAGCCTGCTGCTGTATATGACGCCAATGACTTGGGGAGACCGGAATTGTGACTGAATTGGCGAACTCAGAGATTATGGAGAAGATGAGAAGCCGCTGGTCTTGGATGACTGATACGTACCATGTAACTACGAGACAGCAGTACTAGTAAGCAGCGAGAGGATGCTGAGGTACGGCCATCATGATTACAGAATACTCGGTCAAGCTACCCTAGGAAGTAACCTTTACTGCGGCACAGGCAGCAAAGCCCATACTCGTCGCGATTACTTTCGGATCCCTCGGAGGGGCAGCGGGACAATAAAGGACGAGTGATCCATGGTTGGCGACCTGGACTGGATCCAGTCGTGAAGCAGCACGGTGAAGCTCCAGAGCTGGGCCAGTCCCGTGACTACCCCACCTTGTTGACAGGCATTTCGCAGACTCTTGGTCTTTTAAGTTCTGCGAAACTTCGATGGGTGGTCCTCTTTCTGGGGAAACCCTTGGTGGCAAGATTTTCAGGCGTCATCATGCTTGGGGGCATGGGGAAAGATTGCAGTAATTGCACATTTCTCTTATGAGTTGTAGTGCGGCGGTATGATTCGTCCTCTGGTATCATTGATACCCGATGGTGTCGATACTGGATAAGCTTACAGGATCCATCGGCTGACGTGGAAGAGCTCCAGTTAAGACGGCCTGGGTAAACTTATGCCCGTTGGCGGTGCCGTCAGTAGCCAGTACGGTAGTAGCACAAGGTTGGGCATAAACCATGACATCAAGATAATGGATTTCAAATTGTCGATCTGTTGGTTTAGTATGAATCGTGGCGAAGAAGTGGAAACTTTCGCCTTTCATCTCACCGCCAAGTTCATGAAGATCAGGTCATAGTTTACACCGCTAGGTTGGTAGGAGGAGACCTCATGGTGAGTCCTCAACTGGATTTCTTTGTATGATGAGCAGCTGAGGATTTTCACAGTACTTCGGTCAATACTTCTGGTGGTGCGGAGAACTCCGTACGGAGTCAGCAATTCAGCCTACATACGGAGTAGTCAAGATGAACATGGATTTAAATGCAGATCAACTGCAGTCTCAAGTAGTCACACCTGGAGAAACTTCAACTAAGGCAGAATAACTCGAGACATCATTGGTCCCACGCTCGCTCTCGTGTATTACATAATCACCACTATGCAATTGTATATTGTCACGTGATTTGGGTGCATCTGAATAGGGTTGACCGACTCCACATTTACTAAATTTTCTTAATATAAAGCAAACTTTCTAACTTGATATTCACTAATCAGCATGTTAGCTCAGGGGAAGAGCGCCGGGCTCATAACCCGGAGGTCCCTGGATCGAAACCAGGACATGCTATATCTCTTTTTGCATCTTAGACTTTGACTGACTTCAATCACTAACCTCAGGGGTGAGCCTGTATATCAAAGCTGAGGGTGGTCAGCTCAGTCATATTTTTGTGTAGTTGGGGAACTAAGAGTGCTTCAAGACCCACTCTAGGTGCGCCTCGAGGTGAATTGCTGCAAGTGAAGAGTTGATTTGGACAAAGAGTCGAGTTGGATGACTCGACTGGCTACCAGCAAGAGACCAGAGGTCTGAGCCTCATGGCTCGGAATGTACATTGAAGTTGAGGTCGACTCGATCATCGTAGCGTAGGAATATGTCCTATAAAAATATACATGTCAGCTCTGGTCACTTTTAACACGACGCGATGAAACAACTAACCCCGTTCATCCCAACCCTTCGAAGTAGAGTGCCAGTATGATGCTTTTCGAATCGGCTTAACTAACTGCATTCCCCGTGGCACTTGCATCTGTAGACAAAGGGAGGTGGCCACGACCATGGGATTCAAAGGGGCTGCATCATATTGGGCGAATGTGGATAGTATTGAACAAATGGCTTGAATGAGTGGCCAAGCACGCAGGCCTGTCTATTTTATATAATCAGGTGAAGACATATCTAGGTATGTTCCCTAGACTTTGTAGGATCGATCCTATAATAAGTTAAGGGTTTGTATGAGATATAGGTATCTTCCGCAATACATCAGCAGCGGACTAGTAAGCAAGAAAGAATAGCAATAGATACAGGATGATCAGACTTACCATCTTTACCATCATCTTTTTCTGCCATGCCCGCCCTGTACATAACTTATTTAGGACCGAAAAATACATTCAGAGCATGTTAGCTCAGGGGAAGAGCGCCGGGCTCATAACCCGGAGGTCCCTGGATCGAAACCAGGACATGCTAAACTGTCTTATCTTTTTCATATTTTTGTCCTTCATCATGATTAAGTCTCACTGCTGTCCGTTTCTCTCTCTTTCATTTTTTTTTTTTTTTGCAAACCATTCGGAAACCAAACGTCAAATCTCAAGGGAAAGTGTTCGAGCTCCGTTGAACTGTGTAGCACGTGATGGCGGTCGCCTTTGGAGGGACGCCAAGCCGGCCAAGTCGCAAAGGACGGGCGAGGCTCTCGACTGCCTGACCACCGCCGCTGCTATTGCTGCTCTCAACCGTTACTACTAACCCCGTTATTATTATTTCCTCCCTATCACCGACCCCCGGATTGCGCAGACTGGCTTCTTCGCATCCTTTCTTTTTCTCCGACCCTCCCCTCCGTGTCGATCCTCCCCCTTCTTCTCACCTCCCCATCCGGGGGTCCCTGTGGCCGCCATGGCATCCCGTAGGTGTCCTTGTGCTGTTGAACCTCCCCCACATTGCCAGATCGCACCCTTTCCCCTGACCCCGGAGTCCGGTCGCTAACAGTCCCCTCTCCTGCCGCCATTGTATATAGTGAAGCAATTCATCCGAAATGTGCGATCGGCCAAGACAATCGCCGATGAACGAGCAGTCATTCAAAAGGAGAGTGCGGCCATCCGTGCGTCTTTCAGGGAAGAGAGCCATGATTCTGGCGTCCGGTTAGCATTGTCACCACAACCCCTGAAAGCGCCCGAACCAGCGTCTCATATACCTGGACAGGAGAAATAATGTGGCCAAGCTTCTGTATTTATTCACCCTCGGTGAGCGGACGCACTTTGGTCAGATCGAATGTCTGAAGCTATTGGCGTCCCACCGTTTCGCCGACAAACGTCTGGGATACCTGGGGACTATGCTGTTGCTGGATGAGAACCAAGAAGTTTTGACGCTGGTAACGAACTCATTGAAGAAGTACGTTCTCACCCAAATCGTCCGTCAGCACTCCGGCTGATGTCTTGCAGTGACCTTAATCACTCCAACCAATATATTGTCGGTTTGGCCCTCTGCGCCCTGGGTAATATCGCCTCCGTCGAAATGTCCCGAGATCTCTTCCCGGAAGTTGAGAACCTGATGTCTACCGCAAACCCTTACATTCGGAGGAAGGCGGCACTGTGTGCCATGCGGGTATGTCGCAAGGTCCCGGACCTGCAGGAGCATTTCTTGGAGAAGGCCAAGACACTTCTGTCGGACAGGAACCATGGTGTTTTGCTGTGCGGTCTGACGCTCGCAATCGACATGTGTGAAGCTGAGGAGGCAGAAGAAGGACAGGAAGGTGTCATCGAGATGTTCCGCCCCCTGGCCGGTGGTCTTGTGCGCGCCCTGAAGGGACTTACGTCCTCGGGATACGCCCCGGAACATGACGTTTCCGGTATTACCGATCCTTTCCTACAAGTGAAGATCCTACGCCTTCTGAGGGTACTTGGAAGAGGGGATGCGACAACCAGCGAGTTAATCAATGACATTCTGGCCCAGGTGGCCACCAACACTGACTCAACGAAGAACGTCGGCAATGCTATCCTCTACGAGGCTGTTCTTACAATCCTTGACATTGAAGCGGATTCAGGATTGAGAGTGCTGGGTGTTAACATTCTTGGAAAGTTCCTGACCAACAAGGATAACAACATCCGTTATGTCGCTCTCAACACGCTGAACAAGGTCGTCGCGATCGAGCCCAACGCCGTTCAGCGGCACCGCAACACTATCTTGGAGTGTCTCCGCGACCCAGATATCAGTATCAGAAGACGTGCCCTAGATCTCAGCTTCATGTTGATCAACGAGAGCAACGTGCGTGTACTTGTTCGGGAGTTGCTCGCTTTCTTAGAAGTGGCCGATAACGAATTCAAGCCAGCGATGACGACTCAGATTGGCATCGCTGCTGATCGGTTTGCCCCCAACAAACGCTGGCACGTTGACACAATCCTCCGGGTACTCAAGCTTGCCGGTGCCTATGTTAAGGAGCAGATTCTCTCGTCCTTTGTTCGCCTTATTGCTACCACGCCGGAGCTGCAAACCTACTCGGTGCAAAAGCTCTACTTGTCGTTGAAGGAAGATATCTCGCAAGAAGGTCTCACACTTGCTGCTACCTGGGTCATTGGCGAGTACGGTGACAACCTCCTCCGCGGTGGTCAATACGAGGAAGAGGAACTGGTCAAGGAGGTTAAAGAAAGCGACATTGTCGATCTGTTTACCAACATCCTCAACAGCACGTACGCCACGCAAACGGTAGTGGAATACATCACTACTGCCTCCATGAAGCTTACCGTGCGCATGTCAGATCCAGCACAGGTTGAGCGGCTCCGTCGCTTCCTCAGCAGCCGGACTGCCGACCTGAGCGTTGAGATTCAACAGCGGGCTGTCGAATACGTCAATCTGTTTGGCTATGATCAAATCCGTCGGGGTGTCCTTGAACGCATGCCTCCACCTGAGATCCGTGAAGAACAAAGAGTCCTGGGTGCACCGGCCAAGAAGCGCCAAAGCAAGATCCTGAAAGACAAGTCCAAGAAGCCTGCCAAACAGGCGGAGCAGGACATGCTTCTGGACCTCATGGGCGGCGACGCCCCAGCGACCAGCCCAACTACTGGCGGATCTCAGAACACAGCCGATCTGCTGGCCGATATTCTCGGCGGAGATTCCAGCCTATCCTCACCTTCTCCTCAGCCCGCGCAGAAGCCAGCAGGATCCGTTAACAGTGCTATCATGGATTTGTTCAACGCGAATGGAAGCACGCCTTCCCCCCGGTCGTCAGAGCCTGCATCATCAGGCCTGGATCTTCTAGGAGGTTTGGGATCCTCTGCATCGCCGGCGCCGTCTCCTGCGCCGTCTGCGGTCCCCGTTCATGCGGCCTTTAACAAGAACGACCTCTCCCTTACTCTCCAGGTTCAACGTGGAAGTGGTGGAAATGCACAGATTCAGGCTCGCTTCCGGAACGTCTCAAGCTTCGGCCACTTTTCCAACGTTGGCTTGCAGGCAGCCGTGCCTAAGAGCCAGAAACTTCAGCTCAGTGCGATCAACAAGGCTGACCTCGATGCCGGCGATGAAGGCATCCAGATGCTCAAAGTTGCATCTCTTAATGGGGTACGTTACATCACCCTCGCCTCTCTTATTCGTGTCAACTAACGCTTTGCAGGCCCTCCCACCTAAGCTCCGCCTTCGTCTCCGCATAACATACGCCAAGGACGGCTCCGATCCTGTAACTGACCAGGTGGACTGGAGCGAGCCATAAGCGTAAAACCGTGGCGTCTCTTCCATCAACCTCCCGCATAATCACTCAACATGTACCCTCTAGACCACCCGTCTAATTTACTCTATCAACCTGAGCGTGTCCCCTAGCGCAGTCATCGTATTTGGTGAAGAAGATGAGAGCAGGAAAACCACCCTTGGGAGAAGACTACGAGCGGGAAATCAGCACCTACTTGATCATCCATAGTTTCTCACCATTACATATATGCATGTTCATACATACCCGGTTCGTTTCTAGTTCACCATTGTGACCATCTCTTCCTTTCATATTACATGTCCCTATTGTCTTCGATGTAAATTCGTTGCAGAGGCCTAGGAGTGGCCGTGAAATATGCTGGGGTCATAATACAAAATGTTATCTCTTCAGGTTCACTAATAACGACACGTCCGCCGTCATGTTCAGCAAACAGCCTGCTTTGCCAGTACCTCTGAAGTAAATTAGATAAATTCACGTCCCAATGAGGAACCTTTCCAAACCATGTGACCTAGCCACGTTGCGATCCTTAATCGAGAATGTTTGTCATGTGCGTTCTTTGTGTTCATATTATCAGCATTCGTTAATACATTTATTGGATTTCCTCATGATTCTAGTCTTTGAGCGCCTATATACGTCGTTACACATACTTGTAGAAACAGACACCAATCTAATTGTTTATGTAACTTCTTATCTGGTCTCATGTACTCCGCATATAATAAGAAAATACATAGCAGTTAGATAGATACATACCAGTATTTAACAAACACACTGCCACACCCCCACTACACAAGGACACAGACACGGATACAGACACAGACATACATCGATACTATGTATGATACCGAACCGCCACCCCCAACAACACTATAAAGAACCAACCCACCCCCCCTCCCCAGCCCCAGAAGCAAAACTCGTGACATCATCCTACAGCACATGATCAAAAACACAAGGAACCAAAAGTATAGATATACAACAAATCCAATCCCAGATGCTAGACTCTCAGATGATCGCAATCATCGGTGGGGTTTACTTCCTCCAGGATCTAAGTACTTACTTACTTTCCTACATAGTATAGATGATAGACGGGGCGGGGTATTCCGGGTATTATATCGGGATTAGTACTGGGTGTTTGTTTTGTATGTCTATTGTGGTAAGATAATTGGTCGATGAGAATGATGGAGATGATGTTGTTGTCTTGGTGTAGTTCTAGATCTGAGAAAGTAGGAAGTGATGTAGAGTCACATGAGAAAAAGGGAAAGTGTAACTACATAGTAGGACATCCACGTGATGCTAGTTCGTATTTATCACATGTCCTAACTTGCCCTGCGAAGAGCGTTCATGGACGAATGAGTAGAGCATCAATTTACAAGAAATTAAGAACCTATCAATGTCTGGACGTATGACTAGATGATGAATATAAGAGAAGATAAAAGAGGGGAAAGCGGGGGTAGTATACTATACATTAGACGGTATGTAAATCTGGAGAGTTTAGACCTCGAGGAATCACTCCAGTTGTCAATGCTACGTATACAAGGTAGAAGAACAAGGCGCAGTGATGCATAGATGATGGTATTAAATCTACCTAAGGAATACAATGCATCTGATGAAGAAGCTGCAGTGATAGAGGCGGAGCAATATGCCGGATGAAGTAGTACTAGAGTCCACTTGGGAAGTAAGACTGAGTGTGGTCTGTACACTGCATAACATGAGGCGGAAGTTAAGGCTGTTTCTTTGATTCTCCGGCCACTAGTGAGGTAACCTTACGTAGCTGTTGAGGTGCCTACCCCATAATGAAAGATAGCCTTACAAGTTGGGAAGATCTTGCGGACAAAGAGCATGTGCGTCAAAACTGCATGGATACCCGATTCCACCCCAGGTTATGTACACCCTAGAAACTCAAAACCGACCTGTCTATAACCTCATTCAAATTGCATTTCCGCTGTGTACTGTACTAGGTAAATCCCTCCCAAATCAATTTCGTCATTCGTAATCGTCATGTACTCCTAAATGTTCATTCGCACCGCCGTTCATCCATGACCACACCAAGAATCTGAAATGCGTAAGTCAATCCGGCCCGTGCGCCGGCAGAGTAGCCGAAGTTATAGTAATAATAACAGGTATATAGCGTAAAGAGGCGAAAGATATCAAGATCAAAAGAAGAAAGGCAGAATATGGCACTCATCAAGTATTTGGACTGCGTATTGAAAACAATGATGTCCGAGAAAGGGAAGCATGCGGAGGCGTCGAACTTCCAGAGCTGGAAGGCGCCAGAGAATGCTACTACTCGGGCAATCAAGAGAATGGATGTCGAGTTTCTGGAGAGGGGAGGGTGTGAGTGCCATTGATGAGTGGTGCGAAAGGAATGCGTCGTTCAATATGTCAGGAAAACTCATCAAAAATCGCGGTCGGGCTACCCAAATATAAGGTCCAATCTCATGGACTGTCGTTATCATTTCTCATCGAGCAAAAGCAGATTGCCGCCGTTCTATGGGTGGAATAGGATAGTCTCCATACGACTGTCGGATGTGAGGATCGCGAGATGAGACGTGCTCGGGCCCCACCTCTCGCGCGTACTTGAACTCTTTATCCTTCGGCGAGGAAACTTCCCGATACAGAGGCCGACTGGAAGATTGCCTGGATGCGCTAGGACGAGGTGCAGACTCATACCGTAATGAGTGCTCCGTAGGATAGGCGTAAGTACTGCTCCGAACTGGTGGCTTCGGCATAGGGCGCCCTGAAACAGGGCGTTCTTGACGTGGCGGTGAATACCCCCTTGCGTGTCTCGGGGACTTCTGTGGTGGCGGTATGCTGGGTTCTACCAGCACTGTGTCCGGCTCCGTCACGATCTTGTACCGGGTTGACTTAGGTGGGCTCTCCCCAGAAGCCATTTCCGGAGTACCCGGACTTGAATACCCCGAGTCGTATTTGTCCGTTCCTCTTAGTTTCGCGGCCCGTGAGCTAACCTCATAGACCATCTGTGGAAGGCTGTGTGGAAGGGTGTCTGAGCGGCTAATGCCCTTGGGACGGGAATGGGTCTGTGCGGAGCTTGCAGACCGCGAGGGCTGAAGGGAAGGCCGGACCGATGGAGGAAGCTTGACTGCGGGTGAAGTTGCCGCAGTCGGCATGCTAGGCACCTTGGTTTCATAGGACCGACTCTGAGTTTCGAGCTTCTCGTATGATCCATTGCGAGAGCTGCTAGTACGCACAGTTTCCTTGCTCGGCCGCTTCGACCGACCCGAGTGCCTGGAAGAGGACGACTCTGGATCTGCCGATTCATAGCCATGATGGCGTGGGGGCGAGCGGGACGACTGTGGCCGACTATCAATCTCGATAGGCGTTTTGCCCTTGGAGCGCCTAATGTAATCCCGGGCCGTGGTGTGCAGTTTGTCATGCTTCGACTCAAACTCATCGGTATACTCATCGTTGTCATATCGCGCTGGATCGCGCCGGCGAGATGACTCTGTCGGTCTGGCTTTGCGGGAGGAAGAGTCGCGATTGCGCTTTTCGGAGGGCCGCTTGATCCTCACGTAAACCGACGAGGCACTTGAGTCCGATGCACCCCCATCATCTTCAGAATCACTGTACGGAACGGCCCGGTCATACTTTTCGAATGCTTCCCGTCTGCGTTCCTTGGTACGATACTTGGCGCGACTGGTGTGGGTCGTCCTTGAATTGTCGCGAGCCATATCCTTTGCTGCGCGAGCACTGGGGGTATCGCTCTTGGTTTTCTTCTTCTCATCCGATGGCTTGCTGTATCGCTTTCCAAACTCGTCGTACTTGCGGGACGTCGATCGTGACCCCTCGGAGAACTGAAGGTCCTCATCGAAATAGGCGGCATCGGCTGGGGTCCTCTCCTCGTAAATCCGCCCATTGCGAACCTCGCGAGCACCACTCGAGCCGCTTGCCCGCGGAGAGGCATAGGGCGCTGCACCGCTGATGTTGACAGACACCCCATGTGCCTGCGCTTCACGGCGTAGCTCAGCTAAACGAACCTTGCCATCGTACTTTGCCCTTCTTGTCTCATCCGAAAGAAGTTCGTAGGCTTGCTGAACTCTCTGGAACTCATCCTGAGCCTTGCTCCTCAGAGACTCATCCTTGATCTTATCAGGGTGGCATTTCAGCACGAGCTTGCGATGGGCGGATTTAATGTCAGCTAAGCCCGCATCTTTCGCAACCCCCAACACTTCGTACGGGTTGATATCTGGCGCTGATGACATTGTCTGCAAAAGACTCGGGTGGATGATTTGGAAAACATAAACCAGCCACCGATGTAATGCCGACGGTACGACTTATATATAAACTGATCGATCAAGAATGAAGAGCGAACTGGGCGACAAGTACCGCGGTGTGGCGTTGTATAAAAGCGGTGGGTAACGGAACGGAGGGAGGCGAACCTGGAGGATGCAGCGACAGTGCGGATGTGTACTCCGAAAAGGTACCTGAGATGGGAAAGGCGGGCGGATAGACGGCTGGATGGGGTGACGTGGGTGTTGGTGACGATCAATGGCGCATAGTCAAGATTCCGATCGGGAATGCGGCCAATTCATGGAGAAGCCCGGAGAAGACAGCAGAAGGGGAGGATGTGGGATGACAAAAGCCAGGGAGAAACCGGCCGCAGGGGTGGATAAAGAAAGAAGGGGAGACAGGTGAGATTGTGATGAGTGAGAGTGAGTCGTGCAGAAGTTGAATAGGTAAAGTGCAGTCAGTTGCAGCAGCTGGGAAAGGCAAAATAACAGAGATGGGTATTAGGTATAGGTATTATTACCGCGCAGTACCCAATGAGTATGACTGGGGGCAGTTTTTTTGGCCCGGGTAATTTCGCCCAGGAGGAACGAAGGAGGGGTCCGGCGGGCCACTGGGGACTTTGGTGCTAAGCCCGTAGCTCGGCTTATGCGCTGGAGGGGAGCGAGGAGGGGCGCAGGCTAAAGGTAACGACAACCTGCCCGGGAGAGGCGAACCAGCGCTGAGGGGCAAATCCCAGAGAGGCCAGGGGAAAAGTCAAAATTAGGGACAAGTTATCATAGGAGGATGGGAGAAATAACGAAATATCCCAAAAAGAAAATCGAGAAAAAATAACAAACGCAGAGAAAGCCAAGTCGAATCACAAGAGGGAGAGTACCGCCGAACTGTCGGGTCCAAGCACGCTGCGCCACGCTGGTTTCCTGGAGAGAAGCTAAAAGTAGAAAGAGAGCCAAAGAAGGATGGTCAGATGAAGTGGCACCACGTTTAGTCAGGATTGCTAGTTAAGAGAGAGGCCAGCGAGGATGAATAATGCTGATGAGAAACGAATCCCACACGCTGGTGAAGCTCCTCGAAGACGCTCGATGATGCCACTGAGGGAGTTTGGTTGGATGGGCTGGCTGGGTTGGTGGCCCAGGTCTCTGTCGGGCCAAAAAGGAAGTATAGAGGTCGTCGGACCGGAGTAGGAGTTGGCACCAACAGGTAGGAATCCCTGATGATCAACAGAGTTATAAAACCGGGTTGGATCCTCCGATTTTTCTGTTGCAATGATGATTGTAGTGACAGTCACAATAACAACAATGTAGCAACGACAGAAGCTTGGTGATGATCGATGTCTTCTGCGGTGCCGGCAGACTACAAAGCAGCGGTGAACCGACGCAGTGAAACTCAGATGGGGACGTTTTACAACGAAGCTCAGGGCCCGCTTTGGTAGGGACAACAATTCAATCCGTTCTGGTAAAAGACCAACGATGGGCAATTGTCAAGGAGCGGTCAATCATTGATGCCTCTCTGGGTGGACGCTGGAGAATTGATTCATACAATATTAATGTCCCAAACCAGACCATGCATGAAGGTAGGAGACAAGAAGATATAGGTTGAGCTGGAGAAGGGTTATCTCGACCTGCAAAAAGAGAGGAATTGAAACAGGGACTGAGGTGGTACAAATACCCCGGTCATGTTTTACCATACTACGTCTATGTTGATCTAAGATCCATCGATGAACTACATGGCAGTTACCCTCTTTGGGATTGTACCTGGTGAAGGAAGAGAGAAGTAGAACGAGAAAGAGCTGATACGTAAAGACCGACAGCCTTTGGCTCTCGCACTTCGGACATAGTACCATCGGGTTTCTAGTACATAGTACGTGCGACTACTGCATCAAGTAAGATGGAGATGCTGGGCCGTTCACAGTCACATCTCCATCACGGTCAGGGCCGGCGCTTGGCCAGGAATCCATCTTGCCTGTCCCATCTTTAGCGTCGAAGTTACGATGCAAGCGGACCGAATCCATGGGTGTCTGCAGGACTCTTGTCTGTTTGGTCATCCACCTGGCCTGGTGGTCCCCGGCAGATGAGCGAGTTTCTTCGGCCGCGACCGTCATCAGCCTGAGCTGCGGGGCAGCCCACGAGCAAAACCACTATCTATACTATGCACTGGTGCAGACTCGGAGGTGGTCCTTTCTTGTGCTGATTGATCCGTAAGAACCCCCACCGCCAACTTATCCGAGACTCGCGCGATCGGATCTCACCACCGGGGCTGACCACTAACAAGTAAGCAGTGACCAGTGTCATCCTTCCGGGCAGGAGGCAGCGAGGAACCCCGCACCACCACCACTCACGGACTTGCATGCAAATGGGACACCATCCCTAACCTACACACCATCTCGGGCCTTTCTTCCCCTTCTATAGGCCAGTCCATCTCCTCCCACGACTCTTGCCTTCACCGGGAGGGATTTACAGTCCAATCATGTCCGCAGTCACCTGCGCGCGCTTTTCGGGTTGCGTCCTCACTCCTGAGGATTTCGGTCGCCTCACCGGACAGAATGCGCTGGATTCTGCAGCCTTGAATTGGCTCAGCGAATTCGCTTCTCTCCCTCCTTCCCCTCCTCTTGGCTTGCCTCTACAGCATACTCCGTATGGATTAGCGCTGTGGAGGTGCCGGGCCATCGCAAAATTTACTCATCCTTACAGCGTACATATGCATGGGGTACTCCGTACCTCTATCTGCTTCAGGGACACATACACATGCGTACTGTACCTGGAGGGGCGCCCATGGTTACAGCCATGATCGATCCGATCCGGGCGCGCGTGAATTAGTCCCGTGGGTTGATCCCGGCAGGTTCCGCCCTCCCATGGCCCTCCCTCCCGTACCTGAGCGTATCGATTCTACCTACAGCAACCCGGGAAGTGGCATGGTCTCCAATAATTCATCAGGGTGATCACTTTGTCACAAGGTGTGTGCATGTCCCGGGAGTTTCGTGGGGTAGGGCCCCAAATCATGTAGATCTATCACTTCGATCGGCATCAAACGGCCAAAGTCAAACAGATTGGAGAAGCATGGCAGCATGGGGTTTCTGGTCAATGCTTGGACCGTACTGGTGCTCGCCCTTGTCTTGCACCACGCAATGGCCTGTCAGATTACCTTGCCTGTCCCACCCTGGGTTATCCGTGCCCAGGACACTGTGCGCCGAGAATTCCTCGTCGAGCTGATTGTTCTCGAAGGAGTAATTGGACCCTGGGCGAAGTCATCTGCACCCAAGGTTAGCCAACAATTTGCGCCCGCTGCCCATGCACTGATTGTCCCGGCATTAGTTTGCATGGCGGGTGCTTCACTTTCATGATCCCTCCTACCCAATGAGGGCGTCTAGATGGGCGTGAAATAAGGGGAAGGGGTGCAGCTCTTCGTCAAGGCTTGCGCTTTAAAGTGCAATTGAAGGAATGGTGATGCGAAACGTTAATAGGAGCTTAAAGCAAGCCCGCCGCGTTGGAAGCTTTTCGCGGGCTCTGGGCCCATCGCCGGCTCGGACGCGGGATCATATGAAGCGACTATTGTTTTGCCGGTTGACACAGGGCCGACAATTGTCCTTCCACTCAGCCGAAATGGTGTACAGCATTCGTATGACCGCCTCCGATGAGCATTAGAATCCAGGCGTGGTCCTCCATGTGGGTTGATTAGCAGGAAGTTTCCTGAGGCGGCCTGCCGTTGAAACTGGCTGACCACTTCGTACCTTGCTGGCTCACATCATCCGCCAACGCAAGCCTTCATGTGGAGTGTGGAGGCGCAGGTCAAACCGAAGGTTCCAAGTGCCTCGTGGTAGAGTTACCTACGCGCTCGATGTTGGTGACACAGTAAGCATTGCGAGACATCCCAGTCACTTCATCAGCTGCACCGGGGGTTACTACGACTCTCACCAATAATACCGGCGAATATTGATCCCGGCTGCATCTTATCAATCCAGTTCGGCGGCTACCTAGCCGTTTTGACCACAGGTCCTTACCCACCGGGCCCCATACAAAGTCGACGACTACGGCTGAATGGAATGATGGTAACTCATATCTCGTTAGCGCGCCAACCTCAGCTCAGTGGCGTTTCTCGGTTTCATACTGCAGCCTGGTCCTGGCAGCGTCGTAACCGGCGGTATGCCTGAATTTGCTATACATACGGAGTACTGAGTACTTATGTACCTTTGTCACCTCCAGGCCTCATAGTCGTAGCTGAGCATTAATCTTAGCGGTTTCGTAGGCTCAGCTAATACGATCGGGCCTGCAGCTTTCGTTCAACCAGTCTTTTGTAAGAACTAGGCTGTGTGAGACCAAGAATATCGTGGGGAATCACTCGACAGGCGGTGCATTGTTCTGTCCCTACAAAAGGTGGGATGTGCAACATGGCCTTAGTTGTTTGAATTACGGAGCAGCATCTTCGGGATTGGAGTGGGATGGGAAAAAATGACTCTCTAAGTCAAAAAAGAAACCTCCCCGACTGGGAGTCGAACCCAGGTCTCCCGCGCTTGTTCCTGTTAAGGATTGACAAGCGGAAATCATGACCGTTAGACCATCGAGGACACTTAGTTGAAGTGGGCTTTATAATTTAAGGCTAAGTGCCTAAAACCAATGATTACGTAGAGAGCAAGCAAACTGACATCATAGCCCATCGCATTTAGATCGAGACCCACTGTGGATAAAGGAGTCCCATACAATACAGATTGATGATCCCCACGTACACAGTACTCTAGGTGTTCCCTTGATGCTATTCAAGCAACCAGGAATCAGACTGGTGGGCTCACGGAAAACATAGTAAGTCAGGAGCTTAGGAGTGGTCTCAGTTGGCCTCCCTCTCAACCCCGCCACATCACACCGTCCCCATTCATAGGACAGCACTAAGCGCCTCGTCTGCGCGGCCTGTCCCAGACGATTTCTGCCCTTCGTGTTTCAATGGTGGATGATTACGAAAGTCATTCTTGCACCCAGAACCTGTCACCGACCAAGAGTGCATAAAAGCCATAGCATCATGCCCAGCTCCAAATGACTGGTGATCCCGCCATGTCCTCGAATACAATGAGCGGAGAATGTCATTCATCGACATCATGTTTCAGGTGATCTCGCATGGCTGACCAGTCCTTGGGATGCTTTCCATTTGCTGCTTTCGTATTTCAACAAAAGTGGGTATTGTGTTTTACTCATGGCTGGGCATCTCTTCGGCCATCCATCGATCTACTTGTTCGATCCCGGGTTTCTGGTTCACCGAATGACGACTCGACACAAGACAAAGAGTAAGGGAGCTAAAGACCATCACCACAACAACCACCGCCTTGCTGCCACTGAGCCATGATGTAAACTTACTCCTGCTCACTTCCTGTGACTGACAACCACTCCCAGGCAGTTCGGGGCGAATACTCAAAACAGCATGGGGCGGAGCGAGCTACATGACTGAACTGTCCTCCGGTTCCAAGGCAACTACTGATGCATCCCACCCGAAACGGTCAGCCATACGTCAAACCGCGGGTCAAAGCTCAAGCAGCCTGCTGCACCACAAGCGACATCCCACTTCTCAAAACCAATAATCACATTCAATCTTAGCCTGAAGATTCAGGAGCGAAAGGATGGGGTACGATGCTCAGCCCGCGGCTTGCAGTTCCCTCTTTCTCCTCATTCCAGACCGGGAGTTCTAGATCCACCACGATAGGGGCATGAAACCGCTTCCCACCTCGATGTGGCCAACTGGTTGCCATGATCGCTGCATTGACAATACATGTTTCGCGTCGTTGCGGATATAACCCATCCTTATCGCTACTTTGTATGTCTTTCAGGCATGAAGACAGGGAGGATGACGTTGGTTGTTCGGCTCCAGAGCTTTGGAGCCTTTCCAACGACCGCTCAGACGATGGTAAGAGCAGGACATTCTGTGATGGTTCGAACAGCCGACTGATAGGCGTTCGAATGTTGTTGATGGCAAAGTGATCGTTATCTAGCTTTGGTGCTTTCTTACCAGTGAGATCGACAAGGCTTTGTTTTCTACTACCCGAAGGAGGCAGAATATCCCGGATAATTTCATCTTCCTGACTTGGTTCGTCCACTATTGCTGCTGCTGCTGCTGCTGATGCCGCCCGCGGGTGCCATCGCACTCTCTCAGAGCCTCGCGATTCATGTACATGGCCACAAATTGCCAGCAGCGGTCGAACTTTGCTCAGCGTACTCCGCAGGGCTTTGCATCCAACTGATATGCCTTCTGTTCGGCTATCGCAGTGAGAGTAAGGCGGCGTGTGCGTCACGATAATATCCGTATCCAATGGAATGATGTTCCAAAGCGCAGCAGAATCCGACGATTCGTATCCATATGCCCAAGTCCCGGGTGATTGGGAATATGGAGAGCCAAAGATTTTGAAGACGGTATTTGGGCCGTTGGGCCGGGTCAGCCGGACTAGCGCTGACTGATGCCTGAGATAAACTATCGAAGGTGAGGCTTGAGTCACGATTTCGATGCATTTCTGGGTGTCTTCTAGATGCTGGCCGTGAAACCGAGACCCATATTCAGCATAGAAACCTGGGTCCAGTGTGATGTCATGATTCCCTAGTGACTCCCTTCTTCAGTACGCACAATACTGTCATATAGCTTGTCTACCCCTTCAGCCCTACAAGTGGCATTTTGAGTAAGGCCGTAGCCTTGATGTTGAGGACAACTAACCACAGATAATGATTTTGACTTCGAATTCAGCCGTAGCAATCCAACTCATTGTCTTGCGCAGCTCGGCGGAGCTCCCGTGATTGGTGAGGTCTCCAGCATGGATTAAGACATCTCCAGCTGGAAGTTTGAAGCCGGCCTCTGACGGCGTGTAGGCATGCGTATCGGAAACACAGACAAAACGTGTCTTCCGACGCATTTTTGCCCCCAATACAGCCTGACTTGACCGTCAGCTCAGCCTGATTTTGAGAAGAGTTCTATTTTGATGAAGCAAGGGCCTGGTACTACAATGGACAGTATTGTGACAAGGCTTTGTTTTAAACCGATACTGCGGTCACTCCACAGCCTTGTCGTCCAACGTCAGATGCCGATGGGGTAGACTAGATGCATGCCGAACATGAGCAGGGAATTATCTAGAAGGTTTCAGAGCCAGACGCCAGGAACTGTACGACCCGACCGAGGGACAAGCAATATTCTCCCACTCATGAGATGGCCGTGGACATCCATGATGCGAATGCGACTCGTGCTTCCAGGTGCCATCAGCCCATGCTGAGTCAGCGATCTGGCCAATGAACTCCGAGTCTCCACTCCAAGGCATCCGGCTGCAGCCGCCAATGAACGGGCGCTCCGATCGGCCCGAGTGGGACCGCATCTCACCATTACATGATTGATGATGGAGGTTCGGCGACCTCACGATACAACCTCCCCTATCTCCTTTTCGCTACAGCCTGCTCAGCCGTCGGAGCTCAGGTGCACCCTTCGTCGTCGGTATCCGTTTTCCCTCGCGGCCGACAGCCTCTCCACATCTCTCAATCCATGATGCCTCGGTGGAAGCGCAGTAAAGCACGCCCGGAGAAAGATGCAGCGACCGGCGGCGGCGGTTCTGGTGCACCTTCCGACTCCCCTGCTGCCCATTCCACCGCTGTGGCCTCCCTTCGCGCTGTTAGTGGCAGCTCTCCCGATGCGATGAGAACTACAGCAGTAACCCCGAACCAGGCACCATCCGATCCAGAGACAATTCGAAAACTGGCCAAGCAGCACGCCGAGTTCGGACCTCTGGGCGATCCATCGCATCTCTATACGAGCGAGCACCCCGGCGGAGAGATCCCTGATCCGGTTATTGATGAGCCCCCGTACTTCTTCGTCTTGACGACATATATAAGCTTTCTCGTCTTGATCTTCCTCGGCCACTTTCATGATTTCGTGGACAAATGGTTCCGCTCTCATACCTACCGGCACTTGAAACCCCAAAATGGGTATGCTTCATTGTACAGCGACTTTGAGAGCTTCTATACACGACGCTTGAAACAAAGAATTAACGATTGCTTTGAGAGGCCGATCATTGGCGTCCCGGGCCGGCATGTTACTTTGCTTGACCGGACTACGGAGGACAATCTTCATTTTAGCCTTACGGGCACGACTACCGACACGCTAAATCTGAGCTCATATAATTATCTTGGCTTTGCTCAATCGGAAGGTCCATGCACCGACTTTGCCGAGGAAACGATCCGGCGGGATGGCATTTGCATTGCGTCGACTGCCGATGCCGGAATTACGAAGCTGCATGCTGAGGTAGAGGATCAGATTGCCCGGTTTGTGGGGAAAGAATCTGCAATTGTGTTCTCCATGGGTTTCGTGACGAATGCGACTATCTTCCCAGCTCTCATGGAAAAGGGATGTCTGATCCTGTCTGACGAGCTCAACCATGCATCTATCCGCTTCGGCGCCCGCCTGTCCGGCGCGGCCATCCAGGTTTTCGCGCACAACAACATGGCTGACCTCGAAAAGCGTCTGAGGGAAGCCATTTCTCAAGGCCAGCCCCGCACGCATAGGCCCTGGAAAAAGATTCTTGTCACCGTGGAGGGTCTGTTCTCCATGGAAGGTACCATGTGCAATCTTCCTAGGATCCTAGAGCTGAAGAAGAAGTACAAGTTCAACCTATTTGTCGACGAGGCACACTCCATCGGAGCCGTTGGACGCCACGGACGCGGAGTTTGCGACTACTTCAAAGTCGACCCTTCGGAGGTCGAGATCCTCATGGGTACATTTACCAAGTCCTTCGGAGCCAACGGTGGCTATATTGCTGCAGACAAAGCCATCATTGACAAGCTGCGCTGCACCAACGCCGGTCAAGTATTCGGCGAGGTGCCGTCTCTTCCGGTCCTGGCTCAGATCTACTCCTCGCTTCGACTCATTGCTGATGAGGATCCTCTCCACCCTGGCGAAGGACGGGAGCGGATGCAGCGACTTGCTTTCAACTCGCGCTACCTCCGCCTTGGTTTGAAGAGACTTGGTTTCATTGTGTATGGACATGATGACTCTCCCATTGTTCCATTGATGCTGTACAACCCTGCCAAAATGCCCGCCTTTTCGCGGGAGATGCTACGACGCAAGATCTCCGTCGTTGTTGTGACTTACCCAGCCACGCCCCTGGAGCTCTCTCGGGCGCGACTCTGCATCTCAGCCTCGCACACCAAAGAAGATCTCGATCGCATACTGCAGGCGTGCGACGAGATCGGCGATGCCTTGCGGCTCAAATTCTCTTCAGGAATAGCAGGTGGCCTGAGGGAACCATTGTCTATCGACGGCAGCTCCAAGGGCCCCAGATTGATAGAACCCCCTCGTTGGACTCTGGAAGAAGTCATTGCGAGGGGCACGCGGGACGCGAATCTGCCTCTCTACTGAGCGGATTGTTTCCGTATAATGTGAATAAAGACAGGATCTTAACGCTGCGATGTCTTGAAACTATATACGCCAAGAACATAGCTAATGCCCTCGTTTGGTTTTGTGTTGTTCTATCTTGTTGCTGAACAAACAGATGGCACGATGAGGGAATATGGAATTGCATTGTGACTATATAATTATTAATGTATACAATACTCTTTTCTTTCTAAATAATATACACTTGTCATTGGACCCGGAGATCTTGCTTGGACTACTAGCGTCTTGTTCATTTGGAAACTAGATAGTATATTTTAGCCTATCGTTTGGCGTCCACGCAGATCGTATTTAGATTTCTTACCCCCACGGACCGTCTGGAAAAGCAAAACGCCCAGATCACAATGCGCCACTACCGCCATTAAGAGATGATGCGAGCAATAGCAGTGAAAAACCGGGAGGGTACTAACAGCACTGCTACATAGGTCGTATGGCAGGTAGCAATTCCCAGGTACTACCTACGGAGTAAGTACTGTTGTGAGCACGAATGTACCAGCCATCCAGCGGCCCCTGCCCCAGTGGCGGGCCCAGCGTAACGGAATCGTAGGTATCCGTAGTGGTTTCCGCGGGCCCCAGCAAAGCTCCGTCGTCGACGTCCATCGAACGGACCGTTGTCTGGAATTCCGAAAATAGCCTCGCCTGTCGTGGGAATGATGCTCTGGGCAACCAGATAACGCGCACCAGCCCCCCTTTTAGCCGGGCCCAATGTTGATCACTTTGTTTTTCCTTTACGGAATAGTCTCCTTCCGTTTTCCTTCTTGGCCACCTTCGGCATCCACTATCTACCCCTGGTTCCGCCCTGCTCAATCTCGTGGTCATCCCCATTCCCATCCCGAGCTAGATAGATGTTTAGAGGACCGGCCTGGAGGGCTCGCTACGGGCGGGGGAGCTAAGTCTGGTTGGGTGGCCATTGGCATCCCCATCTTTCCCTCCAGCCAGTCATCTGCCATATACGGAGTACTCTCGGTCGTTGATCATCTCCGTCTGTTGAAATGGATCTGTTTGAGAAGGTGGTGGAGGGGTTGGAGTTGAATCGATTTTACTCCGTAGACTCCCCGGGTATTTTATTAATGGCCTTTGCTAATCGCAATTGCCTGGTTTCCTTCGTCGTGGCGCGTGCGCTGGCTCTCCATCGGAAACCCACCATTGCGGGACTCTTGTGTAGGAGTCTTTCGCCTCACGGCGTTCAGGAGGCTATTAGGGTAGCTTGCGACAGGTCCCCATCTCTGGGAGTTACCATGTACTACGCGATTTGCCGATTCAGTCTTCTGTCGACTACTCCGTATCGCTTTAACAGACAGAGAAAGACTTCACCGCTAAAAGAAAACATGAGTGTCAACCAATAGATCTCATGACGAAGGGATGAACTTCGACCTCCGGAATTATCAAGTCGGTCTCTAAATAAATAAAGTCCGTGTCCCTCGCGTAGATACCTCTTGGCCCAATCCTGACCCGATGGAGTTACTCCTCTGATCTGAAACAGACCAATCAAACCCCAGCCCAGGGTACCAAAGACAACCTACCCATGGAGCCATGGATGAAATGGCAAGCTCTGTGATGGCTGGAGCGGGTTCGCGATCAACGGTCTGTGTATAGTATGTCTCGTACCTGCATGGACAAATGGGTCGTGATTTCGGCAAGGGATGGCCCAAACCGTGGCCAATGTGATATCATAGTCGGACTAATCATAATTTAAGAAGCTTCTTTGGTGGTGCATTGCCCAGCCGATGGGATTTGCTGGGTGGAATGTTGGGGCTCAGGAACAGACTCCAGAGCCAACCTCGCGCGCTGCTGGTTCCTGCATAACCATGGCAGTGGCGCACCCACATCCTTCTCTGGGGCATACATTATTGTAATGATTATTAATTGGCTTGCGGTTCCCCAGGGTGATGGTGGGTATTACTTCCGTAGATATCTCTAAGTTCCACATTGAATATTGTTCTTGCATCTACTATCAACTGTCTAGGTAAGAGGGAAGGTAAGGTCGTTGCGATGCGGAGTGACAAGCCGGGTGGACCGTCGACACATGCCGGCAATTGCGATTGGGTTGCTTATCCTGGGAGTCCGATCGACCGGGTCGCTGGTTCGAACGAGATTCTTGCTGCACACGCACCACGATTGGCTCCAGTGGTGTCTGGATGCAAGAGAATGAGGGAAGTTGTATCCGTAGTGCATACTGATGCTCCATGGTAGAATGAATTGATGGGGGAGGGTGGAAGGTGGAATGTCAGTAGCAAAAGAGTAGGTATGGATGGGCTGCTTGCACCACCCCAATTATCTGGGGAATGAGAACCCCTCGTGGGAGGATAATTGGCCCATTATTTACTTTTTGCATTGCTTTCTTTTGAATTTGCTGCCTTCCGATATTTGGGGTGTTGACCAAGGGAAAAAGAGCCCGACCTCACGCGCAGGCGGCGAAGCGAAGAAGTACTGCGACTGGGCAAGTCATCAATGGTAGTAGTAAGCTAGCTGTCTTGAACTCCGATGAGGCGGTGTCGCCCTGGCAGGTCACTCGTTCTCCTCCACCCCCCCTAAACTAAAAACTAAACCTGCCATTTGCTACCAGCAATAATTATCTAATGCTGGCTGGCCAGAAAGTGTGAAACGCCGGAGTCTTTCATTCTTCCTGTCTCCTCCTCCTCTCCTCTCCTCCTCCAATTCTCCAGGTCCAGAGCCCCATCTTGCTCTTCGCTCACCGTGGTCCTTTTCCTCCCTCTTTCCTTGTTCATGTTCTTGTCTTTGGGTGCCAGTTGTACACTTTCCCTTCGGTCTTCTTGCTTGTCCTTGTCGCAGTCGTTCCGTTCCCGTTTGCTGCTATCCACACCCCCCTGTCTGTCTGTCTGTCTGTCTGTGATTTTTCTATGATTTAATCGCCCCATGCTCTTTCAGCGCCGCGATCGGACTTTTAATGAGGCTATTTCGGAAACAGAGGAAAAGACAACTTTCGCAATCCCCGCCCCCGAGACGTTGAACGGCTTCAAGAGGACTGCTTGAGCATCGTCAGGAACGAACGCCGGTCTCTACTCTCTCTGCTTTCGATCCCGATTTAATTCGCCCGCCGTTCGCTCCTTGAAACCGTTCGACAGGCCCACCATCCCCGGGTATTCTCGTCCCTCTCTGTCGGATTGTTGTCGCTCCTCTGGTTTCAACATATAATATACCTCGATCTCATTGCAATTGGGAATTCTGTTGGTACAGGCGACCTGGTGAAGCTGGAGTTTGACCTCTCCAATTGCCTACTGCTCTTCCACGTTGCTCTGTGCTCGAGACGACCGTTTACGACTCAACCATAACGATGGCATTCCTCTTTAAGTCGAAGAAACACCAGCAGGGGTCTAGCCTACCCCCAGCCGCCAGAAATGTGCATACTTCAGAAGGGTCTCCCGCGAACCCACCCGCGGCTGCGCCCAACGGCGCGAAAGAAAGGGATGGAGCACATTCCCAAACACCAACGCCGAGCAGCAGCTACAATAATTCTCTGAACTCAGTGAATGGCACAAACAGCCCCGATCACCCGCGTGCACGACAGAGAGCCGAATCTGAATCGCAGGTTGGTCTCCCGTAGCTTCTCCTATTGTGACTGTCGGCATTGCGTCACTTGTCCGGCGGCGATGAAAGAACCCCAATTTTGGCGTCTTGGCTAACCGTAGATAGACTCAACGACCGCAACAGGCAATGCAGAATACCTCACCGAGCAGTAGCCCAGGTGCATCGCTGTACCCGTGGTCGCAGCGACGGATGAACTTTTCCTCCTCCCAGACGAACCCTTTCCCTCGATACGGAGCAGCGATCAATGCGGTGGCGTCAAAGGAGGGCGATATCTACATGATGGGTGGGCTGATAGATGGATCGACCGTCAAGGGAGATTTGTGGGTGATGGAAAGCAGTGGCGGAAACCTGTCCTGTCTTCCAATCGCTACTGTCTCCGAAGGTCCAGGCCCGCGTGTCGGCCACGCGAGCTTGCTAGTCGGTAACGCGTTCATCGTATTTGGGGGTGATACCAAGGTGGACGAGTCCGACACATTGGACGACACTCTTTATCTCTTGAACACATGTATGTATATGCATCCAAGCTCCCCCTCAACGTGGACTTTTCGGAGGCTCCACATGCTAACGCGACCGAATTCCAGCTTCTCGTCAATGGTCGAGATCCATACCTCCAGGTCCCCGACCCGCCGGGCGTTACGGCCACACTCTCAACATACTCGGCTCTAGGCTTTATGTTTTTGGTGGGCAGGTCGAAGGCTACTTTTTCAACGATCTTGTGGCATTTGATCTCAACCAGCTCCAGAACCCCTCGAACAAGTGGGAGTTCCTGATCCGAAACAGCCACGAAGGTGGCCCACCCCCTGGCCAAATCCCCCCTGCTAGAACCAACCATACGATTGTGAGCTTTAACGACAAGTTGTACTTGTAAGTATTAATTTTCTACCTCCATCTATCCACCGGGAGCTATCAGAGCTATAGATTTGGTTTCTGACACTGTTCTAGGTTTGGAGGAACTAATGGCATGCAATGGTTTAACGATGTTTGGTCTTACGATCCTCGTGCCAACAGCTGGTCTCAACTGGATTGTGTTGGCTTCATTCCAACACCCCGAGAAGGCCACGCCGCGGCTCTTGTCAATGACGTTATGTATATATTCGGAGGTCGGACGGATGAAGGCATCGATCTAGGGGATTTGGCCGCATTCCGGATCACGACTCGTCGATGGTATTCCTTCCAGAACATGGGACCTGCGCCCTCCCCAAGGTCCGGTCATAGCATGACAGCATTCGGGAAACAAATTATCGTTCTGGCGGGTGAGCCTAGTTCTGCCCCAAGAGATCCCGTGGAACTCAGCATGGCATACATCCTCGATACTGCCAAGATTCGCTACCCGGCCGAGAACCAAACTGGCGAAAGAGCCCCTACTCAAGGCATGCGAAAGATGAGTGGAGACCGGGCAATGGTACAAACTGGTCGGACTTCTCGGGAGTCTCAGAATCAACCTCCTCCTGACGCGCAACGACGTGGGCCTGGGCAGACACGGGAGAGTATTGTGACGAGTCCTACTAATAGACCAGCGGATATTGGCCCTATACAAGGCCCTGCTCCAGGCCCTGCTCCAGGGCCAGGATCTCGACTGCCCAGGGCATCGATAGCGCAGGCCCCTGCCGGGCCTCCTCCACCCGGCCAAGCCCCAACACCTGGCCAAAGGGGC